CCCCCATTCTTTATTGCTGTTTAGCACTTTAGCTGTTGTTACTGTTAGCCACCACAGGTAGCGACGACTACACTAAAGGTCCGTTAGACCACCTTAGCTTCGGTCGAGTACGACCAGATACGCGACTATGATTAATTCGTGCTGTTGTCCTTCCCCGTCACGGAATTCGCCGAATCAGGATTGGATAATGGATGTTTGCTTGCTTTGCCGCCAATCACGTCGTGTTCTTGGAACTGATCCCATTGCACCTACACTGTGTAGGTGCTAGATTGCCTCGGAAGGGTACGTACTACTTACCTACTTAGGTATCCCGAGTCCCGACTCTCCTCCGACGGCCAGATTTCATCTCAGCGTGTTGGGATAGGTTAGCCCTAAGCTCACTAAGAACCTGAATACCACCCTACACGGTGCTCCGTACTTTGTCGACTTCCGTACACAGGTTCTTATTCGGCAAGACCCTACGGTAGTAATACTCAGCCCTTCCTTTCCAATCACCAGTCAGATTTTAGCATTCGGAGAACATGTGATCTGAGCCCTAGGGCAAGCACTAAAAAGCCAACCGGCACTCCGGCCCCACCATCCGACGCCGAGTCAATTTGGAGGGGACTTTTTACTCTAGAGGGAATGACGGATGTGGATGTGGATGCGGATGGGGGATGTGGATTCAGATTGGTGTGGATGGAAAAGGGAAGGAGGGTAAGAATGGGGGATTCCCTTTTTTTTTTATTTTTTCTTTTCTCTGACTAAGAGTACCTAGCACAAGATTCATGTTCTCCGGCTGATGAATGCCAAGATACCAACGTCTTCGAATCCGCACACACGACGAATGGAATCTGGATAACTAGAGGAGGGGGGAAGAGCATACTCCAATTTGGGGGAAGGGCCAAAAAAGCTGTGGGAATCGTACTTCTACTTCTAACTACAGTAGGTCGTGCGACTGCAGATATCACGCACCAACTGACTGCACCCAGGTAGTACGGAGTACACATGTACGTACTTGCACAGTGTACTCAGGGGTGGAGGAGGAGGGGGGGCTGTCGCTGTCAAGTCTTGATATAACTGACTCGCTGCACTGCACCTGTCAGGTTCTACTGTTCGTTATCAATACGAAGTGAAGTACCCACGTATGCACGAAGGACTTTCCATCTTTCCCAGGCACTCCGAGAAGGGGAGGGGTACGGACAAACGTCTGATCATCTCCTCTGCATAAGGAGAAGTCGGCCGTAACCTTCTTTTCCCTCTTTCCTCAATCCTTACAGCGATGATTATGCAAGGTCAAGGTGGCAGAAAAACCTAAAGGAGTGCAAGAAACCTGTCTTTCACCTTCAACTGTCTACCTATCAATCGACTGTGTATCATTCTATCGACCAAAGAATGACGTATGGAAAGAGTAAGTGGAAACGAAGGTTCAGTATCCGTAGGAAGGATTACACAGTAGTTAGTTACAGCAGTAGTTACCTGGCGTTGGTACCTAGCTACAGTGCTGTACTTACTTAGCTTCGGACATTCGGACAAAAAGGAAAAAAATCCAGAAAAGGGAAGTCAATTAGATTAAGTGTGAATTAAAGCCATGTCTACGTTCGTTTCTTGCCCATGCACTGACACACCAAATCTGAACTAACGGCGGGTGATTATCGGTCCTCCCCCCCAGTAGTGGATGTCGAGGGGCCCTGCTTAAATTACCGTGCGTCTTTTTTCCCTGTCTCTAGGTACCTAGTCTCAATCTCGTCTCCCGTCTTCGCGTCCGTTCATCCTGCATGTCCACTTAGTATCGCAATCGGATGGTTGGCTTTATTTGGTAAATGATGATTATATCTGCGTATAGAAGTCTAGAAGATGGTCTGGACTCGGAGTAACTGTGTATAAGGAAAACGCAAGCAAGCAAGCAAGCAAGCAAATTCCCCCGAAGCAAAGAAACCTCGGCAATTTTGCTTATCCTGCCAGCCCCGTGCGCATAGGTAAAGGTACCGACTCTAGGCGTATTTTATGGGAACTGGATTCCGATGCCGAACTCCGTATTCCTATACTCAGTGATAGTTACAGACAATGATTGATTCACGAGGACCTGCTTCCGTACTTCGCTATGGAGAAGGATAGCAAGGAAAGGAAAAGCCACAGGGAAGGGAATGGAGGCATGATTAACGCATCAGAAAGTCTAATGTCGTGCATATTTGCCACGGGGTGTAGGGGGTATTTTTTTCTTTCTAGGGTATTGTGTTCGGAATGCCTAGGTATGTACTTACTCGGATGGAGAGGCGTTGGCCACAGCGTCGGCATAGTATTGAGGTACGGTGTACGGAGTCGATACATGTGCTACCTCGGAGTACTGTACATATCCATTACCTAGTGTGGTAGTAAGTGATACCGAGATTGTTTTTGAGCAGATACATAGTGCTGTGTAGTTTCTTGGGGTAGGATATCTTATAGATCCGTCGACAGGATCGATATATCTACAGTATAGAGTACGATGTTGTAATATATGCAACAGCATATATATCACCTGTGGCAAGCAGTTAGCATAAGCAGACTGACTGGCAAGATTCTCAGCGCACCATTCATCTACATTATTAATCAACAAAACCCAATTATGGTTATGTATGCCCGTAGCTACTCCGTATCTGGTAGTTTAGATATTTCATAGGTAGGTACAGGTATGTATCGCGACGCGTCCTCGTAAATAAGGTACTCTTACCTAACCCAACCGCAATCATTCATGAATAAACAAAAAAGAAAAGAAAAAAAAAGAAACTGGGTAACAAATTAGTATGTAACTCTGTATTCCTTCCGAGAACCCGAAAGGAATGAAAACCAACACCCAGAACCCCAAACCACCGCCTCTGATTGGGGGATAATAGCGGCCGCTTTTCGTCATACCGGGAGACTAGCGGTCTTGGGAGGGGGGAAGGAGGAACACTTTTTGTTTTACGACGATTAGTTAGGGTCGGAGATTGAAGGTCCATTATTGTTATTGTTCCATGATGAATTGACGGGAAATGTTGGTTGGTTTCTGCCATCTGGCTTCGGTTCAGTGTTCAGGGCTCGCTGCTTATTACAGCTGCACTTGTGGGCATATGTACTGTATGTACCTGCTCCGGTGGTGCTGGTAGGTCAGGTCGGTAGGTAGCAGGAGTGACGATGAAGTAAGTGGATGTTCAGGACCTCCGCGGATACTTTTTTTTATGGTGGTTTTGTTTGGTTTTCGGCCGGATTTGCGTCTTCACTCTGGGTTTAGTGGGAAAGTTAATTGGGGACTGTTATTTTTATTATTTCATTTTTTACTTCTGGCTATCATTATTCATTCATTTATTTTGTCAATTCTATTTCGATTTAATTCTATAAAAAATAATAGCATACGACAACGCGAATGCGATAATACGACAGAACGATCTTGAGAGGAGAGAAAATACAGGGCGACCCTCCATCATGGACATGTTTGTCCGGAACCCAAAGAAGTCAAACACAACAACAAAGCTCTTATCATACCCTGGCTGCGAGGCGGGATTATACCTCATCTTATTATTGCTGTGCCGTGGCCATTATTATCCCCATGAATATTCTGAATCAAACAACACTCCATTCAACGACGATCTCGAACCGCCGAGAGAAAAAAAAAAAAAAAAAAAGAAAATCCTACAGTAATCATGATAATAAAAATCACAATGAAAAAACGGTTGACAGATGGAAAAAAAGGATCAAGGGACCCATGCCTTCCCGTCGATTCCCTGTTACTTTACCGTAGACGTGCGTTGGATAAAACATGTTCATCCGCCTCCGCTGCGGGAGAGTTGCGTCAAGATGTGCCTATGGGAATCCCTGCTCTGGGCTTGGGCCAAGGAAGGACGGCCGCTCCAGATATTTCCTCGATACGACTCTCCGGACTCCAAGTGGTCAGGACAGATCACTGGGAAGGGGGGGACAGCCCGTCATGATTATCAATCGAGTCGGTAGAATCCGAAGAGTCGAGATTCCAAAATTGTAGGTTGACACCGTACGGAGTAAACAAATATTTTTTTTTTTTTGGTCTGAATTCTTGTCCTATCGGGCCAGATGCGACGACCCCCAAATTTGGGGGAACTCATGTAGCACGGGGGAGATGGGTGTTCCGATTTTATTCTATGTTCTTTTATTTTTTTTTTCGATATGATGGTTTCATTCTATCTTTGGTTATTTGTCTTTTCGGGGTTTGAATGCGGCCTCGAGAAGTGACGAGTTTTCATCACAACACGGTTCGATGAAAGAAGCAGAGGTGAATGAAATTACCACGCGCAAGAGGAATGAGACCCCATCACTAGGCCCTCTGTAGGAATACCCAATTCGGTCCCATGTTGCACAGAAAGCCTCTGACAACGCCGTCGACAAAGCATGCTTGAAGGGTGCTTTGCCTATCTGCTTCCTTATTCTGGGTTCCTTTTTATTTGATTTTTGCCTCGCTCGCTTCCTCCCAAATATCAGCCAGTCAAGTGACTGGCGGGGTTCTCTATGGTGTAACCCTTCTCTTGTCAGAAGACCAACCTCCTCGTTTCCTTTTGCCTTTTCTTTTCTTTTTCTTGCCTTTTCTTTTTTTCCTTCTCTCTCTTTTTTTTTTTTTTTTTTTTTTTTTTTCTTCTTTTGCCTCCGTGATTCCGGTCCATTGGACTTGGTTACTGTCTTGGGCATTTGTTTGCTACTTTCCCTTGACTTCAAGGCATGCGATGATGTAGCCTGCACCCAGCCAATCCTGCACATAACAGGTTCATCCATTGTTTGCTTAATTGGAGTTTTGTTTAATTGGATATCAATATCAACAACGCACCTGGGTATTCCCGCCCCAAAGTCATTTGCGTCCCATGATGGTACATACATACATTCGATTTGCGCCTTCCTGACAAGTGACCTCATTGTTTGTATGAAGTGTCACATGTACAGGAAGGCACTGAGTCACCGACACAGTAGAAGAAAAGAAAAGAAAAACTAGGTCAAGCAGATAATAATAACAATGCCGATAATTCACACATCATGGCTCATACCGCTGCTTTCGCAGGCTCTACTCCTGTGTTTGATGCTCGAGAGGCAGATTTCGGCTCAGCCGGACCCTCGATAGCCAACGGAGCATCGTCATCGTCCTCTTCGTCGTCACTGGAGAAGTCATCCACTTTCAGTCCGCGTCGGCGATCTTCTTCGCGACGCCGGCGGCGCTCCCGGATATACTCATGGTAACGGGCGTCTGTACCAATTAGCATGTCCTCACATATGTTTGCTACTTAAAAGAGGGAAACAACGTACCTCGGATTTCCTGGGTCTTCACCGCGTACGCCTGAATTTCTTCTTTGCTCAGGACCCGTAAGACAATGACATAATCCGCTCGTTCCTCAAACCGTTCTTGTCCTGCTTCCAAAGCTGCAGGGTTGACCAGCCGACGATCAACCTTGGTCCATCGGGCACCGGGGGGGATGCCCTTCTTATGGGCGTCCTTCAAGGGCGCTACACCTTCCCTGACCGGATTAGGCTCTTCGGGGAATTTCTCCTTGGGAGGTTTCAGGATTCCCTTGGGCGGAGCGTCCGGCTCCTTCGAGGATGTAGATTCAGGCCTCTTGGGATCATCCTGGCGGCCGGGAAGCTCTTTGGGGCTGGATTCATGTGCCGGAGGAGCTTCCAGTTTGCGGTGACGCGAATGCGATCGTCGCCGCCGTGGATGGTCGACCGTCAGATACGGTGAATGTCGGTCACTGTTACTGCCCGAGGATTCTGAGCTTGGTTTTCGACGCGCCGATGGTTCTCGTCGGTATTTCTTTAGGTCTTCATCTGAAGAGTACGCGTCCGAGTCGGTTTCCACGCGACGTCGAGACGGCCTGCGCGATCGACTGCGACGCCTGTGCTCGCGCTCCTCGATCTCACGGGGATGCCGATCCGTCCGCGGAGAGAGGCCATAATCAAAGTCGTCCGAATAGCCGCTGGCTAGGCCCGCCGTTCCCAGGCCAGTCCCAGCCCCCAAAACCGCCAGATCTTTGCTAGAAGAAGCTCGGGGCGAGTGGTCGTCATATGAATGGCGGCTGCTTCGATCGTCCTCTGGCCTTCTATGGCGGCGGTGACGGCGGTGGCCCTCCTCGTAATCATCTCTGTATGAAGAATAACCCTCGTCATGATCCTGGTGCAACGAGACCGGGGCTCGGTGGCGCGACCGCCGGCGCGGTCTCGACAACTCAACATCACTGCCCACAGAGCTCTGGGTAGAGTGTCGAATGCGCCTATCGCGATCGAGTTTGTCAAATCCTCTCTGGGACGGAGGCGGGCCAAGGGCCCGGGGTTCTTTCCTGGGGAGCAATTGAGGATCGTCGATTCCGGTCAAACTTAGGGGTCTGTCCTTGCGGTATGCAGTTCGGTCATTACGCAACCTCGCAGCAGAGTCCTTCTCAAATTGTTCACGAGGGTTGGTATAAGAGTAGGCGTCGTAATCATCGATATCTTCGCCCTTTCGAAGACCGCCAGTGGGCGGGTATCGCCATCTGTCATTCGGTTCATAGCCACGATAGGCATTATGAGCCATTCGGGCTCTGATTGCCCGTTCGTTCGGGTCCAACCGCCCCGTGTCGCTCGCATAATCCGTATGCGAGAGAGGATGGCGGCGATGGTGTCGGGGAGAGGACGCAGGCACCAGATAGCGGTCCTGGGTATGGAGAGGACTCGGCGAACGGCGATAATCGGATACCATCACGGGAGAGGTTCTCGAGACGGGTGCGTCCAGCCTTGCCGGAGTGTAGTGGATGTCTGCTGCGGAGGTGGTGCTGCTGCGTTGCCTCGGACGGATAGCGTACTCGGTCCTGAGTTTGGTAGAATGACCAGAGTCTCGATAGGTCTTGGATGATACCGCTTGAGCTTCCAATCTCGGTTCTCTTGCTAGTCGAGGATCGTAGGAGGTCGTATAAGGGACATTGGAAGGATAGCTTGGATAGCCATGGCGACTTGTAGGCGCATCGTAAGAGGAGCTGAGCTGAACCGTGCCAGTGGAAGCTCGCATGGGATCAATCATACGGGAGCCACTTGGAGACATGGGTCGGTAACGTGCAGCCGAACCCATCCCGAACCCTTGCTTGCTGACAACGAGGGTATGAAGAACAGGGTCTGATCAAATTGATGCGCAATGCTTTGATTGGCAGTATTGCGTAAGATGCGGTGAGGGGGTGGTTGCGGGCAGTGCAGGCGGATTGAAAGGATGTGAAAGGATGATATGCCTGGAAGAATGGAGTGGGAAACAAAGATAAAGGGTACCAATAAAAAATAGCACCTAAAGGAAAAGGAGAGGGAAAAATAAAAATAAAAAATTGCAATCTGGGGATGTTCGTCGGGCACCAGGCCAGAATGACGAAGGCAAAAAATAAGACCAAATAAAAATAGACTTGAGGGGCAAAAAAAGCGGAACAGAAGAAAAAGAAAAGTAATTGTAACGCCGCGAGAAAGGATGCCTGATCCTACAGGCCGACCGACGGAGCGATGATGGGAAAGATAGCGGTTTAAGAACTCCAGACCAGAAAAATTAGGAGACGAGACGGTGGATCTCAGGGGACACGAGAGGATAGAGGGGTCAAGAGGAACCGAGTCAGAGAAGAGATGATAGGAACGAAGCTTTAGAGGTCAGAGACTCTGATTGAGCATTGAAATCTTGATGGATGAAACTTGCAACTCCAACAACGGCTTTTCTCAGTGACGAAAGATCGCTGACAAAGAGCGGAGGAGAACAGAGTGGAAAGAGGCAATAATCAGCCCCTCCTGTCCAATGAGCAGTGCTGACTGGATACACGTCCGCCCCAGTAGGGCTCCGTCCATTTTAATTGCCCGAGTTGGTCGGCCGAAGGTTGGCAAGATGAGGTGGAAGGTGGAAGAGTGGATTGGTATAATGATAGCTGTCTGGTCGGTGGTAACCGTGGATGGCCTCCGTCTGGAAAGCAACCGTCTGGAGCCGTTCTCCGTTCCATGAAACCTACCCAGTATCCATTGAGGGTATCCACGCCCGAGATGAAAAAGAGAGAGAGGGAGACGGAGGGACGGAGAGACAAGATGCCGCCGCAACGCCCATCAGGTGACTCTCCGGTCACGCCCCGTCTCTTTTCTCTTCTCGTCCTTGTCTTTCCTCATCGCCGCAACTCAATCGCTTCGTCGCATCTCAACCATTCGGATGAATGCCACCCACACGAGCTTCTTTTTGGCTCGCAGTCCCAGCATCACGAGGCTCTCGGATTGCTTGGTCCTTCCTCTCGTTCGGGTCTAGCGTCTTGCTTCTGCCCAACGCTAACCAGGCAGTCCGTCTGCCACGGCTGACGGGCTTCCTGCAAACCGCGTCTGTCTCCACTGCTCTCCTCCACTTGATGCTAGTGGCCGCTTTGTAATGTTTGGTTCAATGATGTAGCTGTCGGCTTCATTCGCTTCACTCGCTAGTCGCTTCTCATAGCTTGCCTTCTCGTTCTTTCTTACTGGCCCGGACGCAGGCTGAGCTCCGGTTATCCAAGGCCCAAGGGGCAAAGCACCCGGTCTTTTGGATCCACTCTCGGCGTCTGGGTGAGATTTTTGGAACAATGTCGGTGGGGGATGTGGAATCTGAGACCATGACATCATCCAATCCCATTGAAGGTGTACACTCGGCATTCTCCCGGTGGGTTGGACTGGGACCATCATCCATCTCGAGTAAAATTAAGGAACCCGCATGCCACCAGTGGGGTTGGGGATCTTCTAGAAGCGCCCCCTAGGAACTGTAAAGGCATGGTCGTATGCAGACACCCGTCAAAAGCCGTCGATCTATCTAGCTACGACACTGACATTCTACCCAGATTCATTGTTCGAAGGGAGATAGATTGGTTCTCTGTGGTTCTTTCTCAAGGAACCCGGGAATGGGGCTCTGGCCCCGAGATCAACTGGGATTTGGTAGGAATTATTTGCCTCGCCCGATGCATACACCGAGGGCAATCGGGCACACTTCGCCCCATTGCCAGACATCTGATTGGTAGTGGAGAACAGTTGCCCCATTTCATTCTCCTTCCAGAATGATAGACAAAACATTCTCGGGCCCTAGAGGTTGCCTTGAAACAAAGATCGACGATGTTGGATCTCGAAGGCCCCTTGCGTCTCTCGTCACCCCACCTTGTCTGCATCGCTCATGCGACTCTGGTCGTCGTGCATTACACCTGGTGTGAAGAGGGGTTGCGGGATTTTTCTCTTAACTTAACCCTCCGCCATGGGCAAAAGATCTCATCTTCTAGCCGAGATGATCTGGTATGTTGCTCATCTCCGAGACGCTAAGTGCAATCAAGGGACATTGCTCAGCAGGACTCCTGTGTCATCTTGAGCAATCTTGAATTAACATAGAATCTCCGTGAAACGCCCTAGAGGGGCACTTCGGAAGTTACAATCGTCACTAGCATGTGTGATGCGACGGTAAGGACTACTGAAAGCTGTGCTGATGATACAGACTTTGTTGCAAGGGAGAGAGCCGAGTTTGGTGCCTGCAGCATCATGAGCATACGATTCTCTGTGACTAGTCGGCAATTTCAATTTCATTTCCGAATTTCGGGGTTCTTGGAATGGTTAATCGATGATGGAAACAAAATTTTGTTCCTGAACCATTCAAGTTGCATTTTATCACGCCATGGCTTCTCTCCCGGAAATACTTTCGTCATAAACCACGAGTCTAGCGAACGATTCGATCAGTGACAAAAGGCACAGCCCGGTTGGCCTTAGGGCTCACTCACACCGGGCAACGGGCATTTTGCTGCACATGCGGAGTACACGTGCAAAGAATGATTCATACTTGAGCATACGATTTCCAACACTGGGGATAAATCGGCCACTGCCACGAATGCAAAGAAACCCTTTACCCCTGGCTTAGCTTATACTTTATCTCGGGACAGGCCAATATTGTGCGTCACCCTCAAGCCATGGCTTTTTGCAGCAAAACTCTTTTTGACTCGATGGTATCATACATTATTGGCCAGGTGAGTCCTGGCTTAGCCACAGTAACAACGAAGCTGCTACACATCTAGGGCTTTCCCCCGTCTGATACGAACTTGGGCAACTCGCATCACCAGTGTGCCATGGTAAGGGCAAAATGGGTAGCAGATTCTCGTTATGTGTGCCCTTCCACGCCCATGGTGAAATCGTTCCGGGGCACATAGGGGAGAAATTCTCTTCTTCTCGCAACGCTAGAATATAAAACGTTTCCAATTGAGCTGATTCCCTCCAGGTTTTACCATTCATCAATCTAGTTGATTATTCTCTAGTCTGAGCGGATCAACGAGTGTATCTACAATTGGATAAACCTGAATCCTGCTTCATACAATTTGAACACATCCTTCATTTGAAACTCTCCACTCTTAGACCTACCGGGCCGTACTAAACTTCCCGAGCATTTGACACTCCACGAATCTCCGTCATTTATCTGTCGTCAGAGCGCCCTATTCAAGCCCTCGCTATGTCTCAGATCTCGCAAATATCCACCCAGGTCTCGCAGGACTCGGCTCGGCCCTCAGTGGCCGGTTGGTGGGTTTGCTGCGCATGCAAGAATGAAAACAATCCCGCCCTGAGCGCAGGGAGGTGCACGGTCTGCAACCACGGACAATGCCCGTCTTGTAAGGTGTTGAGATGAGCAGTGTCCACACAGACTTTATTTTGTCCGCCATTGGATATTTGACTCGAAACTTGTCTCTAATACCTCCGTTATATACCCCTCATGTTCTTCGATCTTTCTTCCGTTGTCTCAAGTGTGGGGACATTCTATTCCTACATTCACCCTTTTCCTATATTCGTTCTAATCTTTGATGTTTGTTTCCTCTGTCTCTTTCCCCGAGTACGCCTTGGATTGTCTCCGATAGAGTTGTTCGCTGTCTTCTACTGTGTCTTGATATCATGGTTCATCAACTTCTTGCTCATGGGTTCTGGCTAGAGAGTATACTTCGACATGACTTGGATGTTTATTTTCATGTTGGCTTATGTATTCATGATCTGCTTGCTTGTCTATCTTATGCTTTTTGTCTCTTGATGTTTCTTTTTCTTTCCCTGTATCATTATCATCTCATTTCGGGTTGTCCTTGTTTCTGTCGCTGTCGTGCTACCCTGATCTTAATGTTTCATTCTGTGTTTTTATCTTTTCGCGTTCCTTTCTGTAGACTTTCCATCTCATTTGGTTTATTCCTGTTTTCTGTCCTCCATTTCTGAAATCACCGATACTACTTTTGCTAAGAGCCGAACATAGACATGTGTTCCTCTCTACCCAAGTTTACCTCAAATCTATCAAGTCTCAACAGACACACGAGCAAATTCATCTAGATAACAAAAGTCGGGACACTGCAACCCGCTTATACATAACCCTAGACTCTAGGGCATTTTCAATACGATACTTCCTACGGCGTTTCAGACCAGCAAGACGCCTGAACGCCATCAGTAGCCGGCTGAGATTTGGTTTCTTGGCTGGAGAAATACTGGCCACATGCTCTAGAAATGCGCATAAGGTTTATTCGGGCTCTGGTCATCTGCCATACCTAGAAGGATAAGTCGGCTGTAGTACCGGGCAAGGATATCAATGTCTTCTAAATAGGTGACTAGATTGCACAGAAACTGTATCGATATCAAGTTTTAAAGGATGGTTAAACTGCAAGATATATCTACAACTAATTGCATCTCGAATGAGTCTAGCAGAGACATAGCCTTGTAACTGAAGATTATTTATCTATTAACTTCCAACCAGGGGTAATGTAGCCTAACTATGCTATGACTAAGATTCTCATTGGTGAATAGCAGATCAACCAAACTCCTAAAAGAAGTATCCAAGAATGAGGGAAATAAGATGGAATAGAACAAAAGCCGAAGAAGCCCCAAAAAATGCAATTGATCTTGCATGAGGAATAGACCAAGTGAGATGGTGGGATGATGTTTCGATGGGATGAGGAGGACTTTCCAATGGGTCTTTCCTAGATAGAGAATGCGAGAAAGGAAACTATAGGTAGTGATGATCAATCCCGACGTCTATGTTTTCGTCGTTTTCGTTTATGTTTCGATGATCTGTGATCTCCTAGCTCGTCCTCGGTCTCGACGGAGGAGTCGAGGCCCGCGTCCTGTTTGAGCCTCGAGACCACAGGTCCAAATGCAAAGGTGCTCTCTTGGTTCGTGTGATCCGCACATGGGCTGTGCTTGAGGGGAAGCATCCAGTCGAACAGCGAGTAGCCCATGATCTGTTGAAGGTTCTTGATGGGACTGCCTAGGTCGAAGGGATTGTCGCCCGGTTGGGTCTGGAGAATGGCGAATACGTGCTGCTCTGCAGGTGGCTGATAGTGTTGGTATTCTGCGCCGAATTCGGCATGAGGAGGTATGGATGGGAGAGGGTAGGTGATAGTGCGAAATGTCGGAGCCCATTGCGTCTCCGGATGAAGTTTTGCCAGGACGTGATTGGGCACGCGGATGGCTAGTGTCCAGACGACTGATTGACGATTGATATTCTCGATTGTGGAGAGGTTGAACATGCCCAGTTGTAAGGAGCTTAAGGTCATACCAAAAGTGAATAATCCAAAAAGACCGCTCCTATGGCCCATTAGCAGCGATGCATAGATATAGTGTATGACCGCCCTGGAATAACTTACAATCCAATACCAACGGCCCAATGGGGATTGACGGAGCCACTCTATACCTCAGATTAGTACAAATGCAGGAAGCAAGAAGAGCCAAACTCACGTCTCGTTTTATCTCGGCGACAAAGTACGCGCATACGATTAAACAAAATAGGCAAAAAACCATCGTATAAAAGACGAATTGAATGAAGAATTTGAACGATGTTTCAGAAACAACACCTCCGACCCTGGAGATTGTCAGCCTTGATTCGCCTCTTAACTGACCGACACGACTCACCATGGACAAAAGTGGTCCATCTTCCGGACACACCGGTCCACCTCGCGGCAATGATGCGCACGATCTGGTTTATAATGGCAACACGTAGAGCAATATAGGGGCCGCCCATCCGGCTGGCAGACGAAAACATCTTTTCTGTAAAAGTTTTCCAGTCCCGCTAGGTCTATCTGGAACGCAGGGTTTCCAGCGTTATACTCCAGTCCCTGCTCGACGTCGGCGCCGGCACCTTCGGATTTCTCGGATTGTCTCGATTGCTCATGACTCTGTCTCCGTCTGTGGCTACTTCGCCGACGGCTATGCGGTCGTTCGGGGCCTTGCGACGTCGGTGCGGGTGGAGAGTTCCGAGGCAGTAACCCGGGGTTCCAGATGACGTTATACAGAAGTCGAATGTATGTCGCGACGACCGGAAAGAGAAGCACGTAGTAGATCACAATGATGGCGATACCAGCACCAGTTCGAGGGCGACGATCATACTTCGGGAGAGGATGGAGAAGGTAGTCGACTGGAAATGACGAGCTTGACTTAGAAAGGGGACGGAGAAAAGGAGGGCAGGTCAGGGAGACTCACTGCATAGGGGTTTGGTGATAGCATAGGAAGCATAGATCACAGCGCCTAGCAAGACCACGGGGATAACTCTAGCTACTGCTAAATTCACGCGCCGGTCCGGGCGCGCCATGAGATAGAGGTCGGAGGAGACTTTGCGCCTATCTCCGCATTGAGGGGGTCAGTGGGAAACGATCAGCTGACGGAGGTCCCAACCGCATCCATATTAGTTAAAGCGAGTAGTTATGCTGAGGGACCGGGACGAAAGACTAGAGCATTGGGCCCAGATCTAGATGATGATGTCTGCCTGGAACGAGGTGACGACGATGAGGCAACGATGTTGCAGTCAAACTAGGAACGTGACGGGCCCGACAAACAGGGCAAACCAGACAAACCCCGGGGGATGACGTACGGCACGTGACGGCGGTCCGAGGATCTCCGTTGGTTTCTTTTGCTCGCTTTCTCTCCATGTCTCGGATTTCTCGATGCGCTCTCCAAACATCTGCGAGAAGGATCTCGTCGGGATCGAAGCCAACGTGGCATTCGCGAACCCCAAGGCAACCATGTCCATTCCGAGACCTTGACGAGGATATTTTTGGTGCCTTCTCCATTGGGAATTACTCGATCAGTCGCTACTCGCTACTAGTTATGGCCGATGATGTCGAACTATATTTTTGTTTTTTATCTTCTCTGATTATTTTGTGGTTGTCCTGAACCCCTCCCTGATAGTGCAGGATGCCATGCCCTGCCCCTTAGCTTAGGATGCACTCCCCTGTCGAATTCCACGACATCAGCACGAGGATGACGGCTTTAGCTTCAGCGATCCGTATTTTCCCCTTTCCGGAGCTCTGGCGAAATTGCCTAGTCGCACTTGACAACGAGTCGAATGGGTCTGCTGGATTAGGCGAACTTCGAAGACGGAATTTGGTTGGTACTGGGGTCATCAAGCGACCCGGACGCAGCTGAAGACTCAAGCGGCCCCCAACCGCGAATACTGTCTTTAATTAGAATGAAACAACTTTATACCGTCAAGCTACTGAGTGTAATGTTCCCGCCCCGGGAGGGCCAGGACACGAGGGGCCCTGGGTCTAACGGCCTGTCAGGTCCGCGGAATGGGTACCGGAATGGAATGCTGAAACTGTCTCAAAATAAAATCGCGATCGAGTAAAAAGGACGAACGAGGAATGTCGGGGAGGAAAGTGATATGAGATGGTACCGAGTGTGATGATCGGGTCAGAGACCGGGCGATAAAAATATCGGGATAAAAATAAAGTCGGTCGCACAATCCCGCGTATTGAAGCCCTTCAGGGACAGAAAGAACGAGAAGAAGAGTTTGGTCATGTTGGTGGTAGGCGCCGTTGGTGATGGTGACAAGCATGTCGGCGCTTACCTGGGCTGATTAATCTCTCAGTAGGATTATGTATGATGATGATGACGATAATGAGTGGTTTTTGATTAGTATTATTTTGCCTGCGATCTCTACACAGTAGTGGGCAGAAAGGATAGAACGGCAGAGTGGAAAGTAGAAACAAAGCAAACTACGTCAAGGACTCGAACAGTCATCGAAGAGCCGCAAGGACAGGTGACCGAGTGAGGGTGCAGGCAGCAACAGGGATGCCTGCTTAGTCGTATTCTCGCAGACCGACAGAACGTCTAAGAAAATGACGACCGCACTGCCAAAACGAGGACGAAGTAACGGTCAGAAGCAGAAGGTTTTCAAAAGTTCCAACGGGTTCAAGGGGGCCTAGTAATCAGGTATCAGCTGCCATCGTTGCCTGGAAGCCTGGAAAAAATGGAATGGTTTGACTTGAGTGGAGAGAAAGAAGGAAGTCGTACGGAGTCCGTTGTAGTCGCTCCATTCGTTTAGGCGTTCTTACCAGGCAGGGTCGGTAATCTTTTTTCTTTTTCCTTTTCCCTGGAAAAATAAATTAAATAATAATCAAACAAAATTGAATAAAATAATAAACAACGGGGCAGATCTGACAACAGGGGATTTTTGATTTTATTTTTCTTTTTTAATTTTTAATTCAATCTATTTTCTTTTTTATTCGTTTAATTTAAACAAAGGGAATAATCAATAGTAGGTGGTAAGGGCAAAAGGGCGGAACCAAAGGGCATCCTGGGCCCGAAACGAGCGTCCAAGCCTTGTCAAACCCGCCAGTCCAGAGACCCATACAACGGCCTTGAGTCAACCTGAGTGCATGATCTAGCGGTGATACCACTAACACGCAGCAGCAATATGATTCAGAGGCCCGTACTATGGGGAGCGCCGGACGATCTAGACGACCAATTTTGGACCCCCCAGGGCCAGGGCAATAGCCCGCCAAGCCAGAGGTATGATCTACTTCCAAACCGCCCCGTCGCTCGCTGAAGAGAGATCACCTCAAAGGATGACTATGATTTAGATGGTTTAGCCCGATTGGGGCAACAGGGCTTTTGCCTGATTCTTAAGCCACACTGCCCTTGTGAGGGTGCCTTGGCTCTGATTCATACTTGCTACAATGCCTTCTTTATAAAGGCCTCAGGATGACACCTTTTTGAGATTCATCCAGACAACAACAACAATCTTGACTCTTTGACTCCTTGACTACCTTGACTACCTTGACTCTACGTCAGTATACATCTTCTCTGACTCTTTGTGACTTTGTTATACAACTTCCCTCGACTTGTCAACATTTCCACCCTGGACCTTGATCTATCTTGCACTTCTAGAACTTCTTCAACTACAAGCATGTCTTCTCACTGGAACTGCGAATCTTGCAACTACGGCCCTCACAGCGTCGAGCTTCACAAATCTTGCATGCGCTGCGGATCTCCTCGCACCTCGACCATGTCCGAGGAAACCCACTCGCACCACGGTCTACACATGTGCAGCGCCATGTCTCCGTATCCCGCTCCGGTACAGAGCCACGAGCTCTCCTCCAGCCCATTGAAGGGCTCAGCACCGGTCATCATGCACGGTTCTTCCCTCCGACAGCCTTCGTTATTCGGCGGAGAGGTGATTGACCGTCCGACTTCCAACCTGGCCAACTACGGCATCGAGGGTGCCAAAACGTACAACCAGACCTACATGTACATCTGCTGTCAATGCAATGACGGCCCGAAGATCTACAACGTTCAACCACGCTGTGTGATGTGCCAGCACGTTGTTTGCTCCGGCTGCCAGCACGTGAAATGATTTCGAGGTGAGAAGCTTCGGACGGGTTCCTTGGTACGAGCCAAAGCTAATCTTAACTTCAGTCACTACTTCTATTTTTGCGACATTGTTGAATACTGTTTTCCTTTTCCCTTTTTCTTTTTTTCAGCGGAATCATTATGAGCATGACTGGATACATGTAACGGACGGATACGGGCAAGGGGAGTCTTGGTTCCATATTTCTCTTATTTTTCTTTTGCCTTCTCTTCTCTTTATTGTGGTTTCAATTTTTGCATGGCAAGGGAACACTATAGACATTCGGGATCATTGGGTTGTTGTGCTTTGTTCTGTTTTTTTCTTTTCTTTTTTTTATTTTTTTTCCTTCCTGTGGTTTAGATGGGGCGGCTGCAGGACCATCAGTGAGCTGGTTTCCTGCTTAGTCTTGCAGCCGCGCAGAGTGCCTTGGAGTTTAGATTATGGGCCGTGGGGCCGGGCATTTTTCTCTTCCTTTTCCTTTTATGTTCTGATTGTTCTATTATTATGATTTGCGAATAGCACGTGATTGACTTTCTCATTGACTTTGCTCTTCTTTGTACCCGCTAACAGAATGAGACATATTGAATAAACCTCCCATTGAATGGCATTCTTACTCTGATACCTACTGCAGTAGGTACCTGGTAGTTACAGCCTTGTTGCCTGGGCGCGCGTAACGAGCAGTAATGAACGATACCGGGGCCGACCCACGCCAGGCCACATGGTTGCTACGCTAGTCCTGATCGGTCTCTTATGTACTTCTCATGGAGTCGGTCATCTTCTCCATTACCAATGATTATCGATACCGCCCTTCGAAGTCCGAATATCTCAACGTCTACTCATCTAGAGACATCTAGAAATCCCACCTCGATTAATAATGGTCGTGCAACATTAATAATGGCCTGGGTTGGACGGGAGGGATCACCCGCTCACTAGGTGATTATTTTTATCATCGTCACTTCTGCTTGCCGGTGCCAGCTCCAGTCCCAGCGATGGATTGCATCAGATCCGGCACCTGGTCACCCCTTCCTAAGATGATCAGGACCAGGACCAGGACCAGGACCAGGACTAGGAGTATCGCATCCGATTGTCCCACTGACCAGTAGGATAATTCCAAGCCCCGTCAACCTGTCGAGACTAGGCCGACTAGCGCCACGCCTAGCAGATTACAACACGTGCGTCGATCACCAACGAAGACGAACAATTGCAGTGCACTGAGCCCCTCCAGAACGGACGGACTCGGGATCCGTTTGCCCTGCCCCATTCCTTCCCTTCCCCTCCTCCTCCTCCTCCTCCTCCCCCCCGAACGGACGCTGGACCTGTAAGATTGCACGGCGCCCGCGAGCCGCAAAGTCTTGGTCTTGCCCATGCTCGAATCGCGACTCGACGTCCCGGGCGTGTCAGACAGGAAACTGCAGATCATGCAAGCCACGCCTTTCTGACCATCACCGCTGTTTTCCCCGGCTACTTAGGGTTGATTGCATACTGCGACCGGGGAGAAAGAGCGGTCGGTTGTCGCTTCCATGCTTTCTTACTTTACTAGTTGCTGTAACCCCCCCCCTTCCCATCTTTCTTTTTCACTTCCTGCTTCCTTCTTATCACCGGCTTCTCCGCATCTCAGCTCCGATGGACAGGACCGGACCTGCAAGTGGGAGACGGGATGAATACGATCGGTGGGTTTGATATGCAGGAGAGGCTGTGTTTGAGAACGGGGAGGGGTCATGGATTGGGATAATTTTGCGAATTGAGAGAGAGAGTGGGGGGGGGGGGGGGGGGGTAGGACAATGTTCTAGAATTACGAGCACTCTTCCATCTCCTTCGTAGTTAGTTAGGAATAGTGGGATAGTGTACTGGTAGTTGAGAGTTGCAGGGCAAACCGCGATAATTACCGAAACGGGAAAGGCGGGATTATAGCCCCCCCGGCACGATAGCACAGCCCTTGACTAAGCCCGCCCAGCTGGAGATGGGAAATTTAGAAACTTGGGGGCAGAAAGTATCGGCCATCAGACCATGTTTTTGTTTTGCATTTTATGATTTTATCATTTTACTCAGTTAGCTAGTCGCTAGTCCACGGAGTTATCCTGGTCGACCCCTACTTCGTGCCTCGAATTCCAGCCGGCTGGTGGTGGGAGTTCCGAGAGACTGGCGTCAAATCCGAGGCTGCGAACCTTGCATACTACCTAGTCAGGTACTTAAGGTACATGTACCGTATAGCATCACATCGTCCATTGTTTTTGACTTTCCAGCTGGCTATAATTAAACAATGATTATCGGAGGGATGAATTGGATTGAATGGACTGCAAGCGGGCCCACTCTCGCACCTTTCACCCTCTACTTCCCAAATCTAACGGGCAACGGCTGAGCTGACGGTCCACCCGCTCGAGCGCATCGTTTACCTCGATTCTCCATAGTCCCGTCTAGCACGGAGCGGTAACCGTGGTCCGGTCGATGATGCCGTTCAAATCGAAGGAACTAGTCGCTGGCTCGCCCCGACGGGACCCTATTCTTCCTGATTCTTTGATTTCGAGAATGGAAATAGTGTTTCGCAAGGCGGACTCCTTGATCACTTGACTTGGTGGAACCTGGAACTACTCCGTACACCGAATGAGATAAAATAGAAATAGAAATCAATGGCTCAATCAATCCGATCAACAGGTCTCCTGCATATACTCAGCACGAACGAACGAGATGATTTCGTCCTTGTTCTGTCTTGTCATTCGTCGGGCAGTGTCACTTCCCATACATGCACTAAATTCTCGGACCCTCGACCCGAACACATGGGCTGCTGATGTCCGGAACTAGGGACCCCTGGACAAATCATTCAACCTCGAGGTAGAAACGGACATGGACTATGGGACGGAGTTGTCGCGGAGTTACGATTCCTGTTGCTCAACTGGCAAAGACTCAGCAACTTCGCAGGCAGGCTGTGAGGGAATGATGTCATGCGCATTCTGAAACCCCCTTTACTGATCCTTCCACGGAGTAGTCATACTGATATTCTCCCTAATTCCTAACGGCTTTAAAGTAATCTCCCCGATAGAAAAAAAAAAAAAAAAAAAAAAAAAAAAACCGAGCGTCATCTATCTGGAAACTCCGGTTTATTCTCCGTAACTACTCGGTGCCAGACCTGACAAAACGACATACATCCAGACGCAGGGGGGGCGGGAGGTAGTTTCTGACCCTAACTGATGCAGGTGGTAGAATTCTTCTAGATGATTATTTTCACCCCCCTCCTTCCCCTGAAATATGAATCCCAAGCTTGCTGAGGCTGGGTAACTATCCCAGAGGCCACGCGGTCGAATATGCATGCATGGTCAGACAATCCAGGGGGGGGGGGGGGGGGGGGTTGAAATTGGGAAATTGGGAAATTGGGGAATTGCGAAGGAACCGAATGGTCCTGGTCATTGCCACGTGCCGAGAGTCTCAGTCCTAGATTTGTGGCTTGTTCTTTGTTTCTTCTAGACTCCCCCCTTTCTTCTCTTGAGGATTAGTATTACTGGATTACTCTGAGGTTCCCGGCGTATGACCAGTTGTCTTATTTGATCCTGCATGGTGTAACGAGAAGAAACTTACAATGGATACTTAGTTTCTACGTCGCACGGATAACCGACTCAACCGTCGCAAACGGTCCAAACGGACATCCCGTACGCAGAAATCTAAAACTGAAATCTAAAATCTAAATATATCAATGTCTGTACTCCGTCGTCTGCGCTCTGCTGGGGACAAAGTTCAGAGTTCTGACCAACAAAATCATTTCTTATCTATTTTCTGACCTTTCGGACTGCAGTTCCTCTCCATCCGGCCTGCTCCATAACACTGCCGTAGTGTAGGGGCTTGAGGCCGTAAGGCTCCCCTCGCCTTTCAGCTGTTAATGTCGTTTATGGTTGTTTAGCGTTGCTCGATGAATCCATCCCGACCGTCCCGCGCTGTCCGTGATCGCCGGTTTTTTCCCCGGTTGTTTCAGCTTGATGCTGAGACGACCTATCTTGATTTTCTTCGATTATTTCACGCTGTCATTTGGAAACAGACGCTATCCCTAGACTTGGACCTCGACCTATGTAGAACTAAACTAGACGCTCCCCACAATTCAGCTGCTGATCATGTTTCATTTCCTCCTTTTTTTTTTTTTTTTTTTTTTTTCTTTTGCTCCCTTTTTCTGTTTCTCTTCCACTGTCGTTCCATGATCGATCGGCATGGTAGTTTCTTGTGGTCTGTTTCATTTCTTGACGTTGGACTCCGTACACCGTACTCCGTCCGTTCTCTGCTTACTGTACAAGTGTACATGTAGTTGACCACCTTCCCGATCTATCCAAACGGGTCTTCCATCTTTGCTCCTTTTCTTCCAGGGTTTTTTTTTTATTAGTATGTACTCTTTTTTTTTTTTTTTTTTTTTTTTTTTGTTCATTCTCACTGACTGATTGGCGGAGGGTTTTATGAGACCGTTGACTTCACGGGCCAATAATTGGTACATACTCATGTACTCCAGTGTTGCTTACTACGTAATATATCTTCCTACCGACTTGACGTAATCAACTATCCATCAAACTTCTTCGTAAAACCTACCTATAAGCAATTATCTATTTCTTACCACTAACAACACCACCAACCTTAACTATTACTCAAGATATTTGAACAACTCACTTCGAAACGGCAACGCCGGTGCCTGAGTCAGACGGTCATGCGACCTCGATGACTCAATCGAGTCAACCAAAGTATGCGTGTATGGAGTAGGTACATACTAACCTGCATACATAGTGAATCGTAAATACAAGGCTAGGAAGGCAGGTAGGTACCTTGGTAGGTAGACAGGTTCACAGCGAAATCTCCATACCTCAGCTATCTGGTACCTGAACCTACAGTAGTAACTAAGTGACTAGTCAACTAACTACCAATTCCGAATGAGTCAAACAAAAGACAACCTACACCTACACCTATCATGTCTTATCTTGGCTTGGCCTGACCTGCCTACTTACTTCTCTTTTGACTGCCCGCACCCTGCACTGCCTCTTTTACCTACCTACCTACCTACCTGCATTCAATGGCTCATTCCAATGCAAGAAGGAAGGAGAAAAAGAAACGGAGCGATAGGAAAGGCGTCCTTAGTCTTGGTCTTGCTTGGTCTTGGGAGAAATGGGCCCTATCCACCTTGAACGGCCCTAATTGTGGAGTATTTCTATTTACATATTTGTTATGATCATTCTTTGTCTTTGAGAATCATTGTTTGTGTTGTGTTGGTTGGGTCTGTTGGTTGGGTTGGTTTATCTATGCGCAGTGCAGTGCCTACCTACAGTACCTACCTATGGACCTCTTCTACATACCAACCTACCTAAGGCTAACTACCTCCAGCTAACTCACCAACCATGGTGTATTGGTTATCAGCCACCGGTTGTCGGGCAAAAGCTGCTAGGTAAGGTTTGCTAACCAAACGAAGGAGTTGGCGGGCAGACTGAGGCTCAGTCTGCCCCCCCTTCCAACTTCCCCGCCCCAAGGGTTCTAGGTTCTAGGTTCAATGGTTCCTCTACCCTGTGGAGGTGCAACTTCACCCCTCACTCACCCTCACCCCGCCCGGGCGTTGGGCGAATTGGAAAGGCCCCGCTAAACGCCCGTCTGCGCCTTGGGGCCTTCTCCGTACGGCTGCCATCTTAGACGCCTGGCGCCCCGTAGGGTCCCGTGCTGGGGTCGCTAAGCATCCATTCTAGCGGGTGTTTTCGGAGTTAGTAGTGTGGATGCATACAGTGTGGAGAGTATGTGAATGGACACCACTGGGTGTATATGCATATGTAATTGAAGGATGCTCGGTTCAGAAAAGTATACTATGAGAATGGGTAAAAGTGTTGAGAAAAGTGCTATCGCTATGTACTCCTAGAAATTCAAACGCCCGGCTGTACAGTCGTATTTGTCCACTGATTCATTCTTCTTTCTTATTTTCTTGTTCTTTTTCTTTTTCTTTTTCTTTCTTCCGACAGATCAATGAACGCGTCATTTCAGCCGGGAAAACACCTCCGACGAACCAGAGACCGTTGGTCTCTGTCCTGACGTTCTCAGGACCATCCATGGTCAAGCTCTGTTGTCGAAGTCCAGAAGATCCACTTACGCCCACCTTCGAAGGAAGATGGGTGAGGGTCGGGAAGAGGAAACGGAACTATCACGCCTTCTCCTGCCAACGCTGTGCGCTTTCCTTTGTCGGTTCTTTTAAACCAAGTAGCGATAAATCCACCAAGTAGAATGGCAATGCCCACTGGGTCAGACCAAAAGAAGATCATGAGCTTCCGTAAGTATCAGAAAGCGGCTTCCTAATGTGAATGAAAAAAAAAATGAAACGAAGAGAATGAAGCTCTCTGACAAAGCAGAGAACAGGCGAAATGCGGGTATCAAAAAAGATGTAGTGAGAAACAAGGAAGAATGTAAAATATATATGGCACTGCCATGGCCAGTCCCAAAAGATAGATGACCGTGCAGCTCGATAGGCCCGGCACAATTATGTGCTCCGCTGACTCTTGAATCGGCAGCTCACCTTGATCAATGAAAAGGCAGCCCTTTTCTGTTAGGACAGTGAAGGATGGCGGTCCAAGGTTTGTTACAAGGGCAAGATTCGTGAAGGGTCCTGTAGGAAGCGTCTACGGTATGCGGCAATCTCGGTGGCCACAGTATTGAAGTCTTTCACCTTATCGCGCCGCATGTCGTTGATGATTTGTTTCAGTCCAGCGATATAGTGGTCTTTTTCTTCGGGAGTTTTGCCTTCGCGGAGGGAGCCCATCTGGACCAAGATTTTGTCATCTATCCAGGTTAATAATCCTGTGCGTCAGCATCCGAACACAGCACAGAATCTCGGGTGAAAAGGAGGGAGGATCCGGGGGAAGTGTGGTAGTCATTGGAGCAAAGAAAAGGAATGGATCGGAAGAGTCAGGGCGAGGGTAGGAGAAAGAGCCAGTAATGCTCAAACAGAATTCGCAACGCAATGAGAAGGGGTCAGATCTGGTAGATGTCGGGAAAGCTAGATGGCAGATGGAAAGGTGTTGAATGTAGCTTGCTCAAATCGTCGACGCACCGCTAAGAGTCATGTCCCGAAAATGCTGGAATTCACAAGATCGGTCGTTGCAGACACCCCCTGCGGCCTCGAAAGGACAAAGATATTTCATAGGGTCAATATTGTGGCTGTAAGTTAAAGAACGGAAGCCTTGTGTAATATCACCGCAGTAGTTGGGGTGATAACGATAGGCGTTGAAATGCTTCAACGGACTGTCATACGGTGAAAATTTACGTTGTGGAACCTCGGCCCCTCGCATATTCTAGTAAGGTTGTCAGCGTCAAACCCTCCTCAGTTGATACAAGGACTATCGCACATCCAGTAGCCCAACTTGAATATTTTCCCTGGGCGGCTCAACATCCGCTTCCTGCACTTTTGCAGTTAGCGGCTCACCAGCTTGGTTCGTCTGATCCACTGTGGGCATAGAAGCCTCACTAGGTTCTATCGGGCCGGGAGGAGGTGGGCTGAAAGGGGGCGAATAGACAGAGTTAGCAGGGCTTGCGGTCGTTTCGGGCTCTGGCGGTTCGTATCCATCCGAACTCGAAGAATCGCTGGAATCATCTTCCTTCATTTCTTCGTCCGATTCAGAAGCCACGCTGCTTCGACCGTCTGTGTTTGCGACTGGTGAGCCTTCGGCCGGCGAATGCTGAGTGTTGGCGCTCGGTAGATTTGCCTCTTGGTCATGGGGCTCACTAGCAGCATTTGCAATAGGTTCTGAGATAGGTTCTGGGCCCTCGGGTTCATCTTCGTCGATAGACATGGAATCTTCGCTGTCACTATCCGTCGACTCATCCATAGCGGACCCTTCTGACTCAGATGAAGACATAGCAGATGATTCGTGGTTGGAATCAACTTTGTTTTGCGATTGGACCGGTACGTTTGGCACGGTAACTTCATTGGATGCTGACCGAGTCGACAGAGTTTGGTCAGGGTGGTCATGATTGTCAGACTTGTCAGATAATTGATCAACGCTGTTCTTTTCGTAGTTGGAATCCCCAATAGTGGCGGTTTCGATAGCTGGCGGGCCATTTGCCTCGGACGCGGTTGGCAAAACTATGTAGAATGAAATTAGCACGGAACAGATGCACTTCAGGGTGCGCCAACAGAAAGTGTTGCGTATAAAAGAGCCTACCTTCAACTGTGGTTTTGTTCTCTTTATCGGTCTTCAATCTGAGCAAGGCTGCATCGACCTCGTCCATCGTGAGACCATTCAATTCCAGGTTGATGTTTTTCAACTCTTCCTGGAGCTGCTGCCGCCCTTCTTTACCCCTCGAAATCTCGAGCAACACTTTTCCTTCTTCAGTCTTCAAATCCGCTAGTCTATTTTCAGACTTTTGGATTTCAGCATCCAGCGCGGGGACGCCGGACTCGATCTCCTTTTTCCGTAAAATTCTGGATTTCATGGTTTCGAAGTATGCGATATCCGCGGCAGGTGGAGAACCTTGCCTGGAAGAATGTCCGTTCTGGGTGGCAGGAGGGCCGGCAAGCTCCGCCTCCAGGTTTGCAGAATCAATATTGCAATTCTCAGTGTCGAGTGCAGCAGAGGGCTCGGGAGGCGTTGGTAACGGTAGCTCTACTGAACGAGGAGATTGGGTACGGCTAACGGTAAGTTTTGCCTTCTTTCGTTGCTCAAGCTCGGCAATACGTCGATGCATCGCCTGTATCTCCAGGTTTTTTCTTCGTAGATGGTCCTGGTCGCTGCCCCTTGAATTCGGCTGAGGGGTGGAAAACGCTTGGCTGGATAATGGCCGTGATGGGAGAGATTCTAATGCTCGCAGTGACGTTTCCGGGGCTGTTGAGCCATTATCTCGAGAAACGTAACCAGTGGAAGTCTCAATATCCATGCTGTCCTCGTCATCCTCGTTGTCATCATAAAACTCATCGTCGCTGATATCGATGATGAGCCTTTCTTCTGGAGCGGGTTGGTGCGCTCCATTGGCGATGTAGATAGGTTCATCAAAGTCAGATGCACGGGGGCGTTTACGCTGATTTGCGCGAAGCTGTGGTGTGGAATCGATCACAAGACCTTGAACAGGAGTCACATACGCATCTGGCGACTGATCTTCTTTTGAATCAGTCATGAACAGTCCAGGAATACGAGCAGAGCTATCAGACTCAGGGTCTGGAGGTCGCTCAGGGAGAGAGTGCTGAATTGCAGCGGTCTCATCGACTGTATCCGAATTCTGACTTCCACCATTCGAACGTCCGTGATCTAGCGATTTTGAATCCGACTGGGACTTTTGTTGGTTTCTCATGAGGCCCTGTTTTTTGAGCTGCTCAATGCGCTGCCTAGCGAGCTCCGTCTGTGCCTTGTTCTTCTCTTTCGCCCGTACCTCTTTTTCTTTCGGCGCTTCTAGCGATGCCGTATCTGTATGTGGTTCGCGTCCTTGCGTGGGGGTTTCCTTTGGCTCGTCGGCTTGCGGGGACTCAGGAGCCCCAGACGCTTTGGCGGCCTTTGCGGCAAGCATACGCGCAATTACTTCTTTTCTTTCCATGGGCTTGACTGTGTCCTTCAATGGCGCTGGAACGGGCGGTGTGCCGTTCTGCACATGCGGAAGGGTTTGCGCAGAAACTTTCTCAGATGCTGCTTCTTGGGCCTCTCGACCGGTATTTTCCGGCATAATTGATCCCATCGTCGGAGCCGCGTCCGGTTGCGGAGAAGAGATTTTGATCCCAACGTCTTCGTAAAGCTGTTTGAGAATATGTGGGTTGATTCCTTCTCCGATGAGTTCATTGTAGCGGATATTATGAGGAGCCAATCCAAGCAGGGCACCTTGCGCCTGAATTCGAAGTTGTGCTGGCGACTTGGAAGGGTGTTTCTCGTTCGAGGTTTCAGTAGCCAATTTAGGCGCAATTGCGGGCTCGACGTCCATTCCGTCCAACGCTTCGATATTCATGGAAACTGGGGGGTTATAAGCTGCATATCGTGAGTAAACAATACCGATTTGGAAGCCAAAGGGCCTTACGCGATCCACTGTCTCGGCTTGACGTAGTAGACTGAGAAGAACACGTCTCGCCCTCCTCCAGGTCCATAGAGTCGCGAGAAGCTTGTTTGTGCGAGGATTTAGAAGCAAAGTCTTTGGGATTGTTGGATCCAGGGAGTGCTGCCCCGTTAGTCGCTGGTATTTCGGACGCGTTAGTGGGCCGACCGCCGAGAGATGCTGTCCGAGCGCTCGGGCCACTGTTGGACACGGGTTTCCGCACTGCTGGCAAGCCACCCTCTCTATCGGTGAGTTCACCTTCCTCCCGATCAACATCTTGTATAGAGCTAGATGCGGTTGCGTGCTGAGAGTTGAAATGATTCGTTTGGAAGTCACCGGTTGACGGACGGCTTGGCGGCGCGTTAAACGCGGTTGGTAGAGGTATGGGCGGGTATCCCAACGGAGGCATCTGACCAGGAGAAAAGGCAGTAGGTGGGAACTGCGGAGGCGTGAAGGTCCCCATGAAAGGAAATGGAGGCGTTGGTAAGGGTCCAGCTGCTGCGGGTGCACCGAGGCCTGGGAGACGCGCATTCGCATTAAAATTCATCTCATTGTTGTAGTCAAATGAACGGCCCATGACACCCTGAGGGTGCTGATGTGGTGGCAGCATATTTTGATGGAATGACGGATTAGGCGATAATAAAGACGGAAAGGCGGATGACTGAGGATTCGATGAAGGCCATTGCGGATAGTTGGGGGGTAGCCCCGACGGTGGAGCTGAGGGATAGTCGGACATGATCGGAGGAAGAATCACACTAATCTGATGGGTTTCAACTGTTTCTGACTGATGATGTAAGTAAAATGGGCAGCTCGCGAAAAGTGTTCTCAGTTCAGGCGCCGCACATCATTTAAGCTAGAATTAGAGATGGAACTCCTGCGACTGAAGCTGAAGCTAAAGCTGAACCGGCGCTTTGAAAGATAAAATCAAAAGATCCACATGAGCAGGCTATACAGATGATTAGGGATGGAATTCCACGAAACAAAGGGAAGGAAGGAGGTGAAGAAAAGCCGAGGGTGGGAAGAGACAAAGGGCGGAGAATAAAAATATCAGGAGTGATGGGAAGGAAGTGCATAATTCGAAATCTGGACGGAGTCCCGTGCGGTCAGGCCACGTGATGCGGGTGCTACAGATCGGGACTAGGGCCTGATCGGCATCCGCAGCCTAAGGAACGCAGGATGTAAACAAACAGTGGATGCGGGTATGTCACCGAGCAGGTGGTCAGTACTCTGCAACTTGCTGTTCTGTCGCAAGCTTCCCCAGTTACGTCTGCATCCCACCCCATCAATCTCTGGGTTGTTCTTTTGTGTATGACCAGTCCAATTCACCATCCTATTCTTGACAACCACTCCCCCCACTGATATGTTTTATCTTATCCAGTTTTGATGACTTGATTCCCCGTTTGAATAATGATTTGCTTGTATTAACGAAGATATGCTGCCCTCTCAACTAAATGGCTCGCCAAAGCGTGCCAACCCATTCGGCCGTGCCTCTCCCTCCTCATCTCCATCGTCTGGATCACCAACGAAAGGCCCGCGACCGAAATCAGCCATCGTGACGTCGCCGAGTAAATTCGAAGAAGCCAAAGGTCATTTTCGGAATTCAGCCTCGATCTCTCAAGCACCACCAACTCCTTTACCGCGAAACGCCAATCACCAAAGATCGAATTCGTTAAGGGTCGACGCCGGTACGGGAACATTTGCACCGGACTTTATCAAATCCGAGGAGCTTCGGCGAGGCGCAGATCAAATCCGAGGACTCGAAGGTGACAATGACTTCTCGGGTAACAAATACGTCTGGCTACGAGATCCTGAAAAGGCCTTCGTTCGAGGACTGGTGTTGGAAGAGGGCGAAGATGGAAAACTGTTGGTACAGAGTGATGATGGCGAGGTATGAACCGATAACACTGAGGAACGTGGGCGACTTTAACAACCGAATAGCAGAGGGAGGTCGATTCAGACCAAGTTGACAAAGTCAACCCGGCAAAGTTCGACAAGGCCGATGACATGGCTGAGCTTACACATCTGAATGAAGCCTCCGTGGTGCACAACCTGCACTCCCGCTACCAAGCGGACTTAATCTATGTAAGTGCAGGCATGAAACAAGCTGCGAGCTCAACTGACGATCATGTTTCTAGACATACTCTGGACTATTCTTGGTGACAGTCAATCCTTATTGTCCGCTACCAATCTACTCGAACGAATATGTCAAGATGTACAAGGGCCGAAGCAGAGAGGAAACACGACCCCATATTTTCGCAATGGCCGATAAAGCGTTTCGGAACCTGGTCGAAGAAGGCCAGAATCAGAGTATCCTGGTGACGTAAGTTGCTCGCCAGTCACCTGGAAATCGGATCTAACGCATCACAGAGGAGAATCCGGTGCAGGAAAAACGGAGAACACGAAGAAGGTCATCCAATACCTCGCCGCCGTTGCGACGTCCGACACTCCTTACGTTCGTTCGGCGACCAAGCAAATGTCCAGTCTCTCTCAGCAAATCCTACGAGCGAACCCCATCCTCGAAGCATTCGGCAATGCCCAGACTGTTAGAAACAACAATTCTTCTCGATTTGGAAAGTTCATACGGATTGAGTTCTCCCGGTCTGGTCAAATTTCGGGCGCATATATCGACTGGTACCTCCTCGAAAAGTCGCGAGTAGTGAAACCCAATCAGCAAGAGCGGAATTACCATGTCTTCTATCAATTGCTGAGAGGTGCCGATCCAAAGTTGAGAGAGAAGCTACACTTGTCCAACCTTGGTATCGAAGATTTCGTCTACACGAGGGATGGAAATGACAGCATTGCCGGGGTGTCCGACGACGATGAGTGGAACTCATTGATTGAGGCATTCCACGTCATGAATTTTTCGGCAGAGGACCAAATGTGTATTCTCCGCACAATTGCCGCCGTTCTACATCTTGGGAACATAACAGTCATCAAGGAGAGCTTGCGGGCAGACCAAGCTGCCTTGAGTCGTGACTCATTCACCAGTATAGAGAGAGCCTGTCAGCTATTGGGGATACAGTCAGAACCATTCGTCAAGGGGTTGTTGCATCCCAGGGTGAAGGCGGGCCGCGAGTGGGTGGAGAAAGTCCAAACACCGGAGCAGGTTAAGCTGGCGCTCGATGCGCTCGCCAAAGGAATCTACGAGCGTGGCTTTGGGGATCTCGTAAACCGAATCAACGATCAGTTAGATCGCAGCACCGTGACGGGAGACGACAGCTATTTCATTGGTGTTCTCGATATTGCAGGTTTTGAGATCTTCGAGAAGAACAGTTTCGAACAATTGTGCATCAACTACACCAACGAAAAGCTCCAGCAATTCTTCAACCATCACATGTTTGTGTTAGAGCAGGAGGAATACGCCAGAGAACAGATTGAGTGGCAATTCATCGACTTTGGAAAGGACTTGCAGCCAACCATTGACCTGATCGAGTTGACAAATCCCATCGGTATCTTTTCTTGCTTGGATGAAGACTGTGTGATGCCTAAAGCGACGGACAAATCGTTCACAGAGAAGCTGCACTCGCTCTGGGATCGGAAGTCTCCAAAGTATCGTGCTGCTCGGCTGAGCCAAGGTTTCGTTCTAACTCACTATGCTTCCGAGGTGGAATACGATACCGAGGGATGGCTTGAGAAGAACAAAGACCCCCTCAACGATAACATAACTCGCCTTCTGGCGGCGTCGCGAGAGAAGCACGTCACAAAGCTATTTGCGGACTGCGGAATCTCTGATGATCAGACAGATTATCCAAAAAGTCGAGTCAAGAAGGGCCTGTTCCGTACAGTCGCCCAGGGACATAAGGAGCGTCTGTCAAGCCTGATGACTCAGTTGAACTCAACGCATCCTCATTTTGTGCGCTGCATTATACCAAATCACAAAAAGCGCCCGAAGATGCTCAATGCTCCCTTGGTCCTTGATCAACTACGATGTAACGGTGTTCTCGAAGGAATTCGAATTGCGCGTACCGGTTTCCCCAACAGATTATCGTTTGCCGAGTTTCGTCAACGGTATGAGGTTCTTTGCCGCAACATGCCAAAGGGCTATCTGGACGGTCAGAATGCTGCTCATATAATGCTACAAAAGCTCGGGTTAGACTCTGCGTGGTACCGAGTCGGTCGAACAAAGGTCTTCTTCAGAGCTGGCGTTCTTGCTGAGTTGGAAGAGAAACGGGACGACCTCATCCGCTCCATCATGACCCGTTTTCAGTCGCTGTCCAGGGGCTTTGTTCAGCGCCGGATCTCAAACAAACGTCTTTACCGTGCGGAGGCAACCAGGATTATCCAACACAACTTTAGGGCTTACCTTGATCTGAAAGCGAGCCCTTGGTGGCGTTTGTTCTCGCGAATGAAACCGCTCCTTGGAGAGACACGGTCCGCGAACGAAGTCAAACGGAGGGATGAAAAAATCCAGCAATTGGAGTCCAAGATGAAGACGGACCTGGCCGATCGCCAGAAGCTGGAGGAGGAGAGACGACGCACGGAGATCGAGATCCAAAAAATCCAACAAACCCTGGAAAGCGAAAGAGCTCTCGCGCTGGATAAAGAGGAAATCTTCGAGAGGCTTCAACTTCGGGAAGTAGAGCTCAGTGACAAATTGGCTGGGGCGATTGCAGACCAAGAAAGCCTCGAGGACCAATTAGATGAACTTATCGCAGCGAAGAAGAAAATCGAAGAGGAGCTTCAATTCCGCATGACTCAGCTGGAGCAAGCTGGGGAAATCATACAACGTTTCGAGAATGAGAAGCGAGAGACGCAGGCACGTCTCGAGGAACTTGATCGCAGGATGATGGAAGCCGAGACGTCCTCCTCTGAGAAGGAAAACCAGATCAAAGAACTTGGGCAGGAAACAAAAATGCTTCAGAGTCACCTCAGCATGAAAGATCGCAAACTGCAAGATCTAGAGGCCAAACTGCTGAAGACTGATCAAGATCTTGATATTAAGCTGGCAAAGACGGCCAAGGAGCTCGATCAGTCAAAGAACCAAGTCAAGGATTTGGTCGAGGAAAATCGCTCTATCAGGCAACAGATCTCAGATCTTTCTTCAACATCGACTGGATATGAAGAGATGCTGAGGAAAAAGGAAAGCGAGATAGCAATTCTACGTAATGATGCTAAAAGGGCCGACGAGGAGAAAAGACAGCTGGAAACAGAGAAAGCGTCGCTATCTACTCGTCATAGCAACATGCAAAAACGCTTGCGGGAACTACAGGCTGAATCTGATGCCATGATGGTTGAAAAGGCCCAGTTGGACCGAGAAGTGGCTGACGTGAAGAAGCTGCTCGAAGACAAGATCTCTGAGGACGCTGAAGCGGGAGAAAGCCGAAAGCTTCTTGAGCAGCAAATCCAGGACCTTAAAACCCAACTCTTCCAGGCACAAGCGGACTTGAGCAGAGAACGGCAATCAAGAGACGATGTCCAAATGCTTGCAGAGCACAACCTCGCGGAATTACGTGACAAGTACACCTCCTTGAATGAGTCTAAAATTGAAATCGAGAAGGAGATGTACATTCAGCAGGACACTCTTCGCCGCGCTACCGAAGCCCGAGTTGCTGCCGAAAGTTCACGCAAGGACCTCCAGACGGAGCTCATCAAACTTCGCGATCGCTTCACTAACGTTGAAAATGCTCGTTTAAATGCAGAGGCTGAAATTGAACGCAACATCAACAACCAGGCGAACCAGAGATTGGAAAGCGTTCGGAAAGATTTGGACGCGAAGACTCAGCAATTGGAGGAGATCGAAGCTGAAAGGACACGACTTTCCACCAGAATCCAGGAGTTAGAAAATGCGATCGCAGACTCTGACAACTTCCGAATTCGCCATGACCAACAGAAGCAGCGCATGGAAAGAGAATTGGTGACCCTCAAAGGCAGACTCACAGCCTCGGAAAATGACAATCGGGCCCTATTGACAAAAATTCAACAAAAGAACCTCGACATTGCCAGGTCCAACTCCAAGGCGAGCGACAACCAACGCCACCGCGTAACCACGCTACAGAGGGAAAAGGCCAAACTGGAGGATGACAACAAGAACCTTACCCGCCAGCTAGGAGACCTCCAACTTTCCATTACTTCTCTGGAGAAACAAAAGGAGAAGCTATCGCTGAGTCTCGAGGACTTGAACCACGAAGTCAATAGAGAGCACAAGGCCAGTCGCAATGCCGAAAAGACGGCCTCCACTGCCGGTATACAACTGGCAGAAGCGAACAGAAATTTGGAGACTGAACGCCAGATACGTACTCAAGCTCAGGCAAATACTCGCAAGTTGCAGGGCTCTCTGGACACTGCTAACAAAGAAATCGATGACCTGCACCGGCAACTGATGCTGCTGCACAAGGTTGTCGAGCCTGCATCAGAGGAATCCGAGTCATGGGAAACTGTTCGTCCTGATCTGTCGAAGAAGGTGGATCTTGCACAGCTGCTGGACACTGTACAAAGCCAGTTGCAGGTATCGGAGGAGAAATATAGCAGGGCGGAAGCTCAGCTTGCCGAAATGCGCCGGCGTCATGGTGATGAGATGAAGGAACTCGATGCCCGCTATTCCTCCTCCAAGCGTGCTCTTCTAGAGGAAATTGACCAGAACCAAGTTGCCGGAAACCGCACGCCCACTCATCTACGCAAGAACTCTGACATCGCAAAGAGATTCGGTACCCCGACAACACCAAACCGAAGGCTCAACTTCGAGGCTGCGAATGACTCTGCCCGGTCCGACAAGACCGTGGATACTGTTGGTTACCAGAAGCGGATGGACCTGGCGGCCGAAATTGAAGAGCTGCAGAACAAGCTTCAGATGACGGAAATGCAAAACAAGCACCTTCAAAGTCAACTACAGGGAGGCTCGCGCCAAGACCAATGGCAAGATGAAAGCCCCTCGGTCCGTCGGATGCACCTCCTAGAACGAGAGAATGGTCGACTGCACGACCAACTCGATGACTCTGCGAAGAAGGTTTCGGCACTCGAGAGAAGCATTAGATCTGGGGATCTGTCACTCCGGGATGTACAGGCCAAGTCGCATGAGGAGCTTTATGACCTCATCAATTCTCAGGAGCAATCTAGAAGGTCTCTGCTCAAGGTCCACAACGAAGCGGTTGCCGAGTTCAGCGATGTTAAAGCTCAGTTCGAAAAGCTCAAACGCGCAAAGGCTGCCACTGAAGTCGAGCTCCGTGATTCTCGCTCCGAAGCCCAAGAGCTTCAGTTAGCCAGAGATCAAGATGCTGTCAGCAGAAACCAGCTGCTCCAGGAGTTCTCCGACCTGCAAATCCGCCTGGATGCAGAGTCCTCGAAATGCGCGGACCTCGCATCAAGTCAAAGCCTCTACAAAACTCGCGCGGATGAGTATTTCAGCAAGCTCGAGCAAGCAGAAATTTCAGTACTTAAAGCCACTCGGGCCGAGCAGTTTGCCAAGTCACGGGCCCAAGAAGCAGAGGATACCTGCGCACAAATCATGGCTGAGCGCAAGCAAATGGACTCTCTTGTGGAGGACCTTCAGCGCCTATCGCAGTCTCTAGAGGCCCGAATGGAAGATCAGGCCGCTGAACTTCAGGCTGCGTTGCAGTCCAAACAGCGTCTCCAGAATGAGCTCGAGGACTACAGGAACCAACGTGCCATCGATATCGAAGACAAGGAGACCTCCATGGAGCAGACGAGACAAAAGTACCAGCGCGAGTTCTTGACATTAAATAACGAGCTTGAGGTGGAACGGGAGCGTGTCCTGAACGTCCGTGGGGAGAACTCGCGTCTTCGCGAAGAACTCGAAGATCTCCGCAGCAAATGGGATAACGAAGTGATGAACAGCTCTACGTGGGCTAAGGAAAAGGCGCGGATGGATGTCATGCTTCAGGACGTGACCTCAATCCGTGATGAAGCGGTGAACGCGCACAATGAAGCCCAAGGAAGAGTTGTAACACTTCTGTCGCAGGTCAGAAGCCTACGAACTTCGGTTGATGATGTGACGGCTGAGAGAGACATGCTTCTCAAGGAGAAGAAGATGCTTGAAACCCGTTTGACTGAAGCAGGCGACAGACTGGAGGATCTGGCCAAGGGAGAGAGTCCATCCATGCGCAATGCAGCAAGCATGGATCGCGAACTTTTGGAGCTTAAATCCAATCTTGCTCAGCAACAGGACGTCTCTGCTGCCGCTGTCGGAAAGATGAGACGAGCCGAAGCCTTGGCCACCGAGATGCAGAAGGAGGTCACCGCTGAGCGGGAAACCAACGCTCAGCTATTCAAGGATAAGGCTGCTCTGGAGAAACAACTCAAGGAGGCTCAGCTGCGGTGCGTTGATCTGGAAACTAAGAGCTACTCATCCGGAAGCCAGGACGTCAGATTCCTACATAAGAGAATCAAGGAGGTAAGCTAGAGTCCCTGCATCTAAAGGCAATATACTAACATCTGCAGCTTGAAACGCATCTCGAGGAGCAAGAAACCAAGCATGGCTCCGAACAACGATCTCTGCGTAACGTCGATCGCACTGTGAAGGATCTTCAGTCCCAAATCGATCGACGAGAGAAGATGAATGCTCAGCTAAACGAGGACATTAACAAGTCTCGCGACAAGATCGACCGTCTTCTTCGAAACATCCAAGAACTTCAGGAAGCCGACTCACAAACCCAATTACAGGCGCGCCGAGCAGAGCGAGAGCTTCGAGAAGAAAGAGAGAAATCGCTGCGCCTGGCGCGTGAGTTGGAAGGATGGAAAGGGCTTCGCGTTGAGCGCGGCAGCAATCTCGGACGACTGAGCGATGCAGGGAGCAGAAGAGGAAGCGGCGTATATGGCTCAGGCGATGTGCCACAGCGGATGCCTAGCAACACGAAAGGCTTCTTGTAAGGAACACGATAATCTAGCAGGACGGTCCTGCTCAACACAACCGCATTCAATAATTCAGGCGCTAAACATTTATCCAGGGCCTGAGCGACGGATTACGAGCATGAATTGATGGCGACTCTGCATATCCAAGGACTCATGCAGCAGCTAACGTGATGTTGACTGTTTTCCCCAATTTCTACGTGTATATGCTTCCATTGGTTGACGATCTATATGCATTCGAGTTTTATTTCTTTCTGGTATTATGTTTGGGTGGGATGAGGCAGATGTTTCTTCTGTGATGTACTTTGGAATGACTTTCAGCAGTTCGAAATACGGACTTGCTCTTATTGTTAATTTTTTACGATGGTTTTGTTTGTTAGTTTCTGTTTCTAGATATATAGTTTGTTGAGACCTTTAATCGATACCAGAAGTTTCAACCAGAAACTACAAGACCATTCCTGATATTCCAGTCACAATCGTCATGAACGCGTTCTTCAACTGTAACTGCTCAAGTGTTAATGCTCTCAGTTGCAATAACAACCAAATGCAAGGGCTGAGATGAAAGGAAACCTGCAGTGTAAAAAACCGCCTCCCGTCGGGCATCGGATAAACTAGCCGCGCGCTTAAGCTTAGCGCCCGCCACGAACGTTTCTTGAACCCACCCGAGCTTGGATCAAGATCACTGCCGGCCATGCGGTAGCTTTCTTCACCCATCTTTCTCTTACATAGTGCCCTGACGGATTCAAGGCTCTCGCGCCGCCCCTCATCATGGTAAGTGAACTTCCCTATAGGTGCAGAAACCGGTGTTTGGCGTCCAATGTCTCGAAAATTCCGACCGAGTTCATGAACTGATCCTCTATGTCCACCAGGCACGCAACAGCGAAAAGGCGCAGTCGATGCTGTTTCGATTCCGCGCGCAGCAAGCGGCGGACCTCGGAATCATCGACATCGGACGCACCCGTCGCCCCAAGGCCATCACGTCGGTGGATTCGATCCCCATGTGCGAGAAATGGCGCGGCCAGGTCCTCAAGGAAATCTCGCGCAAGGTCTCGCGCATCCAAGAGCTCAGCCTGAGCGATTACCAGATCCGCGACCTGAACGACGAGATCAACAAGTTGATGCGCGAGAAATGGACCTGGGAGATGCAGATACGGAACCTCGGCGGACCGAATTACATGCGTGGCTCGGGCCGTGTGTACGATGACGAGGGCAAGGAAATTCCTGGCGGTGGGAAAGGATATCGGTATTTCGGGCGTGCGAGGGAGCTGCCGGGTGTCAAGGAGATGTTTGAGGCTGCGGCTCGTCGCGGTCGGAAGCCGGCGGAGGAGGATGATGAGGGCACTCGGGGACGGGGCGGCGATATCGCTACGAAAAAGGTCGATGCCAATTATTTCGGCTACGGGCTGGATGAGGAGGACGGAACGTTGCTGGCGTACGAGCGACAGAAAGAGAAAGAGGCCGTTGAGCGTCTACGCAATAAGAAGGAAGACGATGTTGAAGATGGCTGGGAGCCTCTACCGGGTGACGCTGGTGACGGCGTCGAATGGCGATTGCCGACTTTGGATGAAGTACAGGAAGAGTTGGTGGACAGGAGAAGGAGACGACTCTTGGACAAGATCACTTGAGTCTGCCCCTATGCCTTTGCTTTTCTTTTCATCGATCTGTTCTTCTCTCTTCAAAATCTTTCCATGAGGCGTTTGGGGTGTATGTTTCTGCACTGCTATTTCCCGGTTCTATGTTATTTCTTCTAAACTTGTCATTGAAACCATGCATTTGGAGCAAAACGGCTCCCTGACGATACCAACACGATTCGTTCTTTTGTACTGTACATTGGATGATATTATCTAAAGTGATTATTTACAGCTTCGAACTATCCTGTTTCTTCGCCGTCCTCTCGGCTCTTAAGATCGAGGAGATACTGCGACCCACTTCTTTTTCGTTTCCTTCCAGACGACTTCGCTTTTCAGCTTTTAAATCGTCGAGGAGGAACAGCCCCAGCTCGCCCGCACGCCATTTCTGGATAAAGTGCTGCGCCGCAAGGTCAACATTGGGGATGCCACCTTTGGCAAGAAGACCCTTGTTTTGAGCAAAGCTCTCAAGAAGGGGCATGATCTCATTCGTTGGCGCGGACCAACGTCGGTATACGCCAGGATCGTGCAGATTTATATGATATAACAGGTAGTCGGTGAGAGTGACCGGTGAAATGACAGAATCCTTGACGCAGCCACAGAGCGCCAGTTTCAGCATATTCTCTGCATCCGGCACGTAGGGCATGAATACACCCGGCGTGTCCAGCACGTAGACGTGGGAGCCGTTTTCTCTCTCTATAATCTTCACTGGCGTACCGATCTTCCGCGTTATACCTGGCTGACCGCCCGTTTGTACAGCTTTGGCTTTGCCGACGCCTTTTCTTCGCAAGTTATTGATCAAAGTCGATTTGCCAACATTGGGCATACCGACAACCATCACACGACAACCGACGAGTCGGTCTGGCCCCTCCGCATCTCGTCGCAAATGTTTCAGGATGGAATTCGCATCTGGACGAGACGAGCTAACGAAGAATGTGGCGCTAGGTTTATCGAAGCCTCGAACAGTTTTCTCCACCTATTATAGAGAATATAAGTGAGCAATAAGTCTAGAGATTCTAAGGCTAGGAAGACTCACAGATTGCTGCGCACTTGACCCGGGCTTCGCGCCCAAGTCCCGCTTGGTATAGACAATCAACCGTCTAGTTTTCCCTAGCGCCTCTTCGAACATTGGGTTGATAGACGTGACGGGGACTCTGTAATCACGGCATTCAATAACATAGTCAATAGATGACAGCATGTTTTGCATCTTCTTCAGGCCAGCCCTGTGGTGGCCCAAGTAGTACGACCTTGGAATGGACGCATAGCTAGGGAAGACCTGGCGCGGGATGAATTTGGCCGTCATCACGAGGAGTCCGTAGATAGCTCTGGGGATAGAAGTGGATGGAGAGATCGATTGATTACCGTCCCTCGACACATGGTCCAATGACGACGGTGAGCTTAAGTTGAGAGGCAAAGCATGGTCTTCCTTTCGCCGATGAAGCTGCTGCTCCAACTTCTTCGCGTGGGCCCGATTTGCCGATGATTGAAAGCGGTGAGAAAGGCGGTACTTTTGGCCGATGTTCTCCGCCTCCGAAAGTTGTCAACAGAAGTTCCTACAAGAATCATCTCGATGGCTCGACATGACTTGCTACTACAATATGCACAGAAATTCTACACTTTAACAAGCATATTCCGTGACATATCAGTTCTCCAATTTTCCATATCTGCTCAGATGACGAATAGCTCCCGAGGACACGTCTTCAAGCCCCGATCTATATATAGCCTGCTATCATCACTTTGAATAGCGAATCAAGCAGTTCCTAACAACTACCTACACATGGTGTCATCAATCTGTACAGAGTACCTACTTTTCAGGCGCTTCGAATTAATGATAATGCAATGCCAATGCCCATCTTTTCTCTCGAGCACATCAGCACTACCAATCAACAATGTTTCCTTCTGCTTGGTCCCTGTTGCCCCCACCCTCGGTGATGGGCCCGTGTGGCTGCATAACTACTCAATGTGCCCTGCAAGGAGCACCCAATCTCTTGGCCCCTGATTCAATAGAACAGGCTGCTCGGGGAACTACTGTTCGTATGTTCTTGATGGATCGGGTAAAGATTGACTCGAATCAGCCTGCGGGTGGGTATTTCCAAAGATCTTCATCGCTGCTAAGCTGTTTTGAAATTGCTCTTTCGTACTCCGTATGATCTCCCATATTGCCCATTCCATTTTCATTCTTCGCAGAATACATCATCTCGAAATCAGATACTAAGGCGGAACCGATTGCAACGCGTTAGGCGCTCCTTCAGGGGCTACGAATGCTGATGGCAAGAGAAAGGTCACCCAGAGCTGATATCGCGATGCACCAGCTCAAGTGGAGAAAAGTAAAGTCCAGCTGCTGTGCTGTACCCCTGGGCCCTCGCACCTGGTGGAATATCCCTTACTCAATCAGATCTTCACCTTAGATTCTTACCGCCGATTGCAGATGGTTGCCAACTTGAGAAGATTTAAAAGGGCCATGGAGCACACATTTGAAAATATTCTACGATGCATTTTGGAAGAACATCCTGAATTGACAGTTCTTCAGCCAAGGTGCAAGGCGTGTCATCTTTCCGAGTTTGCGAGTGTTTTTGTTCGTTCGAAGGAGCTTTGTTTGACTAGTACCTTTTAGATGTGAGTCTTCTGCTATCCGAAAGATCTTCAGTGAAACAGCTAATCGGACATTTAAACCTCAGGCCAGCACGGAAGCGATAGATTTGAAGGGCGAAATGCCAACGTTTTCCAAGATCCCCGCTTGGCGAATGATTTTTGACCAGGGCGCCGTCACCCAAGAAGTAATAAACCACCAATATCCTGGTTCTGGTACTGAAGGGCACCCATTTGAAGTTTCATGGATACCAGATGATCCCCGGAATCCTATGGGCTTCCGTGACACATCAAAATGGGCACTTGCGGCGCTGGTTTCATTTTCAACTTTCACAGTTGCCTTGGTCTCTTCCGGCTATACAGGAGGCTTGGTCGAAGTCGTGGAGTACTTCCAAGTCGATGAAGAGATTGCTGTCTTGGGCATCTCATTTTATGTCCTGGGCTTCGCACTTGGCCCTCTGGTACTGGCGCCGATGAGTGAGCTTTATGGACGTCGGCCGATACTCATCTTCAGCGCAGCAACATTGACAGCTTTTACGGCTGGAACGGCAGGCGCGCAAAACATCGAGACTCTAATCATTCTTCGCTTTCTTGCGGGTAGCCTTGGGGCTGCTCCTATGGCTGTTGCGGGAGGTACTCTCGCCGACACTTTTCCTCCTATCAATCGAGGGCTGGCAAGCGGGCTATATGCCGTCGCACCTTTTATGGGCCCAACAATTGGGCCCATTGTGGGAGGATTTCTGGCCGCTGCCGGAGGTTGGCGGTGGGTGCAAGGCTTTTTGGCTGCCTTTTCCGGGGCTCTGCTTATATTGACGACATTTTTCCTGCCTGAAACATATAGCCCAGTGCTCCTGCGAAGACGAGCAGAGAGGCTATCAAAGATCACCGGTCATGTATACCGCAGCAAGCTTGATGTTGATGGCAAAAGTTCCCACGTCGGCCAATTATTCAGAACAGCTCTTTCTCGGCCCTTCGTTCTTCTTTTCCGTGAGCCTATTGTGTTTCTGATGTCATTGTACCTTGCCATTATTTATGGCACGCTATATATGTTCTTCACTGCATATCCGATTGTTTTCCAGCAAGTTCGTGGTTGGAGTGAGAGTAAGGGTGGGTTAGCTTTCCTGGGGATTTTGGTTGGGATTTTGTTTGCGGTGGTCCACACATTCGTCGCATATTTCCAATATAAGAAGAAGACCTTGGAGGCACATGGGCGGCGCCTTCCCCCAGAGGAGCGTCTGCCAGCCAGCTTCATAGGAAGCATTGCTCTGCCAGTTGGCCTATTCTGGTTTGCCTGGACAAATTCGCCTTCAACGCATTGGATGGCGCCAATTTCGGCTGGAGCCCCATTCGGCTATGGAATGATCATGGTGTTCATGCCCGTTTTGAACTATCTGATTGATTCTTACACTATCTACGCCGCATCGGTGACAGCAGCAAACTCCCTCTTACGGTCTATATTTGGCGCTGTCTTTCCACTCTTTACTGGCTACATGTATCAACGACTGGGTATACACTGGGCCTCCTCGATCCCGGCCTTTCTCGCTGTGGCGTGCGTTCCGATGCCGTTCTTGTTCTACAAGTATGGCGCCAAGATTCGAGAGCGATGCCACTATGCTGCCGAGGCCGACGCTTTCATGAATCGGCTGCTCGCTGGCACTGGCACTGGCACACCGCCGAAACCCGAAACCAAAGAAGAAAGCGTCGAGCTGCAGGCTAGAGGTTCGGTGACTCATGGAGACAACGGTGATCGTGATGAGCAAACAGATAACCAGCCAACTGAGGCGAACCGGGTTTCAACAGCGCACCGGACATCCTGTGGCTCGGAAATATCAGAAATCTCGTCGCATTCAAATCACACGTTAGTCCGAGATGATGAGGGTCCTCAGATTGGCGACATTTTTAGTTCGCGGTGAGCATCGGGACTTTCTTGGCCTCGAATTCGCGTTGGTCACTTTTGGATATAATTCATTTCATGTCTATAGATTCGTTGAGATATAGTCTTCCACATATTTAATATTTCTATCTTTTTTGGTTAAATTTGCTGTGATTGACTGCTGGACCAGTAATCGGGGGTGTCGATCCCACGAGGCCGCCAATGGAGGAGCTACGTCATGAGCAGCCAAGAGCAGCTAGCGAGCCCCTCCTTCGCCAGTGAAATCGATCAATTGACTTATTTACTCCTGGTACATATCCTAGTCGGTTGATCGACTATGGAAGCCGAGTCAACCACTGCGAGGAATCATGTCGCTGATCTCCGCCTTTCGACCTCGATCTACGCGGTCTACTTCTCTCCGTCACCGACCTCCTGCTAGACAGAGAAGAGCTGCCCGAAGACCGGAACATGATCGCGAAGGGGACGATGATGCGCATTCCATAATTACTCCTTCCAAACATACCCCCAAGGCGATTCGTGTCTTGCGAGGTTCCATCTCCGCCGGCGGTCCTTTACGTCCTTTTCGGCTAGTGAAGCAGGACATTGTCAACCTGCGCCGAAGATACGTCTCGGATTGGACACTCTTCAATCAGTTGGTCTTCGCAAGTGCCGTCTATGTCTTCTTCACGAATCTCCTACCGGGGATAACTTTTGCCAGCGACTTGTATGTTTTGACTGGTAAGAGTTGGGGAACCATCGAAGTGGTTTTTAGCACGGGTCTTTGTGGCATCATCTTCTCACTGTGAGTGACGAGCCTTCTGATTGGATCTGGAAGAAAGGATGGTAATGACTCGATTAGCTTGTCCATCCAGCCCTTGACCATTCTTGGAGTGACGGGACCTTTCTCAGTGCTAGCAGAGAATATCTATGCCTTATGTGAAGAAGATTTCAAGGTGCGCCACCGGTCCCTTCTCATATCTTCCTTATGATTAACATGACGCCAGATACCTTTCCTACCATTCATGGCCTGGTCCCTTATTCATGCTGCATGGTTGCACTATGTGCTGGCGATCATCAACGCCCATGACTGGACGATGAGATATGTGACGACCTTCGCCACTGAGATCTTCTCACTGCTGAATAGCATCATCTACTTCCACAAGGCCATTCAAGAGCTGGAGAGAGCCCATGACAACCTATCCTTCGCCGCCTTTCTATATGCCGTCATCGGTGCCGTAGGGACAATGTTACTTGCCATTTTCCTTTCCACTGCCGAAAGCTGGCGACCGCTGTTCCATCGATATATCCGGATGGGCCTGGCTGAGTATGCCGCCGCCATTTCCATCATCTTATTCATCGGTCTGCCTTATATCGGCGAACTAGCGGATCTCGATAAAATGACACTCGCGGTCAGCCACTCTTTCGAGCCCACCTCACCGGATCGCGACAAATTCATCGTCGAGTTTTGGACCCTCCCCGTCGGCTGGGTGTTCGCCGCCATCATCCCAGGCATCATCATCACGATCCTTTTCTTCTTCGACCACGAAGTCAGCTCCATCATCTGCACCATTGACCGCTACGGCACCAAGAAACCCGGCGGCTTCGCATGGGATATCATCCTTCTTGGCACCACGACCGCGCTCTGCGGTATTTTAGGAATCCCCCCGGCAAATGGCCTCCTGCCCCAAGCGCCCCTGCACTCAGAGTCCTTGATGCACTCAGAATTCGAACAGCGGACAGTCATCGTAGACGGGGACGAGAAGGTCGAGACACACGAGGTCAAGCGCGTCTACGAGCAGCGATGGTCATCCTTTTTGCATGCCGGCGCCATCCTGCTCTTCGTCAGTCCTCCGTTCATGAAAGTCCTCGGTCTGACCCCGACCAGTGTCCTTGCGGGTCTGTTCATGTTCATGGGCGAGCAGAGCCTTTCAGTCAAGTAAGCTCTTCCTTTCCCTATCCACTAAACAACCCAACAACTCTCCGTTCATACCCAAACCAATGAACGAATGAACTAACCAATCTCAAGTCCAATCCTCTACCGCACCTTCTACCTTCTTACACCCCCATCCGAACTCCCACCTCTCCCTGCATCACTCGCCAAACGAGAAACACCCTCAGAACTTAACCTCAACCCTAATCCGAACAACACCAACACCACTACCACCGACACCATACACCACCAAACCAACCCCCCATCCTACCTCCCCATCCACCTCTACACCCTCCTCCAAATCATCACCACTGTAATAATCTTCATCATAACCCTCACGCGCGGCGCGCCCGCATTCCCCGTCTTAATCGTCGCCCTGGTCCCGTTCCGCCTTCTCGTCATGAACCGGTGGTGGCCGCGCGAAGTCCTCCGGTTCGTAGACGCCTGGGCCTGTCGCGAGGGAACGCCCGAGGATGATGAAGATGCGGCGGAGAAGGATCGAGAGGACAGTGGCGGGGATGGTTGTTCCGATATTGGCGACGGTGTTGGTGAAGGGGTGTTTTCGGCGAGGGTGGATGAGGTGGGGATGGAGTTGCAGGACCTAGGGCATGCGGGTTCTTCTCGTTATGGGGCGGATCGTGGGAGGGAGATTATGGATAGGGTGGAGGGAAGGGGGGATGATCGGGCTGTGGAGAGCAGAGATGCTGGGCAGGATTGGGTGGAGTTGGGGTTTCAGATGAGGGAGGATGAGGAGCTGGGGAGGTCGGTGGATGGGCGTTAATGGATGGATGCGTTTGTCTGTTAATTGTTGATGGGAAAGATCATGTGGGTTTCCAAGCGGCGCTTACTTTTAGGTGGAATCGGGATATCATGGGATATAGAAGTATGAGGTAATTCAGAATATATAGGGAGAATTACCATGAATTCGAAATTAATTCACTCCGATCACAGGGTATCATGACATCGTCTACATAACATCATGGAAGAAAGCGCCAACCCATCCATGACTCCTATAAAACCAGTAACAAAACCAACATCTATGAATGACAGGCAACACCCCAATCAGAACCAAGCAAAGACCACGCTGATATATCTAGGCACAAACAAAAATATAGAGAAGACAGAAACGCCGGTCATGCCCTCCATCCCTGCACAATCTCATGAAGATAATCAATAACCACACCGAAGATGGCATTGACGCTATCACTAATGAGCTGCTCGAAGTGCCGAATGGCTTCTTCCTCTGTCATCTCGAGGTTGAACCGCTCCTTGACCTTCAGAACAGCCTTGTCCGGTTCCACGCGGATATCCGGGATATTGGCATCGACCATGAGACTGAAGAGATTGAGGATCAGGTTGGCGGATTTGCGGAGCGTGGTGTATGCGGTGAAGCAGTACTGTTTGAATTGGAGATAGTGGGGAGAGGTGGCGCCGCCCATGCCTTCGACCATCTCCTTGCAGAGTTTCATCATGGGCGCGAAGGGTTTGGGATCGCGGCCAAGAATGAAGCCGAAATCGGCGTGGAAGAAATGGCCGTCCGGCGCAAGAAGGAGGTTCTCCAGATGTCGGTCGCCGACGCCGAGGAGATAGGTGATCACGCAATACCCAGCGCAGGATTTTATGTACGTGTCCATTGTTTCCTTGCGGATTCCAAGAGGTTCGTTATCGTCGGGGTTGTTGGCTCTGAGGTATGCGAGGACGGACTTGTATTTCGCCGACACTGCAGAGAGGGAAGTGGAAGGGATGAACTGAACGGCGCCGGCCGTAGCGTTGGTGGCAAGGATACGGTATGGGGTCAACTTGAGGTCTAAGTTTTCCTTTTGCAGGAGACGATCCATGAGGATGATGATCTGGATGACTAGTTGATCTTGCCGAAGGTCGTCTCCGACTTTGAACAAGAGGGGATATTTCTGCCCCTCGACGGTCTTGAAGGTGATGTGCAGGGGCGACAGAGTGGATTTGAAGACATTCGACTCTTCCGGATAGCAGCCAGTGACGAGCACCTCGGGATCCAAAGGTAGCGGCAAAGGCGGGTCAATATGCACAAGGTCATTTTTAGGATCCTTTAGGCACTTTTTCAACTTCTCGATCTTGAGAATTCGATTTTCCCGGGAAAACCGAATGTCCTTGGAGATTTTCGAGAGTACGGTGATCAGCTCACCCTGTCGTAGCAGCGTCTTTCGGTGCTCTGGGTGAATTCGCTCCAATTCGGTCATGAAATAGTACTCCACACGGGCGAACACTCTACGCTGTGATGCCAGAGTGCCCGGGCCGGTATCGTCACATTCAACCATGAGGTACCAATGTAGATAGTTTCCAAGTTGGAAGTTATTCGCAGCACGGGTGACGAGGAAGTTGGCTAGAGACGAGTCATGGGCAACATCTTCCGTCGTCCCGTCGGAGTGGTCCTCATACTTGAGCGCCTGCACTAATTGCAAGAGATAGAGCAGAAGCTCTTCGTCATCAGCTTTTCGAAGCCGGTCCACTGCATAAGAACGAACAGCGGGGTTATCAAATGTCGGCCCCAGAAGTTCTAGCGCGTCGTCGACGTCGATTTCAGTCCATTTAGGAAGGATTTCCACAGCTTGATGTGCTTCACCCGCATCTCGCCAGTTCACTGATTTGACAAACTTGGTGAGCGCTTTTTTCTCACGCGTCAGGTAGTATCGGAAGCGCCAAACAACATCCTTTTCTTCCGCGGTGAGATCTTGTGTAGGCTCGTACGATAGAATAACGTTTAGTTCATCACGGATCTTGGGGTTTGGCTTCAAGTCTCGGTCCATGATGCCGGTGCGATGGCTACGAATCAGCCTCCTGTGTTTGTCCTCGCACGGGTTGCCCGTCTGGCCGACTTCGGGATCGTATATTCGAATCACACTGTCCCCATCTGCGCCTTCTATGCCCGGACCAAACCGGACTTCGGGGACAGGTTTCAAAGCAGGGTTTGCATTTGCAGCTGCGTTCTGGGAATGAGATGAAATAGGAGGCGCGGAGTATTCATGGTCAGACCATATGATAGGATGATCGAATCGTGGGAACTCGACGTATAGGGTGAAGTTTTCGTCATCGAGATCTTCTTGGTCCGAGTCTTCATCTGCGTTTTCTTCACTGGGTAGCTTGTGTTTGATTGCCTTTAACCGGATAGCACGTTTCCTTGCAGCTTCCTCAGCATTCATCTTAAGCTTCTCTAACTGTCGAAAGACCATCTGATCCATCCAGTCAATCCGCGGTATCTCCCCCATCTCGTGCTTTTTGATGAGAACCTCCACTCGCTCCAGTTCCAATTCCTCGGACGAAGGACCGAACGAATCAGCGACATTGGCTCGGCGACGCTTGGGGGGTGGGGTTGAGGGAGTCGTTGTCGCAGAGAGGCCATCCGCAGCTTTGTGGCGATAGATCTTGCATTTTTGTCGGCCCATCTTCAATTTGCCGTCTTCGTCGAACAGGGGTATCGTCGTGCCGCCAAAGGGGACATTGTGCGACTGCGATCCATCGCTCTTCACTGGGGACAGATCCCAGACAGTTATAGCCAGCTGACACTTGAGGGGAGCATCCTTCATGGACAGAGGCATTTCGAGCCATTCACCCCATGACCTAGCTGATTTGAATCCCTTGTATGACGTCTGCAGAGGTACCCCCAACGGTTTCGAGTCTGACCATAGTTGTGCCGTCACGTAGAGATCAGAGACGGGGCTTTGCGTGGATCCTAGGTGTCGCAGGTCGGGTCGTTTCAAAAGGACCGAGTATGGGATCTCTCGCTGTCTCCCTTCCAAGGAACCACTAAACGAGTGCACAGATTAGCTAGTCTAGAAGCTGGGTCTGGAATCGGCTGTCATTACATTTTGATGCAAATTGCAAAGTCTACCTGAGTGGAGACCGCAAAGGTAAAAGCCTCCATCTTTGAGCCAAAGATCTCGGAGCTGAACTGCGTCTAGCGGTTCATGGCGCGATGCTCTTTCGATTCAAGAAGTAAGGAAGGGCCGTGAAGCCGGCCGGAGAGCTCCATCCGGGGTCGGAGACTAGCGTCAATTGGCTCCAAGGCGGTCAACCCGTCGCGGGGTCAGCTGAGTCCACGTGACCGAGTTCACGCGTTGACGCGCCGAGAAATTCATCCGTGAATTTAGAATTGTGATCAGGTAGCGTTCTTTGGGAGATCATCACTGGCACCAGCATTCTTTCGCTCACTTCATATTCCGTGCTCTGTATCACCCACACTATCCTGTTTTTCGCCCTCTTCCTGAAGTTACCTCACCCCGCTCTCATACCCTTGTATCTACCCAATAGCGCGCCCGCGTTCCCGTTTGTCGCAAATCCGCAGACAAAGAAAAGCGATGGCGCGCAACCCCCGTGCAGCCGGACCTTCTCAACATTCATCCCCGGGGACCTATTCTGACAAGGAGAACAATCAACATCAAAACTCTTCCCAGAATCGCAAGAGAACTCAGGACCGGGCGATGGCCTCTTCCAGTGCCAGTGCAAAGCGCCAGCGATTAGCGAACAGAATCGCGAATAACCAACATGGCAGCCAGTCTCAGATATCGCGTTCGCAGCAGGACCCCGACAAACAATACTATGACCCGGATCAAGATGAAAAGGAAAGACGGCGCATACGGAAGGGCCTTCGAGACTTGACACGGGAACTGCATGGTATTGATGCCTGATCAGGATTGATTCTTTTTTCCACGTCTGACAAGGCTCTAGACTCTAGGACTGAATACATGCAAGCGGGCAATGACGGTATTCGACAGACCATCAAAAAGGCGAATGAATTCTTCCGTGATGTCAAACAGACTTCGGACGCGACGATCGATTCCCGTCTCCTGGTTAGTGCCGCCGATTTATCGTATAAAAAGACGGCACAGCTGGTTCTAGGCGACGCATCCGCGGGAGTCGATGTCGACGAGTTTGTCTCCAAGTGCATTTCTTTCATGCGCCATGGCCCGGAGGATCCTCAAACAATTCCCAGCAGCACCCAACGCCGCCGCGCACACGGGAGAAGTCAAGCAGACCCCAACGATAGTGATGAGGACCAGGGAGATGCGTTGAATTGGGACTGGCTGGGGCGCTCTGCCTGCGTTCGCAGCAACTCACGACCGGCTGTTTCGGGTTTCCTTCTAGGACCTCTATCGGTTCAGAAACGTACGCGACATTTGACACAACGAAGAGCGAGGGAACAGATTGATCCATCGCAAGCAGTCCGCCCGCAGGAACTCGAGGATAAGGACCTCGACCGACAAGAGACGTCTAATCTTACAACTATCTGCTCGAATATCAACAAACTCCTGGCGGAAACCCAGAAAGCCGGCCAGAATTCTGTGGAGGGTGTGTTGGAGAAACTTTTCCAGCAGTCGGGTGACGAACCCACCGATGAGATGGTCCAGAAGGTCATGGCTCTGCACAATGTCGCTGATGACGGGGGTATCCCTTTGTTCAACTTCTGCATCAACCCGAAGTCCTTTGGACAAAGCGTGGAAAATCTGTTCTACGTCAGTTTCTTAGTGAGAGATGGCACCGCGGGTATCTCTGTCGACAGTCGACAGTTGCCAACTTTGCGTAAGTATTGTACCCTGACTATCTTTCACTTCGAGTACGTCGAACTAACACAATTCACTAGATCATTCCAAACCATACGCACCGAGCGAAGCGCAAAAGAAAGGGGTTCAGAAGCATCAAGCTATCTTTAGTCTTGACTTTGAAACATGGCAAGACTTGATCGATGCCTACAGCATCAAGGAATCGATCATCCCTCATCGCCGAGAAGAAGAATCTCAGGCCACCGGACAGGGCTGGTACAGCTAATGGTCGATGTATTGGAAGCGAGTACTCCGGGGTAAAGATCTGGTCTTGGTTCAATAGATGTATGTACGTGATACCCATTTGTTTTTCGAGCGTTGTCATACCGGTCTTTTGGAAGCATTTCGTATGGTTGTGGCCATTGCGTTAGTCTTGACCACCGTCCGATATGAATATTTGATACATAGTAATGATTGCGGATTCGAATGCACAATTCTCTCTATACATCAATGGGAAGCCGAAACATCCACTCTGAATTAGTAAACCTCATACTCCTGAGACTCCATAGTGGATCTAGAACCTCTGTATATTTGTACTTTTCACTGTATAACTCTGTACTAGGAATTAACTCCAGCAGTCTCCAGTAATTCCAGGCACGCATTCCGCTCATTGGATTAGCGATCAACGGTGGCCCAGAACCCCCGGATTCCCGGCTTCTTTCCTTCCCGTCATTTGGGCCCCCCAATTAATAATGACGTTGACGTCATGGGCGCGAGTCCAGAGCTAACTTTCACCTGCAACACATGATCGCCTCGTGACGGAGTATTTATTGTTGCACAAAGCCCTCAAGGCCCTTGCATTCTCGCATTCTTGCAGCTGAAGCTGGAAAATATCATCCACTGAGATCAACGATCGATCGCCACTAGCTATGGCTCCGCAGCTATTCCCGAAGAACCCCAGCGAGAGCATGGTGATCCGCAATGTCACCTCCGACGTGGTCACCATGAGCCTGCCATTTGCACGATTTGGTCGCCTGAAGTTTGGAGGTCGAGGAACATTAGGTCTGTCTCACCTAGTGCCGTCTACTGGCGACGGGAAGATTGTGAAACCAAAGATCCCCCCTACTGACCACATCACGAGGACAGTCAAAATGGAATCCGGCTCGATCGCAGTCTTCTCGCCCGTGAGCCTGACCCCGGAAGTCCAAGCCGCCGTGACCTCCCTCGGTGGCAACGTCAAGTACATCGCGGCGCTGGATCTAGAACATCATCTGCACCTGACGTCGTGGAAGAACGCGTACCCAGACGCGGAGATCATCGCGCCCGAGGGCCTGTGGGAAAAGCGTCAATCCAACCCCGAGTTCAAGGATACGCCATTCCGCCACGTCTTCCGCAAGGAGGACCCGCGGCCGCGGAAAGTCTCCGACGAGTTCGACGCCGAGTTCGAGTCCGAGTACGTGTACGGCCATCCGTCACGGGAGCTCGTATTCCTGCATAAGCGTTCGCGCACCCTCATCGAGGCCGACCTGTTGTTCAACCTCCCTGCCCGTGAGCAGTATTCCAAGTCGAACGAGGGCGCCAAGAACTTCTTGACCAGCTTGATTTGTCCGGCTTTGTCGACTGCGGCGCCGGCGACGTGGCAGAAGAGGTTCGTTTGGTATGTCCTCTCGACGGCGGATCGGCCGGCCTTTACCGAGTCGATGCGTCGCATTAATAACTGGGATTTCAATCGCCTAATCCCGTGCCATGGGGATGTGATTGAGAGTGGTGCTAAGGGGGTTTTCAGAACGGTGATGGAGTGGTTCTTGGAGAATGATAAGAAGAGGACCTAGCCTTTGCCTCTCTTGAAAAAGTTCTCTTTTTGTCTTTCTCATCTGTCAAATTTTCTTCTGCCCTTTGACTTGATGCAGGCATCCAATGTACTAATAGTCGTTGCTCTGAGATGTGAAGTTTGATGTCAATCTGCTGGCGGACATATGATTATCTCCCTACTTCTAATAAGTACCGTGAAAAAAAGTTATTTCCGTTTTGCCAATGCAATCTCATTTACATGAAAAGAACACCAATATACACAGCCCATTGCCCATATCTCCACCCCTCTCCAGAACCCCCAAATCAAACCTTATCCGAATTCCCCATCGCCAAAATCTCCCTCCTCTTCCCCGCCAAAAACTCAACCATCTCATCCGGTGGCAACTTCGACGGCGGAGTCTTCATCCCCTTCTGAACAGCCTCCCTCTCAGCAATAGCCTCACTCCACTTCTTCAGTGCCGGCCACTCCGCCAACTGCACGTCCAAGACCAGCGGACCGACAATCACCCACGCAAAGCTCGCGATATCCGCAATCGTGAGCTTGTCGCCGGCCAGGTAGGGCGATTCCTGCAGACGTGATTCCAGAACGGAGTACAGTCGCTTTGTTTCGTCTGTGTATCTCTTAATGCCGTAGTCGGAGCGGACTGTGGCGAAGGTTGAGAAGTGGTTGGCCTGTCCTGTGTTGTGCGCGAGGGAGGTTAATATCTGATGCGCTCCTCTTATTTCTCAAGATCAACCAACCCTTATAGGGAACTATGGTCTGTCTAATCCACTACGGCTGGTGAAGAAAGGAGTAAATCATACCTTGCATAGGTCCCAGACCACCCATCTGCCACATCAGCCAGCTCAACTGCTCTGCATATTCCGGGGTACCCGGGGCATAGCTGAGCTTGCGTTCCGTGTCGTATTTATCGGCAAGATAGAGCAGGACGGCACCGCTTTCAAATACCCGGACCTCGCCGTCCGTGATAGCGGGGATACGGCCGTTGGGGTTGATTTTGAGAAACCATCTAACTGGGCTGTGAGCTTGCGAGGGCCGGTGAAGAGAGTGTGAGGTGGACAGACGCTTCTTTTTGCTCGTTTGCGTGAAGGTCCAATGCGTGGATCTTGTACGGGAGGTTGAGCTCCTCGAGGAGAATGCTGACTTTGAAGCCGTTGGCGGTGCCGGCTGTGTAGAGGGTGATGTTGGGAGGTGATGCCATTGTGGGTTGGTTGTTTGATGCTATGGGTGGTTGGTGAATGTAGCTCCTGTAACAATAACTTAGAATGAATAGGAAGATGTTGTCCCTGAAATAGATACAGGGTTCATATGTATGACCTGCGTTTATAACTGATTTCTAAGAACGGGTGCTTGATTTCTAACTACCTGAAGGATTTGTAATGTCAAGGTGTCATCCTTCGTGTAGTAGGTGCTGACGCGGATTGTTGTTGACTGATCTGATCACCCAATTGTGTTTGAGAATGCGGTACCCCGATTATAGTGAGTTGGGGGCCAGTCTTTGCAATAGGGAAGACACAATTGTTCTGTTTGTTTCTATCCAGTCTGACGTGCTCTAGTCAAGGGTAATGAATGAAGTCGCTATAGGTGTCTTGAGATGTAAGCAGCCAAGCTTTTTCGGCAGTGAAGACCTCTAACTAAACTAGTCAACTCATTGATCAAGCGCCCGAACATTCCATTTAGTGGCCGTTGTTAATCACTGCGGTGGCCATCTGGCATCTAGAGCATCTACAGTCGCTACAACAGTAGTAGTATCACGAAGAGTCGTCACTTGTGCAACCTCGGGAGCCTAGTGGGCATAGTCAGTTAAAACCGTGCTTTGATTGGTTTAAATTTCAAATGGTTGGGATTCTGTCTATCTAAAAGATACTATTCGTGCAATTGAAGTTCCTCTGCTATTGCGATTGCTAGAAATTATACTACCATGTGGACATGGCAAAGTTCCTGGTTGATCGAAGGAGCGGCCACTGGGAGTACTTGCATTACACACCCGCGTGACTGAGATTATACACATATAGATCATTGGTAGCTTCTTATATAAATGAGGCGAATTCAAGGCAAGAGCGATTCCCTCGTATGCTTTGGGTAACTTGATCCTGTAGGTGTACTGAGTGCAAGGAAGACCGTTTACACGTACTATCTCCATGTACTTGTAGAGGAAAAAAGAGGTCTAGACTCCTAGGTTTATTTACGGCATATGATACCCCAGAAGCTTGTGGGGATCAGGAACATTTGAGAAAGAATGCTCTTCTAAATTTCCGCTCGATGTCTTATATTTCAGAAAAGGAAGTGCCTTCGATTGGTGTTCTTCCACGAGAAACCGACCGAGAAGAAAGTGGGAAGAGTAACAGCGGAGGGAGAAGAAATGATTCGCTTAGGCAAGCAAAAGACCGGGCTAAGCAGTCTAGACCATCGAATGCTGTATCCAACCTGCAACTCCAGATCACAAAATAAAGTGTAGCCTAGAATAATCCTTAATACAATCCATGATGCAAACATTACTTAGGGCTGAAGGACCAGTCAGACCATTCCAGCGCTAGGCTGCCGTTATTCCCGTCTGGGCCATGACGTCAACCGGTAGGTAAGGGTTGGTCGGAGCTCCCCCGGCAGTGCGGCACTCAACATTCAGCAGTAGCAATGAGGCATGAGCAGACAAGCCAGGGACGGTATCACGGGACCTCTGAAAAATGGGATGATAAAAATTTAACCCGGCAGCCCGTGACTCTCAGACTATTGATTCTGGCGGGGAGGTGTGGATGACGCAAAGTGGACTCGGTAGCCCTACTGTGCCTAGTGACGGGGGGCCGTGGGGACTGGAGCGCACCTTAACTTTTAGCTTGGTGAGGATTGGAAGATTCGTGATTTTGGGCTCGGGGAGGGACGGAAACTCTATTTGTAGACGAGGAAATAGCAAAGAAAAAAGGAAAGAAAGAAAGAAAGAAAGAAAGGACAGCTAAACTCGCAGCAGAATACGGAGTACCTCGTATACTTGTGTGGTCCGTAGTGAGGCAAGTACGGTGTATGGGTCTATAGTCTAGGTGTACACGGGAGATAAATAAATGAATTAATGAAGAATCAGCCAACTTCCCAGCGTTGGGCAAGAACCTACCGTGCCGTGCAACCAATGATCGCCGGCCAGACGATGTCATTGCGGTGCAAGGGTTGATCCAAGAAAAAATTGCTGCAGATCATCTGGTCCCGTAGCAAATCTTGTACTTAAACTATTCCCATCCCTCCCTCGTCATTCGTTTTGTTCCTTTTTTTCACCCGTCGCGATCGTCCCCTCCTGCTGCTGCTGCCGCCACTACTTGACCTACACCAACTTATTCAGGAACCGTTCTCTCCGTGCAAAGTCCCTCAACTCGTCCATCATGCCTGTCGTGTCGCGACTCGTGTCTATCATCCTCCGTGTCGCCGAGATTGTCTGCGCCGCTGTATGTCCTTTCCGATACCTGGAGAGAAAGAAAATCATATGACGACGAAACACTGACCATTTTCAATAGGTTGTCGCAGGTATCATCGGCCACTATCTCGCTTCCTTCAACGACATCGACCCGTGGCCACAGGCCAGATGGATCTATACCGAAGTGGTCGCCGGATTATCCATACTTCTCGGCCTGATATGGCTGATACCTTTCTCTTCGTCGTTCTTCTCTTGGCCTTGTAAGCTGTCCCGCACCATCCCCGAATATTCATCCGGAGCTAACGAAAGTTCGTGCAGTTGATATCATCATCTCGCTGGCCTGGTTCGCCGCATTTGGTATTCTCGTCGATGCGATTCACAAGCTCAGCTGTGGCAGCATCTGGCACTGGGGCGGCATTACCCGCAACAACAGCTGCAGTCGCTGGAAGGCGGCCGAAGCTTTCGCCTTTATCTCTGCCATTGTCTGGCTGGTCTCCGGCATTGTGGTTCGTATTCTTTCACTTCATCTAACGATCTGACATCGATGCTGACTGTTGTGGCGTCAGGGTATCTGGTTCACCTTCCGCGTCAGAAGATCTACCACCGATGCTGCCTAGTAAGTATTTGACCTGACATGACCCCATCTGGTTGCATGATGCTTACATACATGCAGCACTGGTCGTCGCCGTGGCTTTTTCCGCCGATCTGCCGTCTAAACTGGAGATGTCACCACGCCATCGGCTCCTAATATTCTGCCACAAGACGACAGAAGCAATTCCTTATGGCTATGCTCCAGCATTAGGAAATCATACTTCCCGTCACGATCCTTACTTACGAAGTCTCGCAAATTTCCAATTCCGAGTCGATTTACCGTTTAATCAAAGAGAAGAAAGAAATGAACTGGAAAAAAAAAAGAATGAAAAAAAAAGACGACCGACACCGGGAATGACGTGATGATTTTGCTCTTGATAATTATTCAGATACCCACCCTGCCGGCGTGTTCAGGCTCTATGTTCGCTCGTTTCGTTGATCTACAGTACTTAATAATCCAGACTCCTAGCTAATGTATTTAACATTGAATTGATTTTCTAATTCTGTCAGTTCACGAAGAGGTGATGGTTGCCGTATGTCGCTAATTTACAATAGTTCGACAACATTGTAGCATATATCGCCATTGATTTGGCAGGAGGTTGGATCATAATCTCTTGGTCGGGACCTCTATAATAGAGAGATTTCGATTCAAGGTGTTAGATTGACTTAATCATTTCGATGGCACATACACACGCCAGGGAAAGTATGGAAGCAAATGTCAGCGCCACCCATGGTCTACTGCAGGACAACCATCGGCCTCGCCTCACTATCGATCCTTTGCATGATACAGCGCATATATCGCTGTCACTGTCTAACGGAACAGAATGGCGCATCCCAAAGCAGTAAGATCAACGGCGATTAGATAAGGGCTTGGCGTTTCAAGGCGGGAAGGCGCGTCCCTCGTGGCTTCCTTTTTGGGCCCAACGAAGCCATCAATTAGGTACTTTAGTATGCCTTCGGATTCAGGCACCCCCGATTCATCCGGTTCCAGGGCCACTTCCTTCGAGAAGATTTCCCGCAATCCCCAGGAGTTCCCTCTCCAACCCCTCGACCCCGAGGATGATGATTCGGGAGGTAGTCCGTTTGTGAGCCTTTCGCGGGGGAGTTCCGACTCCGTACGGCATGGAGAGGGCACGAGTGAGCCCCTGCTCCCGACGTCAATGCCGGTGCCAATGCCAATGCCGCATCTTGCTTCCCGGGAAAAGATGCGAGGTCGGTTCTCCTCCATCCTGTCGAGGATCGGCGCCTGGATGAAGGGACCCTCGCCTCCGCATAAGTATCGCATCACGCCTTGGTGCTACCGGGCCCAAACCGCCCCCGGCCGTCTCGTCGAGCGATACTTTCCGACGAGAGCAGCCAAGGTCTGGCTTCTGTTGGGCTGCGTGGGAGCTTGGGGGGTCATCTTTCTCAGCTTTCTGCATGCCTCGATTGCGGGTCAGGAGATACCAGGTTATGGGAAACCCGTGAAACTTTCTTGTCAAGCACGGCTATGGTATGGTCTAAGCTTCCTTCCACATTGAACTGGCTGACGGTTGTAGGTCCAATGCTACCAACTGTGGTCTCAATGGCGATAACTGTCGTCCTTTTGAGAACGGGGCATTTGCTTTCCGATGCCCTTCCAGTTGCGCCGCAGCCATGGTACTCGAACCGTACGTTATAGGCCCGGAAGAAATCAACTATCGGAGCCTGGTTATCGGAGGAGCTTCTGATGATGACGCTAAGCCGGGTGTCTATCGTGGTGACTCTGCCATCTGTCCGGCGGCGGTGCACGCGGGCTTCGTCAGCGACCAGAAGGGTGGATGTGGCATTCTCCGTCGCACAGGTGAAAAATCTGGCTTCGAACCCGTTGAGAAAAACGGCATTTCGAGCGTTGGCTTCCCGTCGAACTTTCCCTTGTCATTCACGTTTGGGAGCGAGGATTCGGATGATGGCGACCTCAACTCCAAGTGCCAGGATATCCGGTGGTCGTTGTTTGCGTTCTCTCTGGTTGTGACGACGGTGCTATCCCTCTTCATCACTTCGCCTGCTGCCTTCTATACCGCGATCTATTTTATAGTATACTTCCAGGTGGCCCTCTCCTCTGACCCACCTTATTCTCCCGACTATTACGAAATCGTGTCCACCGCATTAGGCCGCTTGATTCCTTGTGCCTTCGGGGGATGGGCGATGTACTATTTTTGCGTCCGGCATACGTTGAAGGATCTAGACGCCCACTGGGACAAGACAGTTCTTTGGCTGGGGACCTGCTGGGTTGGGGCGCTCAACACCGACACGTTCGATAAAATCCCGATCTCTCGGCTTACTCCTCACGACATTGAGCAACAGCCTGGGGCCATCCCTGCGCTCATCATTATTGTCGGCGTTCTCGTGTTGATCGTGGTCGCTCAAGCCATTGCCTTTCGCAACGAAGGCAGAATGCCACGGATGCTCGGGCTATACGGGATTTTGGTCGCCGGCATCATCGCCCTACTTCTTGTGCCTAACATGAACCTGCGCATCCATCATTACATCCTGAGTCTGCTGTTCATCCCCGGTACAACTCTGCAAACCCGACCCAGCTTATTATACCAAGGGCTGCTAGTGGGCTTCTTCATCAATGGCATCGCACGATGGGGTTTCGACAGCATCCTCCAGACGCCAGGTGCCTTGCTTGATGGTGCTCAGTTGGGTAGTATTCTTCCGGAGATTGGACCACCACTCGTCCTCACGTCGCAGAACATTGCTTTCGACCTCTCCGGCATTAAACCCGAGGCTGATGGCATCAGCGTCTTGGTCAACGATGTCGAGAGATACCACTCCTTCAAAGCAGACAATGGCTCGGTAGGTGTATTCAACTGGACGCGCCACAGGGCTGACGAGCCCGAGTACTTTCGATTTGGATACGTCAATACAAAAGATTTGGGCGGCATTTGGTACGAGGACTTCACCCAACCGGTGGCCTGGGATGCCGATGGCCGTTGGAACCAAACGGACCGTACCTAAAGGGGTCCCTATTTTTTGGGGATTCTGAATACATCTATATATACTATTCTTAGATAGATCAAGATAGATTATATCAGTGTCTTTGACCGAAGGCACTGACTGTACAGTATTCGTACAGACACGCCTGCGAAATTGAAAAGCATCTCTCCCCGGACCTATTTCAACTACCATTGATCTACAAAAAGCATTTTGGGTAAATACTCGATATCAATTATTTTAAATGATACAACTATCTTCATGTATATATATATGCGCAGACTGGAAATCAACCCCGTGAATGCAACCCAAAGGTACCAAAGCGCCACGACACCGAGCATAGACAAGACATGCTGATACAGGGGAAATTACCTATATACTCCAAACCAGTGGAGAACCGAGAAACCCAAGAGATATCGAAAAGGTAAAAGGAAAGTATGAAAAAAAAAAATCAAAGATCGGAAACGAAAACACAAAATTCCAAGGCAGGAAGGCGTTTTCATGTCCAGTTCTTGCTATAATCGTTGCATCCCACTTGGACGACCTTCTGCTCTCCGCCGTCAGAGATGACCAGGGCCGTCAGTTTGCCGCCCTCGACGCACCCGGTGTCGAGACCTTTGGTGTATGTTTTCAGGGAGAGGGAGTTGTACGAGTCGTGTCCGTAGATGACGGTCGTCAGCATGGACTTGGGGTCTTCGACGGTCTTTTCCACACTAGAGTACAAGAGGGACTGGTGTTTGTTGTAAAGCTAGAGGCTTTTGTTAGCATTCTGTGGGTGAAAGTGTAAATGGAAGATCACAAAAAAACGAACCTTGGTCCAGTGCGTGCCAACCTGCGACGAGCTAGGAACGTGACGTTCGAGGTCGATAGTGACCATGGTCATGGCGCTAAAAGGGTCCTGCTTCTCCAGATCGACACCGGGAACCAAACCGCCGTGGACGACGACCGTCTGCCCGAGACCCTTGATCTGGCCGATGTTCAGGATGACCGGGCAGGTATCCAGCCACTTGGCCTGCTCGTCGGTCATTTCCCGGGCCAGCTTCCGGCCGCTAGGGTCCTGTCCGAAGTCGTCTTCGTTGTCTTGCGAAGTATCCTCGAGAATCTTGGCGGCGATCAAATCGTGCCGAAGGACTAGAATGCGATCCTCATGGTTGCCGCGGACACATGAAGCGGAGTATTTGCGGACGAGATCGACGACACCGAGACTGTCGGGGCCCTTGTCGATCAAGTTGCCGGTGAAAACGAGGTGGTCGGACTCTTCATCGAATTCGATTTGTTCGAGGAGGGTTTCCACTGTTGCAACGACAGAAAAAGTTAATATCTCGACTTTCGAATGGCCCAATGGAAAAGAAAGGGGAAAGACAGGCAGTACGCACACTCTTCCTTGCACCCATGCACGTCGCCGATCATGATCAGCCGCCGTTGATTGAGTTGATTCGGCTCAGCGGCCTTCTCCGCAGGCAGATAGGACGGATCCAAATCCCTCAATTGCACGATATTATCGAAAGTCGGCAACGCGTTGGCACCGAACCAGCCGCCCACCTCATCCTTAACGTTGGGATCGAGCGATCGCAGAAGCGCCGAATGTTCCTCCAGCCGCGGCGACAACACAAACTTCCAGCCGACGAAACACGAAATCAGCAGGGTCAGGTAGACGACGACGTAGCGACGGAATCGCGGCGCCGTCACGATCGAGGTGATCATCTGCACCCAGCGAGGCGATTCGGGCCGTTCGGAGGTGGACGTCGGGAGGTGGGAGTACTTGGTGCCCATTTGCCATTCGTTCCGGACGTAGTCGATAAGGGGACGGGTAAATCTGGCCAGTCGGTAGGAGGGACCGGATTGGTGGTACAAGCCATCATCGGAGGTGTCGTCGGACATGTCGATGTTCTCGTTACTTGTATAATTGGAGTTGGTCATGGCTGGAGGTGGAGGAGTGGTGTGTGGAGAGAGAGAAGAGAGAGGAACGAGTAGACAACCAGGTCTCTTATCTCTTGTCTCTCTCTGGAACGGTCGGCAGGTATATTATTTTTTCAACTTTTTCCTTATTATGTGTCAAGGCGTTCCCGATATAGGGGGATGGAGTTCCGACAGAGGGAAGAAAGGGTCGTCAAGGCACCAGGAACGTGAGACGGCAAAGGCAAAGAGCGATGAGCATTCCCGTTTGGAACGAGGAAAAGGGAAGTACCGGAGACCGAGCGGGAGGGAGAATGGAAGAGAGGGAGACAGACAGACAGAGAGGGAGGATGTGACACCTCCGGTCACATTACCGCTTAAGTAATCCGTAACTTGGAGTTGTCCTCGACGAATCTTATCGCCGATTAGGAATGCTCCTTCCCCGAGTGGGTTTAGCGGCGCCGAACTAATTATAGATTATCTAATCCACCCGGTACTGTTACGCTTCTTTTACCGTACCTCTGGTATATCTCTAGCAGGCATCTGCATTACCCTTTCTTACAGCATAAGCATGCACAATCATTGCCCATCGAAGTAACCTCCTAAAGACTAAAGAGAACTAAATTCCCACTCGATTCCCGTTCGGCCCCGTAGGGCTACACGAGGCTCAGGCCCCTGCCCGTAGCGTTTGTACCCCAACGAGGCTGTGCTTTTGTTTAGTGTCGTTTAGCTGAAACGCGACTGGCCAGATATACGATATACGATCTGTTGCTGTTCTCCTATTTCGTTTCCTTCTTGTTGGGTACTCTATACGATAGACCGCCTGGCTCCAGCCTTGAGAAGAGATGAAACGAGATACATCTGGCTCGGGCGCTGAGTTGTTCTGGTTGGATTAGAAATCGAAACCACTGTGTACATATGTTCCCGATCTATCCATTTGCCAATCAATCCTTGCTTCGCTAGGGCGGGAAGAAAAAAATGAACATAATGTGATGTGATTTCTTGGCTGTTGCCTCGGTGGATCGCATCGTATGGAGTAGGTGTTGTGATTGGGTGGATGGTTTGTGTTGAGGTGAGTTGGATTGAGGTGGGAGGTGCAGTACCAAGAGTCGGGAGTAAATAATAATGGATAATGAATGCTTTGATAGATGGCTAGATTATTTTTATTGTTGATTGATTGTCCGGTTGGATTAGGTTTGTGGCTGGTCGGTGGCTGAATGTTTATGTATCTCATTGTTTTTTATAACGTATTTCACAAGCGAACGTGCCACACAAACGAACGTGACACCGCCAGCCAATTCCTGTCTATAGGGTAGATACTATAGCCTTTATCAACCAAACAATCAGATTTCTATTTAAAAATTAATTGGAAACTCGATTAGGACATTGCAATCGCTTATGTCTTAGATTATGACAATCGCTGCAGCGCGATGGCGCTCGTACGCGCGGTCCAATTGCAAAAAGCGTTGGATCTATGAAAAGCGTATTTTGATCTTCATCAACCTCATTCTCGTGCTGAAATCGCTTTAGGCCTTCTCGAAGTGATGAATCCTTTTCTATAGCTAATTGTCTAGTAGACTTGTTCTGTCTTTCGCTTTCCCATTCATTATTAGCACAATGTTTGCGTATTTCTTCCTTTGCAAAAAGAAACTCATTAAGCGTCAATTCATGACCTTTAATGATCTTGTCCAATCGCGCTTCTATCAAAGGTAAAGGACTATGGGCGCGTTCTTTAAGCAATCTCTTTGCTGCAGAAGCTTGCTTTTCCAACTGTTTAGTTGTGTAGAGTGTTTTAGGCGTTGAATCAGTTGATCGACTGCCTGAAGAAGTAGGGGTCTTTAATTGAATATTCAACTTGCTAAACATTCTATCTGGATTGAAAAGAATCAAGTCAGTAACTGCAAAACTGTTCTGAATAGGCTCTGCTGTAAAAGCAAGGTCACGGACCGTTGCAAACATCTTTAGAAAATCAAACTTTGTAATATGTCTGACTCCTAGATTTGTCTTTTGCTTCACTAGATCGCCGTACGTGCCTTTTAGACCTCGAAAGCAGCCCACATCTAGAGGCTGGAGATTGTTGAAAGAATGCGGAGACATGCAGATAAAAATAATATTATTTTCACTGCATAATTGATCGAATTGAAGTGAGAGATGACTGTCATGGCCGTCCATAATTAAAAGGCAGTATTTCTCAATCGTACGGTGAATAATCATAAAAATAAAAAGATATTTTAACCAGCGAAGGCTTATCTCATTAAAAGTCCATCCATTAGGACTAACTTCAAGCCTGATATCCAGTAAAAGCTTTGATTTTTCATACCAACCTTCTATATGAACCTTCCCTTTGAAGATAACACACGGAGGAAGCACCCAACCAGTAGAGTTAATACATTCAATCGAAATAATCCATTCCCGATTGCCTGACTGTACAACACGCGCTTTGCCATAATAATCAGCTCTAATAAGTACTCGAGCATTAGATATTAGGCCCATAGCGAAGCCAATTTCGTCGAAATTGTAGATATCCTCCTGTGCGATCCCATGTTGCATTATAATGATTTGTACGCGATCAAACCACTCTTTCATCACTTTAAGATTTTCGCATTTAACGCGTCGATAATCATATCGTCGAGAAAAGCAGGATTTTACTTTAGAACGGCATTTAATAAAGTTGGTAATCCAGTTCACTCCAACTAATTAAATAAATGTAGTACCGCGGCCAGCAAGAAGAATATTAGCCATTTTTCGTGCATTTGATGGCTTAGGAGGAGCTCCACGTCGATCTAACAATAGAATCCATCGTACAAGCGATTCCTCTTCATTTTGAGTCATTTTATGATTGTTGGCGCGTATTTCTGAGCGCGAAGTTCTTCCGCTAAGTCGACGATTGAGAGTTTTATGGCAAATATGAAAAACACGCGCAGCTTCACGAATACTGCGAATTTCTTGATTTTTCAAAGCAGCAATAGCAAGTTTGATTCTGTCTTCCCGTTCTGCTAATTTTTTTGAATTTTGACGCGTTTTTGGAGGCATGGTTGATGGTTGAATTAGGTGAGGTTTTCCAACGCGTCTAAGTTGCGGGCGGTGTCACGTTCGTTTGTGTGTCACGTTCGCTTGTGAAATACGTTAGTTGGAGGTAAGAGCAGGCACAATATATCTACAAAGTACTCTGTACAGGTGTGTCGGTCGCTATGCTTATACGGATTGGATTGCATCTACGCATAAAAGTTTTCACATTCGCTGAACATCACAGTCTAATAGCTATATCCAATAAATATGTAGCCCTTGAGAGTGGTACTGCCGTCGAAGGAAAGATTGCCTCCAAATCCCTAGAACATCGAGTCCCCAACCGGTCCCCAACCTCAAGACAATTCCAAGGAAATGAAATCAGTAAAAGAAATCTGTCAACGCGTTTCTCCAAATCGCCGGTCCATAGACGGTCGTCGCCTTCGAATCCCACAGCCCCGCTGCGAGCATCGTTTGCTCGTACACATCATCCGCGGACAGGTTCCAATAGCATTCTTCCGTGCCTGGTAGGTAGAGCTCGTGAACTTTATCCGGTAGATTGGTATCCCGCCAAGATGCATAGATCCAGCCAAAGGGCAGCATTCTACGCTTGGGACTGTTCGCAGTGTGTTTGAAGGGTTGTTGGAATTGCCCCCAGGGCCCGGCTAAGATATCCAGGCTTTCCAACCGTGCCCCAGCCTTGATTCGGTCGACATACCGAAAAGTCTCCTCGGCTATGGATGCTTGGACCCAGCCCTGCTTAGGCCTACTGTGGTTGGCAGGATAGACAGGCGTGTTCAGCTCTAGATATCTGAGGCTCGGGAATTGCGCTATGCTATCAAGGGGATCGCAAGGCTTGTTTCGAGAAAAGAAGTCAACATGTTTTTCCCCACTCCGAATAATCCGCCCTAAAGGGAATGGGTGAGCTAGGGGCTGACCACTCACGATGCTGTTCTCAAAGTGCATATCAAGACCTAGTCTTTCAACATGCGGAAGCTTGGTGGCTAACTCTGCTATCTGCTCGGATGAAAGGCCGCGAAATTTTTCCGCGACTGGAGTTGGGACTGATGAAAGGCCGCTTTGTCGAAAGCGAAGCTGGCGTAGATGTTGACCTTGATGATGCACCGCTGTGTCCAGAATATAAGTAGGGAGACCAAATGCCATGAACGCTTGTAGGTTGGAGAAGTGCCGTAAAAGGGTACTTTTACGGCACGTAGAATCGAGCTGCATCGAGGGGTAATATCACCGACAAGGCGTATCGTGAACGAGTCCAAATTCGTGACGCAATCGGTAGATTGCAATCTTTCCATCAATTTGCACATCTCAGCGGTTCCCTCTAGGGTTAATTGCCGTAGTTTTCCATGTCGAAGACACTGTGCCCACGCGGCTGCTTGTTCCGAATCGATATGAAACCGCGATATGGTGAGGGTTCGAAGGTTTGGCAGCGCGCTGTCACCGGGCAAGTGGAAGGGCGGCCGTAAGTAAGAAATTTTTTCTGTATGTATGCCATACTGCTTGAGTATCAACCGCTCCAGGTTGGGAAGGGAGAGGATGACCGCTCCCAGTTTGTCGTTGAGTTCTGCGTGACTGGGGGATAGGGTGATAGGAAGGTAGGTTATGCTGAGAGATCTGATGAAAGGAGCGCCTACGAGCAGATCATTGCCCACGATCTCTTCCGGTGCGCCCTCGAAGTAGAGCTCAGGGGGCGTTTGTCTGCAACGAAGGTCCCTAAACAGATGCGGAGGGAAGGGGATGCCACGCCATCTAGCCTTGTCAGTCTCAAGGACCAAAATGAATATGTTCTTAGAGATTCCACGCACCTAATGGTCTGGAGATTAGGTAGGTTGGCCACCAGTCTGCCAATTGATTCGCTGTGAACATCCTCACTGTAGGATGGTCCATAGGAGACGGTGAGAACGTGAACATGAGGAAATATTCTCGCGCCTACGTTTTGCTCAAGAAGCGGGTTCAATTTGCACGTAGCCTCTCTCAGCTGCTCAGTTTCTTGTTTATTCATTCCATTTAACGGAAGATTGATGGTCTTATTGTATCCACAGTTTGCAAAGACGCCTAGTTCTAAATGTTTGTATCGAAGGAACTGGACATGAACAGCTCTGAAGATGTAGGGCGTTACCATCAGGTGGAAATAACAGCATGCCAGATTCAGCGATAGAAGTGTGGCCCAGGACTCCCAACGAAGCTTTTGCAATCAATCATATCCATTAACTGCTTGATGTCAAAAAACCAACGGGGAGAAAACTTACATAGTCAAAGATAGATTTCCATATCTCGACGGGCAGAAGTCTAAGAGTGTTTCCGCCATTTTTAGGGGACATGGCCTTTACGATCCTATAAACTTAAACTTATAAGTCTGATGTCGATGAATCAGGCATGTGGATGAAGACATCGCAGTGATGGTTTTGGAGGCACTGGTAGAGAGAGTCACATCGTGTGAGCTGCTACCCCAGCTGACTTCACAATCCATATGCAGGACATTGTCTAGACTCCGTAGAGAACGGAGATTCAACGTGATGAGAAGGGAATGGGGGCGGTACCTCGGAGTCGTTTCTCGGGGTGGAGAGACGGGAGAATGTGGTGGATCGCGGCCATCGAGACGTGGTCCACTGTGGATCACCTGACAGCCCTTAACTCTAAGCGGGGTCGATGTTGGAATTCATCACCGGCTGGCCCCAACCTATACATGTAATCCTGCAGGAGATAGACTGAGGTAAAGAATCCGTCGTTCTAATATACAACACATACAAGATGATATAAGCAAACATCGATGTCATCATGAATGGTAGCAGGAAGCGTCTTTGGTCATTATCGAAATTGCTCGTAATACTCTACCTCCGCTCTTCGCTGGTTCACCTTCTCGATGATTTTCGCATCGTACACCTCTTCCAGTTTCTTGCCGCCCAAAAGCACCTGCTTCTCATGCACAGCGGCTTCCTCCTTGGTCATGCAGACCAAGTCGGCCAGTGGGAGCGGGATAAATCGCTGTCCTTCCTTCTCCCACTTCGCGTCTGGTGCGAAGCCCTCGGCAGGGCGCGTCCAAGGTGCGAGCACCAGTCGACTGGGCAAGCCGCTGACGGCGCTCTTTCCTCGCCATATTTCGTCCACAATGTAACCGACGTCGTCCTTGCTGATGGGGAGTCGCAGACCAACAATCTGCCGGCCAGCGTCGGCGCGCGTTAGCCGCTCCATGAAGCCCTGCAGAGACGTCTGGATGCCGTCGTAGAGCTTCTCGCGGCCCTTGCCGCCTCCGCCGAGACTATAATCGATAGGGTAGCCGGAGATATCGCAGATGACGTGGTTGGCGACGGTATAGCCGAAGACGGCGGGCATGGTGCCGAGGACGGGGAGAATCCGAGCCCGGAAGTCAGGAAGGACACTGAGCTCACCAACTTCGCCCTTCGAAAACTCGTCTTCCGCAAGAGGTAGGAGAGTCGCCTTGCCGGGGCCAGGGCGTTCGGTCGAAAACACCACGGGGATGCCCGAGTTCACGCCCATCAGTTTTAATCGTCGGCGAGTGCTGCGCGAGAGACGATCGTCCGTGCTCTCGGAGATATCGCCGACTGTCACGCGCGTGGGATCCGACTTGCATCCGGCACCCATGGATGAGATCACCGGGATTGAGTGCGCATGGCAGTAGTGCAGCAGCTCGACCTTGGAGGTGATGTTATCGATGCAGTCCAACACATAGTCTGGTTTTCGGCCCTGGTCGCTACCCTCGAACGCCCACGGAGCCAGTAGATCATCCGCTACCTCCCCTCCAAAGAGCTCGTTGCGGCAGTCGAATTGCGTCCACGGGGTGATCTGTTCCAGTCTCCTGCGAATACAGTGCACCTTGGGAGTTCCCACATCGGCCAGTGTAGCGAGCGCGTGTCGGTTTAGCGAGGACAGCGTCGCTTGGTCGAAATCGATCAGACGGAGCTTGGACACGCCCGAGCGAGCCAGAGAAGCGGCCGCGTGCGATCCAACACCACCGCATCCCACAACTATCACGAACGAGGAGCGGAGTTTCGCAAGGCCTTCATCGGTGAGGAAAACGCGGTTTCGAGCAAGTTGTTCGAGGATAAGATCTAAGCGAGCAAGGAGTTAGCAAATTGTCTCGGACAGTCGCAAAGAAAAACACCATCCGTACCATCGTCGTAATCGCCTTGTTGCGCCCTGCGCGCAAGAGCTGCACTCCGCTGATCTTCCTTGCTCAATTGCGGCGCAATGGAAGCACCGCCAAACTCTGTAAGCTGTGCAGGATTTTCCCATTAGCTGCCGAGCCAACTTGCGCATCGCATAACGGTGCGGGAATCACCTTCTCTGCATGATGTCTCTCGTTGATGTCCGGAATCGAATCTTTAAGCTCCGACACCGCCTCTTTTCGCTTATATGCCTGGTAGCCGAAAATAGCACCTGCAACAGCGGCTCCCGATAGCACAGCGGTGGCGGCAAGCTGTGTATTATGGGATGACATTCTCTTCGGGAATTGAAACTGCTGGGGTGGTGTGGTCCTTCAAATTTTTCTCCCCGACTCGATCCTGAGTACTCCGGCGGCGGGCTGTCGGTTTCAGAATATCTACGACGGACGGTTAGAAATACATGCCCGATCGCTTTCCAGTGACGTGGTCACCGACGGACGTGGCCGAACTAAATCACACCATCGTGAAACCAAAAAGAGTCCACTTACCATATCCACGTTAGACGCCTGTCGGATTGACTTGTTCATTGATCTTTCTTCCTCGACGCTTCCGGGCGGGACTGGCCGTTGGTCACGTGGACCCGCCCTTTTCTGCCGTCGCGTCATCTGCGTCTTGTCTTCGTTTCTTTTCGCAGTGTTGATCTCTCAGGTATGTTGGTGGCGCCCCTCCTCGGTCCGCCGATTATTGACTTGCTCGAACGAGTCGCTAATTCATCTTGTCTAGAAGGAGAAGACTCTCGCGATATCCCAATGATGACAAACTCAAACACATCAGAGCAACCTCATGACACCCCCGTTGTATCGCGTCCAGCCGGAACGAATACAGGCATTGGACTCCATCCTTCGCGCATCTTGCAACGAATGGAAGGAGACATTTGTCTGCGGGGTGGGTGATTGAGACAAGAACAGAGATCTAAGGGATTAAGCGCAACAACTTCTCATAATCGGGACCGGCCATCGCGTCGTGTCGTCTTTATTTCCGACTTCACTGCAGTTTGCTGCGGATCTATATCCGAGATTCGGACCCCGTTCTTGATGTTAGAAGGATCAAGTCTCTTGACATTGCTAGCTCAGGTCCGCACGCTGCTCTAAACGGTTCACTGACCTCTAGCCTATCCTCATATGTTCTTTGATCACCTTGATTCGACTTGCTCAACTAACCTCATGTACTATCGGAAATTTCCTTTGAGGAATCGCTAAGCAGCTTCCCACACACTCCGTACCACCTGGAATTGTCTATAAAGAGACGGCCATCCCTTGCATGGCCTCTTGGCCATGTTCATCCTTCGAATGAACTCTAGGTACACCCTCCAAAAACACTGAACACCAATTCCAGCACAACCCCACCCATTACAAGCCAACGCCTCCCACATGATGACAAAACATTATCTCAACACTCCGAGGCTGGTTTTCCAGTGCTCCGTCTGTTTCCTCGCAGTAACGATGTCGAGCATCCCCGTGAAGAGTGAATAAAAAAGTAGTTTTCAATCTGACTTGGCTGGCTTTGTTGCACTTATGTTTTTTTGTCTCTTCCATTACCCTGATTACTTTGTCCAGTTATCATGTTAGTTGTCAAGTGAGACGCTGCATGCACCCATTTACACATGTGCCAGATTTCCAAACACCTTGACCATGTTCCTTGGCTCTAGTACTCGATGCCTCATCTTGGTCTGAGTTCCAAACCCTGTGCATTTTTTTACTATCAATCAATTCAAGGCACAAGATTTTCTTTATCATTACCTCGGGGAGCTCACCGAAAGAAAACTATCGCGGAGATGCAGTCTCTGAATTTCCGCAATGAAAAGAAGATGGGGATGTTCGAAATCTATTTCCACTAAATGTTTGGCTTATTCTAATTCAGCATGTTCAGCTCTATCTTGTTATATACGACATACAAAACAATCTAATACATGGTTCCCCGTCTCGACGCCCTTACCCCACGGAATGCACATATTTACATCCAAGCACAGCGAGCGATCAGACAATTTTGGACTTGGCCCTTAGATGCGGCCCATAGCGCCGAAACACCAACGGGATGGGAATCATCACTGCAGCCAGACATCCGATCAAGGTGCCAGCCCACTGGATTCCAAGATTCTGGAACATCTGCTTGGTGAAAAGAGGAAACCCGGCAGCAACAGTCGATCGCAGAATGATATTGGCTGCAACGGCCGATGCAGCTCTGTCATTTCCGTTAGTCAAGATCTAAGGAATTTTGCCTGCTCCCGTTTCTCAGAGTGTCACTCACAGCGGCAAATAAGAATCAACCAGGTAGTTGAAACAGGGCAAGAAGATACAAAGAATGCCGAAGCCGATCAGGACGCCCGCGGCGGTAGGCGAAATCCAGTGAATGGAGGGTGTGAACGCCGTCCAGCTGAACCTGTTTCTCAGAATTAGCTTTGTCTGGTGGATGTGGGAAAGGAAAACAAACCAGAACACTCCCACGGTGAAGACTGGGCCGCCGATAATCGGAGGCAGCAGACGCCATTCGGGAACCGGCACGTCTTTATTGGCAACGAGCTTCCGTACGTATGAAGGCTGCTGGAGCAGAACAAAGGTACAGCCGAGTGCTTGACCGATGACGAGGCCGAAAAAAGTGAGGCCGCTGAGGCCCGCGTTCATGCCGTGGACTGTTTCGAACACATACGGATAGGCGACCAAGAGGGCATACACGAGGCCGTAGATGAAGGACATATAAAGGGACACCACCAGGATAATTGGCTCCGTGAAGAGCATCCGCACGGGACGGGTCAAATACTTCTCCATCAGCTCCCGGAAATCAACTTTCACCACCTCTTGCTTGGCGTGAATTCCCCAGTTCGAGGTCTTCTGGCGGAGGGCCTCTGCCTTCGGGACCAGTATGCATTGTGCGTACGTCTCCTTCAGAGTCAGCACGAACACAATACTCAAGGCAAATCCCATGAACGATGGGATGTACAAGGTCCACCTCCAGCCCAGGTAACTTGAGGAGATAAAGCCTCCAATGAACGGGCCGGTAAACGGACCAACGAACACAGCCAGGGAGTATACGGTAATGGCGGGCCCGCGGGATCGATTATCGAAGAGGTCCGACAGCACTGCAGGGACGACGGATAGCTGGCTCGCTCCGAACAGGCCCGCGAAAAAGCGACAGATGATCACCGTCTGGATGTCCTTTGCGACGGCGGATGCAATGGTGAAAAGGGCCCCGCCGAAGATGCCCACGGTCAAGGGTAGTCTTCTGCCGATCAGTTCGGACGAAGGTGCCCAAATCATTGGCCCGGACGCAAACCCGAGCACGAAGAGCGTTGTACCCAGGATGCCGACTTCATTGCTCACTCCGAATTCGCCAGCCACGCCGTCAGTGGCGGGGGCGAAGACTGCGCTAGCAAAAGAAGCTATAAATGTGCCAAGGCAAACTATAGTGGAGTTGTATAGCCTAAAGAGATCAGCGGATACCATCTCCGGTCAATGCGCGCAGCACCAAGTTGACTTACTTTGCCCAAAGGCTCCAATTGTATGGATGTGCCGGGTCGTCTGCACCATCGAAGCTCACGATGTAGTTTTCTTCATCCGGCAGAGACGGAGGGAAAGACTTTCCATCTCCCATGGTCATGGAAGAAACTGTTTCTGGATGTTTCTCCGACATATCACACTGCATGAAGGGACGTCGTCAGCCTACTGTGCGTCACGGTGGGAGCACGCAATCTAGAGCATACCGGGGCCTCGAGGTCGCTATGATCTGCAGCGTCTGCTTGCGAGCCCATGTTACAGGAATTGTCCAATTACGTGGTGATGGTGGCAACTTCGCGGAGTCGGTGTCGAACAGACAATGCATTCTCAAGAAACTCTCTCTCTCTCGGCGCAGAATGTACGGGACGTATCATTCTGCTCATATATTCGCCTGCAGCTAAAAGTTTGGCCTGCAGGACCGTCATCGTGGACGGGAGCGCTGAGTCAGCCACTCCCGCAATACCCGCTCGGGTCGATCATTTTTGATTAAATGCAAATCGACTTCGGCGTCATCGCTGCTTTCGCCATCCTAGACAGCCGGGGAATATTCTCAGGCAAGGGCTTGTTAGATCGAGTCAGAAAGCAGCGGCATTGAATTCCACCTCTCGATCTCTATTTATTGGAAGACATATCCTTCTGCTTTTCTGTCCGGATCCCTATCTTGTCTTGGCTGCTGTTTCAAGCAGGGTAAATAGAACCTGACACTATGACATCCGATGCCAGCCTCTTGGCACCGAAGGGTCTCGATCTGGACCCTCGCTGGGGCTTTGTCCCAAACCATTTCGTGCGGGCCGATCCATGCAAGTTTTGAAGGAACCCTTGCAGGGTAGTATGGCTTGAGGGTCGGGTATACCGAAGACCAGGGCATGTGCCGCATACCGAACAATGATACGTCCGGTTTCAAAGGCCCGGTGGGCCTATAATTCATGCATGCTATGAGCATTCGACTCTGCAACCTCAGCCCATATTTATCCGACAGTGGCCTATAAAGATTTCTGCCAAGACAAACACCCTGGAAATCCATTTCCTAGTCGCGGCCGAGCAACCCTATAGTTACTTCCCTCAAAGAGTGAGAAGTACATACAACCTGCCATGCTTAATATAGATTCCTACTGTGATCGACGGTCATTCAAGTCCTGGAATGCTTTTATCGGGTTTCCTTTTACGTAAAGGACATTTTCTAGACCTTGTAAGTCATCCTCTTTACTCCGTATAGCACTTTCACTTCTACCCCTTGCAATTTAGAGACGCGCAACTCCGGTGGCGTGTGCAGCTTGCTTGCGCATGCTATACTATCCAAGCGCAGAATTCTGTCGGGCAATGTCCTCATTCAGAGCTGAAGTCCCACGCCAAGACGATAGTTGATGGCATCAGCCAGGAGGGCATCGTCAGGCTCAGCTAGCCAGGTTGACGATTGTGACGGGCTTCGTAGTATAAATATACGGTCGATATCGAGGAATGGATATTCTCATCAGCACAGAAAATCTCCATCGCACAGGCTTCAAGTCCCATATCTACAGGGCATTCCTCTCCTTTCTTTCCGTTCCATTGACCCCTTGACCTGCACTTCCAACCAAAGCATTGCCAATTCGTCATGCGATACACCAACCCATCGACACCTTCGGCCACTCATGTCCACGCTGCCATCGTGGGCATGGGCCCCAGGGGCACCAGCGCATTGGAACGTCTCTGTGCATCGGCCGGTGAATTCCTGTCTCCCGGCGTCCGCTTGACCGTCCACGTCGTGGATCCGTCACCGCCAGGAGCCGGCCGGGTCTGGCGCACCGAGCAGTCGTCCGAGCTGCTGATGAACACCGTGACGTCGCAGGTCACTCTCTGGACCGACGACAGTGTTGTATGCTCTGGCCCCATCCGCAACGGACCCAGCCTCTACGAATGGGCCGCGCAAGAGAAGCTCGATCTGGGGCCGGACGAATACCCGACCCGCGCACAATACGGTCACTACCTTCAATGGGTGTTCCGCGAAGTCGTCCGCAATGCGCCTCCCCAGGTTGAGATCGTAGTGCACTCCGCTCGCGCTGTTCAGCTAGACGATTCCGAGGATGACCGCCAGACGCTCCAACTATCCAACGGGCGCATTCTCTCCGGTCTATCCGCTGTCATCCTCTCTCAGGGCCACGTCCCCCTTGTCCACGACCCTAAACTCCAGCAAAATGCCGCCTATGCCTCCCAGAACAACCTCCGCTACATTACCCCGTCCAACCCGGCGGACGTCGACCTCTCGTCCATCCAGCCCGGCGAATCCATCTTCCTGCGCGGCCTCGGCCTTAACTTCTTCGACTATATGGCTCTCCTGACCACCGGTCGCGGCGGCCGTTTCATCCGCACCACCAGTGGCTCCCGGTACATTCCCTCGGGTCGCGAGCCTCGCATCTACGCCGGCTCCCGGCGTGGCATCCCATACCAGGCGCGTGGCGACAACGCGAAAGGCGCCTACGGGCGACACATGCCCTTGCTGTTCACGAACGAGGTGATCGAAGGGTTCCGGCGACGCGCTGAATCTGGATCCGCGCACCACCACCCGCCCGACTTCTTAAAGGAGATCTGGCCGCTAGTCTGCAAGGAAGTTGAAACAGTCTACTACGAAGCGCTCCTCCGACAACACAAGCTCGACGAGCGCGATTTCCGCGCGCAGTTCCTGGCCACCAAGCATCAGAGTCCCGAGGAGAGCCAGGTCCTCAGCGATTTTGGCATCGACGAAATCCACCGCTGGTCGTGGGACCGCCTCTCCCGCCCTTACGGCGAACGACGCTTCACGGCCGGTGTCTGGCGCGACTGGCTGCTCGAGTATCTGCGTGAAGATGCCCGCGAGGCCGCGCTCGGCAACCTCAACGGACCTTTGAAGGCGGCGCTGGACGTGATGCGCGACTTGCGGAACGAGTTACGTCTCGTGGTGGATCACGCGGGCGTGTCGGGGTTCTCGCACCGCGATCATCTCGACCGCTGGTACACGCCACTGAACGCGTACGTGTCGATCGGGCCACCCCGGCAACGCATCGAGCAGATGGTTGCGCTGATGGAGGCCGGCGTTCTGGATGTGTTTGGGCCGCGGCCGACAGTGACAGCCCAGGACGGCGCGTGGGTGGTGCATTCACCCGAGGTGCCTGGGTTGAAGGCCCGCGTGACGACTCTGGTCGAGGCGAGGCTGCCGGAGCCGGATGTGCGACACACTGGCGACGAGCTGATGGCGCATCTCTTGCAGACGGGCCAGTGTCGGCCCTACACGGTGGATGGGTACGAGACCGGGGGGCTGGCCGTGACGAAGAGCCCGTACCATGTGGTGGATGCGCAGGGGAGAGCGCATCCCAGACGCTTCGCGGTGGGTGTGCCGACGGAGGGTGTGCACTGGGTGACAGCGGCGGGTGCCAGACCTGGCGTGAACTCGGTGACTCTCTGCGATACGGACGCTGTGGGAAGAGCGGCGCTGTCGATGGCCGTGGCTGATGTTGGAGTGGTTGAGAAGCCGGAAGCGAAGGGCAAGTGGCCGTTTGTGACTGTTGCGGCGGCTACAGTTGATGTGGTATAAAATTCTGGGTTATTTGTGCTGGCTTTTTTCTTTAACTGATTTATTCGGGGACATTATTTGACTTGCAGAAGGGATAGTTTTTACATTTGGGGAAGATTTCTTTTCGGTTGGGTTTATAGCAGTGGAATTGCATATATTGGAAGTATTGTTCCTTAATAGAGCTTGAATTGCAGTTTTATATACTCTTTTATATTGCTTAGTTAGCCTTAGCTCTTGTACCCCGATCGTCAACTTGGGTCTTTGATTTAATATCCTTTCGAAGCAGGGTAACTTGCTTTTACCAACTAGACTAAATTTTCCAGCTAAGGAGATGGTCAGTCCTTGAAGCACACAATAACTCAACAGTTTAGGTAGGTAGTTCAAGAGTAATCAGCTTCTCAAATAGTGAATGGTTAACTCAATTTACTAGGAACCTTACATGGCAATCAAGCGCCTACAAATCTAAAGAAGGCAAAGGTAGAACAATTCAGTCAGTTCAATAGACCCCAAACAACTATAGCTAATTCCAAGTAAACAATAGCCACACCTATCTCCAAAATATCTCCCCATCCATTCCATCACAACTAAACAGTCTGATATATATTGAACCCAAACACACCAACCCCGCTATTACCATAGATTAACCCACCACCTCCATCCCCTCAGGCCTTACATATTCCCCGTTCGCAATCATCTCCAGAATCGTCTTTTCCGTGACCATCATCGCCTCCACGCCGGCCGGCGTCCCACAATACACCATGGAATGGATTACGGCCTCTCTGATTTCTAGCTCCGATACCCCGTTGTTGATGGCTCCTCGCGTATGCAGCACTAGTTCTAGCCATGCTTTTTGGGCAATGATAATTCCGATGGCTGCGGTTTGTCTGTTAGTCTAGTTGTTTTCTTTGGGGGTAGGTGGATTTTCCTGCTGGGGTTGGATAGGAGATTTGTTCTTTTCTACATATATGTGCGTGTTGAGGGAGGGGAGAGGTGGACTTACTTAACAGACTACGCTGCTTCCGATCAAGTCCCTCTCGCTGCCATACATTGGCCCAGGCATATTCGGTGATCAATTGTTGTCCGGGCCGTGTGAACGGCGACGCCTTGTCCCAGGCCCGGTTGACGTATTCGCTGCCTAGGACCTGGCGACGGACTTCGAGGCCTTGTTCTAGGGGTGTAGAGGGGGTGTCGTTTGTGTCTAGTTTGGGGTATGTGGACATGATGAATGAATTGGGGTTGGAGGTGGTTATCCTCGTGATCAGGAGGGGAAGATAGTAAATTAAAATCAGATTAAAGAGAGGGGGGGGAGAAGAAGGAACACTGGAGAGTCAAGATGTAAGCACAGTGTCTGTCGCAGATGGAATGGCAATTTATTACGTGCTCTGCTCAGCAAAAGACTGCATCGATTTGTACTTATGTTTCTTACCTCCCTAGTCTAACTACCTAATCTATTTATGCTTTCGACTACTGTATACCATATGCAACCGCTGCAGGGACTTGTTCTTCAGCGACGCCACCGCTGGTCTTGGTGCACTAACTAGTTCGTTCATCCCTGACAGGGCTGCTTACATACATATGTAGTACATAATACATACATAGATTGATACTGACCTGTCCGGTGTAGATCCACCGGAGAAAATCGATAATAATATACTTTCCCTAGGCGATCCACCGGAACGGACCCGGCTTAACCCCCGAACTCTAAAAAGGGACCCCTTCAACCCTGCAAGGCGTTGTCCGCAATACCCGCGCCCTTCCCGTTCCGACAAACCCGCAGTGGCCGGCCGCATTCCATGATTCTGTTTGTCGTCAGTTTTGTTTTCGCCTTGGTTTTAGCCCGAGGTAGAAATTGAGAGAATGAGGCCGAAGCTGCTGAATCCTTGCCATCGGTTGAATTCGACATTGCCACCGTTCTTGATGAATTGCTGATCAATGGGGATGGGTGGGCACGCTGTAGTTAGCTGCTGGCAAGAAATACTACTTCGTATAGATACTACTCCGTGCCAGGATCCCTGTCTATGTTTGTTTTTCGCATGTGAAAGTTCTGAATAACGCTGCTACCCTCGGAATAAACTCTGCGGCGATATCGTGAAAGTCAATGTCACTGCAACAAAAACAAGTTGGTGAACATGCCTTCTACATTGTCAGGGCCTAAGGGACCTGATCACATGACCAATCACATGACCCACAACGTCAACGGCCACAAGGAAGCTTCATCCGTTCTGCGCACATCTGATAGCGAGTTGAACCTCGATATACATACAGTACAATCAAGCATGATGGTTCCTACATGAGACAGCTTTCTGTTCGCAACCAGAACACTCACCCGGTACTATCGATAACAACAACAACGGAGAAGGCCTGAATAGGTACAGTCCAGTTCAGGGGATCTGGTTTGTTTACCTGTAACCTACCACCTACCTAGCTAGCTAGTTAGGGAGCTTGGTATGCGCATATGTGTACAATCTCATGCGAAGTACATACATCGAATGTCTGAACATATAGACTACTCCATCCTGATATCCCAGGCTAACTCTGCTCCCTACGCCTGACTTCTTCTCTCCTGACGAACAAACAAGCACACACACTTACCGAACTAATAAAATCACACCATCGTCCCATCCCACCCATAAAATATTTACATACTGCAACACATACTCCCTACAGCTATCCTACCTAGTTATTCTACAGCATTCATTCCCAGCCCGATGACGAACAAATCAAAAGCCAAAGTTGCAGGATATCCGACAACTACCGTGCGTGTCTACATGGATTCGCGCACGACACTCTCTGTCTGGAAATCAATGAGAACCTGAGAGCTAATCTGAGGGTTTGGGATTGTCTATGTCTATTATTGTTTTTTCTTGTTGTTTCCAATTTTGATGTTTGATGTTTGTTGGTTGGGGGTTGGGGGTTCTTTCTATGGCGTTCGGAGATGTGGACTGGTTTTCACAGTGATGGGAAGGTGGATTTGCATAAGTTTCGAAAGTGAATTGACTTGGTTTTGATTTTTTGTGATTTGATTCATGACTCGTGATGTAGACACCGTAGGAGAAGATATGGAGAATGGTCTAAGAAAAGGAGAGTGGTGGGAAAAGATCTTGGGCTAAGAAACACAGGGACCGTATATACAGCACAACACAATACATTCATGAGGTAAACCAAACACATCTTATGATTCATCGCTGACCCGCTTCATATACAGAAAAAGAAACGAAAGAAAATAGGGTACCATGGGAAGGGGGAGTAGATACAAGGATTTAAATTCCTCACTGCAAGAACTTTTGCAAAGCACCACCGATATTCTTCAAATCTAGCAGAAACGTGTCATGTCCGAACATCGACACGTCCTCGCCCAGCTCCACATGCTGAACGCTCTGGTTCCCCCCGGCGCGCAGGGTCTGCGCGATCTCGCGCTGCTGCCACGCAGGGAAGAGGATGTCGCTGGCAACGCCCATGACCAGAACGGGATGGTTCTTCAGGGGTGCGAGACCCGCGACGAGGTCCTGCGGCGGGGCGTCCGAGCCTGCGTCGGCCCCTGCGACGGACTGGTTCATGGCGGGCGTGGACGCCGTCACGGAGGGCTGCTCCTCGTACGGTTTCTCCGGTAGGGTGAGACTGCAGGCGATGTCGCTCTGGTTCAGATCCTTGCCACCCTGGGCGATCTTGGTCTCGTATTCGTTGCGGCGGGCCTTGGTCTCCACCTGGTGGGCGTGGCCGAGGTCGAACAGGTCCATGGCCTTGGAAACGTAGAGGAGACTGTTGGGGTCGTATTCCAGGCAAAATTTCTCCCCGGCGTGGTCGAGGTAGGTCTCGATGAGGAAGTCGGCGCACAGGGCCGGCTGCTTGCTCGGGTCGGCGCGCTTACGACCGAAGCGCATCTCCCACTCCGGTCCACTGCGGTAAGTCACCGTGGCGATTTCTCGAGCCAGTTTCATGCCCGAATGCGGCGGGACGGAGTCGTAGTAGAACCCACGCGCCCACTTCGGGTCCATCATCAACACCTGGCGCTGGGTGTGGCGCATGGCGATGCTGTAGGGGTGGCTGCGCGCGCATCCGCTGATACTGACGATTTTCTCGATCCGCTCGGGGAAGAGGACGCCCGCCGCCAGACTCTGCATGCCGCCCATACTGGAGCCCACGGAGGCATACAGCTTCCGGATGCCCAGCGAGTCCAGCAGACGGAACTGGGCCCGCACCATATCGTCGATCGTCAGGATGGGGAACCGCGTGGCGTATCGCTTGCCGTCGGAGGGGTCAAATGATGACGGCCCCGTGCTGCCGTAGCATCCCCCGATCACGTTGGTGCAGATGACAAAGTACTTGTTTGTGTCGATGGGCTTGTCCGGCCCGATGAACTTCTCCCACCAGCCGGGTTTCGGGTTCGCCTCGGTGCTGTGCGCATGGCTCGACGCCGACAGACCGGTGTGCAACAGGATGGCATTGCTCTTGTCCGCGTTCAACTGACCCCAGGTTTCGTACGCGACGTCGAATTCCGGCAGCACGCCGCCCCAGTCGAGTAGCAGCGGGTCCTGGCAGCGGTATTGTTCGTGATGGCCGGTGGTGTAGGAGGGTTCGGGGCCGGACTCGAGCGATCGGGCGGAGAGGAGCGCGGACTTTGCTTCTTGAGCGTCAAGACAAGGGAAGGAAAGGGCTGGGTTGGAGGAGTCTTTCGAGGAGGGGTTCTGGGCGATGGCGGACTGCGCGTTGCGAGCAGAGATGCTGGACAACGTCCTGCGGCCTGCGGAGGTCGGGAATCGATTCCTACCGGCGAAGCTGCAGATGCTCTCGGTTTGCCTGAAGAGTCCCACAGCTCGCAGGCTGCGGGGAGCTGAGCGTGCTACACCCTGCATAGGGCCCATGACTGACTGACAGGTTGAAGTTGATCAATCGCTGGTCAGTCAGGAAAATGAGGAAGTTGGAGCAGCGACGGAAAAGTTGTCGGAGAGAGCGTCGTTATAGTCATCGTCGCCCGATTTCGCAGGCGGAGAGGCAGCCTGAGGCAGCAACCGCCGGAAAGCGCATGGCGTCATCTGCGAGGGCGGTGATTGGCCGATGCTCTACTATACGATTAGATAATCACTCTTGTACGGTGCAACGGAGTAGACGTTTTTATTTTCTATCCAGATTCACTTCAAAATATGATAGATGAGATGGAATACGGAATACAGAGGTCTATACAGGCAAGTATTTCTGGAGGACAGTCTCTCCGACTCCCCTCACAACCGCACAAGGATGATAGGCGAGTTTGCCGTGATGTTGAGTCCCGCGACATACATGCATCGGCGATTGCCCTCACAGTTGGCATGAAAGACCATTCTTGTCCCATCCGAGGATACGGTGGCACCCCCCGGGGACTCGAGGTCAAAGTCGCCCTTCTTCAGCAGCGCCCGGGAAGCCCTCGTATACGGTCCTTTCAGCGACATCGAGTAGGCATATTTGATGTCGTACAGAGGCGAGGTGAAACAATGGGAAGAGAAAAAGAGATAATAGACCCCCTCATCTGTCCGGATGAGATTTGGAGCCTCCACCAGCGGCCCATCACTCTTTTCATTCGTGAGGATCTGGACGGGATCTCCGACGGACGTGACGCCGTCATCGTTCAGCTCCTGCAGCATGATCGGGACGGGTACTAAGGGTTTGATGCCGTTGTTGCAGTCTCCGCCGTGACCGATACTGTTTCCGTCGGCCTTGTAGACAACGTAGAGCTTTCCGTCCTCGTCGCGAAACGGGGACGGGTCAATGGCGCCGCCCCGGTCGCGCAGGCAGGCCAGAGGCTCATGATGGGGATTATAAGGCCCCCGAGGATCGTTGCCCTTCGATACGGCAACTCCTACGCAGTGATGGCGTCGCCAGTCTTTGAGTTCGCCGGAGTAATAGAGCACGTATCTCCCGTCGTCCTACCTGCTCGGTCAATTGTTCGTACTACCTCGCTTGGCTGTTGACGTTTGCTTACCCGTTGAATCACGTCCGGGGCCCAATGATCGACCTTGGTCTCCCAGTCCCCGATGGTAGGCAGCGCATCGTACTCTTTGATGTGCGTCCAGTTCTTGAAGTTGGTGGAAGTGGCTACGGGAACGTGCGGGACGTGCGTGTCGTTGACTGCTGCATTGGTGCCGTGGGCGAACCAGGTCCCGTTGAGATGGAGAAGACCCGGATCAGGGAAGTTGTCGACGACGAGAAGAGGACGGTTGGCCATATCGGCATAGCTGGGGTCGTCGGATTTTCGTCCTGTCAACAGCACGACGGGGACGGTAATGACAACAACAATAATCGCAAGTCCCAGTAGGCCGGAGACTAGAATCCACGTGCGCTTTCTTGTCCATGTACTGGAGAGTTTCTGGATGAACGATAGTCCCGGTTTGGAGGGCAGGGACGGCTTCGGGACTCCATCTGCTTTGTCGTTGGAGGAAACCGTCGAAGGGGTCTCACTGCTTGGAGAGCCCGGGGGAGCATTGGGTTCCATCTCTCTTCGACGAGATTCGCGCTACCAGCATTTGTCGCCGCAATTGGAGCAGCTTATACTTAGAACAAATTTCTCAATGTAAAAAGAAATTACAAGGAAGAATACTAGAAATAACGGTGAGCAAAGACAGCCAAAGCGCGGGCTGGGGTTTAGGCTTAAGCATAATGATAGCGGCCGAGCAGTCAGCACGCAAGCCGGTGGCCCAATGTCTAGAATCTAGTGGTAAGTAGGGACGATCGGTTACTGCAAATCTCGAGTGGATCACTGGATCCTGCAAAGTTTTTACTCCGTACTCCGTAAGTATCTCCATCGTGGTTAGTTAGATCTTGAGGAAACTGTAGTTATCGGTCTCGTGGGGTTGTCTTGGCTGTCCGATTGCGGTCAATGCAAGCGCCTCTCTTGCAAGGAAATTCAAGATAAGGACAGAAACGACCGTGGCGTCATCCAAGTCGATGATTATGACTTGCTCAAAACCTGAAGTTGAACAGCCGGATGGAACATCCGGCCTCACGATGCAGTCGAACGGGAGGGACGTCGTATCCCGCTCGCAGCGCATCCACGGACGCCGTGCGCCACAAGGGGGAAGAAGGTACAGAATCCAGATGCTTTGATGCTAGAGGATATCGCAGCTGCACCGTTGCAGCGACGGTGGAGCCATGGCCGAGGTCCACGTGTTTCAGCCTGTGCCTGTGCCTGTGGCTGTTAGCGATGAAGATTGAATCGATTAATCTACGCGAGACTGACAGATGGAATATAGTTAGGCCAAGGCCGAGCTGCAGGATATGACGCGGCGTGACCGGGGTAGAGAACAGGGGACTCTTCACTCTTCATCTTCACATCTGCAAGTAGAGAGAGAGATAGTTGAAAGGTCATAATTCATAAAACAGGGAACTCCCGACCGTGGATGGCCAAGTCCAGACTCCCGACTTGCCGAAAACGGCCAGCAAAGGCTTCACGAGGAAGTTGGGCCATTTCCAAGGATCCGGCGGGGAGGAACGTGTCCCTGCCTGTAGATTGCAGTACTGAGTAATGTCGATGTTGATCCAAGGAATCGCGATGATCCCCCCTTGCGAAGATAATCTCCGCTCCTTATAAGGCCTGACCGTCCTCCTGTTCTTCCTTACATTGTACATAGTAAGCTAAATAAAACTCCCGAGTTGTCGTCATCGCCGTTCCGTCCGCGCGGACTTTGGACGCCACCGCCGACTTGGCTCCACCGTCGCATTTTCTCTTCACTTCTCGTTTTTCGCGATCTTCGATTCTCGACTCGACTTCCTTGCAGGCAGCGAGATTCTGTCTCTCCCATCCCGGTCAATTCCTCTTCCTCTGGTCGGCAGATCCTGAGGAAATCCCACCGTTTCGATCACTTCCACCATATTCCGTCTGAGGCAGACATGTTGGGATCGTAGCTGCTTCTGCGGTGGAACGAAACGGTTGAAAACTCGATATCATAACGGTCATTCCTGATCGTCGGCGGAGCTGGCGGAGAAGCTCGTGGCTTGCTCCCCTCCTTTCGCAATTGCCTGTCGATCCAAAAATCCACTCCCTTCCGGCTCTTTTCTCGCCCTTCTCTCGCCTCCTTTGACCAACGATGCTCACCTTTCGCAAAGCCCTCGTCGCGGCCGTCCTCTTGATCGCCTTCATCGCCCTCATCCGGTCGTCGCATTCATCTGCCTCCCCCGCGCCGTCTCCCCTCCCCGTCTCCGAAGAGATCGACCGCGACGAGAGTTATGCAACGGAAGAACGGCCCCCGAGTCAGAAAACGGCCCGCGTCCAACAACAGCCCCTCGAGCCACCGGCCAGCGCTCCCTTACGCGACCGGTTGCGATATCAATTTCCCTACGACCTAGACGGCAAATTTCCCGCCTACATCTGGCAGACCTGGAAGTACACCCCGGGCTCGCTGTGGTTCACCCCGGAACTGCGCGATGCCGAGGCCAGCTGGACCGAATTGCACCCGGGGTTCGTGCACGAGGTCATCCCGGACGATACGCAGCGCCATCTGATCAAGTACCTCTACGGCTCGGTGCCCGACGTTTTTGAGGCCTACGACTCAATGCCACTGCCCGTCCTCAAAGCTGATTTCTTCCGCTATCTGATCCTACTGGCGCGCGGCGGCATCTACAGCGACATCGATACAACGGCCTTGAAACCGGCGCTGGATTGGTTGCCGTCGGAGTTTGACCTGTCGACTGTCGGCTTCGTCGTCGGCATCGAAGCCGACCCCGATCGCCCGGACTGGCACGATTGGTACTCGCGTCGCATCCAGTTCTGTCAGTGGACCATTCAGGCCAAACCGGGCCACCCCATCCTGCGCGACATTGTGGCCTACATCACCGAGGAGGCCCTGCGGATGAAGAAGAAGGGCATTCTCAAGACGGGCAAGATGGACAAGACGATCGTCGAGTTCACTGGTCCGGCCGCTTGGACGGACGCCGTCTTCCGCTACTTCAACAATCCGGACTATTTCAACATCGAGCCGGGGTCGGACCTGAACGTCACTTATGAGGATTTCACGAACCAGGAGGGGTACAAGAAGGTCGGCGACGTGGTGGTTCTGCCCATCACCAGCTTCAGCCCTGGCGTGCAGCAAATGGGAGCTCAGGATATCGACGATCCAATGGCGTTCGTCAAGCATGACTTTGGAGGTAAGTTATTCATTCTCGTGGCCTTGGTGTTCAACATGCTAATGATTTCTTTTTCTTTCTTTTCAGGAACTTGGAAATCCGACCCTTCTCTATAACGGATACCGGAGAAGGGCTTCTATATAATGCACTGTCTCATGACAGATAGCTATTCCCACCCCTGGCCGACAGGGCGGCTTGTCTCGGACAAGCGGGGGAGAAGCCATCCTATTATCAAGACTCTCCTCTTTCGCAGGATCCTTATTTGACCTCAGCGAACTACTTCGGATTCGTCTTCGACATCCAGTCCGGCTTTCTTTCATCCGAGTTCTGCCCTAGAAAGACCGAACTCTACTTCTTCATCTACGCATCCAACATGAGACAATGAGCCATGTCCTACTCATGCCACGCATGACTTGCCACACCATATCTTTATCCTCACAAAAAAACAGGTAATGAAAAAGGAGGAAACGAACCGCGCTTCTCATGGTGCCGGTACTATCACCTACCTACTTACCTGACATCCTCAATTGAAGTTAATTTTCTCAGACTGAAACGACCTCATCCTTTTACCGAATTGTATATCATCATTCCTCTTATCTCCTCCCCTCCCCTTCGCAGGTCTCGGTCATTGTCTGTGTCCGTTCTCCGTACACTTTCTGTCTTCGCGGTTCTCTTCCTCTTCATCCTGCTTCATGTTTTAGAAAGGAGATGTATCCCTCTTTTCCAGCTCTTCTGTTCCTTGGACCTTTTTTGATTCCCATTAGATACTTACTTACTTTAGTCACTTACTTTATGTAGATGAGTTATGTTGTATTGTATAGAATTTTGAATTCACTTTCCATTCCATGACTTGTTCATTATTGTAAGAAATTCACTGGTTCCTCTAGCCGCCGCAGTAAAGTACACACACACACACACATATCCATGGATGCGTACATCCAAACATACATACATACACAGCTGATAATCAACTCATAAGAAAATAGTGTCTTAATTGAAGAAATCGTGCAAGCTCACGTTAGAGAAAAATCTCGATTTCCCATTCATAGATATACAAGGACTACGTATACACTCAATAGATCCATTCAGGTTTTCGCTACTAGTTAAAAGAGAAAATGAAAGCAAGAGGAAGAACGGAACTCACAAAACATCGAAATTATTTTGACCTGGATGTTCAATCGATTTTGATGAATTGACGGTGCCCGGTTCCAGGGTTGGGTTGTGCGTTGTCATATCAAGCTTTTTCGTTTTGCTTGGGTCGTTCTGATTCCGCTCTCTCCTCGGATGTTTGTTGAGGCCTGCTTGAAAGAAAAGAGATAGATGATCGGTTGTACATGATTGGAAAGTATGAAATATTGGGAATTGTAGGATGGGGCAGGGTGTAGAGCGCGAGGAAATAATACAGAGAAGATATCTCATAGATTCATGTAGATATATAACCCCGGTCACAATAAAAGGAAGAAATATTAGAAAAAGCAAAAGAAACGCTAATAAATCAGGTCTGAGTATGAATCCGTCAGGTTGCCTGCATGTATGCCGGCTGTGAGCAATGGAGCAAAGCAAATTTCACTTTCGTTGTCGTAACTTCGTCGTCAAGTATGATGCTTGGTTTTTCGCCCAATAATCCCCAATCGAAAACCAACAAGTCAATAGATACGACTCCATTAAACACCCAAGTTTTTCTCGCTGGCAAATTTGAAAGATTAGAAAAGCGGATGGCAGATGGCAGATGGCAGATGGATTTTAAAGGTGGCAAGATCGGCGGCAACGTTTTTCAAGCATATTATATTTATATCAGACAATTCGGTGAGCAGGACTGGTAGGCAAAAGTCTCATGTGTGGAACAAAATTGCATAAACGGCCCTCGGGGCCTGGGTGTTGAATATCAGATTAAGCTGTCGGTCAGAGACAGGAACGAATTGAGCGGTACTCGGATTGTAGACGATATCCAGCCGCCAATCACCGAGTTTCGAAAGAATTATCCTGTGTGAAGTTCGGAGGCTTCTGTTCTAGGGTCTACTCCGTAGCACTTCGAACCGTCCGAGGGGCGGATAAGAGGTCCTTGAAGTCTACTCGAGAGCTCTGACATCAAAAGTCGCTGAACAAAACTTCGTACTTTTTCCTCAACTCGTCGGTGTAGACCGCCGTTGCCTTGGAATCGGGGTCGGGGTACTCTTCGAAGTTTCCTGTGTCGGCCGGATGGTCGACTCTCGGAATGATTGGTCCCTTGATGCGACGGTAGAACAGATCATCCCAGTTGATGTCCTCGAAGAAGGGATGAGCTTTGACCCGAGCAGATCCGCCGGATATGTATCCGAGTCGCTCCGTTGGATTCGTCTTGCAGAGTAACGAGATGATGTTCTGGGCTGCGGGCGACATGCCTTGGGGAAAGCGCAGTCGGCCTTCGACAATCTGTTCGTAGATCCGCATTGGATTTTGGTCCCAGAACGGAGGTTGCCCAACCAGGAACTCGTATATCAGAATGCCCAATGCCCACCAATCCACCGCGAGCCCGTGTCCGCTATTGTGAATGACCTCGGGGGCGAGGTATTCCGGCGTGCCGCATAGCGTATACGTTTCGCGATCGCATACTTGTTTGGCAAATCCGAAGTCGACCAGTCTGATATGTCCATCGGCGTCCAGGAGGATATTCTCGGGTTTCAAATCACGGTAAACGATTCCTTCGACGTCGTGGAGGAACTCGATCGTCAGCGCGATTTCGGCCGCGTAGAATTTGGAGGTGTTCTCGTTAAATCGTCGCGCACGTCGTAGATAGCTAAATATTTCGCCTCCGGGGCAGTAATCGAGCTAGAGGGAAATGTCAGCAAGGGTGGTACAGAGGATTGGGGCTGACGGGGCAGGTCCAGAGGACGGCAAATTGCATCGTGCAGGACCAAGAGGCACATACCAGCATATACAGACTTTGGTCGTCCGAGAACGTGGCTATTAGCGTTGTGACAAAGGGGTGGCCGGAAACCGCTGCGAGTGTTTTTCGCTCGTTGCGTACATGTTCGACCTGCTTCAATTTGATCACTGGACCGGGGACATCAGCTTTGTCTGGCGGGAGACGAGTATTGAGCCATGCTTACCATCCGCCTTGCGTAGGATCTTGAGCGCGTAGACTTTATCCCTCCGCTGCACTTCATCCTTCATTCTCACCAGCCATACCCGAGCGAAAGTGCCTGTGTTTTGACAACGTGGCTTGTGAGCCCTCAGAGACCCATACGCAGGCGATTCATCGAAGCTTACCTGTACCCAGGGTCTTCAGCAGAGCAAAGTCGTCTACCGTCAGGCTACGGGTGGATATCCCGAGGTGCTTCTCCTCCGGCCGTTCGGTGATGACGAAAGGGCTCATATGTCGCTGGTTTGGCGGTCGGACCGAAGCTACCATTTGTTTTTCTCGTTCATGAAGGTCGTCAGACTTCGCGTCGGATCTCTTCGAGGGAATGGAGGAACCCCGGACCTCACTAGTAGAGGAAGGGTTGACCGTTCCTGTAGCCATCGGGATGGCCAGAGATCATGTCTCGGAGGACGGCGGGGACGGACAAGATGAAGGAGAGAGAGAGAGAGAGAGACAGAAAAAAAATAGATAAGAGCGGAAGGCGGCAAGACAGCAATTGGACGAAGTTAGAGAGAGCAAGGTGTCGGTAGAGGGAAAGCAACGGGATCGTAAATCGTCATGGATCGTCTAGATCAATGGGCTCGAACAGGGAACAACTAGCCAGAGCGAGATCAATCAACGAGATAGAGATAAGGGGGGAGGGGCAAAGCGCGGGGGAGAATGAAAGGGAAGATCCAAGGAATCGGGGGCAGCGAGAAGTCGCTCCGTCGCCCTTCCCTGCCGTCTGCTCGGCCTCTGACGTTACCGCGTTGGCGGGGCAAACAGTGGACGCCGCGGACCCCTTCGATTCCCATGGTTGACCCCGTGCTCGATGATGTTATATGCTGCTATTTTGATCGGTCGGTGGTAGTATCATCCTGATCGCGGCAGGAGTCTACTTTGGGTGCGAAGAGGAAGATTCTGGTGCCATCGCTACAGTGTATTCTGTCCCTCATGATCCAATGATCGACATAAGCGCAGTTCCCAAGTAATTATTCATGGCCCCTTGTCCAACAAGGGGTGCGCAGCAAGCGTCAAGATATGCGGGAGATGCCGGTTGGATGGGAATTTCTGTTCGCGATAGAAACAATCCCCATTTTCCACGGTTCAAGGGGTTCTGGGGGAACGTTCGGGAAAGGCAAAATTGCCCGTTCCAGTGGGAAGATGTAATAAAAGAAGGTCATGGTCAATAGCCAAGCTTTTCTCCATTGGCATGGCTTGTCGGAAGGGAGTATTTGCAAACCCCTGGCATCAGGATAGCCACATGAAGAAGTTGATGAACAAAAGGAAGAGGGAAGAAAGGGCAGGGCGGAAGGAGAAACAGAAGATATATTTTGACGTCTCGCAGTCGGGAAAACAGGAGTAAAACTACACAAATCAGGAGCAACGTCCTTCGAGGTTGACAGCTGGCACCACACACCATCCAAGTCCTCGCACAAGTTCGTAATATCAGCCATTATATGATTGTAATGGACCGAGGATCGATTGTTAGGGTGGGATTGAGAAATTGACCGCCAATGTCCCTATAGTCAGACTCGCAACACCTCCTTCCGTGTGGGAACTTGACAGAATGTAGATGGATGTGCCTGTCGGGGAGTCCTCTCTACTCCGTACGGGACCATTGCATTGTACAACGGGGAAAGAGAGGAACCGCTGGGTGATGGCGACGAATAGCTGGATGTAGATCCCTCGTTAGAGTCCAATTGACCCCACAGATCCGCCAATCCTGCTGATTACCGAGACCACTGGGAGAGAGGACTGAGGAGTGTTGATAGTTGATTTTTTGATATGTAGACAAATAAATATATAGATACAGGAGTCGAGAGTGAATAGTTCAATTGTATGAAATAATTTGGGATAGCGACGGGAATATAGAAACGTAGGTGATGAAATCGATAGAACTCGGACAATGATATGATGATAATCAACGGATTGAATGATGATAATTGACCAGAAAGAGAAGAAGAAGAAGAAGAAGAGAAAGAAGAAAGAAGTGGTTCCTGTTGACGACCGTAGCGGCCGAAAGGGGCAAGGCGTGACATGTGCCTTCTTCCCCGTGCTTTGGCTGCTTTGCTTTGCTTGGATTTATCGGCTTCATCCTTTCTTCTTCGGTCTCCCTTTTCCTTCTTCTCTCCTCCCTAACGCCCGGCGGACCCTCCTCTCCCCTCCCCAATTCTCGTCTACACTCCCGACGGGACCTCGACTCGACTCTCTCCCTCTCTTTCTCCGCCTTCTCTCTACCTTCCCTCCTAATCAAAACCTCTTCACCTTACCCCCCACCCACCCACACCTGCTCCTCTCCTCTCCTCTCTTTCGTCCCCCCCCCGATTCTTAACCTCTTCTCTTTCTCTCTCCTTCTCTTTTTAGCCCTCTCCTTCACTCTCCTCCTACCCCCCCTCCACACCTTCACTCTCTCTCTCTCTTTCTTTCTTTTCTTCCCTTGTCTCTCTCTTCTTGTTCCCTCCACCCCTTGTGTTCGGGACTGGAATCGATCGGAAGCAGCTCCGAGGGAGGATGCTGAGGGTATGAACTTACTGGGGCCCTGGCTTGCGGTTGCGCTCACGGCTAGCGCTCTTCCATCATTGGCACAGGTCTCGACGCCTTTCGCCAGGCACTGAATTCACTTCAACGTCCCTCTCCCCATTGAGGCATGATACGCTTGGGCAATTTCCGGGCCTAGGAAATTCCCATTTCTTTTTCTTTCTTTTTTTCCATTATATCTTTGGACTGTCTTATTCAAATCTATTTTCGCCCCTTATACATCGTTGCCTGTGGAGTGCCCTTTTTTTATTTTTTACTTTTGCTTTTTCCTCGTTTACTCTCCCCTTGTCCGTCTCCTTTCTCCACGATTTTCCACGATCTTCTTGCAACGTTCTGCACGCCCTCCCCACGACCGGATTCGATACCCTTTTATTTTTGCACCAGTGTCAGCGCCCTTTTCACCTCGAACTCAACGCCCTGGTCATCGTCGTATCCTTTATTCGATCCGGACTATAGAACGCCAATTTCAGGACCGAAGACGACTACAAGAAAATAAAAATAAAGAGGGGATATTACGCACATCATGGCTGATCTGGGGGGCCAACAGGGCCGGAACTACCGGCCTCATGGACATCCATCCTCCTTTCAACGGGACGCTGCCTTCTCTGAGATCTTCGGCGGGGCACCGCCCCCCGGTCGTTCCCAGACAATGACATCGCAGACTCCTATGTTCTCCCAGGACCGAGCTCACACAATGACCTCACACGTGCCACATCCTCAGATGCAGAGGGGCCCGCCGCCGCCGACACGCCAGATGCCGAATGGGTATGGAGCTCCTCCCTCGAACTATTACCAGGCATATCCCGGGTCCCCAGGCGCGCCTTCTCAACCCCCTCCGCAAAGCGCTCCCCGACCCTATCCCGGACGTTTCGCCTATCCGCAACCCCAACGGTTGGATTCACGCCCCGCCCCGGGTCCGCAGTATCCGGACGCGAAGGGATACGGTCGCCCGATGCCCCCTCCTGCCTTGAACTCGGATACTTATAGGTCCAGATCGATGGCCAGAATGGGAGGACCCCCGGGTTATCCCCCTCAACCGAACAGCTTCAATCACACTTCCGCAAGCGCGTTCCGCCAACAACCGTATAATGCGGCTGCCCCGATGACCGCGCAAGGCCGAGTGGTGCCGGAGCGACATGGAAATGAGCGGGCGATGTCGATGACCTCGTACTCGGCGGACCGCGAACCCACGCATACTATGAGCACGGGACGGGTCATTCCCAGCCGAAGACAGCCGTCAGGCCCGAGTCAGCCTCCGGTCAAGGGCTACGAGGCTGAGCCGACGCTTCCCCCGCAGGCCAATGGCAAGCCCCGTCCGCCAAGCGACGGTTCGACGAACTCGCGGTCGATGTCCATGGCCTCGACTGTGGTTCCTGACCGGACCATGAGCATGCAAAGCCAGCTGACACACAAGCCGAGCACCCAAGCGACCGTGACTGCGAGTAATTCCCGCCGGAGCAAGGTGCCTCTGGTCTATCCGGCTTTGCTCTCGCGGGTGGCCGACAACTTCCGGGAGAGGATCCCTCTAGCCGAGCGGCAGAAGAACGGGCTATCCTATCAGAATTCCTTCTCCGGCGCCGATGCCGTGGACCTGATCGGCTACATCATCAAGACGAACGATCGCAACTTGGCTCTTCTGCTCGGTCGCGCCTTGGACGCACAGAAGTTCTTTCACGATGTAACCTACGATCACCGTCTCAGAGATGCTGCTGGCGAGCTCTACCAGTTCAAGGAGACCGTGGGAGAGGAAACCCCTGGCTCCGAGGTCAACGGAGTTTTTACCCTGCTCACCGAATGCTACTCGCCCACCTGTACTCGCGACAGCTTGTGTTACTCGATTGCTTGCCCACGACGACTGGAACAGCAGGCGCGTCTGAACTTGAAGCCGCAGCCTGGTTTGCGATCATCTGCCTCGAAAGGGAGTCTGCATGGGGATGACGACGACAACGATAACCAGAAGCTCTGGATCAATATGGTCCCCAAGGAGATATCTGACAGTGTTGATGACCGGGAGAAGAAGCGTCAAGAGATCATTTTCGAAATCATGTACACGGAGCGTGACTTTGTGAAGGACCTGGAGTATCTGCGTGACTTCTGGATGAGGCCGTTGCGCGCGGCCGGTAGCACAAGCACCTCTCCGATCCCGGAACATCGGCGGGAGAAGTTCATTCGCACGGTGTTTGGCAACTGCTTGGAGGTGCTGAAAGTCAACGGCGGCCTATGTGAGGCCCTCAATGCCAGACAGAAAGAAAACCATGTGGTGCAAACCGTCGGCGATATCTTCCTTCAGCACGTGCCGCGTTTCGATCCGTTCATCAAGTACGGTGCCAATCAGCTGTACGGAAAGTACGAATTCGAAAAGGAAAAGGCCTCCAATCCGGCTTTCGCAAAGTTTGTCGAAGACACGGAACGTCTGAAAGAGTCCCGGAAACTTGAATTGAACGGATACCTTACCAAGCCGACGACCCGTTTGGCCAGATACCCGCTGCTCCTCGAACAAGTCAACAAGAACACGGCGGAAGACAGTCCGGACAAACAGGATATTCCCAATGCCATCAAACTGATCAAGGAATTCTTGTCCCGCGTTAACGCTGAAAGTGGAAGAGCAGAGAACCATTTCAACTTGGTGCAGCTGAACGCCGCGCTCAAGTTTGCTCCCGGGGATTATGTCGATCTCAAATTGACCGAGGAGAACCGCCAGATGCTGACCAAGATGGCGTTCAAGAAGACTACCTCCGACACCTCGGAGGTGACCGCCTATCTCTTTGACCACGCTGTGTTACTCGTCCGAATCAAGGTCGTCAACAAGCGCGAGGAGTATCGGGTGTACAGGAAGCCTATCCCGCTGGAACTTCTCGTTATCGCGCAGATGGACGAAGTCATCCCCAAGGCCGGGGTGTCCAAACGACCGTCGTCTAGTCTACTCTCGAACAAACCGGTGCCAGCTCCTCCCACCACAAAGGACGGGCTGCCAATCACCTTTAGACATCTTGGAAAAGGCGGTTACGAGCAGACACTATATGCCACGTCACCCACCCAAAGGAGAAAGTTCATTGAGATGGTGGAAGAACAGCAGAGGAAACTCAGAGAGCGCAACAGCAATTTCTACAACAAGACCGTGATTTGCGAGAACTTCTTCTCGGCCATCAATCGCGTGAACTGCTTAGTTCCTGTCGGTATGTTTTCACTACAATTCAAATCCAATACTTTTCCCTTCACCCGAAACATTGTTGCTCACGTTAAATGCAGATGGTGGCCGAAAGTTGGTCTACGGAACAGACAGTGGTATCTACCTCTCGGAACGTTGGCCTAAAGATAAGTCGGCGAAGCCCCGACGCGTCCTGGACGTTAGTCAAGTAACGCAAATCGACACGCTCGAAGAGTATCAACTACTCTTGGTGTTGTCAAACAAGACCCTTTCATCGTATCCCATGGAAGCTTTGGAGATCACCGAGGGCCAGAACACCATGGCCAAGCGACCCAAAAAGATTCAAGGCCACGCAAATTTCTTCAAGGCGGGCATTGGGCTGGGGCGGCATTTGGTGTGCTCGGTCAAGACTTCGGCTCTTTCTACTACCATCAAGGTCTACGAGCCCATGGACAACCTGGCAAAGGGAAAGAAGAAGTCTGCCGTCAGCAAGATGTTCCAGGGCGGCCAGGATACGCTGAAGCCTTTCAAGGTTTGCACCATCTTCCCGACCATTTACTGAGTCTTTTCTCACAGCGCGCTCTAGGAATATTATATCCCCGCAGAATCATCTTCGATCCACTTCCTTCGTTCAACTCTGTGTGTCGGATGTGCTCGTGGATTTGAAGTCGTCAGTCTGGAAACCACGGAGACACAGTCTCTCTTGGACCAGGCTGATACGTCGCTTGATTTCGTGGCCCGGAAGGAGAACGTGAAGCCCATTCACATTGAGCGAATGAACGGAGAATTCTTGCTGAACTACAGCGACTTCTCATTCTTCGTCAACCGAAACGGCTGGCGTGCTCGCCCCGATTGGAGGATCTCATGGGAGGGCAACCCGAATGCGTTTGCACTATCCGATCCTTACATTCTCGCATTCGAACCGAACTTTATCGAAATCCGGCATATTGAGACCAGTGAACTAATTAATATTATGACGGGGAAGAACATCCGCATGTTGCATTCCTCTACCAGAGAGGTAAGTTGAACGGCAGAACAACCGGGGTACGATTACGGTCGAGTGATGGCTAATTTGGTTTTAGATCCTCTATGCATATGAAGACGAATCTGGCGAAGACGTGGTGGCCAGCTTGGATTTCTGGAACAAGCCACAGCATTAAGTCGACGGTTACGGCAAATAGGGGTCAAACGAATACCGAGAGCAGCATGTGTTTGATATTTTATTTTGTTGATTGCGTTCTAGACCGGAAAGGCAACCTCGGATTTTTCTTCTCACCTTTTTTTTTTACGCAGTCGCTCTGCATTTCTCATCTCGAGCCTGCCTGCACCATTTATTTCTCCCTTTTCACCTTCACTTCTCGTTTAATACCTGAATATGGTTGTTTTGATCTCTAATCCGGGTCAATTTCCCCATCATATCATCCTTTGCTCATCTTCCCGCTGTGTACAATGAAGCGCAAATACCACATGTTTATTGTTTCCGTCATGGTTTCTTCCCTCCCTCAACTGCGTCTTTCTCAAGTGCTCCTTTTCTTTTTCTCCCTCTTTGTTCTCACCTGTCGTATAACTGTCCTTCCGGTTGTCTTCGTCACAACCTTTTGTACGTTTTCTTTTTGAACCCGCACTTGCATCTTAGTTTATAATGACGCTGGGCGAGAGCTGGTGCTAAACCCAACCAACCCATCTGTTACCTAAGGATCTCTTCTTCTCCGCTCTTCAGTTCTTTTGGCGCTATGTAGATACATAATCTTCTCAATATTGCAAGGTAAGATGAAGTGACGTAGTTTAGATCTGGTATTCCAGTGCTAGATTAGTCCTATTTCACCGTAGTATTCAGTAAGATCTGCTTCGAGGGACAAGCTTGATGCTAAGCATTTCGCTGTTTGCCTTCCCCCCCTCTCTGTAGGTATGCAATAAACCTCCTAATCTTTCTGCCTATGATTAATTTATCGATATAACCCAATCACCGTACTTGCTTATGTAGGCAATGTAAACCATGTAGTTACTTATCATGTGTTCTGCGCGGGTGGTTATCGCAGTAGAAACCTAGCTTCCACAGGGGTGCTGATCATGGTATCTGCTAGAAGGCGTCTATTCGATCTAAACCACTCGAATGTATGGACTAAATCGTGCAATTCTCATATAGAACATGGCAAGTAATGAGTCCACCTACACTGCAAACAGTGCACTACAGTCATGTAGATTATCTATAGGTTTATGTCATGATTCAGGAATTGCTTTCCTCAGAACTACCATTCAAGCTAACAATAGTCTGAATAGGAACAACACAAACAAAGAACAAACATAAACACAAAAACGGAAAAGCCAAAACAGAGACTTTGAGAGTTGAACAGACGGAAAGAAAAATAAGAGACAAAAGAGGGAATCTTGCTGCGCTGCTTGAGAAGGGGGTGAAGGGAAGGGAAGGGTGGCAAACAAGGTAGTCAGTCATTGGAGAGAGATTGTCAAAGATAGAGAAGAGAAGCAGGTGAAGAAAGGAGACAAGATCGAAGGATAGTAAAAGCAGATGATAAAAAAAGGTTAAGAAAGACATTGCCAGTGACAAACTGTCAAACGATTAAAACGATGCTATCTTTGACCCCTCAAGCAATTCACAACACAGGCATTGCGAAAGGAGGAAAGGAGGTAAATCATCTTCAGCCGAATTAAATGGAAGACATGGAAGAAGTCAAGAAGAAAAAAGGAGAAGGGGAGAGAGAGAGATGGGAAGCGGCAGCCAAAATTCCAATCCTCCTTTTTATGTCCGAATCCTCCTGTCTCATGAAGGGAAGGAAAAAGAAGATGGTGCCGGTTTCATCGAAAATCAAGGGAAACGCTGTCATTGGAACTTCCCTCCCTTTCACATGAAAAGCTATTAACGTGAATAAACTGTCAATATTATCCCCATAAAACAATTACAACCGCCATGCCGCTAATTCCATTACGTTGACACCGATCGGGTGCCATCGCGCAACAAGACAGGTTTCCTTTGGTTAAAAAAAAAGAACCGTTTAAGCATCCCCGTTGGCGCCTTCCGGCTGGCTGGATTCACGCGCCATGCGGGCCTCGATCTCCCTCAGCTGGCTCTCGCGAGCCAACAGTTCCTGGCGTTTCTCGGCGATTTCACGCTGCACCTTGAGCTCAATCTCGCGAAGCTTCTCTTCCTCACGACGGAGCTGTTCCTCCTTCAGTCTGACGGATTGGTTTGCTAGGTCTTCGGGGTTCATCGACGAATCTTGGGTGCTACTATCAAGGGGATTAGTAAGGAGTTTCACGCGACAGATTGACCAGGAGAATACGTACGGAGCAGCTCCGTCCACGCTCTTGCTAAGCTTCTCGGTACGGTAGTTCTCGTAGAGGAAGTCATGCGTGATTTCCTTCAAATCGGCCAGGTGGCTGTGGAGAAGAGCGCTGCGGATGGCCAAGAAATCCGAGTGCCGAGGGTTTTCAACGTCGACCACACCCCAGGGATACTGCCGGGCTCGTACTTGCCGACCGTCGATTTCCACAAAGTCTTCGGAGCCAACAATGGCGAAGGGCATCAGCCCACGTAGTTCGGCATTTTCCTCCACGGTGTCCTCGTCATCCTCCTCGATGTCGTAGGGGAAGTTGTAGACAGGGATACGGTAGTGCTCGATGTCCTCCATGATCAGCTTCTTCGATTCGGCCAATTCGGCGGGGGTGAGGGAGTCGGCCTTTCCGATGACGGGAATAACGTTGACACGAGGGGAGAGGCGCTTCATCAATTCGATGTCCAATTCACGCAGGCCGTGACCGGTCGGTGTGATGAAATACAAGAGGACGTGAACACGGTTGTCCCTGAAGCGAGGGTTTCGCTTGATTCGTGATTCTTCAGCAAGAATATCGTCGTACTGGCGTTCAAGGTATCCAACAATCTCGCCAAAGCTGCAAGGAAATCGGTCAGTCTCAGGACGACGGTGGAAATGCTGGCGGGACCACCTGCCTGGCTTCATTGTCAATCTGGTCACCGAAGCCCGGGGTATCAACGATGGTAAGCGAGATTCGAGTGCCTTCGTCGTCCAATTCCAACTCTGAGAATCACCACCACCCCGCGTTAGTCTTGCCCGAACCTTGAATTGTGCAACCCATGGATGTTTGGCACCAACTTACCAACCGTGACCGGCTTGATGCGGACACCCTCCTCAATGTGAGCGTTGGCAGCGTCGTCGGCATCCTTGCCCTCGAGGACGGTCTTTCCGCAAAGGGTGTTGACGAAGGTGGTACGTCCTGTTTGGAAAAGGGGAACCTGGTCAGTTTGCCTGCAGCCGTCAGGGGCAACACCGAGATTCCAATACATACCGGTTCCGCTGGCACCACAGACCATCAGACAGAACTGGATACCCTTCTTGACATTTTTCTTGCGACGGAGCTTGATCTGGAGTATGAGATAGGATTTATCATGGTAAGAAACTGAGCCCCGACGGAAAGTGGTGATTTGGTCCCATTCGAACCCATACGGGAACAATTGGATATGGCGACGAGTTGCAGGGGAAGTTTCTCATATCGGAGGAGCGCAGATAGAAAGGGGAAGTGAGGAACATACCGCGTTAAGAGCCGACGACATGGTGGGCTAAATAAGGGGAGAGAGGAAGGAGAGGGAGGGGGAGAGGAAGAAGAAAGGAAAACAACGACGTGGGAATTTAAGAAGAGAAGAAAAAGAGAAAAGAAAGCGAGCGGCAGGCGGATCAAAGAACCTGGAGGAAGAAAGTTGAAGGAAGGGAATGGGGGAGGGAGGGAGGTTGAAGGAGATAGGAAGGATGGATGGAGGTGGATGCTCTCTCCTGAGGTGCGTTAATCTGATCTGGCAGTTAGGGGGTCTCCAGTTACCGTCTGGTCAGGTATGGTCATGTACAGTAAACAGCAATACCGGCGATGGTAACGTGACCTGCCCCTTTCCCTTTTCGAGTCATGTCTGGCCTGTACGGTACCTGGAAGCCTGAGGTATCAGCGACGTCTCATGGCGGTATCTATGGTACTGAGACGGTATCGTCGTTAATTACTTGTCCAATCCGGGGCATTGGATCCCTCAGGCCGCCATTACCTATGGTTCCCAAAGGAGAGAAAGATCAATAGTGGAACTATTGTATGATATGTGCAGATAGACAATATCCCTTTGACCTGTCTAATTTGAATCTCCGTTGGGCAATCCGCTACGTATGAATGATCCCGCCTTGCCACGACCGGAGTGCTGCATTGTTAGTGCCCTTGGGCGTAGCTTGGTTCAACTCTGGTGCCCCGGTCCAATTCCCTCTTCGCTTTTCAGGGGTTGGGGGCAGCTGTAGGCGTTTCCTCCGCCGCCGTGGGTCGCTTATGTAAGATATATGGCCTGAGGCAGCACATCTATAGTTAGTACTCCAGAGTAGCAAGGCAATGCCAAGACCATTCACCTGACCCTCCCCCCCCAAACCGGCCTAGCGTCTGGCCGCTGCCTTGTCGATCTCCGTTATGGAACTTCCATGCTTTCTGGACCGCGGAAGATCAAGCTTCCAACTGCACCTGCCTGGTCTCTTGATCTGATGGCAGTCCCGGCACTCCGTCAATATGAATACTCGCCAGGTTATCGATGAGTCGGTCGGGCCTTTCTCCCTCTCGGCCACCTTCAATAATGAAAATAGTTGCTTCTCGGTTGGCTTAGATACTGGGTTCTGCGGTAAGGCCTCTATTGTTGCCTCTAGATGGATGGCCGCCCGGAGACCAAGCTGAGAAGGAGATGTCGTCTGTAGTCTTTAATGCCGACCCATGCGAACTCAAGGTATCAAGGGGTATGTACATGTCGTACTCTGCTGCTCATGCAAGTATACCTACGCCGTGCGCATTGCTAATCGGTCTGCCATATCCCTTTAGATTTCAACGCTGGCATCGGCGTCGCGGTGATGCTGGGTCAGTCAAACTACCTCGCTATCGTCGGTGGAGGCAGGCAGCCTAAGTTCCCGCAAAATAAGGTGTGTAGGTGATTTCATTCCCCCTGCGCCAACTCTCGTCCACCTCTACTGACACAACCTCCCTGTATAGTTGGTTATCTGGGATGATGCGAAACAGAAAGCCGTCATCACGCTAGAATTCCGCACTTCCGTCCTCGGTGTCCGCCTGTCGAAGTCGCGCATTGTCGTCGCTCTGCTGAACAGCATCCATATATTCGCCTTTTCGAACCCACCCAAGAAACTTTCGGTTTTCGAGACGACGGATAACCCGATGGGACTGGCCTGCTTGGGACAGAAGCTGCTGGCCTTCCCAGGCCGCTCCCCCGGGCAGGTGCAAATCGTGGAACTGGAAACGGGGAACGTGAGCATCATTCCAGCGCACAGTTCGCCTCTTCGCGCGATGGCCTTGAGTCCCGATGGGGAGGTATTGGCCACGGCGAGCGAAATGGTAACCCCCCCCAGTCGTGTCCTGTTTCTTAAACATAGGTTCGGAATGTTGACCCGATGGTTTTGCAGGGGACTCTGGTCAGGGTGTTCTCGACCAGTAATTGTACGAAGATGGCTGAACTTCGACGTGGAGTTGACCAGGCGGTCATCTTCTCGCTCGCCATCTCGCCGTCGAATAATATGTTGGCTGTTACATCCGACAAGTCCACTTTACATGTTTTCGACCTTCCTCACCCACGGAACCCTCCCCAGACCACTTCCTCACCCCCTGAAGAAGGAACCAGTCTGAAATGGGGCATTCTGGGGAAAATTCCTTTGCTGCCGCGCGTATTCTCTGATGTCTATTCATTCGCAAGTGCTCCCTTTGAGATTGGCGACGAAGGAGCCCCGGGCTCGCTATATATCCCACCTCTCGGAACATCGTTCGGTCGACCCTTGAAAGGTGTCATAGGCTGGGCCGATGACCGCACGGTCCTAGTGCTTGGCTCGGGCCGCGACGGGCGTTGGGAGAAATTCGCTCTCCGTGAAGCAGATGATGGGAAACGCATTTGTGTAAGAGAAGGTTGGAAAAGATACTTAGGGGGAAGCTAAAGAGGGAAGAGAGAACTCGGCCACGACTTCTGAGGATATGATTTATGAACTTTTAGAGTGCTATCTTAGGCGCTTTCTCTATTTTTGATTAGCGATGGTGGTTCCTGACACGGGATGCTTGAACCCATCGAAGGTGATTGGTGACATCGCGGCGCGAGGTCTGGCAGAATGCTGCGCTTTTCTTCTGTCAGACGCAGGAGTCAAGGCCCAGAAGCATGTTCCTTGATGGCTAATGTTTCTCAAACGTTGGGTGGCCGTCGCGGGTCGTCCTTTCTTGACGGACTAGACTGTTGTTCTTAAACGACCGATAGATGCCATGGTTATACTTAGCAATAATTGATAATTTACCCATTTTGACTCTTATCAATGTCAATCATGCTTATCTCGCGTCCTCCGTGGCGGCGGTGACCGAGATCCCACTGGCGTCCTGTCTCTGTAGGACCTTTCCTTGCGTGATGGCGACCGGGTGCTATGCGACCGCTCCTCTCTTGACGGCGACCTATAGTCCCGCCGGCTCTTCTCTCGAGAACGCGAGCGACCCTCGTCATGTCGGCGGCGATGGTGACGGTGGTGACGGTGATGGCGACGCGATCTATCGCGGCTGGAGTCTCGTTTCCGCGACGATTTACTTTCCCTCTCCAGCGCTCGCGCAACCTCTTCCTTCTTTTCTTCGATCAAGAATTCTTTCATGGGATCCTCCTCGTCGTGGGTTCTGATCAATTCCTCCAATTCCTTCTCCTCCTTGAGCAATGGTCGTCGTCGAGGCTCGTCGTCTTCCTCACTGCCTCTTCTCCTCCGGCGTCTTCGTCGCTCATCGTCCGTATCATCCCCACGGTCGTTCTTCGTCCCCACATCCCCCATTAGCCTAGCGACATTGTCTCCTTCCTCCTCGTCATCTCGCCGCTTGTATCTGGTGTGGTCCACACGCAGCATCCGACCCATCACCGTCGCACCGCCTAGATTGTCCACGGCCAGGTCTGTACTGCGCTGATCTTCGTATTTCAGCCACGCAAATCCTCGACTCTTGCCGGTTTCCTTGTCGCGCGCTAGGTTTACATGGACGGGTTCGCCGTATTGCGAAAAGATGGTCACGATGTCGCCCTCGGACAGATCGAAGGGGAGACCACCGATGTAGATGTACGCCGTATCTCGGTAATCGGCATGCCATGATGCTTCTGGAGGTCTAGAATCCGTCGGTTCAATAGTCAGTAAAAGGCTATTCTTTCTTTGCTGTCGCAGAGCTGTACCTTGTCACAGCGACAAGAGGGACGGAGAGAGGGAGAGAAACCACTTACATGGCATTTTCAAGCTCGCGCTTGTTGAGGGCCTGAATCTGACGGATCGTATTCATTGTCACGGAGCAGCCACACGGCGACAGGCCACTGTTCTAAGTCTCAAGATCAAGGGCGAAGTGGTGGTGGTCGAGGTCAGGTCGGTACGGGCGGGAAGCGACTAAGCTGCAAAAAGTGCCTCCGCGGGAGGTCCCACCCGCAAGTTACTAACTCTTAATACTTCTCTACTCTACTATTGTTTACGGGGAGACCGACTTTCCCCTCTACCAACTGTCCGTTCCATTCAACCCTCCGCCAGGCAAACAACTTCTCCCACCCCCTTACGTCTCGTCAAAAATACCGACTGGCTTTGTCGGAAATACTTCCTTTGTTGGGAGGGGACGTCTGTGTGTCCATCGGCCATCGGCGCCGTATATCCCCTGACCCTGTCCGCCCGATAATCACGATAGTCGGAAACGAAGAACAACGAGCTACAAAGCGAGAACCCTCCGTGCTTAACGCGTCGAATCGGTCGGAGCGTGAACTTCAATCCTCTGGCAGGCACTTGGAATGGTTTGCGCCGGCTGAGAGCAAGTCGAATTTCAGAGACAGACAATGTCTACGTCCAGTCAATTTCACGGGTCGAAGCTCAGCACGGGGAACAACAGTCGACCGTCGAGTAAAGATGGACCGAAGAAGAATATCTGGTCGTCGATGCTGGACAGTGTCGCGAATGGAAAGCGCTTGCCTGAGAAGAACCTCCTGATTCTCGGTTCGTCCTGATTATTTTTCCCCCTTGCGACATGTCCAGGCCCATGCGCTTTTTGTCGGCGGTTTAACGTTGCTAACGGTGTCCGCTTGGATTCTAGGAGGTACGCCGGAGAGCCAGAGAGAGTTTCTAGAGACCTTTGCGGCCGACACGTCGGATCCTAACCTGGCAAACGAGAAACGGAAGGGCAGAGTTCCGCCTGTCGCCAATCAATTCGCACTGGGGTACACATATCTGGATGTGCTGGACGCCGACCAGGAAGGTAGGCAATCATGGGCGCCGTTGTGAATCCATTTGCCCTTGGTGGAGCTAATTGCCTCTAGATACGTTGGCACGCGTGTCCGCATATCTACTTTCCGAACCTTCGCTGTCCTTCGCGCCTCTCCTTAAACCCCTCCTGACCCCCAATTCAGTCCCGGAAACACTGGTGGTGATTCTTCTCGATTGGTCGGAACCGTGGATTTGGATCCGGCAGCTGAGGGAATGGGTCCGTCTCCTGCGACACGTGCTCATTTCTCTAGACGACGAGACGAAGATCGTGATGGAGGAAACCATGACAGAATGGCGAGACCGAAAGAGGGGCATGGATGCCAACTCGGCGGGCGCGCAGGGACTGACCAGTTCTGGCGGACCGGTGACGATACCTTTAGGCCCCGGTGAATGGGATGAGGGACTAGGCATTCCCATGTGTGTGGTTTGCCAGGGGGTATGTGATCTTGCCCTTAAAGAAAAGAAAATCGGATACAATATTGACCTTGAGGTTTTCAATCGCTACAGGCGGATAAGATCGAAAAGCTGGAGAAAGACCACAGCTGGCACGAGGAAGAATTCGACTTCATTCTTCAGTTCCTACGAACCATTCTTCTCAAACGTGAGGACCCATCTCCTTCTCTTACCGGGATGCTGTTGCGAATGGCGCTCTAATCGTTGACAGATGGCGCGTCTCTTATCTACACCACACCATTCCTCGCCAATTCCCTTCAGAGCCTCCTACATTCGTCCTTGGGGATACACTCGCTGTTGAAGAGACAATCACTCAAACATAACGTGATCGACCGGGATAAGATTCTGGTGCCATCGAACTGGGACTCATGGGGAAAGATTCGAATCATCCGAGATGGGTTCGATATGGAAGGAATCTCCACTGCGTGGTCGATTGAGATCCAAGAGCCCCCGGAGCCACTAACCTACGGACCCGTCGAGGAGGAAGAGCCTAAAGACGAGGCATCCGCCGGACTAGAGGACGGGACCAGCGCCGTGGCCATCTTCGAACAGACGATCAAGGATCCCAAGCGTGACACCTCGCTGGCGCTCGCCAGCCAACAAAGCAAGAAGAAGATCGAGGTTGAGACCACTGACATGCAGACGTTCTTCAGCAAACAGCAAGAACTCCTGGAGCAACTCAAGATCGAAGATGAGAAGGACCGCGCCGTCAACAAAATGCCGCCTCAGCTGGAAATGTCGCCTCTGGAGGACAACGGCCGCGTCAACGAGCACATCGGCCCCGTGCAGTTCAACATGGGTGGAATCCAGGTCGACGCCGATGACATGTTACGAAAACTCAAGGTCCGTACCCATGCCAACAGACCAAATTTCGTGTCCTCCCTTCCCTCAGACCCGGAAAATTAACCATCTATTTATAAATTTCAGGAGAGAGAGGCCAGTCGTGCTCAAACCCAAAGGAAGGAAACGGTCTCGTCGCCTCCGGCCCCCGGCAACGAAAAGGCTCACAACCAAGCCCTGGCGAACTTCTTCGCCGGCTTAGTCAAGAAACCATCTGGAAGTCCACGAGGTAGTCCGTCGGCGTAGTAGGAGTCGGAGTTCTGTACGGAGTAGGAAGAAGAGAAGGGAGAGAGATATCGTATGGACTGTGACGGTGACGGACTTCTTTCTTCTATACAACTTTTCACCATCCATTTCCATTTTCAACCTCCTTTTTTGGATTGTACTTTTATTTTATCATTTTTTATGCCCCTACCTTGCGCACAGTACATATTTGAAATACTGGCTTGGCGAGACGCTCTTTTTTGTTTTTGATACCAGAATGGATTTGTGGCTGGATCAGGAGTCGAGAAAGAGGGATAGCATATGTGAATCAATCGATTTCTTATAAATTATCGGATTTATAGTGTTTGAGTGTTTCATCACTGCATATTTAGAACTTTTGTTTGTATCCTGCTATATTCGATCATCGCCGTCCCTGCTACAGGATGTCTCAACTACGTGTCTTGTAATTAGATCCCCGATTCAGTCGCCCTCTCCCTCTCAATCGAAGTTTTCAGTATTGGATGGGGGTGGCATTTTGAATTTTAATATCTGATAATGGGTCATGGTATCTGAATCACTAAGGGTTATCTTGGCTACAAGAAACTCGTCAGACTGCCGAAGCCGGTCAATGTCGTTAACTTTTGGAGTAGTTAAATGATCGGTCAAAACTAGATATCTCACATATCACCAAACAAAGCAATCCCAACTCTATAATACAATATATCATCCTTTTCTATATCTCAAGCCCAGACTATAAAGATAATCTCAGGGGTAACTGAAGGAGATAGATTACCAATTCTCCCAAACCGCAGCGGGCAACACCTTCCTCATAATCTCCCAGTGCTGCAACGCGCCCTGATCCTGCCACCTGTGCAGTTTGCCCGTCTCCTTGGCCCTCAGAACCGCGCGACCGCCCTCACTAACAGACATGAACGCCGACGCGTCGACCTCGTGCTTGGGCATCAGGTAGGTCTCGCGGAACTTGCTGCGCAGGTAGTCGCCCGGGACGGGGTCGCGGAAGGTCAGGGGCGAGGGAGACTTCTTGCAGAAGATCACCATGTTGGTGAAGTCGGCGGTGTCGGCGTTGCCCACTTCTTCGCGGAAGATACGGCATGAGGGGAAGACGGCTTCGATGGTGCGGACGGTCAGCGCGGCGGGGTATTGGGAGACGTCGCCGGCGTAGTTCTGGAGGGGTTTGGTTAGTATTGGGTTCTCGGTAGGGAAAGGAAAGGGATGCGTGTGGCAGAAGAGAGAAGGGGACCATACGATGGCAATCACGCCGTCATCTTTCAGAAGGGCGTTCAGACCCTGCAGGAACTCGATGGTGAAAAGATCGACGGGCTCCGCGCCGCCGGTGAAGACGTCATGCACGATGTAGTCGTATTGGGCGGCCGAGGATTCCTGGGCGCGACGGACGAAGACCGTGGCATCTTCAATGGCGGGAATGTGGTTGGCCGGAAGGTCAAAGTATTCCAGGGCGAACTTGTGCACGATGGGGTCGATCTCCACGACGGTGGTTTCGATGCCGTGTGTGATGAGCGCAGCGGGAGTAGTGCCGACGCCGAGACCGCTGGTATTAGTTAGCAGGATGTTCATGGGGAGGTTGAACTATGATTTGAAGGGCTAGGAGACAGGGTGACGGAGCATACATAACAAGAGCTTTGCTGTCCGCGTCAACGCGGGGCACGCCGCTGTCAGGTTCCACGAGTCGAATGGCCTCCAGCATGGTGAAAACGGCGTAGATGGGGTCCTTGACTTCGGGCTTGTAGTTACGGTAGACCTTAGTCCACTGGCCGCCAAGCAGACTGTGATCGCAGCGCATCACACGGAAGCCATCTTCTAGATTATCCAGAACGGAGATGTACCCGGTGGAAGAGTCCTGACGGGCGACCAGGGCGAAACCTTCGGTGCGGATGGCTGAGTCCATAGCTGCAGTGGTGCGGCCAAGTGGCAGATGGACATTGGAAGTAAAGGAAAAGATGATGGACGGGATGGCCAGGATCAAGAGCTTGGAGGGCACAACGGCAGAACACAAGCCCGCAATGAGAAGCTGCAGGCCAGTTCGGGAGAGAAAGAACGTCACTCCCAGGGTGACGGAGGTGAACGCTTTGGCAAGGTGCTCGCCGATCGAGTAAACGACATAGGAGGCCAAAAGAGGAGCATGTTCCATGACGAGATCACCGTGACGGTCAAGGTTCAGGCCAGACTGCATCAACTTCCCGGCGCAGGCCACGGAGAGCAGCAGGAACGGATAGAACGCAATGGCCGTGGTGATTAGAGGTCCCGTCGGGTTGCCGAGCTCGGAACTCTGCTGAAACAAGAGATACTGAATAGTAGGAATCCAGAAGGCCATGACAGGCAACAGGTAAACAGCGCGGCGAGCCGACAGCTTCTGGACATGGTCCTTCAGGAACCAACCGGCAGCGGCAACGATGGCGACCCCGTAACCATGGAAGATATGGGACGGACCAGAGCCGTAGACGGGGGCCAGGTTCAACAAGAACACATATGAGGAAAAGGCAGTGAGGGCCAGTAAAGCGGCGGCCGTCGACAACTGCTTCCTGTTGCGCCGCTGCAGCATATCTGCGAAAGCCATGGCGTCACAACTGAGGATCTCCCAGGCGTAATGGGAGGTTTACTTTTGGCTGGAAGGGTTGGTCAATATAGAACAATCATCGCAAGCAAAGGAGTTATTTTTTTTTGTTTGATAGGGAGAGGGATATGACAGGGTCGAGGGGAATTGTTTGAACTAAACAAGATTGGACATTAGCAGGACTCACCAGAAGACCCGGTGGGCAAAGGAAGTGAAACCGACCGGTTCACCCTCTGCTGCCAATAATATCAATCAGTCCGGTATGATGAATGAAGGAAGTGGATTCGTGCTGGAGAAATGATTCTTAGTAACGGAAATGAATGATGCCACTCCGCATTCTGCCGCTGCTTTCCGCTCGGTGCCTCCGCTTTCTTTCGCCCTCTCTCTCTCGTGCTTGTGTTGTTACTTTTCTCTCATTGCATTGTTCGTCGCATATTGCACCATGCCATTATTCCCTGAAGGAACGGGGCTAAAACCAGAGATGAACCCCTCGATTGATTCAGCCGTGCCGACGACCACTGTGCCTCTCTCGCGAGAAACGCAGGTGAAGAATCGGCGCAAACGATATTTAGACGCGCATCCCGAGTATTTCTCGGCTGATCTCGAGCTTGCTGGTCCGCTCGCTCTTTCCCAGTTTCGTTCCTTTGTGACTGGCTGAACTGTCAGGAGCAAGGAGGAAGGCCTTCCAAGCTAATCTTCCAGCCTTGCAGACCCGTTGCTGTACGATCGCCTAATCCGCCGTTTCCAGACGCCGGCTGAAAGAGAAGCCGAAGGACGCGCCAAAGGGTTCTCGGGGGTGCTTCAAGCCGACCTGTGTCGTTCGGAGGCCAAATTCGATGCCCTTTCACATCCAGACCCCCATGCCTTGTTCAGCTATACTCGCGGACCCAACGGGGAGATTCTCGCGGAAGAGCGGGACGAGATTCCGCCGAGTAAAGAAGAGGGGGAGAAGCTGTGGCGATGGGAGATGACATTGCGGTTTATCCGCGGAGAAGACGAAGACTTTGAGTATCCGAATGTCGACGATAATGACGAGTATGACGATTGGAATGAGGAGCAGGAGCGATACTTCGAGGATGAGGAACCGGAATGGGTGGTGGACCAGGCCAATGGAGATGTCAAATCTCAGCTGCAAGGAGAGACGGGCATCCAGGATTTCTGAAGTCACTGGAAGCATGAAATACTGCTTTCTACCTTGTATTGCTTGGCTTTCGAGAAGTGGTTACAGCCCATGTTTCCAAATTACGCCCGTCTCGCTTTGGGTATGTCGCTGCCGACGAGTTCTGAAAATTGGACTCGACAGAGCATGGTGGCATGTGATGGACACCCAGTAATGTACTCAGGACTCCATTGTTGCTTCAACCACATACTCACGATGCCAGGAATAAACAGCCTGCGCTGCATCTCTCGATGCTCGATAAAGTCGTGGTGAACTGGCTTACAATCTGCCGGGTACGTCCTCTCGTTGGCAGCGGCGCCTGTGCAGTTAATGCCTGCAAGCCTATATGGTGTGTCATTCACTCCCTCCAGAGAACGTTCCATCTCCTATGCATCTTTTCCGATCTCATCTGGTCATTGCCCGGTGACATTGGACCACTGAGTCTCAAATCTACCATACCTTTGCTATATGGCCTTGCCTTTACGCTACGGTCCGAGAAAGTCCAGAGATTTTGATTACTGGGTCTTTCTTACGTGCAAAGGCAATGGTGTTTGGGGCTCATGGATGGTGTATATCACTCTTCAAAGATTATGTGCTTGTGTATAGTCTGAGAACTGTTAAGTCATAGCTGTTGATAGAATATAACTTATTACAAAATACTCATAGGCCTCTCTGGTTTGATACCATGAACACTACTTAAAGATGCACCATCATCATCACCGTTGTCATGCACAACATCAGTTTATGCACACCAGGGAGACCCGGGTGCGCACTGGAGTTTAGGCTCCTTTTTGGACTCGGTGTTAATCTAGGTCCTGCATAAAAACCTCGCCAAACCACATCCTCTTCCTTGGCGTCATAGCGGAAGTTCTGTTCCGGGCTCTGGAAGTCGCTATTTCCAAGCCTCGAACACTGGGTTCTTAGGACATGTCGTCAAGGCACCGGACGGGGAAGCCGCCATGGATCATCTGCTCCTCAGGGTTGACCAACTTGAAATGGGATGCCCGATGCTAGAATGGCTATTTCCTGTGGCTCCAGTCCCTGTTCCATGTCCGTCACCTAGGGCCGAAAGTGATTTGGCTCGATTCACATGACTGTGAAGCCGGGCGATGATGAGTGACTTCGGTCATCGAACTCGCTTGCCCTAACTTAGCTCCCCTGAGTCACTCCCTCCCTCGTCCTCTCCCCATCTATCGGACTGCATCTTGCTCATTCACAGAACTCCATCTATTTCCATTAACATCGAATCCAGCTTTTGGCTGGGACTTGCGTTCGCTTACAAGAACATTCGTTAAAACCTTTTACCCTTGTTTCTCTTCTCTTTTCTTTCAAAATGCCTGCTGCAGCTATCAAGTCCAGTAGAAGCACTTCCATAAAGGCTCGCATGGCTCCACTTAAGAGACTGCGAATCCCATCACCCAAACCGGTGGCCCGTCTGCGACTAACTCATCCGCGACGACCTTCTATTTGTGATGCTCCCAGCCTCAAGGCTGAGTTCATCCACAAGCGTCTTTCCTTCTTTGCCCCGGAGAAGCTCGGCGAGGGGGGCTGGGGCCAAGTCCATCTGATGCACGAGAGACAGAGCAAACGGCGCTTTGCAGTCAAGGAGGTATTCAAGGTCTCCGGGGAGAAGGAGCAAGAATACGCAGACCGAATCTACGATGAGTTTGACATCGCCAGCCGGTTAAATCATCCCAACGTGATCAGAACCTACCGGCTCCGTGCTCGTCGCTGTCGCTGGTGCATCGTCATGGAGTACTGTCCCAATGGCGACGTATGCGATCGCCTCGCGGCGAACCAGCTCAAGTATAACGAGGTGCTGTGTCTCTTCAAACAGCTCCTTTACGGCGTGGAGTACCTGCACAGTCAGGGCGTCGCTCACCGCGACATCAAGGTTGACAATCTGCTTCTCAACGAGGTCGGTCATCTCAAAATCGCCGACCTCGGCCTTGCGACGACAGGTGAGCCCTTTTACCTATCTGACCCTCTAAGCAGATGCTTTGGGGACTGTGGTACTCCGGTGATGCAGCCTCCTGAGATATTGAAAGGCGAACGTAAGTTTCAAGTCCATCCATCCATCCATCCATCCGCCTTAGTGGTCACCCTTCTGACATCTCTCTAGCAGAATACTACGACGGTCGCGCATTTGACGTCTGGTCGTGCGCCATGAGCTGTCTGTTCATGCTTTACCCTCACCGCGCGGGCTCGAAAGTCGGCACGCCCAGCGACAAGCTCGAACAAGAGCAAGAGTGCTTGCGCAACTGGGCGCACCACCTGAAATCAGATTATTGGTCTCTTCTTCCCGAGGCTCGAAAACTCGGGGGCTTCCTCTTCACCCTCCCCGACGCCCGCCTTCGACAGCTCCTGCTCAAAATGCTGCACCCGCAGCCTACCAAGCGCCTCAGTGCATCCCAAGCATTGAACGACCCCTTCATCCGCCAAATCGAATGCTGCTGCCCGGCGCCAAATAGCAGAGATCAGGAGCCTCCGGCTCGACATTATCACGGGCCACCTCGTTTCATGCTTCCCGTGAGACTTTCGTTGAATTGTTGCGGGATCAAAGATCCTCGGAAGGACTGAGGATGGCTTTTCCATTTTCCTCCTTTCTTTCCCCACAAAAAAAAGAAGAAAGGATTTTGTTTTTTATGCCTACCTCGGGTAAATATGGTTTGATTTATTAATTGTGCCAAGATCTTGGATAGAAAGCTTGGATTCTACTGCATGGATGGAGTTTTGGGATGCGATTTTGGACTGGCACTTAGCATGTATGATGGGGGGACAACCTATTTTGTATTGTGAATTCAGTTTGTATTATGTCCTCAGTCTTCTTTTCTCTGTAATTGGAAATAAAATCATTTGGTTCCCACCGTTTGTTGGCTTACGTAGGGTTACTGATACACGGTAACAATGTTCCGCCTACGCGCATCTCGCTTAGGTGCAGGGTGTTTTCATTTCCATGACCTATGTATTACCTACATATCCGGGTTATCGGGTGACATGTCTAGATGACGATACTATGGTGCTGTAGCTGCATCGAAGAATGACTCACCAAGAACCTTTGGGACGAACTCTAATTAGCTAAATAACCGAAACTTTGAACAGGTTATACATTCGCTCAGCTCAGCTCAGCTCGTAGCGTTCCTCTTCTTCAAGATCTTGATCGCGTCTTCTTTTAGTCTGAATTTCTGGATCTTGCCGCTTGCGGTTTTGGGGAATGTTTCGGATGGAGAGAGGAAGAAGATGTATTTTGGTACTGAGATTGACATGGTTAGTTGACGTTCCATTTTCTGGTTCAGTGCATATTATTTCATTCCTTTTCTTTTCCTTTTCTTTTGGGAAGGCAGGGAGATCAGACTCATGACAATGAGAGGAAAGATTTACCTAGATGATTGCTTAGACGCTCACTGACCCACTTCTTAACTTTCTCGCTGGACTTTTCTTCGTCGATTTGGCCACGGGGAATGATGAATGCCGCCACGGCCTCACCATAGCGCTCGTCTGGAACCCCCACGACCGAAACATCTGACACCTCAGGGTACGTGAGCAGGCAGTTCTCGACTTCCAGCGGGTGGATGTTTTCGCCGCCGCGGATGATCAGATCTTTAATTCGGCCTGTGATGGCGATGTAGCCGTCTCTTGAGAGGGTGGCTTCGTCGCCTGTCTTTTGGGAGCGTTAGTCTATCTTGTGGCCTTCTATAGGGCTCTGGGGTGGAGGGTTACGTAAGGAACAGGGGACTCACCAACATCCATACCTTCCCTTGCTCGTCTGCGATCATCACATCGGACGTCTTCTGCGGATCGTTCCAATACTCCTTCATCAGGAGATAACCGCTGACTGCTAGCTGGCCGGGTGTATTGACGGGGAGGATCTGGCTTGGATCGGCGGGATTGGTGATCTTAGCTTCGACGTGCGGCATTAATCGACCGACTGTATTGATGCGTTTGTCGATGGGGTCATCGGTCGTAGTCATAGCAGACACGGGACTGGTCTCCGTCATGCCGTAGCAGATAGTCAGCTCGGTGAGATTAAGCACTCGGTGTAGCTTTTTCATCAGCTCGGCTGGGATGCTACTTCCTGCGGCGATGCCAGTGCGGAGATACTCGAACCCTTCGGACGAGATCTCCCCGTCTTCGAGGAGATTGAGCTCCTCAAGGAACATGGTCGGGACGCCGTAGAGAGCGGTGCATTTCTCCTCTTGCACGGCGGTTAGGGCGGCCTTTGCGTTGAAGGATTCGGTGGGGAAGACGATGGCTGACCCGTGCGTCGCGGTAGCCATGTATCCAAGGACGGATCCGAAGCAGTGGAAGAGTGGTGGAGGGCAGCAGATGACGTCCTGAGGGGTCAGGCGCATTCGGTCACCGATCTGGGAGCCGTTGTTGAGGATCGAGCGATGACTGAGACAGGCGGCTTTGGGCATAGCAGTGGTGCCGGATGTGAATTGTATGTTGACGATGTCGTGGGGTGAGAGGCTCTGAGGCGGGAGGGTGCTGATATCGGTAGTGGCGGAGGATATGACGGATGAGTAGGGGGTAAGAGACTTATATTCGGAGCTGTTAACTCGGCCGCTGGAGTTGTCCACGAATATGACGCGTTGGAGCGAGGGAATCAATTCGGACTCCAACTTTGCTGTCTCGAGGTCCTGAACAATATGCTTGAGAAGGGGGATGTTGCTCCGTGGTTGCTTTCTTGGGAGATTGGACTCGGCGCTGACTATGAAATGACTTGTATCGAGGTGGTTCAACGCCGAGACTACTTGGGCTGAGTTGAACGAAGGATTTATGGGGACCTATACCAGAACATTAGGAAATCGCGTGAAAGGCTTACTCGTGCACGAGACTTACGAGAATAGCTCCAAGCTTGAACAGCGCATAAGTCGCCTATACAGCAATGATTAGATCTAATTGAAATGAGACAAGCGAGGGGGTTCATACAATAGCATGTTCCATGGAATTCCCCAACATTACTGCAACACGGTGCCCTTTGCGGACACCCACAGACTCAAGGCCTCGCGCAAGGGCATTGCTCTTGGCGTCCAGACCTGCATAGGTTACTCTGTCATTTTGATGCTTTGAAATGACACTGAGTGAAGACATTAGCTGCATGTTTGGTCGAATTGAAGAAGCGAAGCAACTCACGCTGCTCGATCACCATATGACTGGACGATCTTGGAGAAATGTTCGCCAATTGTGGATTCTAACAAGGGGGGCTTATTTCGGTCAGCAGAGCTCACTCAACTTAATGATCCCTGGTACATACCTCTGTTGGTCCCCGGGCATAGCTCTGGGTCAATAAGCTTCTCCTGCTGCGAGTGAGTACACCTCCGACTTGGCATCGACCCAATTGGCGATGTAGAGGACGCATTTTCGATCGATATGCGACACTGATATGCATTGCAAGTCTGAGCCAGACAGTGAGAGGGTCATAAGTTCAAGCGAAGCTGTTTCTTGTTGGACGAAGTCGAAAGGAATACCCCTTGCTTCCCCTGTACATACATCGGATGTCGCCAGAGGACAGTGGTAGACGTAGATCTAGATGCGGGGAGACCGTAAATGACGGGCACCACGCAGAGATACTGGAGCTAGGACAATTGTAATACGATACTGGAGCAAATATTGGGTCGAGATAGAGAGAGAAGAAGTCCGAAATGCATTGGAATGCGAGAACTTCAAGAAACTGGAGTGTTTGGCTTCCCCGCACGTGCAGCGGGTGCGGGGGCGGTTCGCCTAGCCGAATCTCTTACTTAAATTAAACTCTTACTCCGGAAACTCTTCAACTTGGACTGACTTCGTCGGTCGATCGACACTGCCGACGGTATGTTCCGAGTTATTATTCTTCCCCCTGATCCCCCATTGAATCTCGACATCTAGATAAATCGCTGACAACCTAGGTTTAGTCTTTTTTGTACATGCAATTCGGCTCTCCGCATTGGCACCACCGGCCAAGTGATGGCCAGTACCATTCCCCATAGCTGATGGTGAGTTCCTCAAAGATAGAGATGTCCCGGAGGGCCTCCACTGTCATTCGCACCCGATTCCCTATGGTCCGATACTCAAACTCGGTACTGGGGTTACAGGAATGATTGATAAATCGAGTCCAGTTCCCCTTGAACTGGGACGATATACTTGCAAGCACGGGTTCACCATCGGCCTCGGTCTGAAGATAAAGACCGTAAACGACATCGTCATGATCACCGGGTTGGATTTCCCCCACGTATTCCGCCAAAAGCTCCCCTTTCTTGAAGTTTGTCAAAGCCCGAATCCCTGTCCCCTTTGCGGGATAATCGACTAGTTCGACCAGACCTGCTACCAGACGACCCGGCTTGCAGTCACAGAGCTCGCTCGACCCGCAAAGGGCGCAGTCACCGTGTCTCTCCTGACGGAGGGTGGGGTCCTCCACCTCTCGACCGTCTGCGGCCCAATTCGCTGGGTCGAATAAACACTCGTCCATATGTTCCTGTAGTCGGCGTTTATAGGATGGCCTGCGCAGTCCGCCGCTTATGGTTCGCACAAAATGGTGCGGATGATCCTTGCCGATCCACTTATAAACCCACTTCAGGTGCTTCCTGAGTTCCGGGATGGGGTGATTGGAGTATCGGAGCAGCAGACCGCGCCAATCCAGGTTCCGCAATCGAGCGAAATAGACCACGCTTTCTGAGTTCTCTCGAATCAGGACGAGCAGTTTCTTCCAAACTGCGGGATCCGTCTCCTCTAAACATGCTCTGCGAAATGCTTCCGCCCACGCGCAGATTGCCAGAGTCCTCCACCCGAAATTGCGGACAAATCGCGCGATATTCCTCACCTCGCGTGCTTCCTTCTCGGCGGGATTCAGGGCATTTAACTTATAGTCAACTGCCATGCGCACCAGCTTCTGTGCCTCGTTGTGCTGCGACCGGTAGAATGCGAGCTGATTTTGATCATTGTTGTTCTTCGACACGAGGCCCTGGATTAAGCATATATTGTTGATATCCCAGTAGATCGCAGCGATAATCTCGGTAGCCCGCCGGGAAGGCTGGATTTTAGGCTCGTCAAGCTTCAGATTGAGAAAGATCTTGGGTTTCTTCAGGACCCGTGGCTGAAGGATCAAGTCTCCCGGTTCACTGGCCTTTCGTTTCCTGCTGGTTGTCTCCTTTTCAGGCGCCTGGTCGGTAGAATTGTTACGGGACTCCTGAGCCTCTGGGGCTGTGTCGGTGCTTTGGGCTTTCGACTTCTTGCCAGCTGGTCGGCCCTTTGAACGCTTTTTGGCCTTCTTGACTTTTGAGATCTTGCCAGCCGCCTGCGCTTTTGATACCTTCGCGGTCGCCTGGACCTTTTGCTTCTTGCCGGTTGTCGTGGCTTTCAAACTTTTGTTAGTTCTCTGACTCTTTGCCTTTTTTGGAGCCATGATTAGTGTAATAGAGTACAAGAAATCTAGATTGCGAGGGTGTTAACGAGTAATGGCAGTTTAATGTGGTGTACTTCTAGGTTTGAGGCGTCTTGCATTATATATTCCGTGTTTATGTTTGCCATGTATAGCGTTCACGGTATTTGTTCTATGCGGGTCTGCTTGTTTGATTGCTTTGAGCACAATACAATTTGTTTGTCTTTTTGTGTACTTTGGGTTACAAAGAAGGACATTCGCTGTGAAGTGCTATGGATATTATAGAGTAAGGGGCTCGGTCACATTAATCTGTCAAAGAAAGGCTCTGATATTCTTTTTGTTTCTTGAGTTGTCATGTAGCTATGATGAAACGACTTTGATATGCCTCACAGTTGAACACAACAAGATCTGGTCATTGTGTTGCCAAAAACAAAGCAAAGAGAGACAAAGAAGTATTAAAGTAAAGAATACCTCTCTGAAAACCTGTTCTATGAAGCAAAAAACAGTTGATTTAGAGTCATGGTTTCCTGGTCATGAAAATTGAATGAGAACCTTGCGAAATACATACGGAGGACATTTATATATCACAGAAGTCCATGGGCAGATAAGCATTGATAAGCACAGGCTCGGCACAGACTAAGTGATATCACCTGTAGGGATCATGCTGTCTTGATATTCCAGGAAGATCAACTGAAGGATCCCAACATGTACATGTACCTACCTACACAGTACAGTATACAGCCTTCTAGTACCTAAGGTTAGGGCTTCGATAAGCCTGACGGCCAAGGCAGTAACCGCGGCAGCCTGATCGTTGAGGCCTCGTGTTGGGTCCACTCATGTGACTCGACGGCGGGCGTCGGGGACCCAAAGAGGCTTAGCGGGCCTCGTCGGGATCCGTAAGGGGGAAAGCGCGGAGGCGGGCAGGTTTGACCCCGTCAGATTCAGGCATCCCTCGATCTATCGTCGTCGTCGTTGTCTCTCTTCCTTCTTCTTATTCCCACGGACTGCCAGTTCTCGTCGCTTTCCTTAGTCATTTCTTTGCCTTAGAACGTCTGGCCTCGAGCTCAACGCTTGTCAAGATACTCTCGCTCCTTTACGCTGGAACTTGACCAGATTGTCTTACAGAAGAAAAAGACCCCTCGACTTTGACTCTACTAGTCCCTGATCCGGAATAGCACAGTTCCCCTGGATCCTCTCAATTTCTCTCTATACGACCCATTATAATTTGTGAACTTCAATTGCTGTTTTATATATCATGTCGGCCAACCAATTGCTGTGTCAAATGGATTCCTCGTCGCACCAGAACGAATGGTATGACTTTGACAGCTTTCTCGAGTTTCCCTCGGGCGATCTTGATAGCAATTCCACCTCGGTAGATTCAATCTCCCCCAAGGACTTGGATCTGAGCTACACCGAGGCGGATGCGACCAACTGGAACTCCAACCTCGGCGCCTGCTCCCAGGCATCATTCCCGGAATTGGTGGACTGTCAGAACCTGTTCGGAGAGTACACTCTCGGCACCGAATCCATCGCGAACCCTAACGAGACCCTGCAACTCCTCTCGTCATCCGAGGCTGAAGGGTTCATGGGTCCGACCTATGATGCCACGTGGTCGCCTGAATTCCCAGGCCACAATGAGCAGTTCTACTCGACCATTCGCCAGATGGTAGAGTCGCAGGCAGCGACCGGTGCGGGTTACGCCTCCAAAAAGGAGAAGCGCATCGAAGCATCCATTGCGCTGCATATGCAGCGGCTCCAGGATGTGTCTCTGCCCGACATCGATCTGTTCTCGGACTCAAACACCTCATTCCCTTCGCCGTGCTGGTCGGAGACTGCCCGACCAAATGCTTCTATTGACGGGAGCCCCGCTACCACCCTCCTGTCCGAGCCCACCAGCAAATCTCCTACACCTCCCTCCACGTTAGATGCTTCCTCCGGAGGGATGGAGCTCGTTTTAGATTTGAACATGAACACCGCTTCTAACGTACCGAAGAAGCAAAAGCCTCGATCGCGGGCCCAGAAAGAGAACTACATCAAGGTTCGTAAGCACGGTGCTTGCGAGAAACATAGAAAACAGCACAAAAGAGTATGTCTCCCGTTATTTGAGTCGGACTTACCTGGCAACGTGTTCGCTAACTGGACCTAGTGCAACTGCCTTGAAACTACGATTTCTCGTGTTGAGATGGCTGGGTCGCTTCTTTCTACCACGAACGAGGTACTAAGACCGATGAAGCATGCTCCACAGCTTTATGTTCGCGGCCAGGACCACGACAGACTTCTCCTACAAACGGCACTGAGACAGAGCAACACGCAACAGTGTGTGAAGTCGGCAGTTTCTGTGGATCGCGGCGGCTCTACCCCCGGCGTCTCGTCGCCCGAGTCGAGCACTACGAGACACTCGCCATGCCATGTGCAGCGCCCCGTTAGCTCTTCTGATCAAGGAACAATGCTACAGGTACGGTCGTCCATCAGGGAATACATACCTAGGGGCGGCGTTAACAACGTTCCTTCGTCGACGGGACTGCTTGCAAGCCACACAGTACAAGAATCGTCTACGGCCCAGCCCGTCCAACGACCAAGCACGGTGCAGGCGACGAGGCGTCAACCGCTTTCCAATCGCGCGTCTCCAGAACTATGCACGGTTGTGCATGGACACGACCACGATCAGGTTCTCCGCCAAGGAATTCTTCAGAGATGGCGTCTACGACCTACAAGCGAAACGGGACAAGAATGCGTGCAACTACAGACTGTACAGCGTACGCAGGGCTTAAACGCCCCGGACAACGATGGATTCGTTGCCGAACAGCGTCTGTCCCTCCTGTCTATTTACACGGGACTGTACAATACTGCATTTGCATTCTCCCGCTTCTGGCAAAAGTCGGCATCAGTCACCTCATGGGCAGGAATCCTTCTAGAAAGGTTCCTGATTGTCTCTTCTAAACAATTTTGGTTTGTTCGGAAGGGATGGGGACTGAATTAGCCCGGCGTTGTGGTCTGATTTTGGGTCTGTCTGTTCATTGAGCGTGTTCGTTTGATTTGTCCTGTTATCTAGCGGTGGTTTGAGGTTTTTGTTCTTGATTCCATGATGTTTAATATCCCTGTGAAAAGTATGTTTGTATTAGATACTAGTAATTGATCGTTTTGTCTATGCTCTCTGTTTGACTGGAGATCCCATGACTGCGGATGACCTGGCAGTCCCGGCTGATGTTCGCCGCAAGCAGCAACCACCGTGGGAACAACCACCACGACGCGGACTGTTACTTCTTCAACCTCTTTTCTTCATGGACCTCAGCCCTACTCGCTATATCTCTTGATGAGACCATCGACGTGTCTTAAATGATAAAAATATTGCCCTTCGATCCTCTCTTTCCTCCGGGCGACCCCACTCACGCTCTTCCGCCAATCAACGCCCAAACATGGCGACCTTCTCCTTTTCCTCGGCGCCTCAACGACGTCGCTATCGTCCACTTCTTGAGCCCGGCACGACAGAGTCCCGGCGTCCTCACCCTGTAGCCCGCTACTGTAACCGATTCTTCCGCATCACCGTCGTCATGTAAGCATCTCTTTCCATCTCGGTTGGACAGGGAGACCCTATCATCCCACCCGAGAATAAAGCTAGCTAACACCCAAGCCGTCAAGTCCTGTCCTCCTTGTAGTCACCCTCCTCGTGGCCGGTCTATCCATGATGGCGGAAGCTCGCTCGGACGAGTCTCATCTCGAGTTCTTCACAGTTCCTGGATTCTTCTTACAGGATGATCCGGAGACCGATCCGGATACGTTTGATTACGTGAGTCGCATCTCGATCACTTGGTTCATTGGACCTGTGTGATACTGTACTATACACCGCCAGATGTTAACCCGGATGAATCCAGGTCTCATCTAATTTCGGCCTGATCTCTCGGCCCTACGACACAGACCAGGACTTCGACCCGGAAGGCAAGAAGACGCAATGGCAGCGTCTAGCTCACCACATTGACGTCCTCAATGAGAACAGCGGGCCTGACACCAGCTATAAGCTTCTCTTCCTTGGCCGCCACGGCGAAGGTTTCCACAACGTCGCGGAGCAGAAGTACGGGACTGAATTGTGGGATGTATGTATTCTGTCCTCCTCCCCTTTTGCCTCCTGCTTCTTCCCCAGCGTTCTTTATCGCTATGACATAGTTATATACTAACACTCCCAAAGTGTTACTGGTCCCTCCAGGACGGCGACGAGAACGGTACCTGGGTCGACTCCCGACTCACCAAGCTGGGCGAATCGCAAGCCGAGACCGCCCACCGCGCCTGGCTCTCGCAGATCGAGGCTGGCATCCCGGCGCCGCAGTCGTATTACGCGAGTCCGCTGAACCGATGCCTCGCTACGGCGAGCATCACATTCAAGGGCACCGGTCTGCCACTTACTGAGCCGTTCAGGCCGTTACTTAAAGAGGTATGTCCCTACCCTGCGCCCCCTACAAGGAAACCCCCCACACTGAACAACCAACCAGCTCCTCCGCGAAACTATCGGCCTACACACCTGCGACTCCCGCTCCTCCAAATCCGCCATCCTCGCGGAATACCCACTCGTCCGATTCGAGGAGGGTTTCGCCGAAGAAGACCCCCTATATGACCCGGATCTCCGGGAGAGTGACACCGCACGAGACGTCCGCTTCCGGGACCTCTTCCAGGACATCTTCGCGCATGACGAGAACACGTATTTGTCGTTGACGGCGCACTCGGGCGCTATTACGAGTATGTTGCAGGTTGTCGGACATCGGAAGTTTGCGTTGGCGACTGGCGGTGTCATTCCGGTGCTTGTGAGGGCTGAGAGAGTCAAGGGCCCGTTGCCGGTTTGGGAGGTTGATGATTGGACGGGGAAGCCTGAGTGTAAGGGGGATCCCAAGGATAGGGGGTTGTGGGCTCAGGGAGTTTAGTTTCGTTAGTTAGTATGATGGCATGGGCTAGAGGATGGAAAGGGCTCGTTCCTAGCTGCTTATAGATAGATATGTGATATACAATGAACCAGAAGGAGAAAACGGTGATGCTGTAGTGATGTATATTCCAATATTGTACACTTGTATTTTTCACTGGTGTCGTCCTCGTCCACCGTTGCTCTGCTCTGCTCTGCTACCTTACATACCACTCTAGAGCACAGCAACTGACTCGAACTAACTTATCGAGGGCTTCACTCCAAACCAAAGCCAATCAAATGCAAGAAAAGAAAGAGAAATGTCACAGACGCTGATATTCGCCAGATGGAGAATTTCCGAACGGTCTAAAAGACGGAAAAATGGAGAAAAACAAAAACAAAAGGATAATACATGACAACGCCGAACGAAATGAAAATTAACCGTTACTTCTGACCTTATACGTTCAAAGTCTGAGGAAGGAGAAGAAGAAGGAGGGGGAAATCTTGAGGGAGTAGGAAAAAAAATACATAGAAGGTCCCGTCCCTACCAGCTGTAGTACTGGTTCTGGGCACTAATCTTCCGGTCCGGAAGCTGAGTCCAGAGTTGAGTCTTGCGCTTACGCTGCGACTCGGCCTCGCGGACCTGCCATTCCCGGATGCGCGTCTTCTCCTCCTTCAGCACCACGGACAGAGAGGTGTACGGCGGACGCAACATGTTGATCTGACCGCGGGCGCGGTGGTCGTAGTCGTAGCCGTACGGACCGCGGTTCACCCAGGCCTGTTCGATGTAGATGGCGGTGGGGTCGGTGATGGTCTTGCGCTGGCCCGACTTGAGGGTGATGGTGACCCCCTTGTCGGAAGCGGCGCCCAGACCCATACCGGAGCGAACGATGGCGACGTTCTTCGCGTGCTGCAGATGCTCCAGGACGTCCTTGGCGGCCTTCTTCTTGCTGAACCGCATCTGCAGCATGGCTTCGTCGATGTTCTTGCCGGCGATCTGTCTCGCCAGAGGACCCAGCTTCTTGACGGAGGTCTTGAACCAATGCGACTTGGAGGTGGACTCGCGCTCCGTGCGCAGGATCTGCTCCGTCTTGCTGATCCGGCCACGACGGCGGACCTCGCGGATCACCATCTTGCGTTCCCAGCGGACGCGGGCGTTTGGACGAGGATCCAACGCCGTCTGCATCGTCTCGCGGTTACGACCGTCCACGGCGTACGTATACTCCGCTTCCTCCTCGCCCTCGGCGGGCTGAGCAGCAGTCCTGCGACTCGGCGTGCGGCCGCTGGCAATGAGTTTCGGGGAGGCTTCGTCCTCGGCGAAGATGGAGTCGGCGCTCAGCGAACCCTCACGTTTGAGGGGGGCGTTGGCGCGGCGGGTGATCTTGGGCTTCTCCGCGGCGGATTTGCCGCCGAAGAAGAAGTTCTTGATGGAAGAGAGGGCTCCGCCCTTAGGTTGCGGCGAGTCGGATTGGTTATTGGAGCCATTGGGACCGTCTTCTTGGGCGAAACGAGGGACGGTATACGTGAGGGTGCGGCGAGGGAGGTAGGTGACGCCGGTGCGGGCTTTTGAGGCCAGGATTTCCAATCAACGGGGTGGTTTCTTACCGGGGGAAAGGGGAATTGAAACTTACCGGACCGGATCAGGTGCCCGTATGGGTTCAGAGCAGCCATTGAGGCCATGGCGAAGAAGACGGAAAACTCAGGGACGGGCGAAACCGAGTTGTCTGCAACGGGGACGAGCTCGGAGGTTCTTCTGCTGAGGAAGGAAAAAAGTGTCGGGAAAGACTTGGCTCTGCGCAAGTGGTGTCTCGCGGTCGCCGGAGGGACCAGAAGGGGCAAGCCACAGGTGCCGCCTCAGCCACAAGCACGAGCCACGACCGGGGGATCCCGTGACCCTCTCAGGTGCAGCTGCACGATTACCTCATTTCCAGTCTTCTACCAGCCCTACCTTTTTTCTCCTACTTACTCCGGAATCACTGGAAAGCGAAAGAAAGAACAACAAAAAGACTGCCTGAGAGGGCATGTTGGGATTACACCGTACAAATTGGATATGTTCTCCGTGGAAGCCAACCGAGGACCGGTCCCTGGAAGAGCGAGTGACCCGCACCCCAAGGCACGGATCGCAGGCAACTCGGGTACCATCATAATATTTGTTAATATTAATGGTTATTGTTAGCTAGCTTCAACTGCGTCATCGGTGAGCCTCGGACAGTTTGACCTCTCGGGGTGACTTTGTAGGAAGAGAAAAGAAAAAGAAAAACAAAAGCAAAAGACATCAAATTAATCGAGACTGATAGCCTCTTTCATTCCCCGGAGTGGAAGGTACTCTCTCGTCCTCGTCCTCGTCTTCTTCCTCACAAATCTCCACCGTCGATCCACTGCCCTCATCGTCAGTTCTTCTCGGTCTCGCTCTCTCGCTCTCTCTTTTCTCGTCTCCCTCTTTTTTTTTTATTCAACTATTTTTTTTGTTCTCCCCCCCCTCCCCAGCCCTTCTGGGACTCCCGCGTGTCACTTTCGCGCTTCTTTCCTCTCCCTGCGTTTTCCTTTTCGTCTCTAGTTTTTCCTTTCCCTTTCCGGTAGGTCTGCGTTCTTTCCTCTGCCGCCTTCCTGAGGCTTTTTGGGATTGCCGTCTAACGAGCTTCGTCAAGGTAGCTCCCACCCCGGTTTTACCTGGATAGCTTGTTCTCTCTCTCCCCTCCTCCTGCTCTTCTCTCTTCCTCTTCATCTCCAGCCTCACTTCCTTTCTCCATCGCCTGATCCTCAATCTGGGTTGGTTGGATTAATTCAAGAAAAAAAAAGAAAAAGAGAAACCAACAGAAAAAAAAGAATCAGAAAAAAAAAATCTTCTTAAATATAATAGAAGATTTTTTTCTTCTTCTCTTATAACTCGATTAACAGCCGTTGATCTCTTCTACCTTTGTGCTTTTCTTCGTGCCCTTTTCACCCGCAAGTTGTCAGTTGTGACCTCATCCAAACCTTCTCTGGTCGGAGGCAACCCTCTTTCCAGGAACAAGCGACAGAACAGAATCAAGAACTTCCCCGGTTCCAGAGTCTCGACAGACTTGCGCAGCCGGGGGCAGGAATGGACTCGTTGATGAGGCAATCCACGGCTGTTCTATAACTTGGATCGCTTTCTTCTTTTTTTCTTTCTTTCAAACCATCCCCTTTAGCATTCCAGTCGACTCATTCTCGGGACGAGCGCCTCGTTGGCCGTCTTAGATCGATCATTTTTCACCTAATCTCCCCCCCCCCCCCTTGGTTAGACTCGCGCAAAATCAGTCTCGATGATGGACATCAATTCCCTACTTTCGCCGCAGGATTCAAATTCGCAATCCGGGCGCTCCACCCCCTCCGTTGCTCCTACTCCCGCTGGCAACCCACCTGCTCCCACCGCCGCCGCTCCTAAACCCTTACGCAAGAGTCGCACCGGCACGTCGAAACAGGGAATGACGTCCTCCCCGCTGGCGCAGCACGTTTACGCCCCGACAAATATCCCCGAACCCTCGCCGCCCTCCGTCAGTCCCTCCGTCGGGCCCAACATGGGCAGTGGTAATGGAACCCCTCCGGCCGCAGACTTGCCTCCTTCCAGACAGCCGTCGACCCCCGGCATGGATACGCTGGCCGACCTGGCGTCGATGCAGCATCATCAACCCCAACGCTCGAACGCCCCCATCCTGCGAAGCACCGAATCCTACATCAGCCAGCTCTCGCCCTCAACGATGTATCCGAATGTCGGTTCCATCAACCACAATACTCCGACGCCGCGCTCGTCGTTCGACATCGCCATGTCTGATGGTCCCAGGGAAAGCGCCCGGAGGAATTACGTCGATACCTCGTTGGTGCCGAATGCGCAGCGTCTGGCGACCGAGCTATTCGTCCAGATTCAGGAGAGCCCGCAGTCCTACGAGGCGCACGTCAACTTCGTGCGACTCTTGCACGCCGGCTTCGTCAACCACGTCTATCCGCCCAACAACCCGGAAATTCATGGCGACCCCCGGAAGTATGATCTACTGAAGGACATGAGAACGGCTCGGGAGGAGATGGATAAGCTCTTTGCGATGGGCGAGGATCTGTGGGCCGAATGGATCCAGGACGAGAGCATGCTGGCCCAACACGTGGAAGAGCGCATCGCGGTCATGGAGCTCTGTAAGCGATCGATCGAGGAGGAATATGGCAGCACAAAACTGTGGAGTATATACGGGGAGTGGGTGCTGTATCTGTACAACTCCGCCCATGGCGACGCCAGCCAAAGTCAATGGACGGAGGAGGATCGGCTCGTCGGGCGCGAGGTCTTCTCCTGGCAGTCCGTCCTCGAAGTCTTTCAGAGAGGCGCCGAGGCCACGCTGTGGAGAATCAACGACAGCCACCTGGTCTGGGATCGGTTGTTGGAACTGCGCGTGCAGGATCTGGCACGCAACCCCTCCCAAGAGAAGCTGGGACATGTGCGACACTTGTTCGACATCAGACTACAAACCCCGCACGCCACCTGGGACCAGACGTTCCAGGCCTTCTCCGGATTCATTTCGACCTACTATAATGCGAACTACGAGGGCATCATGGCCGAAACCGCCGAGCGATATGCCACGCCCAGCAAGGAGGCGTACGCTGCTCGCGAGGACTTTGAAATCAAGCTGCGCAATGCTTCCGAGTCGGGCAACATGGGCATCGAATGGACGATTTATACTGAATACATCGACTGGGAGATCAGTCGCAACCGCCGGAAACGCCACTCGAACTTCGATCTGGTGAATGCCATCTACCAGCGCGCGGTGCTGCGATTCCCCACCGACGCCAGCATGTGGGAGGACTTTGTCATGTTCCTCATTGACGAAGCCATGCATGGGAACACGAATACCACCACCATCTCCACCCTCGATCGAGCCACTCGCCATTGCCCTTGCTCCGGCACGCTCTGGTCGCAGTATCTGATCAGCTCGGAGCGAGAGGGCCAATCATTCTCCAAGATCGCCGACATCAAACACAAAGCCACTAGCACCGGACTCCTCGACGTGGGCGGTATGGAGGAAGTGCTCAAGGTGCACACCGCCTGGTGCAGTTACCTGCGCCGACGCGCCTTCATGTCGGACTCCACCGACGAGGATCTGGACGTGGCCGAGGTCGGAATTCGCTCCGCCATCGAGAGCGTTCAGGAGCTGGGGGAGAAGAAGTACGGGCGCTCCTACCAGGGCGACCCGCTCTTCCGCCTCGAACGCATCTACATTCGCTATCTAAGCGAGAGTGGTAGTTGGGACAGCGCTCGGGAGACGTTCAAGGGCCTGGTCAGACGTCGAGGCAACAGCTATGAATTCTGGTTGACCTACTACGAATGGGAGCTGATCTCCTGGAGCAAGTTTGTTCAAGGTGAAGCGACCGTCGATGCCGCGCGCCGCACTCCCAACCCCAGCTACGCGACCGCGGTGTTGAAGCAGGCGATCAAGCGGACGGATCTCGACTGGCCGGAGAAGATCATGCAGACTTACATCGCCCACTGTGAAGACTACGAAGACTCGGACGAATTGCAGCTGGCCATTTTGGAGACCCGCAAGGCGATGCGAGCCATAACCGCGCGACGCGAACGAGAGGCCCGAGAGGCGGTCGCCCAACAACAAGCCCAGCAGGTGGCGGCGGCGGAAATGGCTACGCACGCCGAAAAGCGCAAGCGTGAGGACGAAGCCAATCTTAACGGGCTTCCTACTAAGAAGCCCCGGGCGGACGAGCCCCCGGTTGCGGTCGTTCCCACCACCGAGGCAGAACCTGCCGCAGCACCCCCTCGGGATCGCGAGAATGCCACCGTGGTGGTCAAGAACCTGCCTCGTGGAATTACGGAGCACAAAGTCCGTCAATTCTTCCGTCATGTCAGTTTCATTCCCTCTCGTCGCCTTTCCCTGCTATTTATCATTGCTTTACTAATGTGTCCAACAGTGCGGAACGATCAACGGGCTGCAAATGTTCCCCGGCGAAGGAAACTCGGAGGTTGCCATCATCGAATTCAACTCCAAGGACGAGGCCGCCGTTGCTCAAACCCGGGATCAAAAATCGATCGATGAAAATACCATCGAAGTGCATGTTGGATCCGGTTCTACGCTCTTTGTCACCAACTTCCCCCCAACCGCCGATGAGAAATACATTCGCGATCTGTTCTGTGAGGTGGGTCCCTTTATTCTTCCTGGGTAACGGCTGGTTAACTTGTGGACAGTTCGGCGAGATCATCGATATTCGGTTCCCGTCGCTCAAATATAATACCCACCGCCGGTTCTGCTACGTGCAGTTTCGCGAGTCCGACCAGGCATACCGCGCCACGAGACTGGACGGGACGACGGTCGGCAAGAACCTCCAGCTGGTGGCCAAGATCTCCGATCCCTCGCGCAAACAGGACCGATCCGGTCCGATGTACGAGGGACGGGAGGTGCACGTCTCGAATGTGGATTGGAAAGCCAGCGAAGGCGACTTGAAGGAGCTGTTCTCGAAGTACGGGACCGTGGAGGTGGTGCGGATTCCGCGCAAGGTTGACGGCGGAAGCAAGGGGTTTGGCTATGTCATATTCTCCTCCCAGGTAAGGCTTCCTCGCTGCAGAGAGCTATCGTGGTGGCAGCAATACTAACCTGATGGGGTCCTTATAGGAAGAAGCCCGTGCGGCGCTTGCAGTGGACCAACAGGAGTTTCGATCGCGACCCCTCCATGTGAAGCTTTCTGCGCCCCAGGGTGCCAAGCGAAGTGCAACGACCATTGTCTCCCACGTTGGGAAATCTCAATCACCCGCTGCCACCGAGGCAAACGGCACGAAGCAAGAGTCTGGCGACGGGGACGCAGTCAGCGGGGAACGGGCAGCCCGGACACTCGGTCTAATGAACGTTCCGGACACGGTCAATGATGCACGCATCCGCAGTCTCGCCGAGCCCTACGGAACACTGGTCAAGATCATTCTTCGGCCGGACCACCAAGGAGCTATCGTCGAGTTTGCCGACGTGCACCATGCCGGCAAGGCGTCCTTGGAGCTCGAGGGTCGCGAGATTGCGCCCGGTCGGAAACTGCACGTGGGGACGGTGGCTGAGATGCTTCGACAGTCGGCGGAGAAAAAGCACAGCGGCGCCCCCAGCAGTCAGCCGAAAGGAAACAAGCCCCAGGGCTTTCTCCAAGCCAGCGGACCCGTCAGGCGACCGCCGCAGCCCGGAGCGCGCGGCGGGAAGCGTGGAGGACTAGGCGTGAAGCGAGGCGAGAAAATGACGACGACGACAAACACGACGACGACGATGACGACCGACAGCGCATCCCCGGCTCCGGGGCAAAGCACGAAAAAGAGCAACGATGACTTCCGAGCGATGATCCAGCGGAGTCAAGCGGAGTGAAGAGCATCCGGCGCAAAATTGGAATGCATGCATGGCAGATATACCGGCGTTTCCCTCCGCGATCGCTTTCTTTCCTCTTGATTTGTTTTCTCATTCCCTTTTGTATCTCGATCTCTGGCGGGTGCCGTGGTTCTTTTTTATCTTTTGCTTCTGATGGTTTATGCCCGACCCCAAGTGTATTATCAAGTTCGTTGATTATCCGTTGCATTCCGAGTTTGCGGGATTCAAGTGTAGATTATATCTTGTATTTTGATCTTGATCATTTGATTGACTATTATTCAATTATGAAGTTATTCAAGTATCTGGAACTCTTCCCTGGATACCTGATGCGGCAGATCAGGCGGAGTGACGTCAGAGCGTGGATGAAGTGGTGATTGATCGAATTGATAAAAGTGAATTGACTGGAATGGAATTAATCAACCTGAATTTGAGCTCTACAGATTAGAGTCGAGAGATGAGACAGACTAAGAGGAAGTAGGGTTGCCTCCCCGCCGACGCTTTGGCCGTGGAGATCGACTAATTCTTCATTTTCTGCTTGAGCGATAAATCGACAGCCCGTCAGGAGGAACCTCAGGCCACCACCTCCCAGGAATGATCGGCCGGGGTTTCCTTCCTTCGTTCATTCTTCTTCCTCCCTCCTTCTGCTCCTCTCTCTGTCTCTCTCTCTCTCTCTCTCTCTCTCTCACCGACCGTATTTCTTGACCCTGATTTTCCTCCTCCTATCCATGGTTTCTGAGCCCGACCGATTGAACGGTCGACTGCTGGTGTAATATTGATTGGTTTTGATTGACTGATCAACTGGGCCGCTTCCTGTGGCTTTTCTCCCTTCTTCCCTCACGACCCCGTCGCTTTTACCGGTCGGTCTTTTATTCATCTCTTTCTGATTCTTGGGAGGGGCACTGCTTCTCCGTCTCACTTGATTCTTTGGTGGTTCCCTTGATTCCTCGTCCTCACCTCGACCGCCTCGGCGATCGCAGCCACCGCAAAGGCGCTGTCGTCATCACTGCCAACCAACAACCAACAACATGGATTTCCATCTGGTGCCTCGTGGGGAGGATCGCAATTACACAGGGTTCTTGACCAAGACCATCGTCTATACGGCTACCCTGATTGTTTTCATCGCCTGTAAGCGCCGGCCGGCTAGAGCCACCTCTCAAGCTCCACCTCCGCTATCTGCCCCGTCGCAGGTCATGCGCTAACGGAAGCTCCTCTGTCGCCAGCCTTCGGTCTGTCGATCTCCTCGATTGTCGTTCCTAAATGGGTCAGCTATCATAGCGAACATGTACGTCTCCTCTCGGTTCCGACCATCTCAGCGTTCATGGTCTAACTCCGTGCAGCCCTCTTTCCACTACTCCTACGGCCTCCACCGTCGCTGCTCCTCCCTCTCCGATACCTGCGAGAGTTTCCCGCAGCGCGAAGACTGTCATGGCGAGGACCGCTATTTCTGTTCAATGTGGCGCTCCGTCGGCTTCCTCATGTCTTTTGCCATCGTTCTTGAGGGCATGAGTATCGTCGCCTACGTCATCGTGCTGGCCGGCGGGAAACGACTGCGCGAATCGGGGTGGAAGATTCTCAGCTTGTTGATCGTGTTGTCGGCGGTGGTGCAGGCCGCGAGTATGTCCATCGTGGTGCGTTGCTTCTCTTTTCTCCCTGGCTTTCCTTCTTTCTTTCCTCTAGGAGATTCCGGTAATTTGACTGACGACTGTAGGCATATCTGTTCGACAACGAGAGCCGGTTCTTCGTCGGCTGGCGACTGGATGAATCGTGGATTTATTGCACCGTCAGCTGGGTCGTCAGCCTGATTTGTGCCGGTGCTTTGGTGATTGCCGCGCGAGTGCTTCCGTCGGAGGGCGGATATGAGTTGATCCCGGATCACTTGTAGTTTGAGACTGTTGTATGATGTGGACGAGTATATGCAGGAGGATGAATGATGGATTCTGGCGTTTGTCGGACTGTTTTGATATTTCACACAAGGTATTTGATTCCGCTCTTATTGATTGATGTGCTGGTTTGTTGTTACTCGTTTGGTAGATTCTCACGGGCGTGTATATAGCGTCTTCTTCTCGTCTAGAGTTATGATTAATGGTAATGAATGACATATGTGGACTATGATCGATTGATAAATACATCCATCCCTCAGCCCTCTTCCTCTCAAAAAAAGGGCTCAGTTGCAACTCCATTCTTCCCACCAGCTCCAACCCATTCCATGAAAACCGGCAAGATCTCAATATCCGGAAACCGCAGTTGGGCTCTCTTCGTGGCATTTGGGCTCCTCTGCCGCCGCTTGTCTTCTTCTTTGAGATACGTCTTCAGCAGCTCCAGCATCGTTCGCACCTCCGCGAAGGACTTATTCGGACCCAGATGCTCGCGCAACCACGACGGCACCGAACCCCGAGGCATGGTAGGTTTCTTGCGCTGGGGGGCCTTGCCTTTACTCCTGGCAGCCACGGCAGTTTGTCGTTGCTTGCGTCGCATCACTCCAGCACCTCCTCTTTCCCCTCCATCCACTATCCCCTCCCCCTCCTCCTCCTCCTCCCCTCGCAAAACCATCCCCAACTCCAAATCCATAGCCCTCTTCCTCAAAACCACCTCAAACGCTCTCACGCCGCCCCAAACCGCCATCCTCTCCAGCGACACGAACACCAGATCGACCTGCGTCACGGCCCAGTTCGGGGCCCGGTATCGTGCTCGCTGGTAGTGTTTGCGACAGTAGTGTACCCAGACGGAGGGCGGGAAGAGCCGTGTTGAGAGCTTGTTGCGGCCGAAGATGTGCGTTATTAGTTTTCGGGGCGGTGGTGGTTCGAGGGGGGTGGAGGGGGAGGTGTTGGGGATGGGGTTAGGGTGAGGGTGAGGGTCCAGGTGCGTGGTGCAGGGGGTCGTGAATTCGCAGATCTGGGTTACATTTGCGGATGGGGTTGGGGATGGGTATGGATCTGAGTCGTGGTGGCGAGAGAGCTCGTGGTTGTTGTCTGGGGTGCTTGGGATTTGGCAAGGAGGGAGAGGAGGACGTCGTGACTTAGGGTTCGCAATGTCAGGTGGGATGGGGATGGAAAGGGGTTCATATCGATATCGAGATGGCATTTTGTCGGTTTTGTCTTGCTCGTCCGGAGGGTTCGTCTTGTGGGATTTTGGAGGAGGGTATGATCATAGTAGAAGAGTAAATTTTATCAGTGCAGACCTACCTGATGGATCAAGGTGGTCTCCATACACCTTGGTGGTAGAGATATAGGAGTAGAGAGACAAGGTGGGAAAAGAGTATGGAAAGAAGACGGAAATGCGATGAAGGTAGGGAAACACAGCGATACTTATATCAACCCTTCTCTCTGTAGAGAACAGGGGAAGCGTGAGCATAGACTTGTTCGTGCGGGATAGCAGTCGCAGATCACAAAGGGATGTCGACCTATTATTGCATTATTAGACTTCTGTGAAGTAGACAGGTAAAGTAGGTACGTACATAGGTAGGGTGGAGGCCATAACGAATAGGCAAGAGGAAGATATCCACACGCTGGATAGCAAACTTTCCCTGCGTACGCTCAATATAATGAAGACAAACAACTCCATTGTGCTGATACGATCATCCGTTCTAGCGAAGGAGATGAACTCAATATTCACTCAACCTGATTGGAAAGGTCAGGGGAGACATTAGAGATATAGTTCAAGACCCAATAACTATTTGAGACACCAGGAATTACCCTTCGTAAATCTAAGACCTCACTGACAGTTCCCCTAATGCAGAAACCAGAGAGAAAAGCTAAATGCATTCAATTCATTTCACCATAGCAGGTAGTGTTAGTTATCACGACATAACAGAACATAGCATAGCATGCATAGCATAGCGTATTCACATCCATCCGTATTCATCCATCCAACCATCCTAACCCGAAAGAAAAACCATTTTTATATCCATTTATCCATAATAGCAGGTCGGTCAATCATTCTGTTTGACAACCAGACCAGACCCGGATCCATGTCCATTCCACAAACGCCGTATCCACATGCAGAAAAGAGGAACTCGTATAGACAGAAAGAGAAAGAAAAGAGGCAAACACAAAGAGAAGGAGAACAATGAGCAAGTGAACATGGAGAGAAGAGAAGTAGCCACAAAAAAAAGGACGAGAGAGAAAAAAAAAGCCCGAAAAGAGATAATACAATGTAATTTATGCAATGGAGATCATCCACGAGAGAAACAGCGCAAAAGAGATGAGAATGAAAGAGGCAATGCACCCGCACGAATCGATCGGACTTTGCAGCCTCATGCTCTGTATTCATGTCTGTCAAACCACCCAGTTTCATGGAGGTCTACACACGAGGATAGGTGTAGATCACATCGCATATCCCGTTTGTACCCTTGGCACATACCGTCTCATCGCTCGACCCGTCGTACACCCCACCGAGCCAATATCAATCGTGCCCAGTTCTCGACTCAACGCGTCCATGCCCGGTGGGGGCGCGCCTCCTCCGGTCGGCGCCATCGCTCGGCCCTGCGACACGGGCATCGGTTGCGCGATGGGCACCTTCGCCGGGATCGGCGGACCCTGGTGCGTCGGCGCGTAGAAGCTCGACGGCGAATGCGAGCCCGAATGGCCGCTCGGCGCAGGGGACACGGAGTTGCGACTGCGCACGGATCGAGGAGAAGGCGTGCTATACGTTCGAGCGTGCGCCGGCCCCGGCCCATGTCCATGTCCGTAGGTATGTGCGACAGGCACAGGAGCCGCAGCCGCATATCCGGATCGACCGCGGGCCATGTTCATGTCGACGTCTGCGGCGCCGTAGGAGGAAGTCGGACGAGGCTGGGATGGAGGGGGCTGGGATGGAGGAAGTTGAGGTCTGACAGTGACGGCGGTGGCCGGACGAGGACTGGTACGAGCAACGCTGGCAGGCGACTTCTTGAAGCGGACGACGACGCCGGTTTTCTTCTTGCGCTCGGGCTCTGGCGCCCACGTGTCTGTGGGCAGATGGTCGGAGGGATCGATCTCGCGGCCGTCGTCGCCGATGATGGGTCCCGAGTCGTTGCCGGGACGCGCGGCTTCGGCTTCACTGCGTCGGGCGGCATGCATGGCTTCAGACGGGGTGTCGTAGGCTGGGGCGAGATCTCGCGTCACGGCGGCGCGGGCAGCGTTGGGGTTGAACTGGTCGTAGGAGTCGGGGGAGAAGGGGATCTGAGAGACCGGAGGGGCAACAGCAGCAGGGTGATCGACAGGCATGGTTCCGGCGGGAGGAAGAGGCGAAGGATGAGGGCTAACAGATGGATGAGGGCTGACGGATTTGCGACGGGGCACGATGCGCGAGTCGGAGTGGAAGGATCTCCGAGTGGTGACAAGGGCTTGGTGAGGGTTATCGACGGGGGCAGAAAGAGGAAGATGAGGAGCAGAAGAGGCCGGACCCTCGACGGGATACGGCGGCATCATGGCCGGCGCCGGCGAGGGATCTCGGGACGGCGGACAGATGGGGTCGTCGTTGTCGAAGATGGCGCTGCGACGACGCACGGCGACGCGCTCGCTGGCGGCGCGATCAGACTCGGCGTCGGCGATGGCGGGATCAAATCCCGCGACTAGACTGGGGGGCATGGAGGGCGTATTCGTAGGCGGGGGGAGGTGATCCTGGATATGCGCCGCCACGTCGGCTGGCAGGTGGTGCTGGTGCTGGTTGCTGAGATCGAAGGAGTTCCGTGGGGACGGTGCATACTCTGGGGAGTAAGCTTGGTACGAAGGAGTTGGTGACGGTACTAACTGTTGAACATGATTATTGGCATGATTAGGACTGGAATGCATCTGCGCCACGCCCGAGCGATGGACCGGCGGCGGCGGCGGAGGGCCGTCGTCGTCCTCGTCCTCGACTCGCGGCTGCATCGTTGCATATTCCGCATGACGCATGGCATTGCTACCGCCGTCGTGCACCAGCGAGTTGCTGTGGCTCCGACTGCGACCGCGGCCACGGTAGTGATCCACGGGCTCCAAAGCCATGCCGTTTGGTACGGCGGCGGGCACGTATTCCACCGCGCCGTGGTCGTGCATGCTGGCGCCCGACGATCGCGATGTGTATCTGGCCGGGGGAGCACCATGCACGACCATCATATCCCCGTTCGGAGCATAGTGCTGTGGTTGCTCCGTCGGGAACGCGTAGTTGCTGTGGTGGCTGCTCGGACGAGGCGGTTCTGCAACGGAGGCGTGCATCTCCGGGAACTGCTCCGGTCGACTGACGGGTATTTCTTGCCTCGACGAGCGATAGTCCACCGGGGGCGGGTTGCCGTAGCCAGACCGAGGCCGAGCGTAGGAGCGCGAGTCGTACGCATCCCGATATCCTGCGTACTGAGCTTCCTGAGGATGACGCTTGGGAGGTGCCTGCTGCAACGGAGGCGCCGAAGGATGGCTCCATTCACGGTGGAAATCATCCGGAGTCTCGTAGGTTCTCATCGGCCGTGAAGCCGGAGGCGCTTGAACAGGCATCGGAGCAGAGTCATAGACAGGGTCGGGAACCATCGAATGTCGCGGAGGAGCAGCATGACGCATATACTCTGTGGGAGGTGTGGGATAGGGATGAGAGGGAGGTTGCTGTTCATGCATCGGCCGCGGGGGTGTAACCTGGGCTGGTAGAGGAACAGGTGCAGACGGGACTTTCTCAGGCGGACTAGGACGCGACGGCGCTGAACCCGTGGGGTCTGTCGGGAGCGGACGACGCTTGACGTCTTTCAGCTGTCGGGGACCCGATAACGACGACGAGCCAACGTGTGTCGGTGTTGCGGCCGCGCTGTTGCTACTGAGGCTGGACGAGGTCGCTGCAGAGGGAGCGCTCTTACCGTGGACTTTCTCGGCCGCCTGCGTGCGTCGCTCAATGACCGCCTCGTCCTCGGGTCTGGTGTCGTAGTAGGTCATCTCGATGCGAACGTCGCCTGCATACCTCCCGCGGTATTGCAGCGGATGCCACTGGTCGCTCTGGCTGCCTCCGGGGATAATTAGGTCTTTCAGATCGACCCACGTCTCGCCGATCAGGTCGGTTCGCTTATCGTCGTTGAAGACGGTGACTTTCAGACGGAAGTAATCAGGGGATTCGTGCACCGTGAATCGTAGCTCTTGGTCCCTACAAGTCACGCATTAGCAACCAAATCACAGGGAAAGGGAAGCCTAATTAACAGTATACCATTTCGGAGTCTGACCGCCTCGCAGGTCAGTCTCAGTTTTCTTAGCCTCTTTGCCTAGTCGCGCAGCGCAGTACGGATTCTGCTTGCCCATCGTCTTGCGATTGGGCAGGTTCTTGGCGCGATCGATGACGGCGACCAGCGTGCCGATAGCTGGGCCATCGACGGACATATCGGCGAAGATGCCCGCGGCGTGGTTGATGGACATGCGAGAGGCCTTGGACGCCATGGCTGAGGGAGGGAAGCCAGATAAAAAGGAAAACTAAAGGAGAGGAAGAAGAAAAGCGAGGGAAGGACAGAAAAGGAGAGGGTCGGGAACGAGGTCAAGGCACCACGCTCAGGACCGCATGCGTTGCGTTACAAGAGAGAGAGCGAAGCCAGTCAAACGAGAAGGCTAGACATGCAACTGATCGAAGACGAAGTGCACTAAATCAAAAGGTGTAAGCCAGCATTTGGAATGGATGAATGAGAGGGGAGGATTCGGGAACAAACCGGACAAGGATCTGGTGTATTAGTTTCTCTCCTCCTGCAGAAGTAACACGAGCACAAGTCGAGACGGAAATGTGCTACTTTGGCAGGATGAGGGAGGGTCGAGGGAGAAGGAAGGAAGAAGAGAGTGAGAAACGAGAGACACGAGAGAAACGAGCAGGGAGGGGAAAACAACCAAAACAAATCGATAAGAGATCTTGTTCGATCCGAATTTACTGATTGGGCGACTCGGTCCCGGTGGGGCGGACAGCCGATAATGGGGTGGCTGGGGGGTGGCTGGAGGGGGTGGGGTCCATCCCATCATTGGCTGTGGTGCGCGTTCCTGCATGGGCGGCCCCACCTCCTGCCCTCCTTCCCGATCGTCATCGCTGCATGACAATACCGTACGGCGCCCCGAATTCAGGCATCAATTCGACCAGCCACGGTCATTTTGGTCGTTGACGGAGTACAAACATCGAATGAGGCGCTTCTAGACATCTGCCAATATCCACTTTAAATTAATTTGCTATCGTCATGACCGCCTTTCCCTGCTTGTGTTTCACGGTTTCATCTCTGATGCTGTAACTTGTCAATATAACTTGCAATCAGCCTGGCAAGCCCACCCTAGTTCTCCACCTGCAGAATAAGCTACGTAGCTCGTCGCCAATCGCCGTGTTACAAAACCGGCTGATGCTGCATCATCTGTCTGTTTGAGCATCGGATGCGAGTACGGCGTATTCCTGACAGTCAAGGATGGTCGAGAATTGCAGTTGTAACTACTACGCGTCAATACGGCATGTTTGCCCACAAACTCTGTTGCCTGTCTGACCATGGCAGCTTCTCACCACAGCCCGGCGTTATAAACTCTGCCAAATTTACCGTTCTATAATTATCGTCTCCTCAGAAGGCGGAAACTTACCACAGACGTCCAGATCCAACAATCAAAATAGGCTTTCGGGATTTATTCGGTTTGGTTTCAAAATAACGGGGACGAGTGGGAACATCATAACATGGCGGCCTGATTCAGTGGGACTACGCCTTGTTTTCTGGGCACTGACAGGTGATTAGGTAGAAGTATTCCGGTGTCTTTACTCTTTACTCTTAGTGACGACATGTATGTAACGGCTTTTGCTAAAGAAGAAGGAGCCTCAGCTAGCGTTGATCCCGTGTCTTCCGAGTCCCGTGTTTGACCTGCATGCACTCCGGAGTACTCCGTATATCGTTCGGGATTTGCGTCCGTCTAGACTCTGGAGCTTTGCTTTGTTTTCGGAACAATTGTCCGTGCATGTCTAGAGTCATTTTAGCCTGTTCCGCCCCGTTAGCTCGCCTCTACCGACAACACGCAGATCACTCTGTCGTAGTTGGCAACTTGGCATATGAGTCGGTGTCGCTTTGTAGACTTGTATCCGCAACTCTCTCATATTAAAAGTCTCGCCATGCTAGCAAAGGGAACTTTTTTGTGATGGTGATCTTCGATTATCGCCCGGCGTAACCGGGTTGGACTACTGGGTCGGCGGGACCTAAGTTACGGCAACAATCGACTTGTAGTAAGCACTGCGCCACCCCTGCCAGCCTGATGTAGAACCTCTCTTTGGCACCTCGAGACAGCTCTCACGGATGAGGATATCATGAGTATGGCATCTTCCGAAGTACACGATCGAACATTCAAGCTTGCCTTGCTCGGCGATGTTGCCGTCGGAAAGGTAGGTCAGGGCATTGCGAAAGTACACATGCACTACAGCGGAACATACTAATGAGCATGAATAAAGACCAGTTACAAAGTCCGCCATTTTACAGGGGAAGAGGTAACAGAGTATCGGTCGATCAACTACTGCGAGATATCGCATCCACTCAAATATACACTGGCGGTCTGCACTGATGTGATCAATCTTGTTGTATCTAGCTAACAAGCTATCGTAGAACGGGCGCGGCAGTGTCAACTTCGAGATATGGGATATCGCCGGCAACCAGGGCCACATGAACCGGTTAGGGGAGTATTTGAAAGACACCGATGCGGCTATCATCATGTTTGACGTATCACGACGGAAGACCTGGGAAAGTGTGGTCAAGTGGTACCGTATGATTTACCGCCCAGACGCCGGATCTCGCTGATGGGCAATCTAGAGGACCTTGCATCCGTAAACCATACACATATTCCCGTGGTAGTCTGCGGAAATAAAGTGGACGATCAATGCGAGCGCGAGGTCAAACCGGAAGATATCATATGGCCGGACGAGATGAGTGGCGTTCAGTACTGCGAGACGTCTGTCAAGTCCAACTTGAATTTCGATCAGCCGTTTTTGTGGCTTACGAGGTCTCTTCTGGATGATCATAGTCTGGTATGATCCATGGCGTTTATTAGTTCAGAAGAACATGCGCTAACCTATCTCTGGTTTGATAGGAGTGGGGATCGAACGTTTTATGTTCTGGCTATATGGCACCAACTTTTGACCCTGAACAATTGAGGAAGTATCATGAGGAGATGGCGATAGCAAGCTATTTGCCAATTCCTGATGAAGATGAGTTCGACCTATGACTGCTCGTCGTATATTGCTGTCTCTAGTGCCACTCAACAATGGTATTCAGACAAGGTTTGAACAGAGATATATCTCGACAACCCGTAGCTCGTAGCGACGGTTACCTGCCTGATTACAGACAGACAAGGGAGTACAGTGTCTCAATACACCACGTGGTGTCTTTCCCCCTTGCTGGACCCCAACTCCCAAGAGATCCAGATGCCAGATGGATGGCATAATGATTCACATCATGGGTCATTGCGCTGGAATGCGATCTGCAAGGGCGGCAGTGTCTAGACGGGCTGGGGCAAACACTGTCTCATGCCATCATACCGAATGCAATCCAGCCGTTGAATTTGCTACATTCAACAAAATCATACCGATGAATCGTTTACCTCATTGGCATCCTCATGGTGGATTCGGAAAATGTACCCGTGATCATGCCGGCTGTTGCCTGACTGCCTGACTGCCTGACATGCAGGGCACCAATGGCCAGGCATTAAGGCACCAAGAGCCACTGTTATCTTATCATCACCTGACTGGAGATTTAGATGACTAAGCCTCTCACGGCTTGAACTTTTTGCATCAAAAAAACTTCCAGACGATCGTCAAATTCCTGCTGCACCGTCGCCGACGCCAACGCAGCTGGCCGGCCGAGTTGATTTTCGCTTTTCTCATCATTCAAGGACTGGGTTTACCTATATCTCGACAGACCCAATCGTCTATCTCAATTCCTTCCAGCCGCCATGGCTGCCCCCGTCCTCCCTCTGCAGCAGGTCAAGCTGCCTGCGCTGCCCTCCACCAAATTGACCCCGGAGCAGCAATACTGGAAGACCTTCAAGAACCCGCTTCTGATCCCCTCTCCGGCCAATGGCCCTGTCAATCTCATCACGCAGCCCTCCGTGCCCTCGTCCGCCTCGGCCTTCCCCTCCCTGACCCAGCCTCCGGATGTTTTCACCGTCACCACCGGCGCCCGAGTCCAGATCTACTCCATCCGCACTCGCAAACTGCTGCGCACCATCACCCGCTTCGACGACACCGTCCGCGGCACCGATGTCCGACCTGACGGCCGCGTGCTCGTCACCGGTGACGACACCGGCACAGTGCAGGTGTTCGACGTGAACTCGCGATCCATCCTTAAGACGTGGAAGGAACACAAGCAGCCCGTGTGGGTGGCCAAGTTCTCCCCGAGCGACGCTACCTCGCTGCTCAGCGCCAGCGACGACCGGACCGTGAGGTTGTGGGACCTGCCGAGCGAGAGCAGCGTCAAGACCTTCGTCGGACACAGCGACTACGTGCGCAGCGGTGCCTTCATGCCGGGTTCCCTGGCCTCCTCGGGCCTGGTGGTCTCGGGTAGTTATGATCGCACTGTCCGTCTGTGGGATCCTCGCGTAGAGGGTCGCTCGGCTATGACGTTCAAGATGGGCGCTCCTATCGAGAGCGTGCTGCCGATGCCGACGGGCACGACGGTGCTGGCGTCGGCGGATAACAAGATCGCGGTGCTGGATATCGTGGCGGGTAAGCCTTTGCACATGATCCAGAGCCACCAGAAGACTGTCACGGCGCTGTCCTTGGCGTCGAACGGCGAGCGACTGCTCAGTGGTGCGTTGGACGGTCACATGAAGGTGTTCGAAACGTCGGGGTGGAATGTCGTCTCCGGGTCCAAGTACCCGTCGCCGATTCTGTCGCTGCGCGCCATTACCTCCGGGCCGGCGTTGGAGGACAAGCACATTGCCGTGGGTATGCAGTCCGGTCTGTTGTCGATCAAGACACGTCTGTCGGGACAGCAGAAGGTCCGCGAGCGCGAGAGGAGGAAGGAAATGCAGGCTTTGCTGGAAGGCAAGCTGGAGGAGCATGATAAGAAGGTTGCCAAGCAAAAGCGCGGAGCCGGTTGGGAGAAGCGACTGCGCGGTCGGGATTTCATCGGCGAGGGCGTCGACATTGTGATCGAGGGACAGGATCGCAAGAAGCGGAAGAAGGAACAGAGCTGGGAACACGACCTGCGCAAGGCCCGGTATGCCGCCGCCCTGGACCATGTGCTGACCGGACACGACAAGACGGCGCAGCTCACTCTGCTGACGGCGCTGCGACACCGGTCGGCGTTGCGAGCGGCGCTGCGGGGCCGCGACGAGGAGACGCTGCAGCCGGTGCTGCAGTGGGTGCACAAGAACATTCGTGAGCCGCGACTGGTGAAGACGTGCGTCGAGGTGGGCATGAACGTGCTGGACATCTACTCGGGCAACCTGGGACAGTCGGCGCAGATCGACAAGATGGTGGAGCGATTACACCGACGGGTGCGCGACGAGGTGGAGATGGCGCACCAGGCGACGCAGACGCAGGGGATGCTGGATATGCTCCGGGCATCTTGATCTTGATCTTTCTCAAAAGAAGAAAAAGAAATTGTTTGACTAGAAAATCTTTCGCATTCGGATACCGGGATGGAGTTTGGGGTTCGGGATCCAAAAGACCTTACATATGTGTATATCAATCAACCAAGCTTAGCGCCACTGATGAAACATTGAATGAATCATCCTGCATATGTTCGTAGTTGTATTTGCCGTCCTTCCTATATACATTCCCAGTCCCATCTTTCCGATCTCATACCATCCCATCAATCCCGATACAACTTGGAAAACCCTCCCTCCGACGGCTGCAGCCAATTCCTCTCATCATACTCCCAACCCTCCGCACCTTCAATAACATGAAACGTATACGCAAACCGACTCCTCTGGCTCGTATTCTTCTCACTCTGATGCAGCACATTGCCATGAATCAAGACCAACGAACCAGCCTTGATATCCAACACCTGCACATCCTCCTCCTTGGGCGCTTCGCCCTCAACCTCCTCTTCCTCCATGCCCCTGGGCAAACTCGCGCCCTCATTCACCACAAACTCCGTCCCCTTACCATCCGCCCTCCTCACAAACCGCCTCTTCACAGCCCCACTGGTCCGCCCGCGATGCGAACCAGGAAACATACCCAGCGTCGCATTCCCCGGCCCAGCGTCCTGCAACGCAAACCACCACCCCACAGCCGACGGCGGACTCGTATACAAAAACTCCGAATCCCGATGCGGGGGCACCGCGCCTCCAATCCCCGGCTGTTTGCAAATAACCATACTCTGCAGCACGCGAGGATCACGGAACCCGAGATCTTTCGCGATGGCGGCGTTCTTCGCGGAGAGCGAGACGGCCTCGAAAGGCGAAGACAGGCTATGCAGGGAATGGCCGATTTTGTTGACGGCTGTTGTTGGTTGAGGAGGGAGGGGCGGCCCGTGGTCGGGTCTGGGGTGGGCGAGATGGCGTCGGGTTCGAAGAAGAAGCGGATTTTGTCGCCGGAGGTGAGGAAGTAGTCGTCGCCGACGTGCGGCTTGTTGTCTTTTGCGTCGTCGCCGGTCGTGAATTGCGTGAGGGGGTGCGTGGAGAGGTCGAAGGTGTCCAGGAGGGTGTTGGTTTCTGTGAGCAGGGAGGTGATTTCCTCCGGGGAGAGGTACGAGGGGATTACCAGGTAGCCGTTTTCCTGGAAGGAGGCGAGTTGGGAGGGGGTGAGGCCGGACATTTTAGTTGTTTTCCTGGGTTGTAGGTGTGATAAGAGAGAAGAGAGAGAGAGAGGTGGTTCTGTAGACCTGGAGAAGAGAAAGAGGAAAAATGCGGGGGAAGAGAGACTTTTATAGCGAGTGGGGCAGATCGGACCATGTTTTTTGGTCGCATCGGTGCTCTCCGAGGCGATGTAACCTGTTATCTTCAGATTAGATATGAACTGTGCAGGAGATTACGATAAGATGAGTACGAGAGATATTCCATCTTAAACAATCATGGATCAGATTGCATTGAGCTAGCTAGATTTCTATAGTCCCAGCAATTTCTCTCTCTTTATCACATCCCCTACTTCTCTCCGTTCCTCCAACTTCCCACCGATAGATCTGAACACATAATATCTCTAGATCAACAGCTCCTCAACAGGGGCCAGAGTTCCGTTGGTCAACGCTCCGGCGTGGTGGCGGGCAGCCAATCCGTACGCGAACTGGTACTTGTCAAGGTAGGGCAGGATCTCGGTGAGACCGGGCTTAGAACGCCAGTCGCGCATGAGGTCACAAACGATGCCGAAGAAACCGGTCAGAGTGACACCGGCCTTCTCCATGCGGCGGTTGGCGTCCTCAGCGAGCTTCACGTCAAAGGTACCGCTGGCCTCGGTGTTGGCGAAGACCTCGTATCCCTCATCGATGAGAGAGAGAGCCAGGAAGGCGGTGCCTGAGATGGCTATTAGTATGTGGTTCCACTTGCAGTATTCCAGCATTGATGGGAGCTCAGGTGAGGGGGCGAAGAGGATGAACGTACAAACTTCGGTAACGATACCGCCGATAATCAACTGCTTCTTGCCAGTCGCCTTGACGGCTTCCCGGAACGCCTTGTTATCCCAGGCGTTGACCTCGCCCTGGCGCTGCACCAGAGTGGAGTTGGGGTGCATGTCAAGAATCTCCTTGAGCATGAGACCGTTGGGGCCAGTGTCCGAAGAGGTGGTCAGGACGGTGGGCAGGTCAAAGATATTGCCCAGAGCGGAGTGAGCCAGCATGTTGTTGCGGAAGTCGTTGGTGCCGATGTCGCGCACGAGCTGGGTGAGACCGACTTGGTGATCGATGATCAAAAGGGCCTGTAGCAGTTAGTTCTGATCACGATAGAGGCATGAGAGAGAGGTGAAGAACATACGGCGTTGTCCTTATCAAGACGGTTCCATGCCTGAGCAGTGGAAGCCAGAATGGCGAGGGTGGGGAGAAGGGACTTGAACTGCATCTTGTCTTGTCTTGAAATAAACAGAAGAAGAGATAGCTGTGCAGTGACGATGAGAGCAGGAGAGAACTGGCTGGTGTTGCTTTGCTTGAGTCTGATCTGATCTGATCTGGAAGAATGTCTAGGACCGACATGTCCCTCTTTATACTTGTGGTCGAGCTCAATGAAGCCCGACAGACTAGACCTCGCGGACAGATTCCGTCTGGAAATTCACCACCATTTTCCAATCTTGTCTAGGTAATCGTCTGTCAGCTTCATCTCATCAACGCTCTGTACTCCGTACTCCGTGCAACATATCTCGTCCCGGCCGCTAGATAGCTGCGACTTCGCTATACACACTCCACTATATCCCTTCTTGGCGGCACGAAGAAGAAACCTCACTACCTGAAACTGTACTAGTCGAAATCCTGGAGACGGAGAATAACCGTATTTAACATGACAGAGATATTGCTGAGCATTATGCAATTTCACCACGAGGGCTCTGCACACCGCTAGATGGAACTTCCAGTCTAGACGCCTGAGCTGCATGAACGGTGGCAAAAATTTGCGCCCAAAGAGCATGCGAAGTCTAAGATAAGAATCGGCATCCCGGTCTTGCAGTCTGCAAGAGAGCAAAGTATGGTGGCACTAGCCGTTTGGCAGGATGAGCATAGATTGACTAAATGCTGACGGTGCAGTTCGTGTTCCGGAACGTTCGGTCAGCATCGGGTACGGAGTAGGTAGGAAGAGCTTCGGGAATTAGCAGATGCTCGGTCAGGAATTAGTGAGAATGCTAGACAAAGCACGGCCAGCATCTGGTCTGGTTTAATGAATCTGCACCAATGGCGGCAAAGGACCAATCTCAGGGATCCTCAGACTTGGGGCTCGCTTGAGTACTTTCCACCCTTGAGATGAGATTCACACTAAAATAAGCAAGGATTTAAGCCGCTTGTCGGTTTGAGCCGTTGAATGAGCTCGCTTGGAGTGTTGGGGCAAGTCTTGTCGGGGAAGTTGGAAAGTTTGGGGGATTCTCACGTTTGACTTTGGCAACGTCAATTAAGCAGTGTCATGTGCCTTTACCCATCTTATCTCGGATCTTCATGACTCAACCTGTTGTTGATCTCTACTCTACACAATTGTAGGAAATGTGCATACTGAAATTCCTCCCCTGCTAGACCCTCAAGAGCCTCTACTCCAAATTAGTCAATTCCTCGCCTCATTTTTAGCCGACAAACGGCACATCCCGCTAACCCAAATAGGAAAATCGTCAAGACACAAGCACGATGCAATATAAACCACGAAGTGGCTGCTTACCGGGCCAGCATCGCCGGGCTCTAAAGTCCGGAATACTCTCCTATTGCTCAATTGGCGAGGCAATGTGCCGTGTGCACGTTCATCGGCAGGCTAGGGTTGCCAGATCCAGATCCAACGTCCGGTCGAATTGCCCTAAGTCCTGCAAGCAGTAAGATTAGGTCTCTGGCTAGGGGCTCAACGAGATATCGAATCGGACATGGCGCTTTGCGGCATTTATCGACAGGAGCTTTCTATGGCGAATCGACTATTCCTGATCCTGCATGTCTCGAGCCATGTGGGGAGAGTTATCATATCAATCACTTGATCACATAATAAGACTCCTTGGATAAAGGGGTCTCATTATTAAGGAGTGCGGAATTAAGGATCCTTAAGCTGTGGACTGGTGTGTTTTTTGCTTCCTCATATTCTCAGATGTTACTGCTTATCTGAGAGCTGTTGAGTATTTCGACATACATATGCAGCTGACGGGCACTCGGACGGTTATGGAGCTACTTATGAGGCACAATCTAGAAATTAAAGAGAATATAGGTTTGTGGCAGGAGATGAATGTTTTGCATATTGTCACTATGTATGAAGTTTGGCTAAGGTTCAATAGGGAGCACTCGACGCGAGCAATTGGACGTTGGACGGTGGCATCTCATCGGAATCTCTCGGTAATTTACCGGGAGATTCAACAGCGCTCTGAGTCTATATACCTCCCCTAGATCACTATTTGTGCAGAGATAGCACCGGAATCTATGCACAAGACAAAGAGCTTCATTCTTTTAGATCTCCATACCCATCGTTCCTCATCGCATGATCTTCATGCTCATTGTGGAACAGAGATTATTGTACCACTTGCCATCTAAAACTACCATTGAAGAAAGGGAAGATAGATATCTGTTTACAGATTATTGCTCTTGCTCACCTGTTCGTCTTATCAATATAGTTTATCTAAGGTTAGTTGGCCGCTAGAAGACATGGGTCATCAATCTGCATCCTCCGGTTCTAATGTTAGCCCCTATCAGCACATAGGTCATGAGGTCACGTTTGATTGGAGAGATTATGTCTCTTTCGACCATGGATTTAATGACAACGGCACCCCCATTCCGGAGACTGCGTCTGCAGATGAAGTTCGCCGTGAGGCTTCTGCAAGATCAGACAGAATCTGGGTAAACTTCGAGACCCTGCACAGAATTGTCCAGCGGCATGAGGCCAAACTCCGGAAACGATGGCACAAGAAGAACACAGCACAGAGGTTGGCAATCCTTCTAGATGCCTGGCCTGATATGCCGGAAGTCCATCGTCCTGACTTCGCCGCTTTCCGAGAGATGACAGACGAGAGTCGTGACAGTAGCCTCCGCCACAGAAGCTGTTTCGTGTGGCCGTATATCAACCAAGAGGACCTTCGGAGCGAGAAAGCACTGCCGCTTCTTTTGAACTCCAGAGGCCGTCACCTACCATCTCAGTTTGCGGCCGCTGACTACGAAGCTATGCGCCTCGGACTGGTCGTCCATGGATTCGAAGCGATTCATGTGAACAGACATATCATGGTCTTGAATGGAATGACCGAAAACTCTCGAGACTATGGTAAGCTTATGTGCTGGGATGATCACCCTGATGCCTTCTCCTGGTTCCTTTCGCATAAACAATTTATGCCAGGAGAAGGTTTACTGGTGCTGGAGGCACAAGATCGGCTTCTGGATTTTCTCGTGAAGTGCTCTCTACGGATACTGCATGACATCTCAAAGTCCGCAATGATCAGCGACGCTTTCCCAATTCTTCCAGAACCGCCATTCCAGGCGGAAAGTGAGATCACCGGTTTTGAGTCCCTGAGTGTGATGGCTGCAGAAGCCCCGTATCGCCTCCCTGCAAAACTCAACATACCTCGCATTGAGTCACTTCTCAGAGCAAGAGCATCAGCTGCAGAGGACCACCTTTGGGCGTTGCGGGAGGATCCTGAATATTTCTCCAGCACGCTGGTTGACGCAAAAGAGCATCGCCCGGAGATGTTGAAGGACGTTAAGGGCAACAAACATCCACTGATCAGGGATGACCCTCAAGAGCTCCTCTGGAAGCGCATCATAAGCTCCGTGGTGCGTGACGCATATATGATGGTGGAGACATTTTCTGAACTCACCAGACTAGCCGGAGAGTTGGTCACGCTGCATCAGAAATATGCTAGCTGTATAAACCCCGCAGAAGATTTGCCGGAGGAGTACCTTATGGGTATATTGCGACTCGTTTCCTATGGGCTCCAGGCAATTAACAAGAGGTTATCGAAGCTCAAGATGGATACCGGCGGCTCGCCCCCCTTGCGAAGGCTATTCATTCGCGAGCCACCACCCGAGGAAGACCCCCACGGTATGATGGTGCTGTTAAAACCAGATCCCAAGATGGACTACGTGGAGAAGCAATTGGTTTGGCTTCTTGGTAGGTTAGGGGAAAACGGCAGCCAGCTGGCTGTTGCTGGTATGCATGTGATCGTGGACGAACTAGAGCGACTGCTTCAATCAGAACCTCGAGCGCGAAAGCTGTTATCTCCGCATGTTGCTAGCGTGGTTGGTGATATTTCCATCCTCTCCCAGTGCATGAGTGAGTTATTGCATTACTTTCCATGGGCGCGAAGTTGGAATGTCGAGCTTGAACATCGAGAAACGGCTTTGTTGGCTGAGTTTGCGGAGCGAGCAAAGCCATGGGACCTGATCCTGAAAGCCCTTTGGGAGGAAACTATCTCGACAGAAGTTGTTGGTCTAGCCAAGCCTTCAGATGGCAAGTTCGCGTATCCTGTTTGCAGGCCTCGTACCAAAGAGACGGTGGAGGCGCTGCGAAGAGCCGAGGGGCATCTGGACGCTTTCTGGACCGCTATTGATGAGATGACAGCTGCAGAAACTGACAACTTTAGTGGATCTTTAGTAGTACGGAGACTCCTTGCCGAGCCGCGCATATTGCAGCGTACTCTTGAATGGACCGAACCAGAAAACGTCTACCCTACAGTGTCTCTGCCGAACCCACTCGAGACAGAGACCCCACTCGAGAGAACTGATAGCTACACTTCATATCAACCAATTTCTGCTGTTTGCTCGGGGCTTTCGGCGAGGTCACTCGATATCGCCCAGCCAAAGTCCAAGGTCAAAACCCGCGGAGTACCACGGCCACCTAGCTCGGAACCCGAAGAACCGGAGCGGCCCTATGTTGCAGATCACCAGCCTACTTTCACGGTGGATGCGCGTACGCTCGAAGTGTTTCAGGCAGTATTTTTTAACGCTGATATAACGTCCACACCGGGTCAAGTCCCATGGGGTGACTTTCTACATGCGATGAAATCGGTGGGATTCACAGTAATAAAACTCTATGGCTGTGTTTGGCAGTTCCAACCAACCAATCTCGATGTTGAAAGGAACATCCTATTCCACGAACCGCATCCTAGCGGAAAGCTGCCTTTCAGGGTTGCCCGTCGGTATGGCCGTAGGCTCAACAGAGCATACGGTTGGGTTGGCGAGATGTTTGTCTTGAGCAAGAAGTGAAGTCTATCAAGATATGCAAGAACATTACTCATGCGGCGACTGCAACAGAGTTCAAGCTACAAGTTTGGTAGAACTAAGTAGACCTGCGAGTACTGTTATATTGGATGTCTCATGATTATGATTTGAACAATCGAATGTGAAATTTTGCAAGATCTAAGTTGCCTCTAATATTGTAAAAAGCTTTTTAACTACTATAGGAAAAAAAGAAAAACGTAGGTCCCCGTACGTTCAATTGGATTGTACTATTAAAAAACTCCATTGCCATTTAATTCTGACCGAAGCTCGTGAGATGACTAAATCAAGGCACCGGGAGGACAAAAGATAGCAAGGAAGCCACTCAGGTAATCACAACCATAGAAGTTCCTTCATCGAGCAAGTTTGCCATGTTCTTGGCTTCTCGTAATCATCAGAGCTGCATGTTGTGTCTTGACTACACAAGATTTGTGCTTCCAAGTGCCTTGTGTGCATACAACAATGACATGTGGTTGGGTCTGGTGGCTCGGTGTCTTGTAGTTGTCCATTCGTGATATTGTGTATTCGTAACAAGGGGCCACAAACGCAAAGCCGACTGAGTGGCAAGATCAGCTAACGGAGGATTCTATCGTCGACTTGCTCATCTTGCTTCCTTCAACAATCCTTTCCGAACTCTTTCACAGTCCTGTCCACATACTTATATTTTCTGATATGTGTGGGAATGCAGTTCAAGAAGGCCCCTGTGACTAATATTCAAGTCACACGGAGCAATGAGGTCAACGACAAGATTGCGAGCGAGCTTAGCCATCTGCAATCTTCTCATTGATTTCCTTTCCCCTACAAAGCTAGGATGAAAGAGGAAGTGCCTGCTGAAGGTGCTTGATCGAGTCCTTTAGATGAAAAAGGAAATGACAATCCTGCTGTCTGTGCTATTGAATTCTTTTGCTGCCTCTTACCTTTTCGGCTGAGCGATAGGTTGCGCAGGGTTAGGGTTCCTCTTTGCCTGCCGCAATAATAGAAACCAAGGCTTCTTTGTTTGTTCCTACCGAGGCGGATCACATGGCTCTCTAAGGATTTCGTGGGACCCCGTACGACTTGTAAAAGTGGTATTTCCTTAGATTGTTGATGAGCTGGGAAGTTAGAAGCTAAAGGGTCGTCATCAATAGCACTTTGCGGCATCGATGTTTGCACTCTCATGGGTCAAGGTTTTCCTGCTTATCTTTGGCTGTCTTCCTTTGTGTGCTCCTTACATAGTTACAACGTAGGGTCTTAGTAGACGGCGAATAGCCTCATTTCCGGTTAAGTCAAGGGGATTTACTCGTCCCTGGAAATCCTTAAGCGGCATTATGACGTTTTGTTGGGGATGGTCCAGGTTATGCCAGGGACTTTAACGACACCGCTCGAGGCAGCAAGATCATTAGCAGATGATTAATGTGTAAAGTATCACAAATCGGTTTGCTGGGCCTCTGTCATTGCAGGAATCGAAGACCACCGAGTTGAACATGACGAGGCGAATAAGGTCATTAGCCACTCAGCGCCCGCAAGGAACAATGTGCAGCGGTTGTATCATGTTCTATTATGTCTCGTCACTCCGCGACAATGGATAGCAGCGTAAAATGCCGCACTGGAAGACTTATCTGTGGGGCTATACTGTCCCGAAAGACACCGATACTGGGTCCAGTTGGGCGAGCGCAATGATGGATATCCGAAACTGCAACCTACGCTACTATGGGTTCTCACACCGAGGGGAAAATTTCATTGCGAAAGCTCAAGTTGTAATTAAACAGCAAAGGATAACGCAACTGCTGCTTTGGTATGTTTTAGTTGCTCTGATGTCGAGCTTTGTTCTGTGATCTTTTTTGAAATCTTCGGAGGATAATAAGTTCCTCATTGGTCCAGAAGATGGGCAGGTCAAAAAATCTTGCTCCTAGTCTCTGATCTGGTCATGGATATTTCCAGTCCTTTCCGATAGGTCTTGCACCAGCCTCCCAAGGCACGATCCGGTGATCAGCGTGCGGGGAGGAGTGGAGATCTCCCGCCTTGTGGTGCCGCGTTCCCCGCATCTATTGAGGGGTTGACATCACGCACCTCATTCAGTGTTCAGGAGCTGGCAAGTGGATGACGTATCAATAGGATGCTGGATGCTCAAGCAGGGTAGTATGGAAAGAAATCTCGATTCGTTCGAATGGTGGGTAGGGGATGCAGGAGATATGTTGATGGCCTGGACTGTTGAAAAAAGAGGGAGTCTACCATGGGGAGGCTTCATTAATCTGCTAATGGATCTACAGGAGTGAATAAGTGAGCAGAGGGTATAGGCAGTGAAAATTCCGTCTTACATCTTCACTACGATAGGTAATCCAACCTACGTGATTACGGGTGGATGAATCAAACAAGAGAAACGTGAATAAGACAAGCGAGTGGAGCGGAAACTGTATTAAAAGGGATCGGAACTGTTTGTCTTGGGAAGTCCCATCATACTGTTCTTTGAGGCCAAAATCGTCTGCGGGATATCGCACAGAGTAGACAAAGATAGGAGATATCCAATTCCGTCCTCTTCTGCCTGCTCCTTTGTCTCGGTTGTTCCTCTCACGTGAAAGCACACTTAGAACTACAGATTTTACGCCTCCCAACATATTGAGAGTTCCGTAATACCTACCTGATCCCTCCTTGGATGATGGCTCTTTGTAATAGCTCCTTAATATAAAAAGCATCCATCGCCCGTAATGCAGAGCTCTATCCCTGCCATAACGGCTAACCAAGCCAAGAGCAATACTCTATCCGAATCACAGGTCGCAAACCCAAACTGCACTAAGCTAAACACCGTTCTAGCACTACACAATCATGAAGTGTTTCAAGACCCAGGCGGAGAAGGAGGAGGAGCTCGAGAAAGCGGGAGAATGGCTCAAAGCCCAGCAGATGCGTCGTGACCAGAACTCGCACTTCCTGCGGCAATTGAAACTCGCCACGAAGGAGCTTAGGTACATCAAGCTGAATATCCGCCAGCGGACCCTTGTTCAACGGGAAAGTGCTTTGAAAAGCCAGAAGCACCGACTATGCAACCAGGAGCGGTCCCCAGTGTCGAGCGAGAAGATAGATAAGATCAATCTTGAGTTGGCGAAAATCAATGAGCAATATTGGCAGTTTGAACGGGACGATTACGAGCTGCTGATTCAGATCCCCGACGGACCGCTCAAGCGAGGCATCACCTCTACTCGCAGTCGGGAGAATGCGCATATGACCGAATGGTTGAAGCAGGACTGCGCGGCTCGAGGTGGCTGCTGCAGTCATTCCTGTGGCTGCTGCGAGAAACCGAGAAGCGAGACGCGTTCTCCCAACCGAGGACATTGTACCGCGGCGTGCGAATGCTGCGAAGAGAGGCGCGGGTTTCACGTGGATACCAGCCATGGAGAAGATCCTAGTCAGCCCTGGGATACTCTAGGCCCTCTTAGTGGAGCATCGTACAAAGCGAAACTCGTGGATGCGTACGTCTTTGGGACTATCTGAGAGAGAAATAGACAGGGTGGCGTATCGTGGGTTACAGACCGGCAATTTGATTTATTTTGGGCACTTTGTTATATTTTGCCGTAGCTCTTACATTTCTAACGTAACAAGTGGCATTGATGATGCTTTCTTGCGACATTGGTCGTTGGCAATAACTACACGTAGTAGGAAGTAAGTTGATGCTTGGGCCTTGGGTACCCCTGGATCGACAGATGAGTCAGGTCAGAGGATGGCAGCGAATTCTCTGATTCCGGGGATCACGCCATTCAGCGTTATTTTGTAATAGTCTGACCAGCAAGGGGCCATAACTACCAGGAAGGACTATTGAACATGGATTGTGGGACCTTGAGGACATGACACGTAGACCGCCTTGTGCGAGGCAAGTCAATAAAACCAGGATTTATCAGTTCTGAGCAGGAAAAAGGGGGACGGCGGTGAGTGATTTTTCTTTCTTTTTCTCCGGCCCGAAGATGTGACATCACAGCTTGGCAGGCGAATCCCCCGCAAAAAGAAGGAGGAACTAAAAAAGAATCTTTTCGGGGCAGGTGATGCGCCTTCAGCCCCATCTGGCAGTTGAAATTTTCACCTCGCTCAACCATTGAACCATTGAACCAAGGACCTCGTTCCCCGTGCAGACCTCCCCCACACAAAGGCGTCGCCAATGGACCTAGACTGGTCGGCCACGGAGGAATTTTGCGTTCTTTTACCTAAGATTTACACCATTACCCCAGTTCTCGGCGCCTCGGGCCTATCAAAAATCACTCACCGTGTCAGACGAGTGATGCTCTGACAAACCGCCAAGAGCTTCACCAAAAGAATCCAAATGACGAATCTCAAGCACGTTTGTTGGGGCTGTCTTTGCCCTATTTAAAAGGGAACGGCTACTGTCGGTCCCATCCGGGGAAATAGTCTTTGTTATAAATATCTTAAATCCTTCGAATTGACTATCATGGTGAATTGCCTTTATCAAATACATCATTCTACTGCACATACTCAATCATGGCGTTCGAGAGCTTACCAACGGAGCTGCGCATCCTCATTCTCAAATCCCTCCCTGACCAACAAACATTAGACAATCTCATCCGTGCTTCTCCCTTATACCACGATACCTACTGCCTTGCCAAGAAGGGCATTCTTCATGAGCTTGTTCACCGGCAATATGGCCTAGTAGACCTTGAAGAGCCCTTGGCAGCCCTACACTCCGAAGGCCTCCATGCCGAGGTCTCTCAGCACAAAGCTCAAATAACCACGCTCCTAGACCGTCTTCGTTGCCATCGCGAATCCTCAATGCCCCCTTCCGCAGAGATCCGAGCTATTCCGGAAAGCAGACGCCTGCTCCACTTGTCCCAGAAGCTGCGATACCTTCTGCGGGCCTATTGCGCGCGCGCCCCTTGTCCCCCATGGGCCGATCCGGAGGCCTGGCAGCAAAACCTTCCCCTGCGACCCTCGGCTAGCGAAAAAGCGCGCATTCTGCGCGCTCTCTGCCGACTACAAACCTACTGCAACATCTTCGGGTCGCGCGAGTGGACAGACCCCAGCACAGACAGCGCGCTCAATCCCGCCGTGTCCCCGTCTTGCAAGCACACCGTGTCGACGTGGTACAGAAATTTCACCATCGACCAGATGTGGAGCCTGTTCTTCGGAGGCATGCCTACGTGGGAGGTGGAGGAGTTCGGGTCTGTCTGGGTGTTCATGCGCAACGAATACACCCATCTCTTCAACCAGATCACTCAGGAGATTCCGCGGTCCGACCCTCGCTGGCGAGCGATGCGACCTGATTCACTACCAGTGGACCCGTGGGAGCTGTATCCCAGTCCGAATGGTAAAGCTTACTCTTCTTTTTTTGCGTTTTGTTTTCTGTTCTGCGATCCGTACGCTGCTGCTGCTATTGTTACTACTACTACTACTACTGCTCCTACCAGCTACGGCACCACCCCCATTGCTCCTCCATTGCTCTCCATAACGTCGTGACGTGCTAACTCCGTAAACAGCCGACAACGCTGATGACTGCAGTATCTACTGTAACCATATGGTCTCGCTAGGCCCCAGTTTTCTCTACAAAGCGGTGCATCAGCCTAGCCGCGAGGAAAGCTGGCGTCTGGTGATCAGTAACTCCGTCTCCTCGAAATCCTCCTTCCAGGATCTCGTGCAGGTCGTAAGAAACCCTCACTCTCTGCCGATGGCGGACAAGGAGGTCGGAGAAGACGGTCTTGATGCTGGTTCATCGAGACCCGGTTCCGTCGAACCTAGCCTGGGCTGGAAACAGCACTGGCAGGAGAAAGGCATATTCCCGCGCGACGACATCTCGATGTCTTCTGCTTCGTCGTCATCGTCGTCGTCGTCATCGCCAGAACCCATAGCGGATGAATTATCTGTGCGGGACCTGGCGAATTTCCAGGGCTGGGAATGGGGATATGCGGTTTGGGATTATCAGCCTATGCATTGCGGCGTTGAGGTTTATTGATCGATTTGGCATGGGTGCATGGAACAAAAGTTAGCGATTGCGGGATTTTCTTTGTTTATTTGGCATAATACCATTATCATCTTTCTGGGCTGTTGCCCTGGGCATGGGGACATTGTAGGTTGGATTGGGTGATTAATTGCGTGATCAGTAAGTGAGTGAATATAGTTGCGTAATAGGATACATGTGAGGAAGCCTTGGTATGATATCTTCAATGCAAGTCTTGCAGATAGTTGGCAATATTGGAATTTAATGCCGGATGTCTGATTCATATCTAATTTCCATTCTTACTAGTGAAACGGCTGGGCTATGAGGGACAGTCGGGCGGTTTTTAGAACATTCCATCCGGGTCAGAGCAGATGTATAAGGGCACAAAAAAAAAAAAAAAAAAAAAAAAAAAAAACCAAAAGTACAATATTAGAATCGATTTTCAGGAAAAAGGGAACGAAATCTCGGGTTTACATGCCACATGAAAGGTAGGTTACTGAGGCCCAGACCTAGAACCAGGCTTAGGCACCATAGCCAGTGACCCATGTCGACAAACAGGCGTTATTACTGATGTCTAAGACCACAATTAAACCTAGGCTGCTATAGCCGGGAGAGTGCTCGCCGCGGGCTCAAAACCAACGTCTACCTATGCCGAGAAGATGATAGGCAAGCTTCCCGCGGCATTGAATATCTTCACTCAGTAGCCGCGGCTACTCAAACGGAAGTAATATACTCAAGAGGCTACTTAAGAGGATCAAAAAGAACCCTTAGACTCGAGATTAAATGATGATATTTCCATCGTCTGTTGGCTATCAATTATCAAACCGAACGACTCTATTAAATCATGGCCGAAGAGGATCTTGTTCGCCTTGACATCAACGGCATTTTTGCCGTCATCACGCTGAACAACCCTACAAAGTTCAACGCCTTGACGCAGGGTCTATATTATCGCCTTGCAAACTTGCTTCGAGCCGCTGAAGAGAATGGAGACGTCTACGTTACTGTCTTGATTGGAGAGGGCCCTTTCTTCTCCGCGTAAGTTCTCTTCGTCCTTGGCGCACACAAGGTAGAGTTTGCGAAGAAATGCTGACGCAGACCTCAGAGGGGCTGATCTTAGAGGAAAGCCACCATCTATGGAGGAGATGTTATCTCGCGAATACTGGCTTCCGAAATTGGTCAATAACAACGTTGACGTGGCGAGAGCGTTCTACAGTCATTCGAAGATTCTGGTAACGGCGCTGAACGGACCCGTCATAGGGCTTTCTGCAGCCTTGATATCTCACTCGGACTTTATCTACGCGGCATCCGACGTCTATCTGATGACTCCGTTCACCTCCCTCGGCCTCGTCGCCGAAGGCGGCTCCAGTGTCGCATTTGTGCAGCGGATGGGTCAAGGTAAAGCAAACGAGGCACTCCTTCTGGGAAGGAAGATTCCTGTTAGTGAGTTGGCTCAGGTCGGTTTTGTGAACAAGGTCTTTGAAGGGAAGGACGATTTCCGTGAACAGGTGATGGGGTACCTGCACCAGACATTCGGCGAACATTTGGTGAAGTCGAGCCTTCTGGGGACAAAGGCTCTCATGCGTCGGCGCTTGGTTAGGGAGCAGGACGAACAAGCGCCGCTAGAGATGTTCGGTGGCCTCGACCGTTTCTGCCAGGGCATCCCACAGGTCAAAATGGGGGAGGCTCTCTCTAAGAGCAAAGCATCTCGACTTTGATTTTGTTAAGGTGTCCCAGACCCAAAACTGCTTAGGCCATAGGAACCAGCGCTTGGTTTGCAGGCCTTCGCTTGCACTTCGCCTAATGTACAGTTTCAACTATTTGTCTTAAGCAGTTTGGTAGATTTTATCAGGCGTAACTCAACTAGATCAGGGCCACACCCGTAGCGTTACCTCGCCCACAGCATGATGCAACTTCGGTATTGGACTTGGTACTGCGTGACTACGAGATACTCTTGGGATTCAAAGTCAGTGAACAAGAGGCCGAAAGCAGCCATGCTCTAAGGGACAGCCGAGGTCATCAATGTTGTATGACTAATCGTCAACAACCGTGGTTTGTCTTGTGTTGCCGAGGTCCAGCATGTAGGTATAGTTACCACTCCGACTTTAAAGTACTTCTTACCCGCGGCAACCTTGATGCGTTGGCTTTATTCGCGAAGACCAGACTGCTGCGTTTCATGATGCCCAGATCCTCAGAGAGCACGCGGGATTCTGCCCGAACGCAACAGTTCAGAAAACGAGCACCCGTGGCTTGCCAGTCATGCCACGCCCGTAAAGTAAGGTGCAGTCTCCCACAAACTGGCCGACCCTGCACCAACTGCTCGTTAGACAATGTTACATGTGTGCCTCGGCCGAGTAGGAGATCAAAGTGAGCGACAGGTCACCCTCAGACCGAAGAACTCGGCAAACACGCTAACGAGCTGTGGTAGCAGGCGTGGCCCAGAATCTTCGTCCCACCAGCTTAGCACGGTATCTTCGCCGCCGAATGGCAATCCCGCGATACAGAGTAGCCCTGTGGAGAGTCGGAGCTTCTCACCCGGTCCCGAGCGCCTTGTTGCACCGGGAGATTTGTCTGTGCGGTGCGGGCAGAGTCCTACAGCTCCGTCGGCTGATGATACTGGAGATGACACCGGAACGCCTTATTATCCGTTCAACGAGCATTTCAGCCATCACAATGAAGGTAACACGGGAAGGTTGCAGCCAGATGAAGATGTGGCAGATAAGTCCTATTCCCCGTTATATGGTAAGAATCAGACCTTCAGCTGGTATCTTGGGAATACTTGTGCTAGTGGTGGTCCACCATGATGCTGATTCGGTCACTTAGGGGACCCTCGAGGCGTCGGCCTGGTAGTCGAAATCTGCGAACCGGAGCCAAGGGATAAGAGTGGCCACTTCCTCGTCCCACGAATAAGCCCAACGCATATGGACCAGGAAACGATTGATTACTTGCGCCGTAAGGGCGTCTTCGACTTTCCGCCTCCTTCTGCCTGCGAAATGATCATACGGACGTACTTCTACTATGTGCATCCCTTTTTCCCAGTTGTTGATGCTCGTTCGTTTCTTGATATGTTCGAAAATGCGCGCAACGAAGTAAGCGTGCATCTGTTGTGGAGCATGTTTCTAGCTGCTGCAAATGTATGGGTAGCATTCACTCCCTCACTTCCCTCATTGATATCCTGACCTGAGATTTAGTTCGCAGATGACAGCACTTTAAAAGCAGCAAGGTTTTCGTCTCGAAAAGAGATGAAGCGTGCAATGTATATGAGGGCTAAGGTCGTAGCTCGATAAGGCAGTTTTGGGGAAGGGGTAATAGCTGACCAGAATCATATAGGCCCTTTATGATGCGGAATATGAGAGAAAGAAGATTACGCTAATTCAGGCGGTACTTCTGACAGGCATCTGGTATTCGGACACTGAAGATAGAACTGGACCTTGGCATTGGAACGGCGTTGCCATCGGTCTGTGCCAAACGATAGGGCTGCATCGGCAACCAGACACCGGTCAAAAGCACAGTAGAGCCATCTCGATGAGTGACAGCAGACTATGGAGGCAGTTGTGGTGGAGCTGCTTTTACCGTGAAGCGTGGTTCTCTGCCGGCATGGGCAGGCCTATGCGCATCAATCTAGCCGACTGCAGTACCCCGATGCCAGATGCCAAGGAATACAATGACCTGCTCGCGGGGATTCCGGAGAGCGTCCAAAAAAAGTATCTTCCCGAAGGCACTAAGGACTTGACCAGATTATGGACAGAGCTGTTGGCACTTACGGTCTCTTTAGCTAAGATTCTCTCATGGCAGAACCGAGCGGAGCGGACACGACCTAGTAGGACGGAAATACAACGCATGGACGATAGCATTCGACAGTACTATCTCCGTGAAGACCACGCCATAGCTCATAGACACAGTTACGTCGTCTCCCTACACGCGTACCATCTTGAGCTGTATCTAGAGTAGGTGGAATCATGATTTTTCATTCTCGGTTAATTCTCATCAGCCTAACGTTGAAGTCATAGCTCCGTTATGCTTATCCTATACCGGCCATTTCTTTTTGATAAGCCAGAAACAAATTCGTCTGATCTCTCTCTGGATGAATGGGCATCGACTGTGCGGCGGAGGACCAAAGACGCCGCGATGAACACCAACAAGATCCTCGGCAACATGATCGGCGCTGATATGATCAGCAGCACTCAAGCAATAGTGTATGTACGTACATCATCGGATTAAAGGTAGGATACTAATGCTGATTAACGCTAGCTGCATTGCCTTGGTTCCTGCATTGCAAATCCATATCCTTGACACCACGTCTGAAAGACAGTTGGTGCAACGTATGGGCCGTCAAAACCTCGAGTTTTGCATGATGGTTATTGAAGAGCTCAAACCCGTGTACTTCGGCGCTGAAATACTTTCAAGAATGTTCACCAAGGCAAAGAGCCGGATTTACAGCAAGACGTTTCCTTCCACCACAGCTGTTAGTGATGTCCCTCAGTCATCGCGTGATTCCGCGATTGGTTCTATCCCATTCGTGGCAGATGATGCACGCCAGCATGATGCGGAGATATTTGATGCCTTCTCGACGTTATTAGGCCCCTCTCCCCCATTCACAGCGGGCGGAATCTTCTTCAACGAGTGAGTTCAAGATTGGCTCTCAATTCCTTTCTATATCGCGTCTCTATGACCCTCTCTGCTTCATGCGTTTATGATCATTTTCAAGTTATTGGCCGTTGTTGATACCCGTGGCAGGCTATTGGATTTCGAGCCCGACATCGCGCTCGGGCAACTGACGTTCCCTGAGCCTGAATCCTCTGCAGATACATGCTAGATCTCAACCAGTCATTGGCATTTCGGCCGCTTTGCGTGAATTCTTGTATAGCATGGAAGATGTCTGAGTTCAAGGTGCGGATTTCATAATACCAAGTATGAGTGATGTTTCGTAGGAGTTATCCAATTTCAATAGAACCCTGTTTATCACTAATGCGTGTTTGAATAGCTTTATTTATCTCCCATGTAGCCATATTTTGTTAACATGTGTGGAGATGCCATTCCATCGCAAAACTTGATTGCAAGATGAGACTGGCCTTGCGAATGAAGTGACGGAAAATGTCCTAGTTAGGCTAGTCCTTACTGAATTCAATATGAAATTCCACGGAGACACTTTCCGATTGAGGTAGCTGATTAACGTGGGTCTCGAATCCTAACCAAACACAAACAAGGTTTGTCGATTTCCCGATCGGGTCAAAATGAAGCTATTCCCTTTTTCTGTCCAAGACCCAGCTCTCGGAGAGATGATGTCTCTTCACATAATTAGTTGTCGACTCTCCCAAGATTTCTATGCCCTCCAGGATCATTGTCTATTATCACCAGCGGACCAACGCCCCCCAGCCTCAAGAAATATCCGTTCCAAGAGCCCTGTCTCCTGAGAAACAGTATTGTGATCCGTTCCTGGGATCACCGCCGTCTCGAAATCCACCACATCCTCAAACCCACCACTGTTGCTGTCGGTATAACCACCTCCCTGGCCCCTCCAACACCCCTCTACATATCTTCTCCCCTTCTCCCCTATCATAGTATCACTCTCCGCAAAATACCCTCTCACCACCAACCTCCCTCCTGCATGCTCACCATCCATCCCCCTTCTCTCTCTTTCTCTCCCCACCACCTCCGCCACATAACCCCCATAATCCTCACAAACCCCCCAAGACCCAACCGGCCCCTTACAAAGACACTGCAAAGCCTCATCATTCGCCCCCTGCGTGCTCTCCTCAAACATAAACCGCCACGTCAACGGCTCCAACTCCCTCTGCACCTCTTTCGACAACCCATGCTCCGATTCCACACGGCCTCGGTTCCTCTCTGCCTGTGCAGAGCTGGCACCGCTCGGTGCTGTCCCGCTCACCGACGAGACCTTGTTCACGATCGTCCCGCTACTCTCGAGCACCGGGGTAGCGGTCAGGAGCAGGAACTTCGGGATTTGGTTCCAGATGCTGAAGGCCCGGGCTGGGAGGAATTGGGCCATTTGCATGCTTGTGATGCGGCTGTGGGTTGGATTTACCCAGGGGGCTTGTTGTTTAGTTTCTCGTTAGCCAACGCATACATCTAACTAAATGTAATTTGGATGGTCATCGCAATATCCGAACCATCCGTGGCTAATTAGTTAGGGCGCGAAAGGGATATGTACCTAAAAACGCAGCATACGGCCTCTCAGGATGGAGAAGCTCGCGACAGTGGAACAGCGTGTTGAGAAGATATATCATGCCCGCACTATGCGATGCCAACGCGACGTGGGGGATGTTTAGATGGGCGAGAAGTCGTGGGACGAGGTCGATCCAGACAGGAACTCGCTTTTCAAGCGGAACGGGCGTTGAGGCGCCCATTGCAGGTCTTTACATATTATTATTATTTGTTTGGGAGTGGGGAACGATGGGTAGGGGATCAAGGAGGGAAAATACCGATCAACAATCAACACCCGTACACCTAAATTCTCAGCGACCGCGTGCATCGATACAGCGAGATATCGCGATGCGAACATGCCAGGCATGAACAAGATTGTGGTGTCGGAAGGGACGCCGATATCTGCGTAGCTGATTGTGAGGTCGCCATGTTTGAAAAGTCGGTGGAAATGAGAGGCTGAGATGTATCGTAGGGCTTGGGATCGGGGGAATTCTAGGTCCGTAGTCATGTTGTAGTACTTGAAGAGCAATGCGGAAATAATGAGGATTAGGTTGAAGTTGGGAGAATGATGAGGTAACGGATAGCGTGGGCTGACTGATAATGAATACGAGCATTGATTATAGGGTGCACAGCCATTGGGGGCCAATTTATCCGGCCGCCTGGCACGGGTCTCTGGTGATAGGCAGCATCATTCGTAACATTTCCTGAAACATGGAAGAATATTTGAATGATCAGCAAGGCTCACGGGCTTTAATGTCTTGTATAACGTAGAAAAGAGCAAGAAGAGAAAATGAGCAACGAGTGCTATATAAAAATTGACCAATTCAGAGTAACTAACTACGGCATTGGATAATGTTTACATAATACCTCAAGTGTTGTTTATGGTGGTCATGAGAAGGTGCCGTAGTTTATTATTGATTTATCATACTGGTGGGTTAAAATATAAGGGATACACAGATTGCCAGGTGAGTAGCAAGTCAAGACTACCAGGTAACATGATCTAATGCACATATGTCTACAGATCATAGAGGGAGATAATGTCACACAGCATTTGGGTAGAAACTTCGAACCGGAAAATTGTATGAAACCAAACCAATGTTTTCCAATAAGGCGTTACCTGTTTCCTTGGGCAGTGAGATCTAATTGAATCCGTCTTAAAGTATTATGATATCCTTCCAACGTAGTACTACAATCGAAGTAAAAATAAAGTCCAGCTCAATCATATCGATTAAGTCATCATGATGGGTATATCACATTGAATAAAATACAGCATAGCCCAGTGATAATGGTATCGTACACTCATAGCCTCATTAATCTAGTTTGAGATCTTGTGGGGAACATGTTTCCTGAACATCGCCTATTAGTCCAGTCCAATCATATCAGGCTAACCAAAAGTACTTACCCAGTAGCACCCTCGAACTTGTGACGAGCGCCGTCAGTGATCTTCTCGTTGGTGGCACGAGTCTTGGGATCCTGAGGGTTAATCTTGCCGTGGCCGTACTTCTTCTCGACAGAGTCAAGACCTATTTAATGCCTGTTAGTGGATTGTATGCAAACCGATGACGGAACATTAAGTACCCTTGTCGACATAGTCCTCCTTGGGACCACCGGCAGAGCCACCGGTGTGACCGTGGCTGCTGCTGCCACCAGTGACCTTGGAAGTGAGTTCTGAGAGCTTGCCCATTTTGATTGATGTGAGGTGTGTAGGGGTTAGAAAAAGAGTAATGCAGTATGTTGTTTGATTATATGCGAATGGATTGATGAGATGCAGATAAAGAGGGAGATGTAGGACATTTAAATACCCTCTTCTCGACCCCAGGAATCGGTTCAAACGACAAGATGATGTAATTCAGGACAGGGTGATGGTTTCTATTTTGGAATTTCCGTCCTTGTAAGGCGGATTGGTGGGGAGTTCCGGTGTTGAATAGGAAAGATCGTCGATATCGATGTCGATGCTGATATACAGTCCTCCCGATCCGGTATGGTGTGCGCCTTCAGACTGTGGGTGGCCAATTGCAGCCGGGACGGAGGTGGGACATGAGGTCACCGACATGATGTCATCCATCCGGGTGGGTTTTGAGGGTCAGGGGTATAGCCCTATGTTTACTGGTTTTTTGATGTAATCTGCGTCATTCCCCGACTGTTTTGGTGCCAGATGATGTGACCGAAGGTATCTCTACTGATGTGGATAATCAATTTCGGGATTATTTGAGTGTATCGAATATGTGGTACTAAGTGGCTTTGTTTGCTCGTCATATATATCAGCGACCTGTAATGTAGTTCAAATGTCTTGTTCGGACTGTGGGGTTGAATTGACAGTGCGATAAAATCGCCGAAAACAACACGTTTTCTCCCACTAGCCTTTGGGATGCTGATAACATGTCTTTAAATTTTGATGAGTCTTGCGCATGAATCCTTCATGGATTGGGAGTAGTTGGGCAAAGGAAAGAAAAGTTCAATGACGATAAATATTGCCGATATAACTAGACAGAGATATCCTAGCACAGCCTTGTGACCATGCATTAGTCCCTAGGAACTATTGCATGGTCCCCGTCTCGGATCGATACCGGGGTGATGCCCAAGGCAGTCGACTATCTGCACCTGACCACGCAATACCCTAACCTCTTCATACGCCAACTCCCTAAGCAGCCTCTTCATTTAAAATGCTGCTCGAAGAACGCAGCCAGCTGCTCGTACCTATTCATCGTTAGGCGTATTCACCACTAAGCTTCGATTTTGAACATGAGCTTACCCTCGGCGATATTCCTTCACACTCTCCTCGCCATCCAGGTCCGCCCTCGCTCCCATCCAGCCATGCCACATATTCTCGTATGTCTCAACCACTCCGCCTTTTCCATTCTGAGCTATTATCTCAGTATACTGCTGCACAACATCGACGGGCTCATCCTTCGATGCGAGCACAATGTGCGGAATTGTGATTTTCTCTGCGTCGGCTTTGTCCATGCGACTGTACCTTGAGTGTCAGCGAACAGAAGACATAACGATGGGAGCAGCTGGGAGAGATGTATATACCCAGGGTGAACCTGTCCCGAAGCGACAAATGGAGTTCCTTCTCCGGACGAAAGCGCCGTGACCTAATAATCAACAACGACTATCATCAGCACCACCGCCGGCCCTCTAAGTCAGATTATAGTGAGATAAGAGAGCCATACCTTTCCCCCCCAACACAATCCAAAAACACCCCACTTCTCAACTGCCGGAAAAGCTACCTTGAACCCCTCTACCGCGTTCTTCAAGACCTCTACATTGGGTTCAAACTGTGCAAATTCCTTGAAGAAACCCATCATGGCCTTTTCTTTTTCTTCCGTGTCCATGGGAAGCCAGTCATGCTGAGCACAATTGCCTTTAAAGAAGTCCGGTACGAGGACGAGAGTATTAAGCCGGGCTGCGAGGAGGTCTGCGCCTTGGATGGTCTGCGGCGAGATGCCGAAAATGTCGTAGATGTCGATTATGGCGGTCGTGGAGTTGAGGTTGCCGGCTTTGTCTGTTTTATTTGGTGGAGACTTTTTAGACACTTTGCTCTACAATTCACTGGTCTGGATTTGGACCAAACATACAAAGGAAAAGAGCAAATGGAAAGAGACTAAACCAATGAACTTACAAGTATTCAACCCAGCAATGATGCCATACTCGCCCTTAGGCTCATAACCCTGGGAAATGATGGGCGGAATAGTGCGACAGGCTTCACAAGTCATGGTTGCAGCTGATTATTGTCTTGCGTAGAGAACTGTTGCTCATTTCCACGATGTTGGAGGGGAAATGCCAATTTATATTATAGTCTGCTATAGTAGGCTACGGAGATAGCCTACGGAGATAAATAGCCTGAACCGGCCGGCGGCAACGGAATTTTTGCTGTGAAGGGGCGTGCCTAAAGTCCCTTGTTGGCCGGTTCCGGGCCGGAAACGGCATTGGAAAAACAGAGATAATATACTGCAATTGACGCGCCTATTGGATTTATTTGTTTTTTTATCTCTCTGTCAGAGGTCTTCAAACTGAACAAATTCGGGGAGGATACTTTTGCTCCTAGAGAGATCTCATATAATGGCCACGACGCCTCGTCCGACCGAGTCGAAAGCCCTAAAATCCCCTTCGGACTCGATATCGATGTCACCGACCGGCGACCCAGAAAAAGCAACGCATACGAACACAAACACGGACTTAGCCAGCATCAGATCTAATGATAAAGATGAATCTCCTTACTGTGCTTTTTCCGAAAGAACCAAGATCCTGACGATGCTGGGCGCCTCCTTCGCGGGCTTGATCTCACCGATGTCAGCGAGCATCTACTATCCCGCTCTGCCGGCCCTAGCGGAGGATATGCACGTATCGAATTCGTTGATAAATTTGACAGTCATGACATATCTGGTTCGGCTCCTTACTAATTGCCCTACCAGGGATAGAGAGGTTAATCCAGTCAAACCAGATATTCCAAGGCATCGCACCCTCCTTTACCGGCTCCCTCTCCGACGCCTACGGCCGTCGTCCAGCGTACATGATCTGTTTCACGATCTACGTCGGCGCAAATATCGGACTAGCGCTACAGAACAACTACGCCGCACTGATGGTGCTCCGGTGTCTCCAGGCTTGTGGAAGTAGTGGGACTATTGCTGTCGGCAGCGCGGTGGTGGCAGATATGTCGACGCGGGCTGAACGAGGGAAGTATATTGGATACGCGACTATCGGGATGACGTTAGGTCCGGCTCTGGGGCCGGTTATAGGAGGTCTACTGGACCAGTTCCTGGGCTGGCGTTGGATCTTTTGGTTTCTCGCTATCCTTGGAGGTGCCTTGTTGGTTGTTTTCCTGGTGTTTGTGCCCGAGACGTGTCGTGCTGTTGTGGGGAATGGATCGGTACCTGCGCAGAGGTGGAATAGGTCTATTTTGGGAATGGTGAGGGAGGGGTTGAGATTGAAGAAGGGACAACGGAAGGAAAATACGATTGATTACGAGTCTGTGCAGCAAAGTGGAAAGAGACCGAATCCGCTGACCTCAGTGCGGATTGCCACGGAGAAAGAAACAGGGCTAATCCTATTATACGGAGCGCTGCTGTATGCCGGGTTCACGATCGTGATAAGCACTCTGTCAGCGCAACTAGAGAGCCGGTTCAACTTCAATGCCATCCAAGTGGGACTGTGCTACTTGCCCTTCGGCATCGGGAGTCTTACGTCAAGATGGACGGTCGGAGTTGTGTTGGATTGGAATTTCAAGCGCGAGGCAAAGAAGCAGGGCCTGTCGATCGTCAAGAACAAGCAGCAGGATATTCGCGAGTTTGATATCGAAGCTGCGAGGCTAAAGGTGACCATTCCGCTGGTTTACGCTGCTTGTCTGTGCATTATCGGATACGGCTGGGTCATGGACTATAAGACCACACTGGCTGGACCTCTGGTGATGCTGTTTTTCACTGGTCATTTGACGACGGGCGCCTTCACGACACTCAGCACCCTGGTGGTGGATGTGCATCGACATGGGCCTGCAACGGCCGTTGCGGCGAACAACCTCGTGCGCTGTCTACTAGGTGCAGTGGCTGCAGCAGTTGGGACACCGTTGATTGATCGCATTGGAATTGGATGGACGGCAACCTTTGTTGCTGGCATTTGGGCCGTTTTTAGCCCGTTGCTGTGGATGGTGTCTCGCTGGGGTCATGGATGGAGAGAAGAGATGAGAGTCAAGGGTGAAGCGGAGAAGGACGCAAGGGGGTGAACAAAGAGTGGGGGTTAATCTACATAGAGTCAGCGATAGACCGATTCTATTGGATTATAAAAGCATGGTTATCTTCAGCGGATTGTCGATCATGAGTTATCACCAAATCTAAGCCAATGATTCGCTCCACCTCCACCTCTGCCATAACCGAGCTGCAATCGGGAGTCATGGGGTATTTGATTGGGGATAATTGCCCGCATTGACGTAGCAGAGGGCTTTTCTTTTAGGATTCCGATCCTGGAGTTGGACCCCAGTTTGCAACAACTTCTGTGATACATGACAACATGACACCCAGGATTAAGGAACAGAAACATGATGCAGATCCAGAAGAGAAACATGATCAACACACCGACCGGAACTCGAGAAGCATCATGCATGGCGAAATCTGCACACCAGAGGAGGAAAGACGCGTTCTGCGCAAGATAGACATGGTCATTCTACCGATGGTGGGCATCAAAACGAGCGTACAAGATGTCCTTTGACTAACAGATCCAGCTATGTTGTGTATTCTTCTTTCAATGTAGGCTCTACTACTTGACCTTGTCAACTATTGACTGACGACTCAGATTTGGACAAACAGAGCCTTAGTTATGCGGCGGTATTTGGCCTTATCACTGACCTTGACCTCCAAGGCAGCCAGTATTCCTGGTGCTCTTCGATATTTTATTTCGGTGGGTCAATGTAGAAGCGTCAGTTTAGGTGTCCAGATTAACAGGAATTAGGCCAGCTCGTTGCCGAATACCCCTTCATCTATCTCATGAGTCGTCTTCCTTTGACGAAGTTTGTTGGCGTAACTATGTATATCTTAATCCCTCATCTTCCCAATTGAGTTATCAGACTAACCACCACAGAATTATCTGGGGCGCGATTTGCATGTGCCTCGCCGCCCCGAAATCCTTTCCTGGCTTCGCAGCCGTTCGTTTTCTCCTCGGGTTCGCGGAAGGAGCAGTCTCCCCAGCATTTGTAACCATCACTAGTATCTGGTATCAAAAGAAGGACCATGCAATGAGGATAGGGCACGATCTACCGTCTAACATAAATATGTTAACTATAGAAGAAGCTAACGCTATACAGCCTGTGGATAACGATGAACGGTCTCGCCCAAGTAATCGGCTCGTTGCTGATGTATGGAATTGGGAAAAATACACAGTTGGGCCTGGCACCGTGGCGTGTCTTGTTCCTCGTCTGTGGCGCGTTGACGACCTTTTCGGGGATCTTGTTTACCGTCCTGATGCCAAACGGCCCGCAAGATGCCTGGTTTCTGAACGCAAGAGAGAAGGATGTTCTGAGAATGCGCATGGCGGCCGATAATGAAGGTGGAGACGCCAGACGTTTCTCAGGGGCTCAATTCAAGGAGGCGATGCTGGATGTGAAGTCGTGGTTGGTGTTTGGTTTTGGGCTGTTGGTTACGATGCAGAGTCCAGTTTTGACGGTATGATCTTACGACTCTCTTTGCGCAGACTGTTCCAGCGTGGGCTGATAACCACTTACTGACTACCAACGGTATCAAAAGTTTGCATCTCTCGTCATAAACAACATTGGTTACGACAAATACGATACTCTGCTTCATACTGCCCCGTCCGGGGCTGTTCAAATCGCATTTATCTGGATAGCTGTGATAGCATGCCTAATTTTCCCCGGGAGGCGATCGGTAATCGTGATGTTCTTGATCATCCCACCTCTAATAGGGAACGTATTACTGTTGAAGCTGCCTCTTTCAGCGCAATGGGGTCTAATTATTGCCTCGTGGCTGGTATGAATAGCCCCTTCCGTTTCGCTTCAACCAGGCACACTAACAAGACCGAAACAGGCCTCGTGTATATCAGACGTCATGGCTATTTTGCTCAGTCTCAGCGCTTCGAACGTGAAAGGAAATACAAAGCGGGCTGTCGTTAACAGTCTGTTCTTCATTGGGTACTGCGTTGGATGTATTGCGGCGCCGCAGCTGTGGACAAAGAAACCGCGGTATTTTGAGGGAGTTATCACTGCGATCGTGACATGGTGTTTGTTGTTTGTTGTCGTGGGTATCTACTGGGTTATATGTGCCAAGGAGAATACAGCTAGGGAGGAGAAAGAGAGATGTGGCGAGGTGGAAGTAGCTGAGGTCGAACCCGAGGAAGGTGATGTTACTGACAAGCAGGATAGAGGGTTTAGGTATAGTTTCTAACCGCGCACTATATCAAGGGATAGAAAATGCAATCTCGATGCTATGAAACGCACGGACCGATGTACTTAACAGAGGAGGCCTTCAATCAAAATAAAATTTCCATTCCGTGCTTCTTATCCTCAAGGCCTAAAGAAGCCATCGGATTGGCGTTGCTCGCGACGTCGTCGCCGGAGTATCTAAGGCCCAAGGAACCTCGTTTAAGGATCGGTATCATTCCGTCGATAACGTCTTTACTGAAATTGTCGATCCGCAGCAAATCTTCCATGCGCACCATTTGTCTGGCGCGAATGGCATTAAGGGTCTGGTGCTCCTCAGGGGAGAGCGCCTTCTCGAGTACAACAGTGCTCTTATCTTGGCTGATAAGTCCACGCAGCTTTTGTAACAGCGAGATTTGCTCCCGAGACGGCGCCATCTGGAAAGCGTGGGCGCAAAAGTCGACCGTATGTGCGATCTCGGACTGGGTAAGCTTACTGTTGTTGTCTTTGACGGTGCCTTGAATAACTATAATGCGTCCATCTAATTAGTTGACGGGAAGCAATGTGACGCTATGCGGAATAAGTACGAAATAGAACGAACTTACCAGGTCTAAACAAAGCAAAGGCTCGATCAAAGCTCTTCTCGTCCCAGTCATGAATAACTGGCTCCTCACGATTCTCGATCTGTTTGAGAACTACCATCACGACCAGCAAGAATCGTGTGTATCCCTCGGACACCTTGTCGGTGTGCCAATGGGCTGCGGCATCTTCGTCACAATCGCCTCGCATGGACGCGCAAATAGTGACTGCCGCCGAGAGGCCGCTCAACATAGCCAGATGCACGCCAGACGAGAAGAAAGGGTCGATAAAACAGCCCGCATCGCCGGCAATTCGCAGGTAGGGGCTGGCGTATGCCGACGCACTGTAGGACCAGTCCGAGGCGGACTTAATGTCTGAAACCAGGCGTGCGTTAGCGAGTAGGGAGCTGGTTGTAGGTGCCTCTTTAATGATCTTAGTGTATAGATCGGTGCTGCAGAGCAACCCAGTCTGCTTTTTGCGCTCCGTGTAACTGGCTTGGTTCATTACAACACCGACAGAGGTGGTCCCGTTATGCAGAGGAATGGTCCAGATCCAGCCACTGCCATCTGTCCAGAAGCCAAACAAGATTTTATTGGAAATTGTTAGCTATTAGAAGTTACAGCGAGATACCCGGGCATCCATGCGTACCTGAAATTGCCTCGAAGAGAGGGTCGCCTTCCCCCTGGCGTCCCTCGGCATAGATGCTGGCTCCCTCCCAGTAGCCCCAGATTGCTTGGTTTTTAAGGCCTTGATTGAAGCGTCGGTTCTTCATATATTTGGTGCTTATTATTCCAGCACGCCCGCTCGCGTCGAGAAGGTACTCGAATCGAATGCTCCCAGTGCTGCCGTCATTTCTCGACCAAGAGGCCGACACTGGCTTGCCTAACTGGTTAGACGCGTGCGGAACAAATTCAATGTCCGTCACCCTGACACCATCGAAGACAGTCGCGCCGCTCTCTCGAGAATGTTCGAAAAGAAGCTGGTCCGCCTCGGACCGGATGATGTTCCATGCGTGACTGCCAGGACCTCCAGGTGCGATAAAGTCGGTATCTATGGAAACACTATGTCAGGTACTTTGCCACGATTGGATCGTCTTGCTGAAAGAAAACAGCCGAAAAAGAAAGGGAAGAAGTACATGTTGCCGGCTTGGAATTCAGTTTAAAACTAGCCCCGTTCTATCAAGCTCATTAGACCAGACGCGATTCATACATGGGCTTTGGGAATATTTAACAACCTTAACACGAAAGCCATGACTAAGGAACTTTTCGTCCAGGTCGATAAATCGCAAAAAGTGGCGCATCGAAGGGAGCATGCTCTCTCCGATATGATACCTAGGAAATGTGTCTGCCTCCAGCATGACGGTGTGAATACCCTCCCGTGCAAGCACGGATGAGGCATAGGATCCTGCTGGACCTCCGCCGACGACGAGCACGGTGCATTCGTCCGGAATAGCCATGTTTGTTAGCGGAGAATGGTTGAGATTTGGCTCGAAGGCTGGAAGGCGGACTGCGGTCGGTGCAAATGGCAGGGAATAAATGGAAGTGAAAAGTGGGGTTGAATAAGATTCCTCAACGGGGTGTGAGATCGCTATTCCCTGAAACATGTGCAGGTGTCACAGTGTAAAGCAGGGAGAGGCTGACCTGTTGTGTTCGAATAGCGTGTTCTAGACCTGGTAGGGAATCCTTCCCGGGAATGATCCGTTTTTTAATAACTAGCACCAAGACTATTGGCGAGGTCGCGTATAGATGGGGATCTAACTGGTGGGACTCTGACGCCGAGGCTGCACGCGCATGATATCGACAGAAACCAATTCCTTGCAAGACCGAAACCCGCAAATAAAGATCGGTTCTGACGTCGCACATATGCACCTAGTTATCGCTTTCAGCTGGGTAGTGCTTACCCTCCGAACGCCTTCCAGTTCGCTGGTTGGATTGAAGGGGTAGGAACCATGGTCGTACCTAGTCCAAGGAAATTGTGACAGACTCGAAAGGAAAGGAGGGTGACACAATGCCTAACGTCGGAGAATTCCTACTGGTACTTGTCAAGTAACAGGAAACCCTAGGGGTGTGATTGGTATAACCGGTAAAGCTCTGCGAACGGTCCGGTGCGCCCACCTGTCAAGGGAAAGTGCGGCGTCTCTACAAAAAGCGGAGGTTGAACCTCATCAAAAGATAAAAATGCTAATTCAGGCATCCTCTGAGAAACGATGGAATCATCAACGGCGGCGGATAGAAGATTGGTCTTGTTCGGTGATCAAACTGGAAATTTCGCACCTCGGTTGAAACAGCTTCTGCAAGATGCCACGCGAAGCGCCACTCAGATGCGTTTCCTTGAGGAGGCAAGTCAGTCTTTGAAGCTTCAGATTTGTCAATTATCTCCAGTTGAGCAGGACGGCCTACCCCTGAGTTTTAACACTGTCCATGACTTGCTGCGAGAATATAACGAGAGAGATGAACGGAGCCATCCTGCCATCTGTAGCGTCTTGTTATGCATCACTCAACTACTACAAATATTTTAGTAAGTTGTGAAGAATGTTTGCTCTTCTTTTTCTCTGCTAACGCGGAAGCGTTTTGCAAAATCAGTTATTTCGAAGGAACCAGCTACCCAATCATCAATGAGAACACCCGGGTGGTAGGCCTTTGTACGGGCTCTATAGCTGCAGCGGCTTTCTCTTGCTGCTCGGGTCTTGACCAACTTAGGCGGCTGGCAGTCCCGAGTGTCTCTATCGCATTTCAGACAAGTGTGCATGTGGCTAGGTCTGGTGGCCTATCTTCCATTCCTCAGAATAAAAAGGCCAGTTGGTCTATTGCATTGCTCAATACGACATTATCGGAAATATCGTCTATGATAGATAGTTACGACAGAGAATCAGATCCATGCAAGAACCAAATGTGCTGGGTGAGTGCTGTTGGTCCTCAAGCTGTCACGGTCAGCGGTCCGCCTACAACCTTGGAACAATTCATTCAGTATCTATCCAGACAGGCTACTCAGCAGGTTGTTAAACAGCTTCCAATATTTGGACCCTATCATGCCCCATACTTGAGATTGGGGTCGGATTTCGCGCAGTTCTTAAGCGAATGCAATGTTAGCTCCAACCTTCTAGCAGGCTTGCCAGTTTTGAGGAATGTGATATCTGCCAGCACGGGGAATTCCGTCCAGGCGGATAATGCCCTTGACCTCCTCGGTGACGCTGTCCAGAGCATCATACATGAACCAGTTTGCTTAGACTTGGTGATTGAGGAGTTCGCCTTCTTCTGTAATCTGGCCGACAATCCTTGTTCCCCCACCATTACTGCCGTGTGTCCTACGACTGGGTTGGGGGGTATTGAAGGAGCACTCAGATCACAAACGCAAGCTGCCATCTCAATCGATAATTTCCATGACCTGGTCAGAGAGTGGAATCCATCACCGGGATCTTTGGATGCTCCTCTGGCCATTGTGGGCACGGGTTGTCGATTTCCCGGGGCAGACACGCCAGAAGAACTGTGGGAGCTGCTGGAATCAGGCCAGGATATGCATAAAACGGTAGGCATCCTAAGTGACAAAGCTTGAAATCGCTCCTCACATTGTATGCTGATGAGTTACTGCAGATCCCACAAAGTCGCTTCGATATCAACAAACATGTCGACCCAACACTCAAGAGAAAGAATACTTCCTCAACACCATATGGATGTTTCATCGACCAGCCAGGGCAATTTGACCTTCGGCTTTTTAACATGTCCCCTAGCGAAGCTGCCCAGACGGATCCGATGCAACGCCTTGCTCTGATGACTGCATATGAGGCACTGGAGATGTCAGGTTTCGTGCCGAATCGGACTCCTTCAACGGCCCTTGACCGGGTGGGAACCTTTTACGGTCAAACTAGTGATGACTATCGAGATACCAATGCAGCACAGGAAATTGGGACATACTTTATTACAGGCGGACTCCGTGCATTTGGCCCGGTGACTACCCCCTACCTTAGCCTGTGCTCAAGCCATGATCGCTAACGCCACTATACTTAAAGGGTCGGATCAACTATTATTTCAATCTCGGTGGGCCCAGCTACAACATTGACACAGCCTGCTCTTCCAGTCTCACAGCTATCCATCTAGCATGCGCCTCAATCCGGAGTGGCCACTGTGACACTGCTGTGGCTGGCGGGTTGAGCGTGCTGACATCTCCGGATCTCTACGCAGGACTGAGTCGAGGGCATTTCCTATCCGAGACTGGATCCTGTAAGACCTTCGATCATGGTGCAGATGGCTACTGTCGTGCTGATGGAATTGGAACCGTGATAATCAAGCGATTAGCCGATGCACAACGCGACAACGACAACATACTGGGTGTGGTATTGGGTACTGGAACGAATCATTCGGCGGAGGCAGTGAGCCTTACTCATCCCCACCCCCAAACGCAGGCCAAATTGTTCCGGGATGTTATTGAAAGGTCTGGGATAGATCCATTAGACGTAAACTACGTCGAGATGCATGGAACCGGGACACAAGCCGGAGATAGTGCCGAGGTGGCGTCGGTGGTTGACGTTGTTGCTCCTTTTGGCCAAAGAAAGCTCGATAATCCACTTTACGTGGGCTCGATCAAGGTGGGTACATGAGACCCCTTTGCCAATTCGATGAGCCTCCGATTATCTAACATTTGCTCTGTCGTTCAGCCGAATATTGGTCATGGAGAAGCTGTACGTATCTGCCTCCCTTTCTGTCCAGGGTTTCCACACTGAAGAATGAACAAGTCCGCAGGAGTAGCATCCTTGATGAAGGCTATATTGATGCTCGAGAAAAGAATAATACCGCCTCATATTGGAATAAAGACTGAGATCAACCGTAGATTCCCCGACCTTGAGTTAGCAAAGTGAGGGTTTTTACTTGTCGGCCTCAACCGTCGATGCTGACGCTCGATTACAGTGTTCGAATTTCCACGACATCAACTCCGTTCGAGTCATCCACAGACAGGGAAAGGACAATCCTTGTCAATAGCTTCAGCGCTGCTGTGAGGCCCACCTTCAGGAATCTTGGTGGATCGAACCACTGACTCGTTCTTTCCCGACAAGGGTGGTAATACTACGTTACTTTTGCAGGAGCCGCCAGCATCAACTCGCGCAATTCGGGACCCTCGACAGACCTATGCTATTACAGTCTCCGGGCATAGCCCATTGTCACTCGATGACAATCTCAAGCTGATGGTCAAATACATAGACGCCAATCCATCTATCTTAGCGGGAGACCTCGGCTACACCACCATGGCCCGTCGCATGCACAAGGGCCTCCGAGTCACCGTAACTGGAGAGACAACTGCCGAGATCAGGCAAGCATTGGAGAGAAAAAAAGAAAAGATTTACCCGCCTTCACCAGCGAGCCTGCGGCCTGTTGTGTTTGTCTTCACAGGACAAGGAGCGAGTTACCATTCACTCGCACATGACCTCTATATGACCTCAACGCAGTTCCGCTCCGATATCTATTCTCTCAGTCAACTGGCTTTTCATAAGGGCTTCTCACCGTTTATATCACTCATAGACGGGAGCATCACTGACATCAACTTGCTCTCTGTAGTACAGATTCAAGTGGGATTGGTTTGCATCCAAATTGCGTTGGCTCGATTATGGCGGTCCTGGGGCATTCAACCTTCGATGGTCCTAGGTCACAGTCTAGGGGAATTTGCCGCTTTGCAGACGAGTGGGGTTTTATCTATTTCGGACACCGTATTCTTGGTAGGGTGTAGAGCTCGTCTGCTGGAAGGACGATGTCAAGTCCGTTCCCACTCCATGTTAGCGGTTTCCTGCTCGCATGAGTGCCTTGGGCTATCACCAACGGAAATGGAAGGCGTGGATATTGCATGCTTGAATAGTCCTCATGAGACTGTTCTCGCTGGTGGTGTCGGCATTATTGCCAATCTGGAGTTTCGGCTACGTGAAAGGGGCATTCGGACAAAACAGCTTGTAGTTCCGTATGCTTTCCATTCTGCTCAACTTGACCCCATTCTGGGGGCTTTTGGAGATGCAATCAAGCAGGTCACGTTTGAGAGGCTCCAGGTTCCAATCATCAGCCCCGTAACTGGTCAGCTGGAAGAGCGGATTGGCGCTGACTATCTGCTTCGACAAGCAAGGCAGACAGTACAATTCTCCCCTGTGTTGGAGAGAGTTAAAGGCTCTGGTGCTCTAAATGACAGGACAATCTTCCTGGAGATTGGACCACACCCTATTTGCTCCGAAATGATCAAAGCTACTCTAGGCCGTGACACATGCACATTGCCGACACTTCGCCGGAACGAAGATTCTTGGGCAGTTCTAGTGCAAAGCCTGGCCGCGCTGCATGATAAAGGGTTGTCAGTTAACTGGGGAGAGTATTACCGAGAGTACGAAAAAGCTCATCGGCTTCTGGCTTTGCCGAGCTATGCGTTCGACAACTCCAGCTACTGGATTGATTATCGGAACGACTGGTCACTCCGGAAAGGAGATCCACCTGAGACAACTATAAACCCTGAGAAGTGCACAAAGCTGTCTTATTATCTTCATCGTGTTGTGAAAGATGAGTACGACGGCACCCAAGCTACGGTTGTCTATGAGACCGACCTCCAAGATGAGAAGGTCCATGCTGCGATTTCTGGACACCGGGTGAATGGCTGTGCTCTATGCCCATCCGTGAGTCTCATTCTCTGTAATACGAATGGCTCGTTGCCGAAAGTTAATGGATATCATTAGTCCTTGTATGCAACAGTTGCACTTGATGTGGCCGATCATCAGCAGAATCGAATGAAGTCTGCTCAGATTCCCCTCAACGGGCGGAACATTACACACATGGAGGTCTCGCACCCACTCATAGTTGGCTCTCTAGAAGATGAGAAACGAGTTCTTCGAACTACCGTTGAGCTAGCAGAGCGACACTCAAACATTATCCGAGTTAGGTTTAGCACAGTGGCGAGCGAACTTAAAGAGACTCAACATGCCTGCTGCTTCCTGGAGCTTGGCAAACAAGAAGATTGGCTTTCTGAATGGGCCGAAAATGCCTACATGGTGCAAAAGCACCTCGCTACACTGGATGCACTAGCTGCCCTCGGAAATAGCAGTAAAATAACTCGGAAATTAGCGTATCGCTTGTTTCGAAGCCTGGTGGACTACGCACCGAAATATCAACTCATGGACCAAGTAGCTCTCGCTAACTCCGGTGTGGAAGCCTCCTGCAAAGTCCAGCTACAAGGCGAGAACGGCCCGCATTGGATTGACGCCTTGGCCCACATATCAGGATTCGCCCTGAATGCCAACGAGGATACAGAGAGCGCCGACTTCGTGTATATCTCTCAAGGCTGGGGCGCAATGCGCCTCGGAAAACAGCTGCAAGCTGGAAGGACGTACCAAACCTACGTCAATATGTGGCCTCAGAAGAACGGTTTGATGGATGGTAACGTTTGGATCTTATCCGACAACGCAGTAGTGGGCTTGATCGAAGATATCCAGTTCCAGAAGATCAAACGTCAAGCCCTCAATTTGCTTCTTCTAGCTCCTGGCTCAAGCAGAGAATCGGCGAATCTCGCTTCTCCGTCAGCGATGAAGGAATCAGCCCAGCAACAGCCACATCTGGGTCTACCAGAGGGAAGAGTTAAACCAGACACTAAGACACAGGATAGTTATCGGCAATTGGTTGCCGAAGAACTAGGTCTCCCCGCAAGTCAACTGTCTGATAACGGCCATCTGCTCAACTTAGGCCTGGATTCACTCATGTCGCTCACGCTCACGAGCCGGTTGCAAGACGAGTGGGGAATCGAAGTCTCTCATCAATGCCTGCTTGAATGCGTAACCATTGGTGAGCTCCTCGCCATTCTGGACAACGTTACGGGGACAGGCCATGGTGGGTCTTGCCAGGGACCGGATATACCACAAGACCCTACGGCAAAATGTTGCGCCAATGGGCCTACAAGATCAACCGATTCTTGGACCCAGACAGGGTCGGCTTCTGAGAACATAAACAAACCATTCACGGAGAGCGAATTTTCATTCGGCGAAGCCCACTTCTCCTCGGCGCAGGGGGTTGCCCTAACAGGGGACTACATTAGTGACGTCGACCCTCCATCCGGGCTTCTTTTCGAAAGCGCTGATAGCATGCACAAGCCTTCTGAGTCTAGCCGCATAGACTCGGAAATTGATTCACACGAGCCGTCTGCCAAAGTAATTCTCCTGCAGCGGCGCTCAAACCTATCCAGCAATAAACAATTGTTTCTTTTCCCCGATGGTTCCGGCTCTCCGGCCTCGTATGCTCAGTTCGAGAACCTAAGCCCCGACTTTGAGGTTTACGGACTTTTTTGTCCGTACCTCAAGATTCCACAAGCTGAGACAAATGGTCTGGCCGCCACTGTGGGGATTTATATATCTGCCATCAGAGAGAATCAGCCCCACGGTCCATACCATCTCGGTGGCTGGTCAATCGGTGGAGTTTACGCATATGAGGCATCTAACCGACTAGTGCAAATGAGAGAACATGTCGCCTTACTTCTACTAATCGATTCCCCGTGCCCGTCTATTTTCCCGCCAATGAATTCCCGTCTAATAAAGTTCTTTGAGGCACTAGGCGTTTTTGACCAAATGCCCAGTGATATCCGAGGGAGAAGCCCTCTTAGCAAACGCGAGCAAGTCTTGAATCACTTCAAAATAGCGACGGAGGATCTTTCGGACTACAAACCTGTGAGAGCTATGGCGGGAGAGGCAGCTCCTAAAGTATTCGTATTCTGGGCCAGAAACGGAGTTTGTGAGGAACAAGCATCCGTGAGAGACGATGGCTCGTCGACTGATTCAGCCTATGCACTTGATAACTGGATTCTGGCTAAGAGAACAGATTTCGGACCGTGTGGCTGGGAAGCATTACTTCCGGTTGAACGTATGGTGATGAGAGTTATTCCAGGGAATCATTTTACCATGATGCAGAGCCCTAATGTGAGTGTCGCATGGGCTGTTTTTATTCTTTTTCAGGGGTTCCTTTATGAAAGAGCTAACCTGTCGTCACCTTAGATTGCTCAAATTTCGAAGGAGATACAAGAAATTTTGCGGTTGCTTTAAATTGCAGGATTGATTTGATCAGGGGTAAGGACTCTGGGTTATGTTGTTTCAATGTTAGACGTTTAGGTTCAAAGAATGGCAATTCCATTTCATTTGCGTCCACTCGATACCCGACTCAGGTGATCATGTAGAGAGGATATACCAAGAGCCGTAATTTGACACTGACGTGTCCACACGACGTACATACATATCCCACAACCGATCATAGTTATCCACTCATTGTATGCCTTCAGTTGCTAGGCATCTTGACTGGGAAGCAAATCCCGAAGATACGATGTGCGTAATCGACCAATAGACTTTATACCAATAACCTATTAGGTTATTCCCTGATCTGCATAATCTTGTGCAACGCAGGTGTAATTATTTGTTGACATTGCATCAAGGGATAAAATACCTCAAGGGGGAAACCAGATATTGCTGCCTCAGGTGTCTGGCCTTATTTGGTCTCGCGTAACACAACACTATGTCTGTGTTTGAATGCCTGAGGCAAAATGCCAAGCAATTTCGTCAGGCACCTCTCAAGTAGGCAATGTCATGAAAGACTTCCTGCACCAATAATTCCATCTGTAATGATGAAAGCATCTTCTCATTCATGTCATAGTCGTTGGCGACTGCGGTGCCCCCGCGTTTGGAACGTCGACATCATACAGAGGCTATGCTATGGAAGTTATATATTTCGAATAGTACCAGAGAGCATAACAATTGTCGCAACCTCGCAAATTCGCGAGTATTTAAGAATGAGACTTGTGCAACGGATCAATAAACTGCCCCGTGCAAGCAGCATTCACGCACTGGGCCAAGCTACCGAAATGAACGCCCCGATTGACCATCCCGGGCGCGTAATGGGCATATTTACCCGAGTTTGTCATGATATTCCTGGCCGATTTCGGCACAACCGGCTCCCCGAGCATGCACCAGCAAGTATCTGTGATTATTGTCGCGCCGAAGCCCTCTAGAGTGGCAATAATGCCGGCTGCGGAAGCTTGCTCATATGTGCTACGACTGGTAGTGACGATGAATTCGACAGATGGACATTTCTGCCGGGACACGGTAAGGTGAGATAGGCGTTTGAATTCTTCGATGGCGAAATGCGGGTTTCCGAGAGAAACGAGACCGACAGATGGGTCGGTGGCGGAGTTCAAGGCTCGTCGACATTCTAGGATCTCGGAGGCTGTGATTTCAAATCGGGGTAGATGAGACTCCATGCTAGCGAATTGTCCAGCTTCAGGAGTCACCCCTCTCATATGAAAGATGGCTGCGGATGAAGTAGTGGCGAAGGCAGCGCTGAAGGCTTTAAGATCTATGCGGTGCGGGGATAGGTGCTCAACTCCACAAACTAGGGGAATGCGGTGCTGAGCGACCTTTCCGATCAAATACCCTATGACTGGATAGAATGAATCATCGATCGCACGGATATCGGTGGGCACTTGGACAAAGATATCCGGCCGGCGACCTTCCGCTGTATGACAGCCGGCTGAAGGGGCCCGACCGGTCAAAGCAATACACACATCAATGAAATCGGGGTATTTCTGCGTGTGGGCCCCAAGAACGCTATTTGCAAAAACGACCGCATTTGATTCTGCCCAGCCAATATTTTCACCTTCCTTCGGCGCAGTGTCCAGAGTGTACGGCGCACATGTAAAACTGGGCTGTGCGCCCATGGAAAGATAGACGTTGGCAAGTGTGCCGGCCTGAAATGCTAGCTCAGGATCAACTCCCAGCTCCTTCCATCGGCGCTGGTCAATGGATATTGAGTTCAATGTCGTCGGTATCATGAATTGGGCACCTAGGTTTTGAAAGGTCTGTGCGAATGTGAGGCTAGCTGGGCCGGTGTAAATGCAAGCGTCGATGTGAGCGCGCGAAACATCAATAAGACGAGTGGCGCCCTGGATGGCGGCGAACTGAAGGATTATATTGAGGGCTATTTTCACAGCCGCACCCTCCTTCCCCGCAAGGACATTTTTGTCCAACTCAGAAAGGTTGACCTGGTTACCTATAGGATAAAGCTGCAATGGTGGGGTTGGCAAAGGCACGCCACCAAGCTGAACCCGCCCCGTATCGATCGCTGCGAATTGCCAGTCACGTAGACCATGAAAATCTTCAGGCGAAAGTACCACAACGGGAATCGAGCGTTCAAAAAGAGCTTTCCCTACCAACACCCCTAGCGTTAATATTTCCTCCGCCTGCTCGAATATCAACCCCGCCGGAGCACAGTGATTGAGCAGGAGCTCGAGCATCACAGTGCTGCCAGTACAGGACCCGCGGCCACATGGGATAGCCAGGATCCGACCAGCTATGCATTCACCTCGTAAGGGATGGTGGTGGTCCACCACATCACCCGTCTGGGGGTTTACTCCGCCCCAGAAACTCAGGCTGGTCGAGCAGTAAAGTAACTCGGCAGATGCTGATCCGTTGATCAAACATCGACCTCGGAGTGTCGGTATCGGCCCGGTGCGACTGGATGCCATACTGGCTGCAAGATTGAGTATCTAGTGATGCCAGGTGATAAATACAGCGCATGGTAGCTGTCAAGCTAGCGACGGCCTTTTAAATCACAACTGTACCTCGGGAGAAGATACCGAAGCCCCGCACTATAGTGCCGGCTTATAGTTTAATGTGGGAGGAGACTCGAGTTCTTCCAGCGAGAAAACGCGGCCGTGGCCTCAAGACATGTCCTTCATGAGGGATTGTTGGAGGTGAACGGTCGGATCCCGGTCTGAAAGAACGGGTACATGATCCCCGTGCGACAATAGATGCAAACGTTCGAAGATAGTGACTTGGATGAGGGGCTGATGGGTTCAAGGGCGCCAATCTTTTCGAGATAGCCTACTCCGTAGGTATGTGTGAGTCAGACACCGGTCGGTTTCCAAAGTCCACCAGGCAACAGCTGCCTAGTCGGTCCGACTAGATTAGACATATTCCGCCGTCAATCGATTCGGCCCCCCCCCCCCTTGGCACGTTTGCATTCAATCTCGGTCTCGGGTCTCGGGTCTGGCGAAAGACGAGCACTGACAAATGAGTGAAACGGTGGAGAAGGAAGGAATCGAGCGGTTGCACGAGACTGTCTCTGGGGGTGTTTGTCGTGTTTGTTCTGGGGGGTCCGCAAACCGTGCAAACCGTGCAAATCAGCCAAACTCCTCGGCCTGCAAGACGCGCTACAGCTTCATCGCCATTGATAACATCGTGGGATCCCAGTTATTCATTCTTCTTCATCCCAGCTGATGTATGTAGTCCTGTGTGACCACCCGAATTCCCTCCCATCGACATCATGGACACTTCTAATGCGAATCTCGACAAATTCGCCAACTTCGATGTCATTCAGACCGCATACAAGAAAGTCCAGGATTATGAGATCAGAGCGGACTTCGTGATCCCCAAATCGAAGTTTACCGGAAAACGACCGGTGATTGTACGCTTCCACGGTGGTGGTTTGGTAGGTGATCCCCCGCTTCTAAGTCCAAGCCTTCCGCGACTAACGAAACCCAGATAACCGGGGATTCCCTGATGAAAGAATGGTTCCCCACGTGGCTACTGGAGCTTGCGGCAAAGCACAACGCTGTCATTGCTACCCCCAACCACCGATTGCTGCCCGAGTCCAGCTCCACGGAGATATACGAGGACGTCGAAGATTACTGGACCTGGTTGCACTCGTCGACCGTGGCAGACCTGCTGTCTTCTTCCGTGAACCCAACAGAGCTCGATTTCGCGCGAGTCATCACTGCCGGTGAATCCGCCGGTGGTCTACTGAGCATCAGCCTTGCACTGTCGCATCCCGACGAAATCCGAGCCGCCACGGGCAGTTATCCCGCAATCGACATGGCGTCGGTACATTTTGGTGGGCCGAGCCCGCCGCCGCTAGAACCGCCTCTCCCGGCGACGTTGGTGCGTGATCATGAGAGCAAGATTCAACCCGGGGATGTCGTTTCGACTGGACTTTCGTTGGAGCGCTTCCAGTTGATGATTGCCGCCATCCACTTCGGGGATCTCACGGGCCTGTACGAGCGCGGAACGAAGGGCCAGCCACGGGGCCGCTTCTATCCCATTGAAAAGCTCGATGAACCAGGAGTCAAGCTTCCCAGGGGTGGCATCTCCATCATGCATGGTGGACAAGACACTTTCGTTCCAGTGGACGGCGTGGAGAAGTTTGTGCAGAAGGCTCGCGCGGTGGCGAGGGCGCAGACGGCGGAGAGTAAGATCATCCTAACGGTGCGGGATGGAATGCATGGCTTCGATCTGGAGACGCCCTTAAACGAACAGTGGTTGAGTGATCATCTGGCTGTGTCTGTTAAGGCGTGGTTAGAGTGATAGGTGATGTAGTCTTTTTCGTTTTTTCAGATTATATACCCGACGACAAGATTTGTATATTTTAAGATAGACATTGTTTAGAGATACCCTTGCAATCAAGCTTTTTTTCAGTTCCAGGCCATAATGTAACTGGAGAGAGCCTCTTGATGTCGCGGTGTGCAAAGTATGCACGTGAGACGGTGATTAAATCGGTCTTTCTCTTGCTCAAAACCCAACGGGGATCCATCCCTTCTCCAACTATTTCGCCGAGTCAACCCCCTTATCATTCCATCTCGATAGTGCGATTTCACCCGTTAGATCGTGACTATAAGGTGGCGAACACGATGATTGTCCTCATTGTGGCGTCGTGGCATCCACGGTCGAGCATGGAAGTTCCTGGTTCCTGAGCAACCACCGACGGACGTCCACCATTCCGTGAGCTATGGTTATCTTCGTCGAGATTATCTTCTCGCCCTTTCTCGATCCATTAGTCCTGTTCATTTTCGCTTCTCTTTTTGGCTGCTTTTCTTCCAACAAGCGGCATCTGACAAAAGTCGAAGCTGATCAACAGCATACCTGACTAATCCGATCCTCAGTGGCAAAGCACGCGATGTTACGGTTACAAAACCACATCAATCGATCGAATCGAACCATATCTGGGGTAGTTCTGCTCGGTTGGAAATCTCTGGACGGAGGAAACGACGAACGCGGCAAGTCGGGCTTCAGATCACCTGAACTAATGATATCAGTCGCCACCGCGACCTGCGTCTAGAATTTTCTCGCGCGGCTGAACATACCGATCCTGATCCCCCAATGATATCTGCTTTGCCAAGTCATCCGAGGCAGTCAAGAATACTGCGATCGGTCATTCGATGAGGGCAATATTTCCTCCCGCACCCTCCGCCCGCTAAGACCCGGGAGTTCCACCAGCTCTATCCCGACGACGCCTCCTTCCTATATTGATTTGCACCTTGGAAAAATTTGCATCGAAAATACCGGTACATCCTACAGAATGTATAGATACCGAGCATATGGCCTAGCGTCGATAGGCCTTGGAACATAGCGCCTCAATTGGTTAGTCCGAGGACAACACAGCAGACAGAGAACGTACAGGCCAAGGATGACAGGTCGAACTGTCCAAATGGCCCTGGCAACGGAAATTCAGGGTTACCATAGATGAATACCAGAAATCAGAGAACAACAGTCAGGTACCATGCCCACGCGACGGCGCAGGCCGCCTTCCGCCTGCCCGAGAGAGAACCTCGCAGTTATCGGCACCTTTATCGCAGATTATTCTGGTTACTTTACTTTACCAGTCGTTCAGAGATAGAACTCCCCACCTCGGAGACTAGTGATCTTCAATAATATGAAAGACGGGTTGGCATTTGCTCCTAACAGGCTCTCACTGGTCGAACCGACTCCCTGCTTTGATCTCCGGTGGCGACTGAGACGTCCGCCCCAATCAGAATCAGTTACTAATATCCAGCCTAATCCGGGATAGGATAGGGCTTGTGCCACCGGATGTTCGTTCCAGGCAATTAAACAACGTTCTGGCGTTTGCCTTTGCCCTGGAGAATGTGGCAGTCCATGCCGAGTTTCACCCTGACCGGAACTAAGCCGCGGTCCCTGAACTTTTTCTTCCCAGGAACAGCTTCTTTAAATCAAGATAGACGGGTGAAAACGAAGCAAGGTTGACTCGTAGGGCATAACTGCCCGATAGTAACAAGCCAGCCGCCCACGATGTTTCGCAAAAGGTATTCACGCTATCTGTCACTCCCTCCCTCTCACTCCGAGACTCCCGCAGTCGCCTGCTAACCTGGTTCTTGCTTTCTCCATCAAAAGGAGCGGCCAAAAGCCCGATGAATATTTGATCAGGGACTTCCAAAACAAGTTCGGCCATGTTGCCACCACTTCGTATATCCCTGAGACTGGGATTCAACCCAACCAGATCGTTGCTTCCAATGCCAGCGGGCAGGCCCTGTCGACTTTCGATCCCAGCCCGACGTTATTCCCACCGAACCCCGCCTTCGCGTCCTCCCCGTTGAGTCGGCAGCACTGTTCCTGCACCCTGTTCAAGAGTCGTATGTGTGCGGTACTCCATAGCCCCGCGGGGGATTTGCACACTCCGATGCATGAGTGTGAATCTGTCCCCACGGCATTATCGCCCTGGGGGCGGATGCCTGGTGGGCAGCATGCCGACCCCCATGCACACGATGCATACCAGAACGAATACTTTCGCCGCCCCGTGTTCCCTTGGCGAAGTTCCAATCCATTCTTCCAACAACCCTCATACTCACCCAGATCATTCATGCTGCAGGACCCCAATCCTGGTCTCGACCCTGTGGAGCCCCTCCCGAAGACGAGCTTTGGGCATTCCGATCCCTCGGCACTGTATAACTCTCCATTCCCTTTCTCTCCGCGCGAGGTAGATTCTGATGATAGCCTTATTAGTTCCACCCACCCGTCGTCATTCCGGTATCAGGTGGTCTTGCATGCAGCGACAGCCACCTACAACAAGGAATACGAAATCCCCGTTACCTATCTCAATCGGCGCCAAGCATATAAAGTCTCGGTTGTCGACACGGCGCCCCCTTTCACCTCGAGTCCCGTCCGTTATCGAACGCATGTCCGAATCTCCTTCGACGATGATAAGCAGCGTGCTGACCCCGTAGCGGCCTGGAAGCTTTGGATGGATGGGCGTGGGCTGGCGGAGGCCCGTGAGGCTAACTCCAAGCTCGCGGCTGTAGAATTTGTTGACGTGAAGCCAAGCGCCATGGGCTTTGCTGAGACTCACATAGAGTTGGAGAGCTCCTCACTGGATGGATTCTGCGTTGCCTGGACCAGTCATCCGCGATCGGGCCGATTTGGCTGCGAGCTACACGTTCTCTTCAACTTTCTATCCACCGACTTCAGCTTGTCCAAAGGAGTCAGAGGCGCTCCTCTCCGGCTATGCGCTAAGACGGAAGTGGTTTCATCAGACTCGTTGCTTCAGGATCCGTCCCATGTCTGTGCGCCGGAGATCTCTTGCTGTAAGGTTAAGTTGTTCCGAGATCACGGGTCGGAACGGAAGATAGCGAATGACATCGCACAGCTCAAGAAGGCAATACAGCGTGTCGAGGAGTCCATCGCTCACTCTGGGACTGACGGCAACCGTGGCTCCAGTAAACGGAAACGCGGGAGACTTCCTCTGGTCGCTCGAGGCTCCGAGGCCAGCGTACAGCAGCTCGCTCCGACCGACATGCACAACACGCATGAGCCTCCGGGCGCTGACAATCCTGCCGCCGATGAGGATCCTCAGAAGGTATTGTTCGTCCTGAGGATGATGCTTTCATCTTCCCAGCCATATAGCCTGTTGTCGCTGCCATGTGATGAACGTGACGATCCAGATCGGTTCCCTGTCCTGTTGCCGAATCCCCTACTCGGGCCTCTGCTGGCAGAGCGCCCTCTTACCGGCACAGACTTCTCCTCGGAGCTAAGCACGGATGGTGAGTGGGGAGGGGTATTACAGCAGCATGCAGACAAGGACCCATACCCTTCCGGCGTCGCACATACTCATTTCGTGTCACCCCGAGCAGTCAGCTCTATGAGCCAGGATGTCGACAGTCGAAACGTTCCTAACCGACCATTAACCACGATGAATATACCGATGCGTAGCCGTGTAGGCAACCATCAACGTGCCGGTGAGTACCGTAGACGCATCATATATGAAATGGCCCCTTAACCTTCTCATAGTTGCCTGTTTTTATGTTATTCGACGTATCGACGGCCAAAATGAGGCTTACCACCATGCCGTGTACCTGTTCCAACGAACCTTAGCGGACTTCATGAAGCAACTCTCTCGAATTCAGAAGATACCTCCAGAGAACATCATCCGAGTAGTTCGCATCAACTCGGCGGGCTTGCGCATCCTGGTCGATGATAATGTGGTCCGAGAAACGCCTGAAGGCCAGGACATGGTTGGGGAATTTGTGCAGATAGAGGATTCTACGAACCCCTCGTCCAGCTGGCAGGTCAACCTGTTCTATTAAAGTTGGCACTGGCTAGCTTGGCACACATCCGAAACAGCGTCTCCGCAGCATATGCTGTCGGCGGCGGCGTGGCAAAACGTACCCGGGCCAAGGCAGATCAACCAGTCGTCGCCACCGAGAGCCCTGATCGTCGTTTCGGGACCGGGCCAAAGGAGCCTATTGCCTGACATGCCACATTTCGGCCATTTCAGTGGCACATGCGGTTTCTCTATGGGCATCATCCCGGTCCATAGTGATAAGTGGGCAGCATTTTACGGCATCTGAGCTGGATCCCGGTGCCATTGAGATAGTTCCCTTCTGTGTGCATTGACCATCGATAGCATCCGACTTGAATGTAGCTATTCACTTAACCACTGGCCAGGGTAGTGTGATAATGGGTGCTCTGGTCAAATACGATGAACCAGGGATAATGCACCCCAACACCATGGAAAACGCACCAATACCATTCAGAACTAGGTGCCCCGTGGTGGATAATTGCCTGATGATGTCAAAGACACCACGGAACAGAAGTTGTACATCGTATGTATAGACGCAGACCATGACCATGATGACATGACCTGAGGAGGGAGAAATTATTGTTGTGCATGAGAAACGTAGTGACGTTGAACGAGGGTTAAAATATCCCCATATATACTATACGACCCCATCTGAGCTAATTTCCCATTCTACTTCTATATACACCGTAGTGTGTAGTGCTCCATAGTGGCCAAGAGGGACAGGATGAATGACGTGCCACTGACACGAATGGCGCGCGCTAAAAGGCAAAGTGGAGAAGCAATTTGGCCACCGGCGAATGGAATTGGGTACTTGGACGGGAATTTCAACCGATCGTGGACTGATTCCCAGGTTTCATTCACCATTCATCTTGGACAATCATAGGACAGGGTGGGAAACACAGGCAACAAGGCACCCCCTCACATGGCGCGGGGGTTCTCTTTTCCCCGACCGCCGCTCTTCCGCTTCACCCTCGACAACCAACCTCATCTTCACCCAATTCAGCATCTCCCGCCAGAATGACCTACTCCCTGCGACAGATATCCCAGCATAACCTCAAGACCTTCCGCCAAAATTATGTATCCGAGATATCTGGCTCCCTGGGGGATCTGGGGACGTTCCTCCCCATCGCCATCGCTCTCGCCGTCAATGGCACCGTCTCGTTGTCCAGCACTCTAATCTTCTCCGGCCTCTTTAACATCTTGACCGGCTTATTGTTTGGGATCCCACTGCCTGTGCAGCCCATGAAGGCCATTGCCGCCGTCGCTCTCGCCCAGTCTTTCAGCAACGGATCCATCGCCGCAGCCGGCATCTTCGTCAGTGCCTGCGTTGGACTGTTCAGCATCACCGGTCTCCTGCGGTGGTTCGCCGACGTCATCCCGATCCCCGTCATCAAGGGCATCCAGGTCGGCGCCGGACTGTCCCTTATTATCGCGTCGGGCGGGAGTCTCCTCTCGTCACTCTCATGGCTCCACCCGTCCTGGGCCGATAACCTAATTTGGGCGATCGCGGCCTTCATCTTCCTCCTCGTGACGAACGTGTACCGTAACATCCCCTACGCGTTGATTGTCTTCATCCTAGGCCTTGTTTTCGCTATCATCCGTAGCACTGTGGCATCTAGCCTCCCTTCCCTGGAGCTCTGGCATCCGTCTGTTTTCGCCCCTACCGGGCCGGAATGGTTGCGCGGCGCTATCAACGCCGGCATCGGGCAAATTCCGCTGACGACGCTGAACTCCGTCGTGGCGGTCGTGCATCTCGCGGGCGATTTACTGCCCAACGTACACACGCCGTCAATTACGTCGATCGGGCTCAGCGTCTCGGTTATGAATCTCGTCGGGTGCTGGTTCGGCGCGATGCCGGTCTGTCACGGGTCCGGAGGCTTGGCGGCGCAGTATCGCTTCGGCGCGCGGTCGGGATCCAGCGTTGTGTTTTTGGGTGCGCTGAAACTCATCATTGGGGTATTCTTCGGCGAGTCGCTGGTCGAGTTGCTGAAGCGTTTCCCGTCCGCGTTGTTGGGCGTGATGGTCATCGCTGCGGGACTGGAGTTGGCGAGTGTCGGCGAGAGTCTGAATACGACTGGGGCTCGAGACATCGGGAAAACGTATCATGGCTTACTAGGCGGGGATGCAATGCAGGACGTGTCGCCGATGTTGAGCGATGCGGATCGCAAGCAGCGGTGGACGGTCATGCTGGTGACGGTGGGACTGTTAGTTGGGTTCAAGAACGATGCGATCGGGTTTTTGGCAGGGATGCTGTGCCATTGGATGTATCAGGTTCCAGTGGCTATTGAGAAAGTGAAGGAACGGTGGGAGGAGAGACGGGGACGTGTTCGATTGGAGTGAGAACATGCATATACGACCTGCATTATCAGACGACGGACGGATATAAACGAAGACAACGATATAGCGAGCTCAAGTGTGATATCCTAGCGACAATGCTAACATACAATCAATTCATACATTCATGGTGACTGCAATAGTCTTATCATAAATCAAATTCCCATCACATTACCACGCATCGAACGATATCCCAACCCCATCTCCAGCTTCGATTACATTTTACTTGCTAACCAAACCCAACGAATTAGCTTACCACCCTCGAACCATAGCACCCATCCCCAACCACATAAACTCACCTTCACATGAACCAAATTCCATAATATAATTATTCCTCCTCATCACCAACATTCTCAATCCTCCTCGCCCCACCACGTCCACCCGTCGAAGAATCCCCAACAAGTCGTTCCCGCCCATCACCATCAAACCGCCGTTCCTCGTAGATAGCCGGTTGACCGAGATCCTGCTCAGCGGTGCGCACGACCCTCGATCCGTCCGGCGCGGTGTGCGAGGTGGTAGCGGTGCGGTAACCTCTTTCCTGGCCGTTCGAGTTCGAGCTCGAGCTGGAGGAGTAGAAGGAAGAGGAGGTGGAGGAGTAGTATTCGGACATTTTTATGGTGTTTGGCTCAGTGGGAGGGGGCTTAGGTTATGTATTTGGATTATGCTTGCTTGCTTTCAAGGACACCGATAGGAGTAGAAGTGTGTAAGATTAGATATAGATTTATAGAATGCAACTAAGACTATGGAGAAATGAACAGAAGGCAGGTCTAAATAGCCCCCTCGGAACGTAAAGTGGCGAATGACCTCGTTTGATGTCATATAACCAGTTCGGACTGGGCATGTGCATCCTGTGAAAGATCATTGGACAATTGGAATATGTTTGAATGGAGACTGGTTCGTGCGATGTTTCCATCGCTAGAGCTTGAGGTGACTTCACTGGTTCGGAGGGATGCGAGTAAATTGGGTCAGTGACGTCATCGGTCTGGGATCTTATATCATTTTCTGGCCGTCGTACAGAGCACAGTGTACACCGGAGTACACCGTAGGGTAATGAGGGTAATTTGTCGAATGGTTCTTTGCATTTCACATAGTAAGAACGAGCAATTGTTCGACTTTTATCTCGTCTTGAACCACTTTGATTGATTATTTTTGATTTTATGAATTAAGAGATACTGAAGATGAACAGGCAAACGATGTGAATACAGCGATAAAATCGGCAATCTGTTGAAAAATCGAGACTTTTAATCAAACAGCAATGGCATGCTGCTCCTGATACGACGGGACACCCCTGCTGGCGCCGGCACTATTCGCCATGATCAAATCATCCGCGGCCTCAGCGCGCCCCGATCCAAAGTTCTTCAAATTCCACTTCTCCACGCCTTCCACGCCGTCCAGATCCTGCTTGTACGCCTTGAACACATCCGAGCTCAACCGCTCATACTCGGAATACTCCTTCGGCCACTCGCCCAATCGCTCCACGGCGAGCTTCAACAGATGGAGATGCTGGCGCACGTACTTGCCCTCGTCGTCGTCGCCGCCGGGGCTCGGAGAGCGACCGGGGGACGCGAATCCCGACTCGAAACCCTCGTCCAAGTCCGCGGAGACGGTGGGGTCGACGAACACCCGGAGAGCGTTCTCATGCAGCGATGCGGCCTTCTTGTAGTACCGGAAGGCCACCTCGCGGCTCTCTTTGTGGCCTTGGTAGCCCTGCGCCACGCTGGTGTACATCTGAGACAGAAGGACGGTCATTTCGATGGTTGCCGGGTGTCGCGGGCCGTGGACTCGGGCGCAGTTGTAGACGATGTCTTCGGCGAGGCGGATTGCACCGGAGTAATCGCCCACGAGGTAGCGGGTGATGATCAGCATGCGGCCGAGAGCAAGGACATACTTTGGCTGAGAGGTGCTGTGGGTGTCGCGGTTGTTCCAGAGGGAGGTGAGCACCCATGCGAGGTTTTGGTAGTCGTGTTGGTCGTCGAGCAGGCCGATGAGGTTGTTGAGGTTGGTCAGGTCGAGTTGAGTCAGGTCGATCTGTCGGGCCTTGAATAGAGACATGATCTCGTGCATGATGGTCGACGAGCTGTTGAGCATGGCCTGCTGGGTTGAGCGGTCGAGAGACGATGAGAGCTCGCGGCCGGAGATGGCCAAGCCGAGCTTGAAGCCGAGCTTCATCATCGTGGTGGAGGCAAAGCCATTGTGGGACTGCAGGTAGTGGAATGCAGTGAGTGCTTGGTCGCAGGCTGCTTCGTATTGCTGCTTGGAGAGAAGCTGGATGACCTGGTCATAGCTGGCGATGGCGACAGAGCGGAGGAAGTCATACGACCAGTGCGTAGTGAAGTAGGACAGTAGGGTTGTCACGAATGCATTCGCCTGCGTAGTTGTGGCGTAACTCTTGCCCTCGGTGGACAAGAAGTACGTGGTGCACTGGTCAACAACTCGGGATGCGCTCCACTGACGGCCCCGGGATAGAAGGAATCCGTATAGGCGAGACGCACAGGTTATCACGCTCTGCACGGTGCTGGACTTGGAAGAAATTTCAGTGCGAAATTGCTCGTAGTAGAGATACTCTGTAGCCAGGGACGAGAATATCTCGTTGAAAGTGACCGAAGAATCATCACGCAGGCTGTATTCCATCTGAGCGAGGAACACAAGGCTCTCGCGTTGCTTAGACGACAAGTCGAAGCTCACAGACCTAGTGTTGCTAGTATCTTTGGCAATGATCTGCCGGTATAGCTCCTGGGTGAGCTCCCGCGCCTGTTGAACCTGACCCGAGGCAATATAGCTGGATGCAATGCTCTTTGCCGCGTCTGTCAATCGTGTTGACGACTTCTCTGTAGACAGTGTCTGCACGGTACCCTCACGGAGCAATGAAAGGACTGCCTGGGACTGCCCTCTCTTGGAATAAAGTGAAACCAACTCCTGCATCTCAGTGAGGGATTCTTCATGGGCCCATCCGTAATTCGAACGAACCGACGACAGACGTCTGTTACGGATAGAAACCACCCGAGCCATCTGCTCAGAGCTGACGGTTTCGGCCTTGGTGGCTACAGCAGCTGCCTGCTCTTCGTAAATCGCTTCCAGTGTGGCTCTGACATCGTGACGATCCACTTCATCAGATTTGATCTGGAGAAGCTCTTCGTAAAGACGAACCGCCTCGGTCTCGTAGCGCTTTGACTCTTGACAGATATTGGCTAATGTCATGGTAGCCTGGATACTGATTGATGCCGACGAGCCAAACAAGGTCCTACAAGCATGGTGATACTGTGAAGCGACGTCGTGGAGGACGCTGGAATCGGCTTGAATCGCACGTAGACATTGGACGTACCGACTGAACATGGTCCGCACAAAAACCTGGTCGTGGAGCTTCGGGTTGATTGTGGAATTGCGTAAGGCATTGAACATGACCTTAAAGTGCGGCACTGCTTCCGCATACCGGGCGTGGTTCCAGAGTTCGTTGGACACTAGAAGGAGCGGCTCGAAAGCATCGGGATGACATGTGTCCGAGTCCTTATTGAGTGCTTGCACGATGCGTCGATAATAGTCAATGGAAGCTGGACTTGGGCTGAGCTCTGCCAAGGTCCAGAGTTTCTTGATGACTGTTGGATGATCACCACCGTAGTGTTTGGTATAGTCCTCAAGCAATTCCTTGTGCAGCTCGATCTGCTTGTCGGTCTGCGAAGTGCGCTGATAAACGCGGAGCAGGGAAGTCGTCGTTCGGTCAAGCATTTTATCGCCCGGTTGACGGTCGCGTCGCACCGCACGGTAAACCCGAAGTCGGGTGTCTTCCTCCTTTGTTGGTCGCCGTCTGGAACGATAGCAATCGCCCAAACGTTCAGCTAGCGCGACGCAGTGATCGACTTGGGAAGTCGGGAGTACGACATCCTGCAGAGACGGGGCAAAGAACGCAGGCCAGATGGCCTGGAGCACCCTCTTCAAGGTCTTGGTCGCATCATGCCATCTGTGTTGAGAAATATAGGTTTCAACAAGAGTATTGGCTGCCGATACAGACGATTGATCAAATGAGTCGCTGTAGACAATCTCTTTCAGCGTCTTCTCAGAAACGGTAGACTTGGACGAGCTTGCGAGCTGCATCACGTCCTTAGATGTGGACTGAATGTTTTGTTGGATACTCTTGTAGGTAGCATTCTGATAGTTGCCGGAGCTCTGATAGAACTGGGAACAGCTCTTGAAGACATCCAGAGCCAGGACGGACAAACCAACAGATTTCATGACTTTGGCGACTTCCACAAACTGCGAGACCACAGCCTCCGAGTTGGACGTGGTTCGATCATATTCCTGCCAGAACCCCGCAAGGACGGACGCGACTTCGTTGCTCCTGCCCTGGGACTGTAAGAACTTGGAATATGCCAAGACCGCTTTGGCGTTCTTCAGCTCCCATTCAGCAGAGCGATGATGTCTATACAGAGCACTGGTTTGTTGCCATGCTTCGACGTATGTGCGCTCAGCGGCTTGCACGTTGCCTTCAGAAACCTGCTTCTCTGCATGGGAAATACGAGATTTGAGGCTATACTGAGCAGATGACTCAATCAACTCATCCTGCTCAATGTCATTCAGATCAAGCGCTACTCCCGTAGCAGTGTGCTTGGCATGCCGACCGTGCAGATGCACACGCAGAGAGTCTTCGGACTGACGAGTGGTGCTCCAGTGGGAATAAGCTACAGTGGAAGCTTTTTGGACATCCCTGGTGATCTCCTGCGCTCTCCTCTCATCCTTGATGAGCTGGTAGTGCTCTGCTAACTGATTCATCGTGGTCAGGGTGATTTCACTCGTCGATCCATAATGGATCTTGTAGCACTCAACCAAGATCTGGAACACCTCCACACGCTTGACCATTATCTCTGTTTTGGAGTCTGTCATTTGCTCTGCGGTGATATCCAGAAAGTTCTTGGCCATCTGCATTGTCACAAGGTGGCTGACCGATAGAACATCCTGACTGATCTTTGTGGCATAGTAGAAGAGCCAGCTGGTTTTGGACGGAGCGGATTCTTGGATTTCTCGGTAGAAGAGGGCCTGGCATAGGATTGCCTGCAAGGTGGTAGGATGGTTTGGCGTGAGAATCTGCTGATAGAGGCGAGTTTGAATGTCATGCAAGGACATGACGACTGGTGTTGGCTTCGTCTCCCAGACTGTCATCTCCAACAGAGGAATAGCCGTACGGGTAGGAATGACGTTACGAAGTTCCTTTGCTGCACTTGCGATCTCGCTCTCGGTGTTACAGGTGAGCGCATTCTTTGTGTGGTCAATCCAGTAGCGCAAGGCGAAATCAAGCAAGGGATGCTTTTCCAGCAGACCTCGAGTGAAATGAGAATCCAGCGAGGCCAAAGAGGGCTCCTGGTCTTTGGTAACCCGATTTTTGGCGTAAACTAGCAATCTTTGTGCCAAATCAAGGTTTCGATCCCTCACACCTTGCGAGGGTTTGCCGTGAGACAGGATCTCTACAATGGCGGCCTTTATTTGCGCGTGTCGCAGATACACAAGGTCATTTTGAATGAACACCAATGAGCTGACTGGTTTGAGGATCTGGGACATGTCCGTGCTCTGGTCTCTAATGATGCCCTTGTCGACTTGAATGGCGAGAAGGGATGAAAGCTCTTGCTGGGAAAGAGGACGAGCAGCAGAGGCAAGCCAGCCCAAAACATTTCTTCCATCCTCGTTCAACGACTTTGGCGACAGGCTGGGAGACACAAGGTCTGCAATGGTCTGTCCCGGCCTGGCAAGGCTTTCCACAGCCTTCGAGAATGCTTGTGCATTGTGAGGGCTCTCTCCGACCACCCGTTTGGCGGCGAGCTTCGCCCACAAGAATGAACCATCCGCGGCTTGAGTGATTCTGTTCACACCAATTTCTTGCTTGGCCTCTGACATTTCCGTGAAAGCCCGACTGTGTCGGAGTACACTCCGGACAACTGCCGCAACATCGTCAAAAATAAGGTCCGACGTGATGCGAAGGCCTATCTGATCCGGGGTTGTAGTCTGCTGCTGGGAGCCGAGTGTGATAAGCTTGACATTGCTTGTTGTGGCTTCTTTCAGGCGTTGCGACAAGTTCTGCTCCCCACAGGATGCTTCATCCAAGCCGTCAATCACTAGTACCAGCTCCTTGGCACCTTTCAGGCTTGATTCGAGGGCATGACCAAGAGCGTTCCAAAGAATATTGTCATATGGCTCTTCATCCGTCGTCTTCTGACAACGTTCGTGCGCTTCCGCAAGAATCTGATAAAGACCAACATTTCCAATACGTTTATTGAAAACCTGGAGGAGAATTGTTTCGGCAATCGCACGTGACGATGTTCTGGCGGAAACCCGTCCATCTGATTTATATTAGACGCAGCAATGAGAGATATCGATCTATAACTTACTGATTGGCACATAAACTGACGTGTATCTAACTCCTCCAATAGGGTACTGCAGGTTATCCGCAATAACGGAGGAAGCTATGGTCTTGCCGGATCCGGCCTTACCACTGATCGCAAGTGTCTTTTGGTTGCCCTTCATAAATCGAGTCAAATAGGGCGTCAACCAGAGGCATGTTAGTTCCTCTCGTTCCTGGGCAAGATGTGCCATAGATTCCACCATATTGGCGAGAACAGGGTCTTCCGGTTCGAGCCAGTGTTGAATAGATTTGATGTTGGACACTATAGGGCTCGGATCAGCAGATATTCAGATTGGCGGTTCTGATAGATTGGGCGTACCTTTGTCTCCCCCAAGACCTTCGCGAGTGAGTTGATGTCTCCACATCGACTCCGAAACGTGCTGGCAGCGATTACGAAAACTTTCGATTGGGCCGGGGAATGTGCCATATATGTCAATAGACACCGATTCTGAAGTTAGACTTTTGATTGACTTATGGAAATGCGTCGCAACAGAGACCACCAAGGTGACGAGGTCGGCCAACGCGAGTACGAGCTGGTCCTTGATATCCTGCGAAACGGAGAACAACTCGACGCGGTCCAAAAGATTCACCAAGCCCATTGAGCAGCTGCAGAAGAATCCAAAGAGGAGCATAAGTGCCGAGGCATTTTCCTCTCCGAGCTATAACACTTGTTATTCCAAGAGACTTTACCTGAATTAATGATGCACTTACCTCCAGCAAGACTGCACAATGGCCATAAGCAAGCTGTGCAGCCATGGGACTATCCCCGGCAAACTCCTCGATAGCCAGTTCGAAGGAATGGAGTCGTTCCACAAACAAAGATGCCCATACCAGGACCCTATCGTAACTACTTCCTTCGGGAGGAAGCTTGCTCATTCGTTCAGTGCGGATGAACTCCAATAGCACCGGGTACGTGGCATTCATGAGCTTTGTCGAGAGAACAGAATCCATTCCATCTGTAGTCTGACGGGTAAGTGAATTGACAACGTCCGCAAGCTGCGAAACCTCTCCGGAGCTCGACTTCCTTGAGCTTCTTCTGGATGGAGGAGACTGAATCGGCCCGTTAGACGCATTGTTGTGTTCCAGGATACTCGACACACGGCGGGGGCCAAATAGTGAGTTCGGGGAGAGGGGAGAGCCAAAGGTGTAATGCACATTGGGTTGGAAAGAGGTAGCCATTGTAACTTCCTTGTGCCTATTTTAGTATGGATTTCCGTCGGTAGCGTTGATTGAAATGTGATTTGATACTAAGTTGTTGTTTGAGAAGGGATTCCTGTCCAGCTGGACCTGCCCCAGTGATTAACATTGAATTGAGAACACAAGATGTAAGATTCGATATGGTGAAAAAGAAATAGCTCTCTCTAATTGTTGAAAGAGGCCACTATTTATGGCCATCGCCGCATTTAGATGGGTCCACGCCAAGCGATCAACTGGCATCGTGATATCAATGCGGCACGTCAAGATGAGGTCTACGATTTCAGTCTCGGCAAACTCAATATGCGCAATGTCGCGTGGATCGGCGAGTAAGAATAGAATGGAGCTGGTTGAGTTCGAGTGGAGATGAAAAGAGATGGAAAGTTGAGAGTTGAACTTCGGCGCGTTCATTACGCTCGTTACAATCCCGCTGAGTCATCGCCCTTGGCGCTGTATCGACACTCTCCTGTCGTTTATCCGCACGCACCCTTCCTGCACACACCCTTCGATGTCGTCGAATTCTTTTCTCTCGACCTCCATTCCCAACTTCCATCACTGACAGGCATCCGGTCATCGCGTTGATCTTGGCTTGCCATCGAGTCAATGGATCTTTTTCCTCTTTGGCGTGACAGGAATAGATATTTACTAGCCGACTGCCGTTTAGCTCAACTCGCAGACAAGTTCCCAGCCACTAATGTCGAATCAGCAGGCATTAGAGCCTTGGCACACCTCTCCACCATTGGGTTGCGTCAGATCCAACATCGCCGTGTCCGAGAATCATGCTTCGTCAAGAAACTAAGACGGAAAGACAGCATGTCCAGGCCGGACTTAAGAGGATCGGCGAGTCCTGCGGCCGTTCCAGACCGAGGTGTTTTCCTCGACAAACTACGACTGGACGTTGACACGCTCTACCAGCTATCGTCTCGCCTGTCGTCGTTATACCAGAAGATCGCCTCAACCCCCTCCAAGCAGTTTTCCCCAACGGCGATCACCAGACTTCCTACGGGGTATGAAACCGGTCGCTATCTCGCGGTCTACGTTGGGTTGTCGTACTTGAGAGTGGCCTTCATTGATCTTCTCAAAGATCAACCTGTCCAGGGACAGTCTCGTGTCAGAAGAACCTTGGAGAAAGCGTGGCCCATCGAAGAGCACCTGCGACGAGATGACGCCTTCAACCTGTTTGCGTGGATTGGAGACTGTATCGCCGAAGTGGTAGCCGATAGCCTTGATAATCCCACGGAAAGGCTGCCGAGCGAATTGACTACAGGAATCTCATTTTGTCTGCCTCTTGAGTATGATTATACCTTGGTTCATTCGACAAACTCAGTTACTGCCGCCCGTCTCATAGCTAATATCTAATAGACAAAAGTCACTCGACGAAGCCATTCTGATGCCCACGGGAAAAGGGTTTGTCTTGAGTTCGGATTTAAACCTTCGTCAGGCCTTGCTGCGTGGGTATGAACGCCACACGCGAAGCTTTGATGAAGATCGCGACAGGCCAGGCCCGGCCAAAAAACGGAAGCTTTACAGTCTACCTACGCTGAAAATTGCAGTCATGACCAACGATACAGGTGCAACCCTTGCTTCGCTAGCGTACTCGATTCCTTCTCTGCCTAATACCCGCGTTGTCATGGGCTTAATTGTTGGGGCGGGATGCAACGCGACCGTCCCCTATCCCATAGCAGATCTTCATGAGTCGAAGACTCGACATCTCCGCTCTCAGGATCCGGACGCCGTGCAAACGCTGGTATCCACGGAATGGACACTGTCGAGCGCGGCGGCTCCCTTATATGAGCTGGGTATTCTTACCACTTGGGACGAACAACTAGACAAGCAATCTCAACGGCCGGGGTTTCAACCATTTGAGTATATGGTTGGTGGAGCACATATTGGCGAGCTGGTTCGGATCATCTCCTATGACTGGTTTCATCGAATTCGAGGAGTTCCGGCAGCCGAACTTCCCCTGAAGCTTGTCGAAGAAAGGTCCCTCCAAACGGACTTTCTATCTTTGGAGGTCGCCTCAACTCACAGCGATGAAAGATTAGCAACCAAATTATCAATACACATTCCTCCTCCGGGAACGAGCAGCTGGACATGGACGCCAGAGTCGGCAAATGATCTCCGTGCTATTGCAGCAGCAGTGCAGGACCGCGCAGCCTCATTAGTGGCTTCTGCGGTGATCGGACTTCTGGTCAGTACCCGCGAGATCCGCCTCCAAAATGTTGAGACTCGCAGTGCCTCGAATAACAACGCACGACCGATAAACAGCAATGCTCCCAATAATTCCGGCTGGAAACACGGACCCGAAGAACTGGCGGTGGCAGTCTCGGGCGGTGTTATCCAGCACTATCCAAACTATAAAGCGACCGTACAAAGATATATTGACCGACTCATCTTGCGCGCAGGACCGCAAGAGGGAGGCAAAAGTGTCTTTCTTCGTGAGGTCAGCGATGGCGGAATTATTGGGGTTGGTGTTTTGGCGGGAATGGCTTCGGGTGAGATAGGGGAGATCATCTGCGGGTCATTAGATCGAGACAACGATTTAGGTGGTGAAAAAGATTCCTAGGTCAGCCTAGCTTCTTAACTTGACACTTATACCTTTCTCTCTCTTTATCATTACGTCTTTTGCTTCTCAATTGATACGCTTTCTATCTGTTTTGACCCTTAGGAGACCCTGATGCTCGTAATCATGGATGACGTTACGGTAAATATATAATGAATTGCCCAAAACGATCCCTTCCCATATCAACTCTCACGGACGCAAATTCTAACTGCAAAGATATCTAAGTACATTGTTTTGCATCGTCTCTCAAGCACACTTCAAGGCCAGATAATCCTTCGCTTCCGTCAACAAACTGCAGCAAAAGTCCGGCTCCAACAGTGCCAGATCATCCACCTCGTAACTCCCTGTGGCGACCGCAACAACAGAACAGCCTGTTTGCTTCGCACATTCAATATCCAGCGGTGTATCACCGACAATGACAATGTCATGAGCCGCGACTCCGCGACCGTACCGTGTCTGCAGACGCTTCAGAGAGTCCTGGAATAGCGATTGTCGATCCGGGTGGACATCTCCGAACGACGAGATCTCTAGATCAAAGATACTGGTATCAATTCCAGCTGCGCGGATCTTGAGCAGAGCATTGGGACGCGAGTTACCCGTCAATAGGCCAACTCGGAGGGGCGGGTCGCATCGGTCTCGTTGATACTCGGCCAGCCAGCCGAGAATCTCCTTGACGCCGGGACAAGGAGTGACAGGGAAGCCCTTGGCGTGGGATTCCTCGAGATACCCCGGGTGAAGAGCAAAGAACTTTGCCGTTGCCTGGTCTTTATCTTCTACGCCGTGGAAGTCCAAGATGGCATGAAGTAGACTCAGATCGGTGCGGCCGTGCAGGCTGACAGGGGTATTGGCGTGAGTGATTGTTTTGCCCACGACGGCGCTCACACAGGAGAAATAAGCATCGATGCTGAGATCCTCCGACCGGCAAAGTGTGCCATCGATATCGAACAGAACAACCATCTCGCGGCGAGGAGGATGGGGCGTGACCAAGACACGAAGGAGTTCACGAGAACCAGAGAAAGAGGCCCGGCCGTGCAGAAACCGGTGGTTGTTCAAGATATAGCCCTGGCCAGGCTGGAGACACACGACGAATGCGTTCTTGTAGATGATCTCCTGCAGTCTAGCAAAGCCGGACACCATTGACGCAGAAAGCTGGATGTTGTCGTCAAAGCGGAAACGGAAGATCTGCTCTTCGGTGTCGAAGATGGCCCTCGGCACGAACACGCCGTCATCCGAGTAGAAGCTAGTATGCTTGGCGCTGGTCACAAGCCTGTACAGCTCCTCGTCTTCTTCCTTTATAATCTCGAGAATGCGATGGCTGTCTGCCAGTAGAGATTCACCACCGGTCTCCGATCGACTTTTCAGAGTGGACATCAGAATCCCGGGAGGACTTTGCCAGCCGCTTCGGTCAGTGTGAAAGAACAGTTCTATAGAGATCGTTAGGTTATTGAGAGGCGGCGAAACTAGTATCGGGGACATACCTTCAGAGCTGTATCCCTTGCCGGTCAAGTTAGGTGCGAACCGGATGTGACTGACGCCGCTGCCCTGGAGCTTCTCATTCCGGGGCCTATTGATCTCACCCAGTTGGTTGGCCACGTCGACTAGAGAGTCCTCATCACACCCTTCGATAAAGGCGATACCTTTGGTGAAGAGATCTTGCCTGACTCCATCCACGTTTGAAGGCGAGTGGAACTCAGGGGCTTTCCACTTGTTAGTTTGAGTAGTCAATGTTAAACAGCAATAATAACGTACTGATTGACCCCAGACCGCACTTTGTAACATCCATTGTCGTTGGATTGTGGATCACAACAAGAGATAAGATGCTTGTTAGCAAAGAAATGGATTTTTCGCGTCTGGATACAACTATCAAGAACGGAAAACTTGACTCTTTTATAGGCCTACCACTAATACTAGAACAGGCCCTTTGGAACTATTGCCACTCTGAAAATCGGATTCGGTTTTCACAACATTGTACTTTCGCTCTTCATCCGCGGAGGTATAGACCGATGATTATGATCAGCCCAGCTTCTTTGTCTCGCATCCTATCCAATCATTCAATCATCTTATGATGTCTTACGTCTTCTGATGGCTCGATGCCGTCCCTGGATGCTGAGAACATCTTCTTAGCGTAGTTAATCCTAGGTTAGAACCATTGCGTAAACTGAAAAGGTGCCAGGAGTGGCATCCATGTTCCGCACATCGATTAAACGCATAGTTCTGTCGCTAGCCGAATAGGATGTTACAAATAACGCAGAGCACATAGACCTTCAAGAGTAGAATGCAGGGTGTGATGTTCAGAAAGGGATCAACGGACCAAAGAAGAGTCTACACCGAAGGGCTTCGCGGACTCGGATGCACAAGGCATTCCTGTAATCTGCAGCCCGGCGCATAGCCTACCAAGAACGGTCAAAGGCTGCAGTGCCCCTGGCCATCTAGACCTGATCTTCAGATCTCATGTTGCACATGCTTGCCGAGCACCCGCCTCTGCACCGGAAAAAGAGTCATTGACAAACCGAAATGACACAAGTCTACCCGATAACCCGTCATTGACATGCATGTCCACATCGCTGAAGTCGCTAGATCCCTGTGCTGCACGTAATCTCAACTAGCGATCTTCAGAAAGGTATGTCCTGCTGCAGGTCAACTCACCTCGCAGGCATCTAGATTCAAGCTCTACGTTCAGTCCATGCCTAGCAACTGCAACGTTCTGCAGTCATGTCAGCCGTCGGTCTCCGAGCCTGAAGAGTTTTTAATATCTTATAGGACCAACACAAAAGGCCTCATCTCATTCGAGTTCACGACGGTATAATGATTCTACTAGCGGCTACAGTTCCAGTTACATCCAACCCAAGTAACATCTGCAGTCCTCACATAAACTCCAAGAGCGCAGACCCGTCAAAGATGCTACACTGATCTAGGATCCGAATCCTTAGTCTTAGCTTAACCAACATCATAAACTCTGTAAGAGCCTACTACTGCATCTCATGTCACTTCGCCAAAATCCCTCGCTTAGTTTACGAACCGTGCCGCTTATGTGCAGCGCTACCGTAATTCGCCCCAGTGGAGCGGAGATTATTTCCGTGCAGTAGCTCAAACCTACTAAGGTACGAGTCTAGACAGAGAAGGACAAGAGAATTGCCGATCACTTCACGGGTCCTACCATACCCCCCTGCGTGTGCATTTCGTCCAATTCAGCAGAATCTGCAGCGTTCGGACAAAGCGGCGAATAGAGGGTCTAGAACTGGCTCCTGTAAGAGTAATTCCGTGCAAAAATGCCACTATTTTGGGATGCATGATCAAGAATGCAGGTCTCATAGGTCGTCCCTAAATCCAATCTAATTAGTGTCGTACCCTGGGAGTCTTTGCGCAACGTCGGAGTCCTCCTTTTACCCCTGGAGGAAGGATCAGCGATGTCAATCTTGCCACTTTGTGTGCTAGTGAACGGGCCGGACCGTTGACCTTTTCTGTACGCATCGCAATTGAATATTTTTGTTGGGAAGAGGGGAAGACGGGAACAAGTGTCCGTGTTGGATTCAGCTAATGTTTTCCACGAGAAAGTGAAAATTTCCAGTTCTAGAGTACTACGTCGGCACCGGACCTATTGGTACAATGCAGATATGTATGTTGGGAAAAGGTATGTTGGGAGCCTTTCGCATTTGAGGCTATTACTATGGACCAGGCACGACCATGCATCTGAGACAGTCGGTTCTCGCGTTTAGCAAGACTTCAAAACTTCGGCCGTGGCTCGTATGTCTAGTAGCAGAGCCTATGATCTATTCATACTGACTTCCTCCTCACCGTTTCTTCTTTTTCCGAACAAATGTTCAATGTTTTCCAGGCTACGACCCTTCGTCTCCGGCATCAAGAAGCAAACGACCACGGCCACAATCGTAGAGAACCCATACAAAAAGTACGGTCCACTAGGCGAAGATCGTAAGAAGAGCGGCGCCGTGAGTGTCACGACGAAATTCATGACCCAATTTGCTACCAGCTCCAAAGCGCATACTTTTGCTCGGAGTCTGGTCGGAATGATCTCCGAGGCGTAGATCTTGCCAACCTAGAATGAGATTAGCATGCCAGGTAATCTTTCAAGGAGAAAGAGGGGGGCAAAGACATACCACAGCCCAGGACCAAGAGAAATTGGCCACAAATATGTAGATCAGGACAATAACGACCCATTGCGCTGCTTTCGATGAAAGACTGACTGCGTCGTCAGCTACTTGCCCGTACCTGGCATACAGCGAGCCAGTCACTATAAAGCAAATAGACATGATAAGCCCCCCGATAACTAGAGGCATACGACGACCCCATCTGTCGATCCAGATTTGAGCAGGAATTGTGCAGACCAACATCACAATTCCAGTGACGCCTGACGAAAGAAAGGACGCCCTCTCAGATGTAAACCCTGCCTGTCGGAAGAGGATAGGAGCGTAGTAGAGCACCACGTCAATCTAAGACTTGTCAGCAAATATACATTGTTTGAAGCGTAGATGCAGCGGCAGCCACCCATAAGACAAACTCACGCCAGTCAACTGCTGGAAGGACATTAGGAATATTCCCAGCGCTGTCCGACCGACATATTTCCGACCGAAGATTTCACTCCAAGTAGCAAGGGCCCTGTGCCTATCTGACTGCAAACTTTGCTGAATCTCAGCCAACTCGGAGTCGATAGCTGATGGTGCGCGCAGCTTTCCCAGGACTCGCTTCGCATCCTCATTCCGACCAGCTTGGACCAGCCACCGCGGCGAAAAAGGGACAAGCAGTAACCCAAGGGTGAGCACTGCAGCAACAGCCGCCTGCACAATGAATGGGACCCTCCATGACATACTGCCTGCTAGATCGTGCGATCCATACGCAATAAAATATCCAGTCATGATACCGATGACCACGTTCAGCTGCAGGAGGCAAGCAGTCACTCCACGAATGTCGGCAGTCGCAATCTCAACTAGGTATACGGTAGCGACGGAAATGGCCTGTCCCATACCCATGCCTGTGATCAGACGAGCGACAATAAGAGCCGCGAAGTTCGGTGACGCTGCTGAGATGACGGTGCCAATGAGATACAGAATGCTGCCGATGAAGATTCCCCATTTTCGCGAGATACGGTCGGAGATGTGCCCGCTTGCTAAGGAGGATACCGAGGAGGAGAGGAGAATGGAGGAGACGTAGATACCCTGCTGCATGGAGGTTAAATGACCAATGTAGTCGGAAAATTGTTCCATCTGGGTGATGACACCGATCGAGCCTGTTCATCGTATAAAGCCAGTCAGGTTTCATTCTAGATTGCATCTGAAAATGAGTGACGAACCTGTGTCCAAGCCATAGCAGAGACCAGAAAGGGAGACATGGCTAGCAATGAGGAATAACTTCTGCTTTGGTGAAAACATTAGACCGTTTCGTCCCAGGATGATGATATTCAAAACATAAACAAGTTCGACCAGGGATCTCGGGTAACGACAAATTGTGCCCTGTTGTCGGGCACGGCAGCCAGCGTTACACCAGGAATTAATCCGTTGGGAAGTCACATCATGGGACCGAGAAAAAAATATTAGTGCGCAGTGCCTTTAGACCATTAGGAGAAATAGTATTGTACATGGATATGCCCTAGACCGCCCCTGTAGCTGCCGCACCGCGCCAATCGCAGCCCGAAGGCTTGAGTGATCAGCGCTATCAGCATTTAGGGCAATGTAACCACAGACGCAAGCATTCGGCCCTTTGAATCTCACCAGGGACCAAATCAAGTTAGCCGGACTTTTCATCCTGTGGTCTCCCCCGATAGATTAACCTTGATTGCGATCAACGAGGAGCATCCTATATTCCCAATTAGGGTAGCCGAGCCTGTTCCGGATATTCCAGGTGCAACGCTGCGTACCTGTGCGAACAGGGGGCTTTACTTCCTTTTATTTTCTCTTTCTTTTCCCTTCCCCTTTCAAAGAGAAGTTTTAGGCAGTAATTCTACGCTTGCATCATGTTTGGCCCCTCAACGACCATATTGAAAGAATCGATCATATATTAAGCAAGCGTTGCAGATAGGCTATAAAGGATTTGAAGATTCCGGTTAATAGTCCGTGCTCCGTAGATGAAATTAATTCACAATCTAATATTCACAGTTCACGGAGACTGAATTGTCGTCATTTCCACCTTGAATAACCACATGGTATCAACTGAAGACATTTTAAATATGAAAAGATCAAGATCGAAGTAGGATGTGTGGAAATAGCTACACGGTGTGCCCCAAGTCGATATTGAGCGTGTTCAGTAACAAATAATACATTGACTGTAATGCCCATGTATCATGCTTTTATTCCATTATGACAAAACAATGTGAAAGCAAATAATCCCATGGTTCAGTGGAGAAGCTCCAACGCTGGTCTACGCGAGGCGGATATCTCCGATGTTCTAAGACCTCGCAAACCCACGGCTCGAAAGAAAGTTTGGTTTCTACGATTGAATTTGTTTCATTAAGCTGTTTGACTACCATTTAGATAAATCTCTTCCCAAGCAGAGGTCTATACAGAGAAACGCTATGATTTGTTTGTGTGGAAATCTCTCTAAGATCCCTATGTTTTACCAATTATATGCTGCCAGAAATGAAGCCCACATTCGAAGCAATACTGAACATCAGCACCCACGTCGGCACTCATAACCGACCAACTGCCGGACCAAACGTCATAGTAAGGTTATACTTGTCTTGGACATCGAATGGGCGCCGCACGGAAGCTGTTACGATTAGGGTTTTGTGGGGATTTCCGCATGCGGAAGTGTCCCGTGCCTCGACCGACCACAGTTCATACAATGCGAATGCTCCCATGGAACTGTCCAAGATTCATCATAGACTTGTAAGAAACATAGAATGTCATTGTTTGGTTCTACATAACTACAATTTTGGACCAGAACTGAGCATTGTTGTTCCCTGGCTCTTCTCCCCAGTGGAGCATCGATTGACACGAACTGCTGCGGGGAAATCAATGACCATGAATCAGTTCCATATTTAATGATTTCATATGAGATAGCTCATAGAGATAGTCTGGTGCATTGTTATCTCTGCGCCCAATCTAACCATCTAATCTACGCCTAATTTGCTTGAGCGTCATCATAACTTACTAACGTACATACATATATAGCCAATCGGATTCTGGTGACTCGTTCGGCTTACCTATATAGAATATACGCTCTGCCCATTCTATATAACTCTTAGTATACTCTATGCGCTGCTTAACTAAAAGCAATGAAGGAGGTTGAGGGGAAATGTGGTGGGATTGGTAGATCAAACTCTGAACCTATCTGTGTCGCGCGACCACAGATTGGGTCACATTTAGGATCTCCAGAGCCGAGGGACGAGACATGCAACGTTATGTTTACTAGCAACATAGGGATTCAGCTTTTCTTTCAGAGTGCAGATCCATTTTCCAAGATTCGGCCATACGCCTCCAAGGCCTTGCCAATCATGCGTACCACGTCCCAGACAGCATCTCCGCTCAGAAGCTTTGCCCAGGTCTTGATGACCCGGGCGGATAGATCTGGGCCATGTGGCATTCTTCCAGCATTATCCATCGGACGGAATCCGGGGTCCGCTTCCTGCATCATGTCGCTTATATATGCCAGCAACCTAGTTTCATCCTCATCGAGGGGAGTCCCAGGAGTGCGATCTTGCACCGCAGCTAACCATTTGCTCAGTACAAAGGCGCACTCAAGAGCACAGAGTGAATGCTGCAGAGACCACGTAAAAGCTTGATTGCGGGCCACAATATTTACACCGATCTTGACTGGGATGCTGAGTGCATGCGCTGAATAAAGGACAGCGCGCGTAAGCTTATGTGAAGGCCGTAATGGCGGACTTTGGTGGATCGACCGGGCGATTTTCAGCGGATCATGGGTATTCAGGGAACGCCAGGGACCTACGTCCACGTTGAGTCGGATATACGCCATTCGAAGCAAGGCAGTCGAGTTGAAAGAGATCGGGCCTTGAGGGCTTCCCGGGCCGAATGATGATTCTGGGTCTAGATACCATCCCTTCTGCCAGTTTCTGAGTGCTTGCTCCACATCTGCCACGTCTGTTGATGGCAGGCTTCGATCGGAGCCAGGTTCGGATTTGGTCATTGCTCGTAGTAGGTAAATGTGTTGAATTATGGCGAGGATGAGAGTGTATCCTCCTAACGAGGAGTATCCTTCTGTGTCGCCATTACCTTCGTCGCTGTTCTTTGAGAAGAGCAGGGAGAATGAACGTTGGAAATTTGACTCAGGTCCAGATTCCCTCCGAAGTTCATCCCATTTCTTCTCGCTTCGAGCGGCCCAATTTGCTTCATGCGAAGGTAGATAAATATCAAGCTCCGAGTTGAGAATAGGTGGCGGTGTGTCGTATACAATTGTGTGGAAGATGAAAAAGCAGAAGATGATGGCGAGTGTTCTTTTGAATCCTTCCACATGAATCCATTGAGACCAGTTCATCTCTTGAGTAGTCTGAGTCTGCATTTCTAAGAACCCTTCGTCGCGGACAAGGCTTGTTAAAGCATTCTGTAGACCCACGGATTCATTGTAGATGGCTTTGGAGTTCCCCCATGTTGCCATTGCCATGAGCAACAACAAGGTTTGCGCAGCAGGTAAAGACTTAAATTTACCTGGTAGTGGCCGCAGGTTGGAGATGGGATGATTTGTTTCATGCTCCGCTATATATTGCGGCACAGCTAACGAGCCATCTTCAGCAAATGTCTTTACACAAAGCTCGGCCTTGCGGTGACGAAGCCGCTCCAAAACAACAGCGTGTGATGTTTTAAACAGCATGACTGCAGTATCATTATCGAAGCTAGATTGCGCTCCAATGGCAGCCATTGCTAATATCAGGTCGAATTGGACTTTGACAGGTGAAAAGGTTGGAATATGTAGGAATGGTAAATGGCGGTGGAAACCAGAGAAGTATGTCGCGATATATCTGGTCATAGTGTGGCGGGAGGGGAGTGAAAACCCAAGAGGAAGAAGGGAGATATAATTTTGTATCTCAGCATAAATGCTGTTCCAGCCCTCTTGGGTAATATCCCAAGACTCCCTTTTCGATATGGAGGAGGATGTTTCAAAAGAAGGAAATGTTGAGGAGAATTCATCGTATAGATGCGGTGCTGAGGGATCAGCCATTGGTACAATAGGCTGGGCACTAGTGCCCAATTCTCTGCATTCATTGTGTGAACCTTGGTTTTCAAGTGATGTAAAAAGAGGCGAAGGTGATAGAGGTAGGATTTGATGGTCGAGTAACAGGGTAGACAAATTATCCGTATATGGCATGCTCATACTGTCGATGAACAGTGAGAAGTCGCCAAAGTTCTGAGCAGGCTGAGATATAGGGAGTGTAGGAAGGATAGCAGATGATTCAACGGATGGCTCTGTTACGGTGAAGAAAGGCTCATTCGCATCATTGACAGGTATCTCCGGACACTGCATCACGTCTGCTCTGGAAGGAGACAGGCTAGGCAGGCGAAGACCGGAGGAATTGACGCCCGAGTGTTGCAGATTAGACGCACAGGTGATTTGCTCCTTCGCTTGTGGGGTTCCATTATCTTGCGGCACTTCTGTCTCCAGGTCTTGATCATCGTTCAAATGACCGCCATGTGTGGTGCGATGATGACGAGCTAGGACGTCACTGAAAGGCCACTATTAGTCGAGCGTTCAGTCATTCGGAGACGGTCTATACCTCCGACTAAACGTGCCAGAGCAGATATTGCATTGAAATGGCTTTTCTTTGGTATCTGTCCATCTTGAATCAGCATCACTACTCCTTCATAGGTCATAATGCCATACGTAATCTTTCGTGTCGCTGTAGGTGCTCATGACGGGTAAAGTCTTTGGCACAAAACTGACAACGGAATGTTCTCCTCCCTCTTTTAAGGCTGGGTTGTCCTTGATCGGAGATATTAGTCTCTCCATTTCTTCTTTCTTCCGAGTCGTCGTCTAAATTTGTCTTTTGCCTCTTCTTGGGAGGCATCGTCGCATTCTGTCTGGTCATGAGAAGTCCTGAAGTAGCGAATGTGCTTGAGATGGTAGCGCTGACTCAGGTATGAGTCATGAAATTATCTCCGCCTAATTTAGTCCACCCTATACATTGCCACAAAACATCGAAAGCGGGAGGCTTTCTTCTGAATGGAGAAGAAGAAAGGTAAGAAACCTAATCAGAGATGCTGATATGAGATTCCATAGCTTGGTAGTATATTATGTAGGTGGAGGTGGTCCGAGCATGCTCAGTTACAACTCAGTTCCAATATACTACTATATATAAGTGCGGCAACTCAATGTCAAAAATATTCAGATGATTGGAGATTGGTATTTCCTATGATGTATGGAACATGGATCAAGGCAACTTTGGATGAATGAATGCATGATACAAAATTTAAACGAACAAAAGCGCTTGTCAATCTTTTTTTCGTTTCCATTCGCCAAAATTCCCATCGATCCTAGATAGGCAGCTTCTTCATTCGACAAGATCAGTGAGATCTGGGCATGTAAACGCTCATCTCGAATCCGTTGGTGAATGGCAAGGTCATGTTTTGAAATCCATTCTCGGGGTTTCGCAAAAACGCCAATAGGTCTGCATAGCCCTTGGCACCCGAAATCGTGTTGTCGGTAAGCACAACTGCGCCTGGCCGGAAACGAGGCAGGACAGTCTTGAGCGTCGGGAGAGCAAGTGCCGACCAGACTATAGGTATAAGTCAGCCCACCCAAGAGGATGGTTGAGCCGTAGTAGAATTCAACTTACTGTCGAGCAGAAGGAGATCGATCTGTGGTAGTCCATCCTTCAGCGTCTCAAGCAGGTCACCCTCCCTCAAATCAATCTGTTGCTCAACTTCAGGACCGCATTGCGCCCAGTACTTCCGCGCAATCTCTGCCTTCTCCGTCTCTTTCTCCGTTGCGATCACGGTTCCGGGCTTCCCAGTAAGGGCTCTCGTTTTGGCGACAGCCAGAGCAAGATATATGGTGCTGACCCCAAAGCTGGTTCCTGCTTCGACGACATTGGTGGCTCCCATGGAGTTGATCAACTGGTAGGTGAATTGACATTTATCCTCATCCAGAGCGATGAACTTGTCGAGCATGAGGCGGTCGAATTCCTCTTTCGGGTCAGTGATGGGTTTCTTGTCTTCCAAGTCGCCCAGAACATCCGCTGAGAACACCTTTCCCTTCTTTGAAATAAGAGCTTCTTGCTCCAAAGACTTCTGATGAAGTTCCTTAAGCAGCTGCAGTACATGCTGCGGGGCATCGACGGGAGAGGGGCCCAGCATCTTGTCTGTGTCGAGCTGACGTTGACTTTGTTGTTTGTTGGTTTCGTGCAAGTTAGTGAACGACTGTGTGGTATAAAGTAGGAAAGCTTTTCTGTGTCGTCCAGATCTCAGCGCTGAGCTTTATAATTTCCAGTACTCACTCTGGGGGGTGTAGCAGGTCTTGGCATTTTGGGGAGTTATTGGCGAATCCCCAGAATGCCAAGACTGAGTCATCGCTCAGTCTGAGGGGGAATGGCGGTTAGGACTTTACCCGGCTCTGTTACATAGCGGTGCTTTCGCGCAATAGAGCACTTAGAGGGTTACCACGAATTGGGTTTGGGACAGAGTACTAACTATATTACATAGCTATATCCGACTGATGAAGAAGAAGAAAATGGTCAAGGTGTTGTGAATTTGCATGTGGCCCATTGAGCTGGGTGCACTTACGGCTTCTATTGTGGAACATGTTATGCCGAAAGGTCTCCTATTACATCAACTCGTTCATTCTGTCAAGCATCAGGCCGCTTGCATTTGCCTTTCTGGGGCCGTTACCACCTCATTACGAGCATTTAAAACCAGACGGAACTTCTCATTTCATACCTAGCAAGGATGTGAGTGGGGAGTCGATCATGAATCCCAAAGACCCAGAGGCGTCAGCAAAAATAGTTTACCTTCAAAGATATTAGACCAGCCGCCTACAAGCCATGGAAACCTCAGCCTTGCGACGGTGGTGTTTGTAGTTACTCGGTCTGGGCAGTTAGTAGCAGAAATGACATGCATGAACTGAAACTTATTAAGGGTGACGAGGCTACGGATGGCTTCTAGTCCCCTACAGAGAAGCCTCGGGTTCTCTTTTAATGTATTAACTAGGTGGTAATATGAAAGAGGTCTAGAGTCTCGTGCCAGGAGCTGTCGAGATGGCCCCAAATTTGACGGACCCCGGTTTGCTGGCATCCCAGCATGACTGAAACTCTTGGCTATTGGCATCATGTATCGTGGTACATTGTTGTTTCAAGGCCTATAACCATGTATTCTTGTTTCGTTGCCTTGTGTGCTTACTGTTTGGGTATATTAAAGATACCTTCTTCCACCTGGATATCTACTCTTTTCGACAGTACAATCGCATCTATCTCACTCAAGCCCTAGACATCACAACTCATCTCCAAAACATACACCAAGATATTCACCACCATGAAATACATCAGCCTCATCCTCTCACTGACCGGCATCTCCATGGCAAAGGGTATGTCAATCCATAAACACACATGATCACCCACTCAACCTACATATTAACCCATCCACCGCAGTTTGCGGTAACATCACCGTATCCAACCAGCTCGACATCGACATTCAAGCGGCGACCAACTGCACCGTCATCGATGGGGATCTCGAGATCCTGTCCGACTTCCCCGACCACTTCAATCTCAACGTTATCGTCGTCACCGGGAACGTGATCGGAAGAAACCTAAACTCGCTCACGCTGGTCAGTATTCCTGCGTTGGCGGCCATCGGCGGGAATATGGAATTGACGGGGAGCTTTTTTACGTATGTCCTTCTTGCTCTTCAGACAGTGCTAAGGATTTAAATATGGGTTTGTGGAAGTACTGATTGGGTTTGGGATTGATAGTCCCTCTTTCCCCTCGCTGTGGAACGTCGATGGAGACTTCAAGGTCCTTTCTACAAATGAGATTTATTGCTCGAACTTTGATGCTTTGGTGGAACGTGGTGGCGTGCATGGCACTTTCGAGTGTCGCGAGGGGTGGGAGGTTTCTCCTGCTGAGGTCGGTCTTTAGAGTCGTTCTAATATTGATGGATTTGACTAGCTGGTTGTTGCCGTGCTGCGTTCGGTTCTATTGCCTTGCTGGGCTCCGTGGGGGAATTTCTCTGTATTCAGATCATTGCAGCAGAAGGATAACTTTATTTGGATATGCAAGCCTCGTTTACTCCAATCTAACTATATTCAGCTTTTCCCTCGCTCTATATCCCCATCCTGTAACGTAGTCTTTCATTTACCGCATGTCTATTTATTGATTCAGGCTGCGTAAGGTGTACCTAGGGCGTGCTTAGGTCAATGAAGTGAGTAAACAGCGGCAAGCAGTAAGCAATGAAACAAAAAGGAAAAAACTATTGGCCTGGCCAGAAAGTCCAGTATATATATACACAGAAAATTGTAGATATCATTGCCAATTCAAGAGATGAGGCAGGAGTAGAGATGTTCTTTCCCCAAACAGTTCAGAATATCCAATGCCTCAAGCAGCTACCACCCTCTTCGCAACATCGTGAATCACATCAGCGACCGCCTGCGGTTGGCTCAGCATGGCACAGTGTCCTCCGTCAACATCGTACGTGCGTACAACGCCTTCCCCAGGAATACCGGCTATACTCTGTTGCGCAACAACTGGGAAGCCTACATCCCGAGTACATAGAATGTAGCTAGTGGGCACGTCCCTGTAGGCCTCGTAGGTCAACGGGGTGCGCATAGCCTCTGGTGCGTGGGTGACCAATGCAGCGAGATGTTTTGCAGCAGTTTCATCGTCGAGATCGCTATAGAAATTCTCCCTCGGGTTCTTGGGATACATTTGGTCTCCCTAAATGATGAATTAGTATTTACATGTCTGGCGGAGGAACCCCAGTCTTAGAATGTGTTTCGTTGGATCAACTTACGTCCAATGTCATGAGAGGATCCAAACCGCCTGGCACGAATGTCTCGACGCTTGCTCCCGCTGGGATCAGGAATGCAGCTAGATATACAAGACCCACAACGCCGCCATTCTTGCCCTGCGCGACGAGATCCTTACGGGCATAACCTTTGACGCTCTCGGTGCCCGGAATTCCGGCGTATGAGTGTAAGACCAGAATTACCTCTTTTCCTTGAGACACGAGCCCATCTAGATAGTTTTTCCGAATATGGTTGGCGTCATCATAGGCCGTGGTTGATGAAGGTCCACCTGCAGATGGTAACGTTATGGTCTCTGCTGGGTATCCTTGTTGTCGAAGGATGGTGGCGACAGGATCGAATGTGTTTCCTTGGTGCCAGGCACCTGGGATAAGGAGTATAGTCGGCTTCTCCTTAACTTCGTGCATGCTGAATAAATGCGGTTTGGTCAATGAGCTGCATTTCGGGGATCGCAGGACACTATATATGTTCATCCAAGACCGGTGGAGACGAACGGGATTCGGAGGTTGGCATAACACCGATTCGGATTTGACGCCTGGTTGCCTTCTGGCCATCTGAATCCTGTTCAGTGTTGGGGGCCAAACTGAGTCAATAATACTCTTTTTTTAACGAAGCGATCGAAATGGTTAGTCGTACCTGCGCATTAGGTAGGATCAGGCCATCCCATCTACTGTGTAGGGTTCCCCGGTTTAGTGACCCGCATACCTTCGAAATAACCTCATCTCAATCATGGCTTAGTTCAAATTAAACACTTGATAAATTATTGAATGTTACCAGATATTTTCTTTTTTTTTGGCGCAGAACCAGATTCCTTTTTGCCCAATTAGAGGAGAAACTGGATCGAGGCCGGTCGGCGCCCAATGCGCCAGTGTCTCAGCCTCGGCGGCTAACTCTCAGCTCTTGCTCCTACTTCTTGCGATGGGAGGACTCCTGGATCATATAGGGGGAATGTGAGAAACCTCCTCCATATGATTACTTACAGGACCCTCTGACCGAGCGAAACGATTTTCATCTGTGAGCTACAGGAGACGATACTTGTCTTGTCCTCATCCGAACCAGCCTACCATTGACGGCAACACGTGCACTTGGTTTTGTTAGCAATGGAGGGACGGAAACGCAAAGCATCTACCGATCATAGTATTGATGTAACAGGTCCTGGTGTTAAACGTCGGACCTCTTACCCAGTCATCCAGAGTCCTTCCGATACAGCACATCTCTACGGACTGACTGCACAGGGAGTGACCTGTGGTATGATCCCGACCAACAGTCAAGTCCCAGTCAATGCCCAGTCTGCGGAGAGCCAATACAGAAGTGCCATCTATCCTTCTCGATCATGTTTTTCAAATGACACTTACACTGTCGGCTGGATCTGTACTACAAGCACCGCATACGTTGCCGCCCAAGAGTTTCTCGACGAAGAGCACGGTAGACCCCAATTCGTCAGGGTACACGACACCACCGATTACGCACTTGGCAGAATCCAGGATCACAATGTTGTCATGGCATTGATATCTGATCCTCAAGACGGCTCGTCGTCCGCGGCAACGGTTGCGAGAGACATGTTGCACAGTTTCCCAAACGTCAATATTGGAATGATGATCGGCATCGCTGGTGGTTTTCCAAGTCAGAACAATGATATCCGTCTAGGGGACGTGGTGGTAAGCGCAGCACGCGATGGAAACGGTGGCGTCTTGCAGCTTGACTTTGGCAAGCGCATGCAAAACAAGGGCCTTCATATGACAGGGTTCCTAAATCAGCCGCCAACCTTTCTACGGAATGCAGTCAGTGGTTTCCGTGCAGATATTGAAAGAAAAGGACACCGTTTTGAACAGATCATAAATGGAATCCTTGAGTGCAATCCGAGGCTGCGAGAGAAATACCAACGACCACAGTCAGACGCAGACAAGCTTTTCAAGTCCGACGTTGTTCATGGCAAAGATTGTACCGCTCTGTGTAGCAGCGATCCATCGTTACTAGAACGGCGCACTGAGCGTGCCCACGAGAATGATAATCCGGCAATTCACTACGGTTTGATTGGCTCCGGAAATCAAACCATCAAAGATGCTATTTTACGAGACATGTTTAGTGCTTCTAGAAACGTTCTCTGTATCGAAACGAACGCAGCAGGTCTCATGAACCATTTCCCTTGCCTCGCCGTTTGTGGAGTCTGCAACTATGCCGATACACACAGCAACGAGCAGTGGGAAGGATACGCGGCAATGGTAGCAGCTGCATATGCAAAGAGCCTTCTGTACCGAATAAGCCCACGAAAATAGTTATCTTGAGTCGTTATATTGACCGATTACGTTTCTTAGATAGCTACAGAATAAGACAAATCCCTTTTCGAACTACCTATACAGAGATAGTGACACCCCCGCTGCCCTTTTGCCCATGAATCGAGAGAATGGCTTTATGCGTATGTCTTTCCCTCTTCACATACTCGTTTAAATACCTCTTTTGTATGCTGAATCACCTTCTCAACCGCACCCTCTTCCCTTGTTTTCTCCAATTTTTTGTTCGCAGGAAAAACCTCGCCATTCCAACTCACCCAGTAGCACCCACTCCCCATGACCCCATCGCTTCCAACTGCCACATCATCGCCCTCTTCCCATATCTTCCCCTTGGCATTTGATGCAAATCTTGGACTGGTCGCCGCAAACAAATGCCTCTCTCCGCTCTCTTCAATCGGTACCATGAACGGCCATAGTAGCGGTCTCAAAACTGCGGCCAATACCCGCCCGCCCGTCAACTCGCGGAATATGCCAGTATCCACGCCGGACGGATAAGCGTGCACAAACGATGTATGCACATGTTGCCGCGCCATGCCCTCTAGGAAAAAATTTCCCATTAGGCTAGCATGCGCGCCGCATCTCTGCAAACTGAAATTCTTTGCCAAACTGAGGTCCGAGTAATCGAGCACACCAGAGCCACCGAGACGGACGGCAACGTGCGGATCTAGCACGGAGACAACACGCGATAGTTGCGCATTAGCAGTACTGTGATCGCCCGCTCCAACCGGGGGCTTAGCAGCAGCTTCCAATAGTGGCATCAATCCCATGACAAAACGCATGCGAGCGTAATAATGCAAAACGAACTTGCGGTCCAGGCCCTCGGCGGTCTCGTCGCGGCCTTTCAGCGTCATGTACCCTGGTGTCATGAAGAGAAGATTGACCTTTCGTTCGGATGCGGCGATGTCGGCGCAGACGCGATCAACATTCTTCAGCAGAGAAATGTCCGACTGCAGGAAGGTCGTTTTGGCGGAAGGGTTAATGCTTCTTATGGAGGTTATGGCATCGTCGGCAGCCGACTGATTGCGGCCGATGAGGTAGATCTTCGGCGACAGGCTGTATCGCGCGAAGGCGAGGGCTGTAGAGAGAGATATTCCGGACGTACCGCCCACTGGCATGGTAAATGTGAGCTTCTACCATTTTAGAAATGATGAGGAAGTATTACCAAATACCCCGACCAGACCTGCTCCCAGGGACTTGAGAGTCGCATTGTGGGCTTGGACTGCTTTCAGGCTCACCATAGCTGTTTGATTTCCAATGAGTTCTTGACAATATCGAAACTGGTATGGTGATTGTGGGATGCGGAAGGTTAGGTTTTTCCTTGTTGCGATCGCGTCCTTTTATTATGGGTTGGCTGATGTGAGCCATTGTTTGGTGGCTAACGTTAGCCGGTCCGTAAACCCAAACAACTCATCTTAATGATGCCTAACTACTTTGAATCTCTTAGAGATGACGCAAATTAAGACAATCTAGTGGAAATATCGATATTGAGGTAGACCACAGAGACTAAATACAAGTGAACCCCCCAAGATGCTTAAATTCGCATAATTGGCTTCTCCACGCTCGAAAGCCAAGCTGTACGCAGAGTACTGTGCGATAGTAATCTCCTCTTGGCTATTCTTTGCTATCTAGCTGGATATAGCGATGTGTCAGCAGGCGCTCGCGGTGTCCATTCTATACGTTATCGCAAGGGCGTCGTCCTAGCATTGAGGTAGGTAGCAACTTCGGAGGCGGTCGATGACGGTCTTGCGATTTTCATTCCTTGTGAAATAACACTCAGATTGAATCTAGTTAATTATAGATTATCTTAATAGATTTTTCTTATACCGCGTAACAAGGGAATAAGTCATTATCAAGATATCTAAATTCATATATATTTTAGAGCTTTAACTATCTAATATAGCTTAGTAACTTGGTGATATATCATATAACTATTGGGATTCAGAATGGAGTAATTTCTCGGCCAAGCGTAAATGCCTTCGCGTTTCAACCCAAACGAAAGCCAACCAACGAAGGTCTCGCTTTGTATCGCTTCGCCGGCTTATGTCTCAGAACATATTCCTGGCTCTGACCCCAGGTAAAGATGGCGTAAACAGGCTCATATATTTACCTCTTACGATAATCATGATGCCGAGGGTTGGTCTACTTCTATCTGTTGGCATGATTGCAGTCGGATGTCGAAGGTTCGAATCTGGCATGCCGATCGCAGGGAGCTGCAGTCTTGCGATAGCTGCAGCATGTCATCCAACGATTAACGAAGGCAAAAAGGAGTCAGGGGTTGAGATCCAGTCCCTTAGACTGGGGTTCAGGCCTCATGGGAATGGAATGACTGGTCATTGTACGTTTTCGGCCTCTGTTGTGACTTTGCCTAGGGATGGAACAATCTATAACAATGATCAGAATAATAATCACGGACATAAGTTTGCAAACTTGGGGTGGACGAAAATAAAGTTGGCACGTGTGGCCAAGTGGCTAAGGCGCCGCACTCGTAAACCAAAATCTGATTTGCCGATATGCGGAGATCGAGGGTTCAACTCCCTCCATGTGCATCTCTTTTTGCATTTATTGTTTTGCTTCCTTCCCGACCGGACAACTCCTGAAACCACGCACGCACTTCTGGCCAAGTGGTAAAAGGGCCCCCTGCCTGCTTGCAAAGCCGGACACTCGTCCTTCCGGCTCTTTATCCGCCATATGGCAGAGTCTCACCAGAAAGCATGTTTTTGTTCTATGGAAATGGAACTTTGGAGTAAAAAAAATGCCTCCACCCGGATTTGAACCGGGGACCTCACCATAACGAATGCATACGAGTGGTACGTCCTAACCACTAGACAATAGAGGCGACTCCTGATGCTGACTAACACAATTTCACCACTGGAGCTACTTATCAGTTTCCAGCCAAGATTTACCTTCTTCAACTTTGGGGGTGGTCGATGACGGTCTTGATTTCCATGCAAGCGCGACTATTTTGTCCCTTCCTGTTCGCTTTCTCGGAATCCCGGTATGTGATATATCACGAAGTCGCTAAGCCATGTTAGGGATGGCTCTGAGATACGTGCACATCCGGGTGTTTCATTGGGCGTTTCGCCCCCGTTACGGGTCATAATCAAAATCCGTTGGGACCATCTGGTTGATCCCAGTTTTGCTTCTTAAGCCAAATGATAATTTCAAGGTTCAGCGTTCGCCTCTCCCTATCCACGTGTTTGCTAGACAAGCTTGGCTCAGGCTAAGATTGGGAACCTGAGAATGCTCCGGACTATTGTGCGGGACTTTGGCCGTGCAGCAGAGGTGGTGACTGTCGAGCTCTATCAGCCGCAGGTTCCTGGCCCAAAGCAGGTTCGAGTACGGATGTTGCTGGCCAGTATTAATCCTTCGGATCTGGTGACCATATCTGGCGCTTACCGATCGAGAATTTCACTGCCTTTTGTACCCGGATTCGAAGGTGTTGGTGTGGTTGAGTCGGTTGGTGCTGGTGTCTCCGAATCGCTCATCGGACAGCGAGTTCTACCGCTAGGGAGCCAAGGCGCATGGCAAAACGTCAAGATCACCGAAGAACGCTGGTGCTTCCCCGTACCGGCAGATCTCACCGATCAGGAGGCAGCAAGGGCATATATCAACCCTCTGTCGGCCTTCAGGATGGTTCATGAGTATGGACCCTCGCCTGGTGCATCGGTGGTTGTCAACGCCGCCACGTCCGCTATCGGGCAGATGATTATTCGCATGCTTAATCGTGCTGCTATTCGGCCAATTGCGCTGGTTCGACGAGCTGGCGTCGAGAGCCAATTGAAAAGTCAACTTGGCGTGTCAGCCGTCCTTTGCACATCGGAAGTCCGATTACAGCATAAGTTGCTCGAGTTGACCAATGGTCGAGGTCTATCTGTTGCTTGGGATGCGGTGGGCGGGTCTGAGGGTGACGACCTTGCTCGTGCTCTGAGCCCTGGTGGGACGCTAGTTCACTATGGACTGTTGTCTGGCACGCCCTTGTCACTCCGTTTGTACGAGGAGTGCCCGCAAGCTCGAATTGTTCTGTTTCGACTAAGAGACTGGGTTCATTCTGCTGAGCGACATGCGTTACATTCAGCTTTGAACGAAGTTTTTCAACTCATTCGCGATGGCATCGCAGCGTCAGAGGTGGCGGCTGTGTTTCCACTATCATCTATCCAACAGGCGCTAGAGTATGAGGCCAAGTCAGGACGTCAAGGAAAAGTTCTACTATCTATGCAAAACAGATAATGATATGTTTATTCCTGAAATATGCAGATAGGGATTGCCTTACGGACCGCGAATACTACCTGAAGATCCAGCTGACCCTCTGTGTCGCCGTCTTTATCTTCTACTAGCATTCAAATAAAAGACGAATACGTGAGCTGATTCTATAAATATAAAATAGAGAACCTCAATCGTTCAACGAAATATCAAGAAGGAACAAGGCCCATGCCAGTTAAGGCCTTAGTTGCTACCAGCCTTAACTGCTTAACATCTAGTCCTATTACTTTGTTTACCAGACAAGGGGAAATCCTGCCTTTGAAAATCGTTTCTCGATGCATAATGACAGGAGGACTAAAAACATTCGCTGGATGTGGAAATATTTCTTGAGATTACGCCGGCTGTGGGATCCCATTATGGCCTAGTCGATAGACTTCAATGGTTCCTGCCACCCTGTTTGCGTCGACCATCCTCCATACTATGAGTATCACCACGGAGAGGGAAATTGGATAGCCGCCCAATAGACAGAGACCCATATCAATCACCATCTCAACCTCACTCTCTACCCACCCGGATAAAATGGCTAAGGACGGAACGAGCTTGTGTCGTTGGCCAACGCAAACGTCGAATTTCTTGCGTGACTCCTTGTAGGGTGGTTTTCGAAATTCACATACTGTTATGTCCGAGTTAGACATGAGCACAAGGTCAAATGGTAAGCCTGGAAGATCCACTGAGCACGGTGTACGTGGATTCAGCTTCTCGTCACCAAGCTAAGACAACCTTACTTCTTCCGCATTGCTGGTGCAGAATCTTAAACGCTCGGGTCCTTACGGAGCCAGATTGAGACCAGCCACGAGCGCAATCCTCGTATCACTCGTGCGAGCATGTGAGTAGATCGTCGGGGTTCATATTCAACCAGAATTTGGCCGTATATGAATTGTAGCTCTTACTAGAGACCAATATACTGCACGGTCAGTATCAATACATGGCAATATGAATATATTGCTTTACAAACATGACTTTGCCTTTTTGAACGGTTCTTTCTAGGTAGCTAAAGACCCATCAGGCCCATTCCTGCCTTATTCCTTTGTAGAAAGCGTATTTGCATGTTTCCGTGCACTCGATAAGTCTTTTGACGTGGTCTCTAAGTTCTTCATAACTGGAGAAGTCATCTGCTTTGAAGTAATCTGCACGATCTGCCATCTCGTAATTCCTTTTCATTGGATCTGGATCTGGTTTTAGATTGAGTTGGGTTTGAGGTACTGGGAGAATCTAGGTAGAGATTTGCCGCGCGTGCCATGGAAATGTCATCGAGTAGCTGGATGGAAGTTCACGCCCTATGATCCTCATTGCTTCTCTCTGGTCAAAGTTTGTCGAATTGACTATCTGTGTTAACGATAAAAGTCCCTTGCGACTGTATTGAGCTTATTTAATACATTTTGTTCACCGCGCTTTTGGCTCCCAAATAGTCCAATAGATGCTTGCACCCACTGACATTCCAAGTTTGAAGCACAGTCACATCAGATAAAATAAGCTGTCAGAAGAACAAATAGTGCAAAGAACCCTATACCGGGAACGGTCCCACTGCCCATATTCTCGAAGACTGTATCTCTTGCTTGTAGCAGATTACGTGGATGATACTCGTCTTGCCCATATGTCGCATTGAGAGTTACATTCTCCGTGACTAGTCCGTTCTCCAGTCGAATCCAGGTTATAACCTCATCTTGTAAAGAATCCTTCTTCAGGTATATATGTCGCCCTCCTCGTGCCAGATTGCCGTAGCTACCGTATCCAGTATGGCGTCCATAGCATAGGTTGAGGCCATTGCCAGGAAGGGTGGTGTCTGAGATGGTGTCGGTCCATTTGAAGCACCTGGACAGAACATGTCAACATGCATATTCTATAGTATTATTGAGGCGTTGTACAACTTACCAGTCATTATCGTGGTCATGGCCGCTGAAAGTTGCGAGAAGACCTTCGGTGTTCGATAATGCCCGCATGAATGGTAGATCCCATTCCTGAGAATACTCATCGTACTGATATCCCTGCGAAATGACAGGCTCGCCGTTGATTCCGGGCTCTTTGCTAGGATCAACACCATGGCTATTCTGGAACTTTCGTGTCGAGTTCACAGGGATATGAAAGAATGCCAGCGATGGGATAGCCTTGCCGTATTCCTCTCGGAGGTGAACATTAGTTTCTTCAAACCATTTGACCACCTACTCCCACGTTAGAAATCGTCTCATGACATATCGCATAGAGAAAACAAGCCCTACCTTCTCGTGGACCCAATCTGGTCGCTTCTCAACTGGCCCATGCCCATACCTATACCCCCCTCTACTATCAAAGAACCACAAAATAAGTTCAGGGACATCTCGAGATTCATCGGATGGATGCACAGGTAGAAAATAATTAGTGACACCGGTTTCGAATGAATTGCCTTGCACCATCTTTTTGGTCAGACTGTTCGGGTACGTCTTCTCTCGGTCAAACATGTTGTCTGTCAGAAGACTGGGCTGGTTATCGTGGTTCCCGTACGTCGACGCCCAAGGTATATTTGCATCCACGATTGGAGCAACCACATGGTCTAAGTAATTTGTTGAGTTTTCGGGATTCGTGCCATCTCCGGTGATGAGGTCTCCGTTCAGCACCACCAGTTGGGCCTGGTCAGCTTGAAGGACTTTGCGTACGACATCGGCTGTTCGTGCGTCTTTGAGTGGGCCGACGCCATTTGGGGCTGTTTTTGATGTAAATTCAGCTCATACTTCTTTTTGAATGGGCCCCATAAGTTTGAACACAAGTCTCGGCATGGCTCACCTTCTCCATAATGGAGGTCCGAAAATACTGTGATTCGAAATGTTCCATCGCTTTCAAACCGCAGTAATGGACTGTCCAAAAGTCCAGTTTCTGGCTGCAGCGCGGCCTGTAGGCGACCTTTACCATCTACCTGCTCCATTTTCCGCTGAGGCTCGATGATAAATTGCCTCCGGATAGTTTTATTCCTGGATTTTAGAATGAACCTTCGGCCGAATACAAGGTTGTTCTACCTTTTTAACTTCCTAAAATCGTGGCGTTTTATGCGTTGGGTCTCGATCCGTCCATCTTCATGCAGCTTATGTACAGTCCGGGGCCAGGCGCATTAACAGCACACACCTGCATATTCTAGATCAGCCACCGGGAATGTCCGTCGGGCAATATGAACAGCCTCTATGGCAAGATGAGGCGTAATTGCTGGCTTCTCACGTATCTGTAAGTTGGCCGGTAAGCCGCGTCATGCCGCATTTTGATCGTATTTTATCAACGGAGAATCTATTGCGATTATCTGCTTTTTGGGGGTTACCCGGGTTTTCGATTTCCTATGTAACATCTTCCTATATTCGTGCCATAATATTCAGCGCAAATGTGACGCATACAATGTTTAGGTCCACACTATACTAATAATATCGCCACAATTGATACCACTGGCTCAAAGCCACAAGAGAAGTCGTCTTTAGACACATAAAGCAATTTATGATTATTCGCAGGAATCAGTTCAATCCGTCTCGTAAGCCCATAGCACATACAGATAGTCTCCGCCGCGGCCCTGATTCAGATCCGTCGAGAAATGATGAAATCCACTTTGCTTGATTCGAGTCAGAATTTGATCGGAAGACAAATTCTCGGGAGTCCTGAGTAGAGCCACGTTAACTATCTTTGTCTCTCCTTCGCGTTCGGTGATGATGTATCGGTATGAATCCTTGGCGCTGACCCGGACTGTGATGTCGTTGTAGTTCCGGATTTCGGTGTCGGACTTGGTGAAAGATAAGTGGGAAATCGCTCTCTCTCTGTCGGACGTCCACTCAGGTTGAAGCCATACAAATCTTTCGTGGCGTTAATTTTCCGTTCTTGTTTGGGCGAACGGACCATTGGGATTGGGGGAATAGGCTACTCACCTTCCTCCGTAACCTGAGTTGATATCTGATGTTTTGCCTTGGATTTCGGGAACTATCTCATCTGGAGTGGCATATTCATTGTCCGCGTACATAACCTGACGTCAAGCCTGATTAGACACAGTGTCATTCATGAAGAATTATAGGAAGACTGACTGTCAAGTCCGATAGGTACTTCACCATCGCGGCTAGAGGCTTTTTCTTCCCGATTCAAAATTGTATCTTTGCTTATGAAACTTCGCTTTCCCCAGTGCGATGTAGATATGTTTTCATTATATAGTGTTTACATTGAATTTCATGTTCTCAACATCGGACTAACAGGCAAATGAGCGCTGGCTACGTCAAATTAGCAACCGGGCTAGAGTTTGTCCACCTGATGGCATGCCTCGATCCGTCTCACCGTCACATCATTTTGTGAAATGGCTTTTCTGGGATTTCATTGTTTCTCCAAGCTTGAATTCTAAGTTCATGTTGTCAAACACATGACCAGGGCCCACAATGGGCTGGCGCCTAAACCCTCAGTCTCGTATTGCGCCCATTGAATATCCCCACCGTGTCTGGGCTCCTATAGAACCCTATGTCTAAGAGGCTTAGACCAAGCTGAAGTCAAGCGGGGGAATACCTGCGCCATATGTATCAATGAGCGCCTCTCGCATTCCAAGTTGTTTTATTGGCTTGTTGGTCTCTTTTCGGCGCCCATTGCAGGTATCATGAGGTCTTGTTCCTTAAGGGCCTCTCATACGGTAACCCCGATTGGGTGCAGACTGCATTTAATCTATTAACCCCGTCCTAATCTCCCATAAGACTTCCAGCTTCACCATGCATCGGGCCGCCACCAACCTTGGCTCTTTTCCGGCAGCCTATCCCGGCCGTCTCTTAATTAGCTCACGTCTTAATGGTCTGACGCCAAGTCAACTCACACGGGATCTTCCCTTTCTTGATAGATTCAGGCGACTGGTATCCATCTACTGATGCACATATCCGTTTGTAATGGGAATTGCTAAGTATATGTGGCTGCTCTATAGTAAACGTCTTTTTATTCATTCTCCAGTGACATATTCCGGACACGACTCAGCTTTAATCTAGATAAACCTTTTTTACGAGGCAAGGTTGCCCCGTTTGTAGCCAAGAATCTTCGATATTGACTCTATATGCAACCTCCCAAGTGTAGGATCTGACTACCAACCCTCCCGTGACAATAATATCGAATGCACAGAGCCTCAATCTCTGTTTGTTGCGATGAAGTTGGGATCGTACGGTCAAACCAGCTCATCTGACGAAGAAGGCCTCAACAGGCTCGAAGTTATATAAATTGTGATCGAACCCCCACTGCCCTGCTTCTTTCTACCAGCAACTTCAACTTGCAACATTAGGAGACCCAGCACATCCCACCCAGATTTTATCGACCATCAACCCACGCGAGATACTTCCTCTTGACACCACAATGCCTAGCTACCTTCACGACATTGACGTGAGTCCTTTCCACGGTCCGCATTAAGATACCAATAATGACATTTCATCCAGGTTGTTTACGGCAGTGACAAGTCCAACGAGCCCTCTGACTCTATTCAGGTCGTCGACGCCAACAACGGCGACATCAATGCCGGTTATGGCGGAGAGTACGTTACAAATATCGCTCATCATTGAAATGTCCTGGAATTCAATTACTGACTGTTCAAGGTTCGTGTGGCTCGTCCCCAAATGGAGCTTCGAGTCCGACAACGCCGTCAGCGGCGTCCGCATCATCATTCAAGGAGATTCCGACGGCAGCTTTAAAGATCTTGCCAAAGGAGCAGGCGGCAAATTCCGATACCTCCGTCTGGAGCGTGGCGGCGGCGAGAAGATCACCGACATCCGGCTTCTTCGTCGCGACGACGAGGTCAGCTGGGATACTGTCAAGTCTTTGGGCTTTGATGGTATCAGCTCCGATATCAACGACGGACGAGGCAAGAGCTTCCTGTACTTGGTCTGGAAGAGCAACTAGGTGGGGGTGGTAGGCTTCTAGTTAGCCAGGTGGTTAGCTGGTCTGAAACTCTTCTCTTTCCACGGTTGCTTTTCGGTTGTCGAACATTCTGCTTTATGGGCGGATGTGTATGCGTGGTGCTTCTAACTGGGGATCCATTCCTAGCCCAGATGGCTTCGAATGGGGTACTGATGGGAGGTGATAATGGTCCTTCAATGTTGGGAGGCGGTGCAGTGTTCAGGGGTTGGATTGGCTTTGGCTTCTATATGCAGCAATACGATACTGACCTTATCTTTTTGGGAACTTCGACCGATCTTCTATATCATCGTAGAGTCTTTCTTTGATTTACACGCGCTGGCTAAGATACGCAGAATGGGAATGATTCTATTCACACTTGACAACCTATCCATCACCAACTATATACAGCTCCATTGTCTACCGAACGTACAAAATATTTCTATTTCCCAGTCTCGACCATAACATCATATCTCCCTTTTGCCAATGCGTATACCGTCTCCAACCTCGGCATTTCTACCCCCATTCTCCTTCCCAACCGCACCGCATTACCCACAATCGCCTCTACCTCAAAGGGCCTCCCCATTTTCACATCCTGCAACATGCTCAATGCTCTCCCCGTTCCCTGTTCTGCCCGTCTCTTTGAAATAGCAAACAGCCTTTCCGCCGCCTCTTCATCCACCCCAGCCACACCTACCTTCCTCGCCAACGCCACCACTTCCATCATAACACCCCACACCAGATCTTTCGCGAACGGCGAGGTGACTAGGAATCCACCATCCGTGCACATCGACAAGGCCCCGGTTGGATTACACACCGCATTCAGCAAGAGCTTCTTCCACCTTGCTTGCTGAATATCCTCGAACACACTAGCCTCGCCTCCTCCGCTGCGCATAGTCTCCGCAAGCTTCATAGCAGCGTCGATGTGTTCCTGCGGCGCAGTCGCCGGGTACGTGCCCAGTTCAATCTTATTGAGTGGCTCCGGATGCTGAATGATCCCCGGCTCGGTCTGGGTAGCCGGGAGATAAATGACCGCGCTAATGAGCGGATTGTCGGGGTATGCAGCAGCAATGGGAGCTTCGATATCGATGCCGTTTTGCGCCAGCACGATGGCCGTGGTGGGGCGAGATGGGTTTGTCAGCGCGGGGCGGAGTTGCTCCGCGAGTGAGGGAGTGCTGTCAGGGAAGCATTTCGCCGTGACGATGATGTAGTCGTAGACTTGGTCGCGGGGAAGGTCGTCCACGGACCGATAGACGTGGTCTGGTCGGTAGATGACGGTGCCGAAGAGCGCGCTGGTCAGGGTGAAGCCGGATGTGCGCACGGCGTCGTGGTTGGAGCGGCAGATGGCGGTTACGGTGCAGCCGGAGCGTTGCAGTTGGTGCAGGTAAATAGCACCGACGCTGCCGACGCCGTAGAGGAGGATGTTTAGTGGCATGGTTGGGCGGCGTTCAGGGGGCATGCAATGTTGTGTATGACAGTAGGCAAAGAGCGTGGTTGTTTACTTTAATCTTGGAGTAAATTATTGGTCAATTAGTTCAATTGATTGTTTCATTTCGTGATAACCACCCGATTGGTCTGTTGAGAATTGGAGATATAATGACTCATCAGATCGCTATCTGTTAGTAATTAGGGCTGTCGAGAGGATGACCTTCACTTCCTTCGTATGACATTATTCAAGCTCTATTCAAGGTTAATTGGGTTTTTTCTACCAAAATCGACTCATCTCCATGTCCATAGCACATAGTATTGCTTGGGGCTTCTCGAGTGCTTCGGGAACTGATCCCGCGACGGCTTCATAACCCGAGCATACCATCAGGTGCAACAGCGAATTCCAAAACACCGCTGATCATTATTACAATTCTCAAGACTTGATGTCAATACAGAGACTGAGAAATATGCTTTCAGTATTGTGTTAATTCATAAACCTGCCTGAATAGATAATGTATTACGTTCTCTCAAGCCGCAATTTTTGACCCATCCCGATGTCTTCGTTGTCTTTCTCGTGTTCTTTCTGGGTTTCGCTTTCTTCACGAGATTGACGCTCTAGGCGGCTCTCGCTTGTAGGGTTCAAGTAGGCTAATCATCATTAGTTCAAGCAAAACTCCATCCCGTCATCAGTCTATGTATAGTCGACTTACGTTTCTCCCCAAACACTGTAGTCCGGATTCCCCGTCGAGCTCCTTTATACGTACCGGGAATCACTCTGTGAAGAGTGCATCTACACCAATTTTTAACATCAGCCTATTCCTTTCCACAGTCTCGGATTGCATACCTATTATCCCACATCGCAACGCTTCCAACTGCCCATTTCCATCGGACATAGTGATCATCAGCCGCGTGAATATGATATGACAGGAAGTCCAGTAGCTTGTCTAACCAGTGTCAATAATATCCATATCGGTAATAATGCCGAAGACGCCTACCCGACTCGAGCTTCTTCAGCTCTGCAAATCCCGTCACGAAACCCGGGTTGACATTTAGGGCTTTCAGTCCCGTGACTGGGTGGGTGCGGACCGCAGGATGATGGGTGTCAATCGGAGGGCGGTTGGGTCCCACGCCCCAAAGATCCAGAATAGTGTCATCTATGTTGAATTAGTATAATACCCTACCCGGGAGTTTGAAACGTAACTACTGACATTGCAGTCTAGATGTATGTACGGCGTGTAGACCGTCGAGGAATCTTCGGTACGCTGGGCTAAGAGCGTCATAGAGGCCATACTGGGATACCCAAGCAGTATCTCCGCCTACTTCTGGATGCTCTTCCATCCGAAGAAGGGAATATGAGGGTGCTATCTGTGATAAGTGCATGATGGAGCTGCTAGATGGGCTAGACTTACGATTCACTTCGAACGAGGTATCTGCGTGGAACTCGCCGCTCGGCTTCGCGGATTAGACAGAATTCATCGCTGTCGTCTATGAAGTGGCTTACCCAAGGAGTATAGTTGGCAATCTCGCGATGGTCCTCTCGGCTCCCGTGAATGTTCACGAACTGCTATAGTCAATCATGTGTCGCCTAAGGCATGTTGGAAATGAGTTACTTTCTGGTCCTGTTCCCGTTGTTAGTACTGGCTTGGAAAAGGGATAACAATTGAGACCTTCTGCGCAGGATGCTTATCCAGTATTCCTTTATTCTCTCATTAGCTCCATCTTAGAGGTCAAAAAGGACGTCCCACCATAGTGCTCAAAGAGCTCGACCTGCTTCTCTGTGGTCAAGTCCTGGTCTCGGAAAAACACCACTCCACGCTCATTCACGAGCAAGGCCAACTCATCCAGTTGCTGCCCACTTAGCTGCGACAGCTGCACGTTTTCGAGTACAGTGCCAATTGACTCTGTTAGATCTACGCGCTTCGCGACCGAGAACAACGCCTTCTTTTCTTTATCGGCAAAAGAGGCCCGATCCTTGGGCGGGGTGAAAGGCTCACGGATGGGGTCAGGAGGGACATGGTCTTTGATCTTGGCGTTGAACTTAGGATGAAGGGTTACTGGGAAGCCTGAGTCTGGAGAGATATGCCTGCGAGTCTGCAAGTGGGCCATGGTGTTGTTGATGTTGCTATTCAGGAAAATATATGGTCGCACGACTTATCTCTGGTCAAATAGAACGGTTTTAAACCCCGCAGTCTTTACAGATGTTATGGCATAATCAAATGAATCAATGGGGTGAAGTGCTATGGTCCAGACCCGAGCCATCTGGGCCTGTCAACTATTAGGTACCTTATCAGCCGGAAATGCCAATATCGACGATCAATGATACAATACTCGCTTATGAACAGTGCAGCACTGATTGCATTGACAGGATCAGCCACTGAACATGACACATGCATAACATTGTTGGACTAGAATGTCCTGGTTGGCTTAGATTGCAAATTGTCTATATTGAGTTGTTATGATACCATCAACCCATTCCCCATATGGAAAGTGACTTTCGGAATGACACCATCATTGTCGGCAATCAGTCCATCCCGTCCCTGAATAAATCGACATTTCTCTGAAGCAGGGATTCACTACTTGGCCTAACGCCAACATGATCGCTTAGATGTCTGTTCTTTGCTTTGGAGCGGGGATTCTTGTTAGGGTGGAGGTAATGCCGGACATGTGCCGAACATGATGTCTTAACTGGGCTCCTTACATTTAAAAGGCGACGAGAGAATTTAAATCTTAACCTTTCGATCATATACTTGTTCATATAAAATACGACACTACGTGCTTTCTCAGTATGGATGAATCGAAAGAACTCAGCATCAACACCCATGAGCTATCGGCGGAGCCCACAGACGAAGGGCCATGGATCCGATTCTTGACTCTCGTGCGATGGTATCCAACTGATATGAGCTATCTGGAAAAGCGACTGGTACTGAAGCTCGACCTCCTAATTCTAACATTTGGATGTCTTTCTTTCTTCACAAAATATCTGGATCAACAAGCCATCACGAATGCTTATGTATCGTATGTCGCATTCAATCTCCATTCCGGCTTATCACTAATAAACACTGCAGTGGAATGAAAGAAGATCTCGGACTCAAGGGGAATGAAATCAATTACATAACCACCGCTTTCTGGGTAGCATACTGCGTATCCATGATCCCGGCATGCTATTTCCTCACTCGAAGTCCAATCAATATCATTTTGCCAACACTCGAGGCAGGATGGGGACTGTTCACCTTTGGCTGTGCATGGGCACAAAACCTTACCACAATCTATGCAATGAGAGTCCTTATTGGTATTTGCGAGACTTGTTCGTTTACTGGCGTTATCTATGTGATTGGGTCGTGGTATAAACCTCAGGAGATCGGCAGACGGGTCTCCCTGTTTTTCATCGCCTCGCCACTGGGGACTATGTTTGCCGGTTATCTGCAGGCGGCGGCGTATACCAATTTGAACAACACGCATGGCCTAGCTGGATGGAGGTACGCTTTTGAAACAATAGTATTGTGAAGAAGACTGATTTGACATATCCAGATGGCTGTTTATTGTCTGCACCGTCATTACCATACCTATATGCATTCTGTATGTTTCTAAATAACTTCTTTTTCTCTATCAAATTTCTAACAAACCCAGGGGCTACGTCGCCTTCCTCGATGTCCCTCACCGCGCAAAACCACGCTTCCTCACAGAAAAAGAGCACGAACTAGCCAATGCTCGTCTAGTTGGTCTTACAGCCCCCAGTCAACTTACTGTTTCTGTCGACATCTTCAAAAGGGTGTTCGGTCGCTGGCACTGGTATGTATTTGTTACACAGTGGATTTTAGTCGACCAAAACTTTCTCGCCTCGTCGACTCCATTCAATCTTTATCTGAAGGCTAAGCCGGAGATATACTCCGTCTCGAGGGTGAACACTCTACCGACTATCGCTACGGCCGTTTCGATTGTTGCTGCTCTGATAGCTGGTACTGCTGCCGATAAGACGCGGAACATCTGGCTTCCTTGCATTGTTGTCTCGCTTCCCGTGATGTTGGGTCTGATCTTGCTAGTTGTCTGGGATGTTGGAGAAGCTGGTCGGCTTGCGGGTTTCATTCTTACTGGTACCGAGGGTGGTGAGTCTTTCTTTCTTCTAGCCAGTGAGAATTTCTATCTGATGCCAATTTCTATAGCAATGAGTCCCCTTACCATGAGCTGGGCGACCCTGACCATGGCCAATGATGCCGAGGAACGCGCCATCGTAACGGCCAGTATGAATGCAATTGGCCAGGCAATGTCTGCTTGGACGCAGCTACTTCAATATCCTGCTGTAGAAGCCCCGAACTTTCGCAAGGGATTTATTTCGAATTTAGCGACGACCGTGGCGCAATTGGGTGTTGTGGCCGTTATCGCAGTCCTTACCCGGTATGATCGACGGCACAAAGGAAGGCAGGTGTTGGAAACTAGCTAGAGCAGTCACTTTCTCATCTCTCAACAAGCAATAAGTCTTGTAGGCTCTCCAAAGTGGTGCTTACCAAGCCCTGTTATGTGATAGCAAAGAGTAAAGGAATCCCTGCCCTAAGACGTGGGCCCGGATAGCGTCCGGCTGCAAAGCTCATTCTAGCGCGGATCACGTCAACCACGCATCCCCAATGACAGTTCAAATCAATATCTCCTCTCCGGAGTTTGGAGTAGCTTCCCCTTACTATGGTGAGGTTTGATCATGTCGACAGGGTGGGGTAGCTTTGCGCAACAGGTTCCTATAAATTGCTGGTCTGATGTTGCGGGCGTCCTTATAGACGACGGATTTCCAAGTATTTTTCTCATTTCTTTGATTAACTTCACATTCTCTACTCAATTCCTAATACCTAAGCCATGAGCCCTCGGTACCGTCGCGTCGCTGTCATTGGGACCGGTCCCTCCGGCCTTTCCGCCGTGAAGGCCCTTAGCGACGAGAACGTGTTCGACACAATCCGCGTTTTTGAACGGCGAGATCAGGTCGGTGGACTATGGCACTACGATCCTACACCTGATCCATTCCCAAACCCAAGCGCATCTCTGCCCATTCGCAATACAATTCCCTCCAAACTACCTCAATTCACCGCCCCTGTGCCTGAAGACACTACCGCCCGTACGGCTATCTACGACACGCTAGACAGCAATGTCGGCGCAGCGGCAATGGCATTTACGCATACATCATTCCCACCCGTCAATTCAGCCCTCTCTATCAAGCAATTTGGTCATAACAATCCCTCGAGGCCCTTCCGCGTAGTCGCAGGGTACCTAGAGGATCTCTTCCGCGAGTATCTCCCACTCGTATCCTTCAACACGACCGTCGAGCGGGTCGAGAAGCAAGGCACTCAATGGACCCTCACTTTGCGCAAGTCAGACCAGCTGTATCGCGGCGTGCCGCGTAATTACTGGTGGCAGGAGCATTTCGACGCAGTGGTTGTCGCATCGGGTCATTACAACGTTCCCTTGATTCCGGATATCCCAGGCCTCGATGTCGCGTTCAAAGCTCACCCTAGCAACTTCGAACACTCGAAGGCGTTCCGTTCGCAGAACGACTACGTCGAGAAAAAGGTCGTTGTGGTGGGCGGGAATATCTCGTCCGCTGATATTGTGGCGGATCTGCATCGTGTCGTGAAGGGACCGCTTTATCTCTCCCAGCGAGGCTATAACGAGGCGCTGGAGTCAGTCTGGAACATTCCCGGGGTCGAGAAAAAGCCCACTATATCGGGTATCGAGACCACAGCATCCGGAATCACGGTGAAATTCTCCGATGGTTCTACTGTCCCTGACGTCGACAAGATCATTTTCGCGACCGGCTACAAACTCTCATACCCGTTCCTGACGCCCGATCCTGTTACGCCTAACAACCGCGTCGCGGGCTTCTATAAGCACGTCTTCAAGATTGGAGACCCCTCGCTGGCCCTAGTCGGCCAGGTTCGCGCGGCCATCAGTTTCCGAGTATACGAGTACCAAGCCGTCGCCGTGGCGCGGTACTTTGCCGGCACAAATGCCAAGGAGCTGCCGAGCGAGAAGGAACAGGACCTGTGGGAACTGGAGCATCTGAAGTATAAGGGTCCGACGGCATTATTTCATGAGATCAAGCCGGACTTCAAGGACTACTTTGACTTCCTGCGTGATTTGGCTGGTCCGCCGGCAGAGGGAAGCAAGGGGTACGATCTGCTTCCGTGGGATGATTCGTGGGCTGAGAAGGGATTCGCGATCTTGCAGCATAAGGATGCTTATTGGAAGTCGTTAGCGAGGGAGGCCGAGGTATCGGCGAAGGTTAGGGCAAGGTTGTAGGATTGTCATGTTTAGATAAAATGGGTGTTAGTACCGATAATTGCGGAGATATAATTCTTATCCTGATTTTGGGTTTACACACCTTACACTGGAGGAAAGCTGAATGAACTACTTGATATATATAATCTCTCTCTCCTAATACGCTTTCCGTACGTTGGGAACGCCTTGATACATCATTTCAGCAATTGGAATGCAGGGGTCACATAGTCCGGATCGTCCCCTTCCACAAGATAGGACGACAGATACACTCCAAATGAAAGCTTACGATGGAAAAGCTTAGCGCAATCTAGCTTATTACCACCTGGTTGGCATATGACATCCCAACAGGTTCCAAGTCCGTCGCGTCGACTGAGCCAAGAGAGCCACTCAGCAGCTTAAATCAATGCCTAGTCTCAGCAGAAATTCCTACGATCAATTACCAAATCGCATGCAGGAGCTGTCGTCATATTCTTGGATTCGCTAGTTGATTAGGCTGCAATTTTTGTAAGTGGATATTCCCACTAAGTCGAGACTTCTAGCCAGGTGAACCAATTAGTTCCTGGAAAATCGGGCTCATGTAATGGACACCTGCATGCCATTATTTGCTTAAGTGTCGGTGATTCGCCAAAGCCTCCGACTTATTGTGGTACCAATTATTGCGATACCAGCTGGAGCCGAGTTTACTGGGGGTAGAGCCCGTGGACGGGATAACTAGTCTGTATCACCTTCGCTGCTGCCCAGTTATCTTGAAGGGACTCAGAAAATGACATCTTTGTGACACTTTACCCATGCTTGGCTGACTTTATTGACTCAGCCACGACTTTGTGCAACGTTCAGGTTCCGAGCGCAGGGCTCCAGGCATCAGGGTTTGCATTCTGCCCCTCTGTTTATATCTGCCTGTGCACGTCACACATTTGGTCTTTTACCCCATGGTTGGTGGGCGTGTGATCAAGAGACATCCCCTACTAGGATGAACTGCCGTTTTCAATGTTCCTTCGGATTCCCAGGCGTCGCTATGGTCGACTGGTGGTTGTCGCGACTTTTTTGACCCTTTTCATCTTCTTGCTATTACCAAGACCTCAAATCCAACCAAACTTGCACGAGCTGAGTGAGAAATATCCTCTTTTATGGCATCATGTACACTCGTCTAATGGGACTGGAGGGGGTAAGTCATGTTAAGTCTAGCTTCGAGTTAGCCTTGTCTATCATCAGCATAATAGCTAACAATGAACAAATCAAGCATGGTATATCCCACCACACTGGATCCAACCTTCGTCGCCACCTCCTTCCACAATCCTTGACGCTGTGCGCCTCGCCTCCCAATATGCAATCGCGAATAACAGCACCATGGCTTTCTCGGACATCCCGCTACTCGTGCATCAGCAATGGTCCAATGTCAATATCACACACTGGCCGGACAGCATCCGTCAAGGTGCGGAGACTTGGCTGAAGACAGCTATGACAGACAATATGGCGTATTTTCTCTGGGTTGATGAAGGGAAGCAGTTGCTCTTAGATACATATGAGCCTTCTTTGAACGATCATTTCCATTCCCTGCCGAGGGATATCGAGCGCAGTGACGTCTTTCGGACCTTGGCTGTTAAGCGGTTTGGTGGCATCGTAAGTTCCCGTTCCTCTTTTGCTACTCACTATCTAACCTAAAGTCATTCAATGCACAGTATGCAGATATAGACACACATCTCATCCGTCACCCAATCTCATGGCTAGAGCCGTCAGACCTAACCCCCTGGAGTGAACCGTCTACAAACAATTCCCACCCTTCCCTAGCCAACACCAACCAACGGGATCCAATACGCGCCATCTTTGGCCTCGAAGCGGACTGCAACCCAAACGAAGACACCTACTGGCGAAGCGGCTACTACTTTCCGGTCCAATTGACTCAATGGGCATTTGCCGCTGCACCAAATCACCCCGTTCTCTCACTCTTTGTGAACCAGACATCGGAGGTGCTGCGAGCCGTGTCAGTACGGAATCAAGGCGATCTACATTCTCCTGGAGCAAAACAGGAGCTGATGGCGGTTGATCCATTGGTTCTGACAGGGCCGGCAGCAATTACGGGGACCGTGAAGAGTTGGCTTGAGCAGAGAGAAGGGGTAGATTGGAATTCTCTGACTGGGTTGGTGGATGGAGGGAGGAGCAAGAGGGTTGGGGATGTCGTGGTGCTGCCCATCACGGGGTTTAGGTGAGCAAACAACATCCATTCCTATCGCTTTTCACATTCGTTTCTTCTATTTCCAACCGCGCCAGGATTAGAAACTTATTTTGTCTAATGGTGTCGGTAATCTTAGCCCAGGACCACCGAAACGACCCAATAAAGGCAGGAAGCCGATTACAGATCCGTCTGCGAGGTTGTCGCATGAGGCGCTGGGGAGCTGGAGGAAGTTTCATCTTATTGTGGAATATGGAAAGTTTTGTCGAACAGTATTTGGAATGTGCAGGGACTGGAGTAGAGCCTAATATTACCTCAGTTTACAGGTAAGGCGGTCACTGGCCGTGTGTTATTGGGCGTAGAGTTGACCAGTTGAGATACAGTCCGGTTTGGATCACATGTATTACTTCATGATAAGGGCCAGTTTCTGAATCTCGATGCGTTCCAGGCAGCCTAGCTCACTGAAAACTATCCCAAGCGCTTATCAATCAACTAACAGGGATGGATGGAAATTCTCCGTCCAACGCCGGTCAAACGCCGAAACGGCTTCAACTTTCCGCATCGGGAAATCAGGGCTGGCGATTCGCCTGATGCCCAGACTTAAATCTAATCTGCCTTGCGCGTTGATCAATTCAAAGACGAGGCAGTGCTAACACCTAAATTAGTGGTACTCCATTTTTTACCAAAAACAGATCGGTTGCTGTGACGGCAGGATTGTGATGCAGGGATGTGACCGGGGTTAAAACATCGACTTATGCAAAGGCACTACGCCGCAAGCTCTCGCGGCCCCACAGCCTCGCAACTCCGCATCTGTAACAATTTGGGAATAGGCATAAAGATAGATCGTGGACCCCCTATTCCGAGCTGTGAATTCCTGTTCATTTCTTTCCACATCAGTTATCCTTCCACTCACATCATGTCCTCCGCAGCACAAGATGCCGCCCTGCACCAATTGCAGTCAGAGCAGTCCAAGCTCCTTGATCGCATTGATGAGCTCCGCACAATTGGCGTTGGGGGCCTTGTGGAGCTTCCACAGCTGATCGTTTGTGGGAATCAGTCTAGCGGAAAGAGCTCGGTTCTCGAAGCTATCTCGCGCGTTCAGTTCCCAGCCAAATCCAGCCTTTGCACTCGGTTTGCTACAGAGGTCATTCTACGACGTAGCGAGTCTGTGAGCGTCAAGGTATCAATAGAGCCTGGTCCCTCAAGAACGGACGAAAAGAGAAAAAAGCATTTGCGATCCTTTTCCCCTGAATCGATTCCCGACAGCAACAACTTGGGGAAACTAATTGAGGAGGCCCAAGCGCACATGGGATTCGATAGCTCCGAGGACACAGAGGACTCGGGCTTCAGCGACGATGTGTTGCGAGTGGAGGTTTCTGGGCCCGACAAGCCCGAACTGACGCTCGTTGACCTCCCTGGGCTCTACTACTCCATCAGTAAGGACCAGGGCGCAATAGGGCGCGACATTGTGCATTCTTTGACTGAGAGATACATGAAAAATACTCGAAGCATCATTCTCGCCGTCATCTCGTGCAAACAAGATTATCACCTACAACAGGTCCTGAATATTGCCGACCGATACGATCCCCGCCGCGAACGCACTATGGGGATTATCACACATCCTGACAGTCCCTCTCCTGGTTCTGAAGAGGAGGAAATATGGTTGAGTTTTGTCAAGAATGAAAAGGATCGCCTCCAATTGGGATGGCACGCGCTACGGAACCGGAACTACGAGACGCGCGAATCTTCGCACAAGGAGAGAGACGATCGGGAAAAAGAGTTCTTCAACAAGGGGAGGTGGTCGTCCATTCCCCGAGACTCTGTCGGCATCGACAGCTTACGCAGTCGTCTCAGCGACGTTCTTCTCAAACACATCCGTCGCAATTTGCCAGCACTCATTGCAGACATCAAGGAAAAGGTCGCGGAACGTCAGTTGAAGCTACGCAAGCTCGGTACTCCCCGTGCCAGCATTCAAGAACAAAAGGGGTTCTTGCTTCATATCAGTAGCGCCTTCGAGCGAATTACCGGTCAAGCCCTCAATGGCATGTATGACGATGATTTCTTCGGTGGCTTTGATCCGGAATCGGATGAGCAGGATTTCCGACGTCTTCGTGCAATCATTCGCGAACTCAATGAGTACTTCGCAGAAGCTATGGAGGTCGCAGGATATCGTCGAGAAATTGTTTATTCCCACTCAAGGACCAAACGGGACGATCTTTCCTCCAATCCCTACCTGCAAGACTGGAGACCGACTTTGGTGGATCGAAAGACATTAGAGATCGAAGTCAGCAAGCAGGCGCGCAAGAATAGGGGACTTGAAATGCCCGGAAGCGCCAACCAGTTTCTTGTCGGGGATTTGTTTCGCGATCAGTCCAAGCCATGGGAAGAGATTGCTAGAGGCCATTTGATGGCGACTTGGGAATCAGTTCGATACTTCGTTAAACTCGTGCTAAAGCACCTGACCGACGAACACATATTTTCACGGATTGTTGGGGATCTATTGGAGCCTGAACTAGAGAAGACAAGAACCAGTCTGCTGGACAAGCTCGACGAATTGACTTTCTATATCAAACGAGGTCATCCACTACCAGTGGGAAAGAGCTTCCTTGTCCGGATCCAGCAGGCGAGAAGAGATCGTGAACTCCAGAGATTCAGATCTGCGCTGGGCAAACCGATTGATCGAGACACTGAGCTTGCCTTCAGTGAGCTCGAGGATGCATTTTCGAACCTCAGAATTCGCGCCGACGAGCACGCAGCCGCTGAAATTATTGACGAGATGGAAGCTTACTATGAGGTGAGTCGGTGTCTATCTCATTGATACAGTCAGAGGTCTAACATCTTATCCGTACTTATAGACCGCTATCGTGACTTTTGTGGATAACGTGGCCACACTGGCGATTGAAAATTGTCTTCTTCGCCCTCTGGATCAAATGCTCACCAGCCAGACGATCAATAACATGAAAGATGAGGAGGTCCAGCAACTTGCCGCCGAGCCTTCCTATATCCTGGAAGAGCGCGAGCGTTTAAGTGGCGAACTGGCGAAGCTTCAAGCGGGTTTGCGGGCATTTGGTCCATTCAACATTCATCCTCCATCAATGCCTCCTTTTGGTAAGCTCCCTCCCTTCTCTCTATTCTAATGAATTGAGATCTAATAGAGTTATCACTGTAGGATCCAAGGCAAAACCCCCTTCTACTTCCTCAGATTCGGCCTCTTCAGGTAGTTAACCTTCTGGCATATAGCACAATTCATTATTGACACTCGTACCCTAGGCCAAGAGTCGTCCAATCCACCAAAGAGTTTATTTTCTTCGCTTAGCCCCAGTGTGACATCATCTGGTGAGCGCCTAAAACCTCTTATCTCTCCATTCAGTACAAACTAACAAACGCTCAAGCCTCGGAGCCCTTTTCTGAGTCCGAAACCCATCCTGAGCCCTTTTTCAGAAACTCGAAAAGTGAGCATTCATGAACTTTTAATCTATACACTGCTGACAATGGTTTCAGTGTCTCAAGAAAAACCTATTTCAATGTTCTCGAGCACCTTCTCTAAGCCTGCAACCACGTCTTCCCCGTTCACGTTTCAGACCAATGGAACCGGTCCCTTCAATGCGACACAAAGTCCTAGCACCAAGATCTTCAATTCGTAGGAGCAACCAGTTTTTCTTTACTTTTGTCGTCTTTAAGTTCATTGCTTATTTGGCTTGGCCTCCGAAACAATTTGCGTGTTGATCTGGTCTCTATTTTTGCCAACGCGTCCTGTTTCTGTTTGTTCTAGTTCTGTATTCAGTTAGTTAACTACATGTTTATGAATTTTAGTGAGCTTTGTCACAAAACATTCGATGCCAAAACTAGACAGTGGAACCATTGGCACCATATCTGCTGTAGAGCGCCCTTTGATGGATATTCTCCTGAGGTGCGGCATTCCACGTCAAAATATTCTGGCCTTAGCTGACCATGGTGACATACAATGTAGGAGTTAAGACTGGGCGATTATCAACGAATGGAAGTGTGACGTTGTCTTAATTCATGTTTCTCTGCAATAAAATCGACCTTCTTGTCCATTATGGTCCGGCTGGTGGTAGTCTGTGGAGATGAAATATCCACAGAATATAATAAAGGAATAGGCGTCAGAGGGTGATGATAGGCTTGAGAAAAATTAGCAAAGAAGATTGACCAAACTCGAACGATATGTGAGCTCCAGGTGAGACATGCTATTGTCCTAGCCAGTACATAGTAGGTAGCTTCTGTTGGTACAGTCGAATATTTCCAGGTTCTGCGAATTTGAATTTCATTCCTCTAGTAAATACCCCATTTAACCGGCTGGTCTTTGATATTGCCGTTGCATTTCATCTCTCCCTTCGCTCCCACCTTCCCATCCCTATTGAACCTCTTGATAGAGTCCCTGATTATATCAATGACATTCTGCCCACCGATGACGAAGTTCACGTTGCCATGAACCTTGATAGCCTCCACGCCAAAAGCACAAGATCCGAACGCGAGAATCTCTCGATGTCTTTTGCCAACAACCTGGTGGGTATAGTCGGTGCTAGCATCGCCCTCGATGTTCTCGATGATAGTAAGACAATCTTCAACGCTGGGCGATGCGTCACTGGTCTGGTCCTCAAACGTCGATTCGCGGCACGTGTCCTTGCCTGGCGGGATATCGCACGGATAAAAGTCGCTGGAACCCTTCTTGCCTGTCTTCCAGAATTGAAACGCGCGTTCGGCGCTGCAAACGGGGATACGTATGAATCCCGGCGCCGTGATGTCGCCATCTATTAAATTCTTCATGGTGACTTTGCCAATCGGGTCCCCAAAGCCGCCGCGGTTCTCTTTGCCATTGTTGATCCACGTGCGGACAGATCCCCTGACCAGCTCTTCTTTGGTGATGCGTCCGAATTTACCCTTGTGGAGTGATTCCAGGCCTGGGGGCGTCGAGAATTTGCTTCCTTTGTCCGGATATACGAGGTAGTACCGCTTTTCTTCAAGGCAGACACCTGTGGCATTCATTGTGCGGGCGTCGAGGTAATTGCTGAGCGGCCTATCGTCATCACACCCGTAGCCCGAGTCAATGATAAAGGCGTAAGTTTTAGAGACCTTCCAGAAAGCGGGAATCACATAGCCGAAGAATGTCTTGTCAACATAGAGCTCTATCTCATCTTGAGCATTCCCAGACTTTGAGGGTTCTCTTTCGAATGCACCGTAGGTGAGCTTTCCGTTAGACATCATGCTCCAAAGATCTTCCAGTCCTTCTTCTGTTCCGCTGAACAACTCGGCTAGTCTAAGCGAAGCAACTTCGCCCCAGCCATAGGTTACCATACCCATATACTCCGAGAAGTTAGCCTGTGACGACAGCATCCACCAAGGTGCATCACCGTCTAACATCTCTTGGGCGATATTGATATCTCTTCTGATCAATTTCATAGCCATGTCCTTAGGGTTCTCAAGTGAACTACTTTCCTGAAAGAAATAGGGGCGCCCTCTGAGCTCGGCATTGATAAATGGCCCGGCAGTCGAAAGGAATCCAAGGGTGAGGAGGTCCGTAAGCATCAAGCGTCGGGTTTCAGTATCTTGTCCGGGTGGAATTGGCCCAAACTCCTTCTCCAGATCCTCAAGTGCGTCACTCGAAACCCGCCCGACCTCGTCGAGAGCTCGATAATAATTTTTGTGGTAAGAATGAACCGCCGCCAGCGAGTTCCAGATAAGCTGTGCCGCAGGTCCGGACAACGGTCCGTCCGCACCTCTTGGACAGTCTTTCGCGTCGCAGCTCTTGGACGTTATGTCCCCACACCGGGCATTCTCCCCGAGCTTGAGAGTCACTGTGACCGAGTCCATGAAGCTTACTTGGTCTTCATAAATCTCTTTCCAGATCCTCACCACATCCTTCCATGCTGCATCCGCATTCAACTGCTTCCACCGCTCTGAGGGCGTGTAGCCACTGCGGTCTACCACCATTGGATGGGTGCAATCGAACTCGGTCCAGTTGCCATATCGCGTGCTGACCGACTGTTTGAGGCGCTCGAGGTCATCATCGCTCGAAGTGGCTGGGAGTCTGTATTCTGGTGTGTCCACGGCTGCATTGGCAGTGATCAAAAGGCAAACCACCCCAAGTGCTGCCGCAAACCATGACGGAGTCACCATTCTTGCGCATAAGGTCTAGGGAAGACCATGATAAGGGGCAGATAAGTATTAGAATGATAAGAGGAGAGTTTCTCCTCGGTGGTCTAAGACTGTTTTGGAGGCCTCTGCCCCTTCCCTGATGCCCTCGCATCGAATCATCGATCTTTCCCAGATTTTTCCATATCATCATGTGCTCTGCCGAGACGTTGCATCCGCTCAACTAGACTGAAAACACTGTTCAAGCCCTTGGCCATCTCAAGGCGATTCGGACAGAACTAATTTCCGACCAAACTTGGCGAAATATCACGAAAGCTCAGTGTCCTTGTGGGAGGGGGCTACCCCGTACTGGCGGAGACCTCCGATCTTGGGATCATTAGTGGCGTTCTGCCCAGTCGTTCAGTGGAGGGGCGTGTCGCTACTAAAATAGGTACCTGCTAGGTGCAGCCAGGGACCCTGTCTGTTGTGCAGTGGTATGAAATAATTGATGTCCGACTCCGGCCGTAGGGCCGTCCTCGGTGCCCTTTCGCCGAGACGCTTGTTCTATAGTGCGAAAACTCCTGACAGGGCTCCTGTTTGGCGAGTGGCTCACATGAGTTGGTTGCTTTCCTGTTCAGCCTATCATTTCATCATCTCGAGAAACTCATGTGATCTACTTTGAATCGCTTAACCCATTCCGTTGAGTACAGGGTAATGATTCCCAACAAATTTGCAAGAAGGTCTGGGCATCGAAACAGATAGGGTAGGTAGTACACTTGATGCATAATATCCCCAGTGGCAAATTGAAAGAAACAAGGCGCAAAATTAATACATGTTTAGATTCATATCAAAACAAAACCAATCGCTCCCAAAGCAGCTAACAAACAAGATACGCCGATGACCATCAGCTTCTCGGCGGCACTTTGATCCTTCTTTGGGCAATAGGATGGCGGACTTATACCCTTGCAAAACCGTGCTTTCCAGGAGGCAGACATACTCTCGGCAATATTCGAGTCGATCTTGACCCGGCAAGGATCTGTAGAGGGAGTCGGGGTGGATGAGGCCACCACTGCACATGTCTCTCCCCCACTCCACTCCACGTCCTAGGGGACCGTCAACGTTCGGTTGGTAACGTTGATAGCGAGCCCTGGTTCTCCGGGGCATGTCTTGTTGGCCGTAGCAGCAACGAGGTCCACTTTTGGTGCGGAATTTTTGATGGTGAAAGGGACAGAGAAAGTTGACTCATTGTAAATCATATCACGGGGCACACGACGAAAGGTCTCTTCATCGCAACTCTCCCAATGCATAGTCCAGACAAGCAACCAACGACCTTCGGTATTGAACTTGTTCTTGAAAAAAGTGTACACAAAGTAGGGTCGTGGTCAGACCAGTTTGTCTGTCCCATATCGTGACGCCAACTAGCGCTGTCGTTTCCCCTCATGTTACTCCGATTCCATATGTCGTAAGAAATGTAACAATCTAGGAATTGCGCGCGCTCAGCATTCTGTAGGGCAAAGACAACAGGGAATTCTTCGGTAGGCGCGTATGTCTCGTTGCGCGGGAAAACCAGGTCCACCTCCAGCACGTTGGATGCATTGACAATAGCCCCCATGCAGACGGGGAGTAACCAGGAGAATCGCATGCTGAGGGAAAGCAAAGGTTTCAAAGCGTGATGTGTATGAAGTCTTTTTCAGTAAACCTGTTTCAAAGATAAGATAAAAAGTTTCTCCATTTGCTGCACGCACATCACGTTACGGAGTACATGTGCTAATATATTTCAACTATAGACCCTAGCAAGCATTCGATAGACCGGGGGATTGGCACGGTCAATAGTGGAGGGCGCTAAGCCTACGGGGTGTGTGCCCCGAGGAAAAGCGGTTAGCTATTGGCGTCCACCCCAGTTGCGCCTAACTGGAAATAATTCTTAGGGTACACCGCAGCGTTACACTGCCTTATTTCTGAGTTAAAGCGTCTCCTGATGCTAATCCCATGCCCTATGAGGCTGGGACTGACCCCTTTTCCACGGGCCTCTGGCTTGCATCGAATTAATATCAGCCATGCTGGTTTTTCTTTCTTTTTTTTTTTTTTGTCTGTTTCTTTTTTTGCCACATGAGAACACGGATATGCACCTCACGACCGCAGCTATTTCGGAAACAAGAGAGGCAAGAGTGGTAACCCTACCACAACCCGCCTCAAATCCAGTGTTGGTTTCAATCCTCTGGACACGCCGCCGGTGGTGGACTTACAGTAGGAGGGAGGAAGGAAGGAAGCAGAGGATCTGATCTACCTACGGGACCCCGCAGCGCAAGTCCGCCATGCCCTCGTTTTGTCAATCACCATTACACTTAAGTATGGTTAAATCCTTTGGGTTATGATCAATGTACGAGTCTGCTTAGTAGAGCTACATGGCTAAAGGAACACGAAGAGTTTGGGGCCAGCACAATTTCACATCAGGTTTACTCAAAAATAGTTCAATACCACTGAATCCGGTTTCGTACGTTCTCTTTATTAAAGTTGATAGGTTTACTTCATGCTTTTAAGGACAATAAATTGGCTGGCTTATATGATTAAACAACAAATCAATACCTATGGTAGAGACGGGTTTCAACAAAAATAAAGGAAAGCCGCCCCAAAAGCGCCGTTATATATTCTACCAAGGTTCGGAACGAAAGCCCAACAAGAAAATGCTCATTCGAAACTGCCAAAGAAAAGGGGATCGGATCTCCTACTAGCTTGACACAGGCTAGCTAAGAAAGAGATAACCAACTCTAAATCGAGTCATCTAATATTGCAAGCCCATAACTCCGTCCATCCCATTCAACCCCAACATAACTCCAACCGCGGACATTATACACTATGACTAACCCTATGCAAGCATAACTCCTATCTTATCGCATCTCCCAAACGACTAAGCTACACCACATCACCCGCAACCATCTCCAACACTCCGCAATCCCCAACTCCTCCTTCATCCCCGAAACCAAAAAGCAGAAAAAAACGGACAATGGACCCCGACACCTCCCCCTCCCCCGCCGACCAACCACCCATATTTAACTACGTCCTCTCCTTCCTCCTCGTCGGCGTCGCATGGGGCTTCACGACCCCTTTCATCCGCCGCGCCGCAGCAGACTTCAACGCGCGCCAGGAATTGCATCAGCAATCGCATGACGAATCTCCATCCTCCTCGAACCCACAAGACCGCGAGACAGTGGAAGAACAAGAACTCCAATCTCGTCGTCAACGCCGGCATCGTGACGAAGCGCACTCGGAGCAGGAAACGGAGCCGTTGCGCGAAGGCGGGTCGGATTCGGACGAAGATGGAGATGAGGATCATCCGCCGCCGGAGGCCCGTCCGGCGTGGATGAATCAGGATCGGAATCAGGGCCGGAGCCTGACTTCCTCTGTGAAAACGAAGGGGAAATCGAGCTGGTTGAAGACGAAAATCGTCGGTGTCTTTTGGACGGTGGTGAATTTGCTGCGGACGCCTGCGTATGCGATTCCTCTGGTTGTTAATTTGACGGGGAGTGTGTGGTTCTTTTTACTGGTTGGGAAACATGGTATGTCCTTCCCCTTTCTTTCTCGGTTCTGGTTCTGCCGTTGGCGCTCCGTTTCATTTCACCATACTCCATGATGACTGGTGTCGTGCGACGATCTATACAATTCTTTCAACTAACAATCTACTTCTGTCCTATAGAACTATCTCTAACCGTTCCCCTCGCGAATTCGAGCGCCTTTCTATTCACCGTGCTGGGAGAATGGTATGTTGAGCGCAAGGTCATTGAGAAGGAGACGTGGTTGGGCATGGCGCTTGTATTGGGAGGAATTGCGATTTGTGTGAAGTCGAAGGGATCTTAATTACATACACACACACACACTCAGTGTCTCTTCTCTGGTACTTTTCTTGGGGATTCCAACTTCTATACTTGGGTAGCTAGCTGGCTAGTACAATGTGTTCCTTACATTTGTTGGATAGATAATGAATAGGTTCGTTCATTGGGGTCGGAGTGGTGGTCAGTCGGACGTAGACATGGATGTGGAGGTATTCACATTGGATCAATTGCTTAAAAAGGGCTGGATTAACTGGCATTGGAACTGTTATGGCAGAGAAGAGGAGGAACAGATGGATTGAGCAAAAAAGCGCAAAAAAGAATGCATCATCCGTGAATCGAACACGGGCCTCGTCGATGGCAACGACGAATTCTACCACTAGACCAATGATGCTAGTTAGTTGAAGAAAAGTGCTGGCTTTGATGCTATTTCCCAAAACAGAACATTTACGTCGATAAAGCTTTCCAACAAGAACCATACGCTCGACGCTCGAATGTCCAAATCATAGTGTACATCATTGCATTGTTCTCGCGTTATCAATATTTATAACATAACATAATAAGTCACTGGGTATGTTCGCCATGCCATCAGCATCATGAGACATCGTCATCGGAATACCACATGAGCCTGCAGTGGTAATCAAGATCAAAACAGAAGCCATCTATCTATCAATCAAAAAGGAAAAATTCATCGCATGCTGACATATATCATAGTACACGCGCCGGAACGGTTTAAACACCCCGGAACTATCAGACATCGTTAGTACATATTCCCCAAGGAATGGATAGGTTAGGCTTACCATTCGAACGACCAAGTACCACATCGCACCCAGAAACTTGAAGATTGACAGACCGGCCACACTCCACAGCACGACGGCCATGTAAATCTCGGCACGCTCATTGTCGTTCGAGTCGCTGTCCTTGCTGGTGTCAAGGTTCTCCAGTCCCGCCGCGCTCAGCACAACGGCTGCCAGGGCAAAGTTGCAGAACACCCAAGCCAAAACGACGGCACTTCGGAATCCCTTGTAATAGTCTGCCTGCTTGTCCTCTTCCGAAACCACTTCTACTTCCTTGGGTGGTTTCTGTGCGAATTTGGCCAGTTCAGCGTCGTATTGCGCGTTCAGATCGCCGTCGTCCTGCGGAATGTTGACGTCCACCTTGCCGCCGGGCTTGAGGTTGGCCGAGGGCAGCTTCTCTGCTTTGTCGTCTCCTTTCGTACCCCAGGTGATGTCGTGCGTGTTACAGAAAGCGTAGATGTTCAGCACGTTGATGTAGGTCGGAGTGAGCAGGATGTATTGAATGAACTGTTGAGTGGTTAGAATACGATTACATGGTTCCCGAAGTAAACTGCTCAGATGGACTTACCGAAGTGAACATATGCCAAGGATCGAAGAAGATGAACGACGCAACAAACCACATGACATAGGTAGACCCTAATGAAACTATGATGGAGAAGAACGTCGTGTTGGTGAATAGTGTCGAGAAAGTAAAGTCGCCCTTTTCAACCTCCTTCTGGATAGATTTCACCGTGACAAACACTGCTGCAAACGCCAGGTAGATCATGATGCCGATCCAAAAGTAGACCATCGTCATGTAAAACTTGTTGGACCCGCCGGGTCGATTACCCAAGGCGAGCACGAAACACGTGACCAGAGTTGCGAGGTAGAGCCATTCGAACACAACACCAAGCACCTTTCCAACTGTGTTGAGAAGATCCTCGGAGCCGAGATACGTTGTAAGGATGTGGAAAACCAAGAAAAAGTTGCCCTGAAGAATGAAAAGTTAGAAACTCATCACTAGGGATAAATAAGGACGCGCTTACAATTCCAAACCAAGCAAACAGCATGTTGATAGTCTGGTAGATGAATTCGATGAGGAGCATAAATTTGCGCAGATGGCTGTGGTCGCTTCTCCAGATCTGGTAGAAATGCGCAATCGCATAAACCGCCGCGAAGAAACTACCGTTCAACCACCGTCGACGCTGCAGAATGAATTCGGCCATGCGGTCAGGCACATCGGTTTCACCCGTGGAAGACTTCACGTATTGAAGCAGCCAGCGGCAGTTTCGCTTGGTCACAATTTCGAAACACAGAATTCGATCCTCAGCAAGATACATATTGGCCGTGAAGATACCGGCATTGGCGCCATGCATCTTCTCACCCATGAAGTATCGCTCTAGAGGTCCCTGGCCGTTCTTATCGTTCTGCAATGCGACAAATCGGTAGGCGGAGAAAGCACCGGGAAGCACAGTAATGAACCCGAACGACGACTCCAACGGCTTATCGAGGATGTTACTGAGCTTGTACTCAAAGTTCTGTCCAGCCACCAGCGGATTGAGCAACTTCTTTCCGTGCGACAACATGACCTTGATTTCACCGCAAGCTCCCCCGCACATCGGCTCAACGTCAAAGGCCTTCCACAGATGGTAGATCGAGTCCTTTCCGGGCTTCGTTCCGGCATCCAGAAGCACACAAATGTTAGGATCAAGCACCCGTCCGAAAGCCTGGAAGAACCAACGATGCGAGTTGATCTTCTTCTGGTTCTTTTCCTTCAGACAGAAAAGCATCTGCACAGGAACTCCGGAGCGTTGCTTCATGTGGACTTGGGTACCCTTCAGCTCGAGACCAACCTGAGTGGTGTACTCGTAGATATGCGCCGTGACATCCTTGCCGTTCACCTGCTGCTTGGCGATTCCATCCTGATAGACACCCAAACCAGCCAGCACCGCACGTGTGCGCGGGTTGATTTTGGCACGACCATCGCTAATCACGCAGACCACGATCTTTTTCCATGCGTCCTTGCCCCAAGTCTTGCTATTGTTCCTCGAACACATGTGCTCGATGTTCTTGAACACGCCAATCAAGGTGCGCGCAAAGAGGAAGTCATCTTCGTTGTACATCGTGATCACGATGAAGAGCTCGGTGTGTCGGGGTTTGGCGAAGAGCTTCTGTCGCAGCGTGAAGCGCTCTTCGAAAAAGTCCGCCGGGTCACAAGTGGCTGCGGAGTAACGCATATGCGTAAACTCGTCACGGCCCGGGGGTTCGGCGTGGGGAACCTGATTGAGCAGCTTCGGCGCGATGGGACAATCGAGAACCAAGTTTCCGTTGAACAGCTGCACTTCCTTCACAGTCTTCCACCGGCGAATCGGAGCAGGACTCGGGGTGGCCTCAATCGGCGGCTCGTCGTGATATTCGTCGCTGTACGGATCGGGTCCAAATGGGTTCTCAGGCTGGATCATCGGAACCCGGTCATCATGGTAAGCATTCTGGTGCTCGGGGTATTGGCCCAGGTCGTAATCGTCTTCGGGCGTAACGGCGGGATGGTAGGGTTGGGTATAATAAGCATCGTGGTGAGCTTCGGGGTTTACGGAATATTCGTAACCAGGATAGCTCCCCGCGGGATGACGGTCGTCAAATTGTTCGTTATGGCCGTAAGAGTTAGGGAGTCGCTCCACAGAATACTATCATGCAAAATCTGTCAGTCGACCTTTATATTCGATTTGCTGAGTCGAGATATCATTGTCAAGCTCACGGTAGGTTGTTCCGCCAATCGATCGCTGGAAGGCATGGGCAGGTGGCCTTGCGGTGCGTAAGGGTTGTCGGACAGCTGGTAGCCGTTCAACGGCCGACCCGGCGAGGGAGATCGAGCAGAGAGTTGACTGGGATTCATGATTGGGGAGCGACCGTCGTCTTCCCCGTAGGGGTCTCCTAAAGCTCAATTGTAAGTATACAAACGCTGGACCGAGCGCGTGGGACGCAAGGCGAAAAGCAAGGACAAAAAAATCCAAGGTGAAACAGAAGATCAGGTCAAATCCACGAGAACAGAAGTTGCCTGCATTTGAGCGACGTTCACCGTTCACCCTGAGAACGATTGACCCCCTGGCCGGAGAATTCCCCGCCAACTAGAGTTTCAGGCAGACTTGATGCGGAGAATGGGGGATTAATGCGCGACAATCCACGGCAGCGCTGGCCCAGAAAGCTTGATGCGCACGGCAGAAACGAAAGGGATATGGCACTAAACTAACCCAAGCGATTGTAGGACATGGTTATGGACGATTGTTCCAATGGGAGGCCCCTTGAGAATTCCTGGGCGAGGGACCGGCTTGCGGAGGGAGATTGCGCCAGGAGCGCGGGTGGAATGTGAGAACAAACGTTCAGGTCGCTTCAATAGCCCCAAGCTCCGTTTTTCTCGGCAGGAGTTTCAGAGGCAATGATAGGCAGACAGGGAGAAAGGGGAGAAAAGGAAGCGAGATGGAAATTAAGATTGAGATTGACCTCAAAATGAGGGAGGATTAATATCCGCTCGCAGGGGAGAAATGGAGTGAGAGGGAAAAGTGAAAATAAAGAAAAAGCAAAGACCTCCGGTCTAATATTTTGGATGGAGCTCGTTTTTGGGGGAGAAAGAGAAAGCAGTGGCGCCTGGGACTACAAAGTAACCATGGACAAGAACACGAAAAACGAGCGGCAGTGTAGTGGCTTCGTTGACCAAGGAACCGGGGAGAGGAGGGGGACGATCAGATACGGTGGATATTGGATTCCCGATAGATTAAAGATTAAGAGAGATTAATTATGACGCCCTTAAGAGGCTACAGGAAGAGAAAGGGCCAAAGTGGAGGAAGAAAAGGTGGTCACGTCGTCGTCATGTGGCCGCATAACAAACAACGGACCCACTTGATTCTGGTTGCTCGCTGTGCTCCTTCGCCTTGCACACCTTCTTTCTCCCTGTTCTACCGAGAGAGAAGTACTCTTTCACTGCATTCACAGAGAATGATCATGTCTCAACAATGGCAGATACCCCAGAATCTGCCCGGTGACCACGGTGGAAGACAAATTCACAAATTCTCCTGAAACAAAGCCGTGCCAAACCCACCCGTGGTTAGAGTTGCGTTGCTCCATGGACCGTCGCAGTCTCCACCGGCCATCACTGGGCCAACAGCGGCTGTCCGTCCCTGTTCACTGCCACAGACTTTGTGGCGGTTCCCTGGGTTGGGGAGAAGGGTTTGCAGTGACATTCTTTTTATATCTTTGCCGGTAGCCTGATGATGACTGAGAATAAATTCGGCTACATACACCGTACTCCGTAGGGAAAATTGAAGTAAGTCAATTGCAGAAATTGCGCTGCCTTCGCTGACAGCCAACGTCATAGTTCTATTTTAAGACTATCCCTGTACGGGGCAACTGTACGATGTACGACGCTCATTTGAACCTTCCTCGGTGCCTTGCAGGGTTTCTGGGCGGTGCTTTTCTTACTATTCAAATAGTCTGACCGGTCTGACATTAAACATTTTCGCTGGGACAGTCGTCCAATGTATACAACTTCGAATATATATATGGCGTGTCAATGAAGTATGCAGGCGGCAAGGCATAGACAGCTGCACGTGATGACGAACGAATAGTATCTGAAAACTCACACCAGTCGATGTTGACCTACTAGTGGGACAGCCTTGACAACATGACCCCAAGGATAACTGTGTGCACCCGCATTCTCGCTGAATACTTCTGGCCCGTCAGCGCGATGTACGGTGTAGGAGGATGACTGATCGCAATGAGTATTACTCAGATGGACCCCAAACCTCAACAATTGCGGATAGCTAGACAAAAGTCCCATACCAACGGAGTATTCTATGGATCAACAGTATACCGTAAGGGCAAAGAAGGATAAATGGTGGCGACTGGCTACGATTCGAAGCCCTCTGTCCTACCGAGGGCCAGGGAGCCCCGCACGGACCCCATCGCTATCGATAAAGATTCTGCGACGAAACCCCGCCAAATCGTTTGTCACCCTCTCTCCGTTGCTTGGATCCTTGAGCTCTTCTGCGCAATCATTCAATATGACGAACTCAACTTCCTCCAGCCCCAAGGTCAATGTCCTCTTCGTCTGCCTGGGGAACATCTGTAAGTCTTCGCGCTCCTCTTCGCCATTTCACCCCACCGAACACCTTAGATTGACCAGGTACAGGTCGGTCCCCCATGGCCGAAGGTGTCTTCCGGAACGTGGCCTCCTCGCACCCCTTAATCAACGAGATCGACTCCGCCGGCACGGGCGCATACCATGTTCTCGAGCCCCCCGACTCGCGCACCATGTCCACCCTGCGCAAGCACGGAATTACCGATTACCAGCACGCCGCCCGCAAGGTGACCAAGGAGGACTTCCTGAACTTCGACTACCTGCTGGCCATGGACAAATACAACCTCCGCGACCTCCTGGATACCCGCGAGTCTGTGATCGCGTCGATGAACAAGTCCGGTGGTGCGGCGTCGCGGGGCAGCAAGGGCACTCGGGGAGCGACCGCCGCGGCGCTTGCGGCGAGCGGGGAAGCCGGCGCCAAGGTGGCAGAAGTGCGCCTGTTTGGAGACTTCGGCGCTGGCGGCGTCTTGCATGATCGCGTGGGTGGGGGAGAGGTGGTGCAGGATCCGTACTATGGTGGGGTGAACGGGTTCGAGGAGGTGTATCGGCAGGTGGTGCGCTTCTCGAAGGGGTTCGTGGAGTATTTGGAGAAGGAGGCTCAGAATTAGTTGCGTGGCGGATGCATGAACATCCAGCTGATTTTAGATTATACCCTGTGGTTTGATAGATTATGATAGACCGAGGTTAGGGATCCGAAAAGGAACCCGACCAATCCATTGTTTTGCCAAATATATGGAATGATTGATGAGATATAATACATTTGAATTGACATGATATGGAGTCGTACTGTACAATAGCAGCATAACGCAAAAGCCGTTCTAGATTCCAAGCCAGCGAACGACGAGACCTAGCCACTCACGTCGCGATCATACCTTCTCGCTGATCTTGATCGCTGCCCGACAGCCTAACCGAATGATATTGACCAATGGGTCGTACGGTTGCGCCTCTTTGGCGTCGTTTTCCACAGCATGGTCCAAATGCTCCAATTCCTCATCCCGGATCCGTCGGAATGTAGCCAGCATTTCCTTCAGCTCGTCGTCTAGCTCCTCGCCTCGTTTCTCGGCCTCCTCCTGCCACGACAGGATCTCCCGCACCTGTTCGTTGTAATGCGAGCCAATTTCCGTCTCCACCGCTTCCGTGCAGGCCATGGCTGCTTCTCGCCCCATGACGCCCGTCGACCAGCCGAGGAAGGTGGCCGCCTTTTCCCAGAGAGGGTACATTGCCGTTGGTCGGACGCGATGTTTGGCGATGAGACTGTTGAAGGTGGACAGGTGGCCGGCCTCTTGGTCGTACATGTGTTTCATCAAGGGTCGCAGATGGGGGTGAGACCGCACCACCTGTGGCGTTTGCGCGGTGTAGATTAGGGTGGCGGCGAGTTCGCCGGCTTGGTTGACTCGGAGGGCGCTGTTCATGAATTCGCGTTGGCGCTGGCTGAGAACGTATTTCGGCTTGGGCGAGCCGGATTGAGGGTCACGCGTGCCATCTTGACCGGCCACTACGGTCTGTTTTGGAGCTGTTGAGGTGTATTGGCGAGAGTTGTGTCTTAAGGCTGAGGGCGCAAGGAAATCCAGTAACACGGGCGATGACCGGTGCAGAGAAGATGTGGGTGGAGCTCGTCGGAGCGCCATGAGAGATGCCATGTTGAGTCAACGAGGATTATAACTGCTAGGCTATTGTCCTGCAGCGCAATCGGCCAAAAAGACAAGAGAATGGACCAGAGAAGTATATAAGAAGAGCATGAATGACGGAAGCTCTCACGAACATTCCGAGGTGGTCCAATCCGCTGGACGGCACCCGCAGACGCGCGCTTAACGGCCGCGAGGCTTGGCACGCCATCCCTGGACTGGACGTCATGGCGGATGAAGACGAATCAATCGCTTCTTTTCACTTTCGAATTCAACTCATCACCTCCTGTCCGCCACCCGACCTGCCCTCTCCCTCTGTCCATTTATACACCATTTCCTCTATACTGCGCCGGGAATCCCCAACTGAGGGACCTGTTCAAGTCCTTTGTCCAACTATATACGAACATCTTGCGATTTGAAAAATTAGAATAATACGAAACAGAGTTCTTGCCGGCGAGGACACTTTGCCTTTTCGACGGCGCATTGTGAGAGTTTCCAGGGAGGAAAGGTGTTATCAGCCCTTTTTAGCGGATTCTTTCTGAGTCGCTGGTGCCCTTGCGCCTGTTTGACTAGCTACGTTTGCGGTACCTGATATATAAGACATCCCTTTGAGCAATTCACTATGGCCGACGACCTGGATGCCGAGCTGCTCGCGCTGGCGGGTGATGATGCCTCCGATGAGGAGGCGTCTCCTCCCCCCAACCAGAAGGTGACCTCACCTTCACCTTCATCCTCCCCACGATCTCCAGCCACCTCCTCCACCATGGGCCGCAAAGGAACCGCCAAACCCGTTCGACGGGGCCGGAAATCAAGGAAGGACGACGAGGAAGATGGCGAATTGTACGTTTGATGATGGCGATTCTCCCCAGACTTCCCTATCCTTCACTTCTGTCGCATCCAACTCCAACGGACCAATGAGCGCTCAACTGACATACTTTCGCTGGACGATAGATCTGGGGACGAGTCCCACCATTCTCTTGACTCTGCTTCCATGTCTGAGTCCGACTCAGGTTCTGACTCTGAAGGATCCGATCACGGCGCTGAAGATGACGGCCCTATTTTCGCATACGACAAGCTTTACCACTCGTCCAAAGACAAAGAGGAGATCATGGCCATGCCGGAAATCCAGCGCGAGCAGATTCTCTCGGAAAGAGCGCAGCAGGTCGACCGCCACAACCAAGACCTTGCTCTCCGCCGACTCCTTGCCTCCCGCGAACGCGAAGAAGCCCGCCAGGCGAAGAAGAACAAGCGCAAGGCCAGTGCCGCCAACCTGGAGGATGGCAATCGCAAGAGCTCCCGTCAAAAGACAACCCTTGGTGGTCGTAAGGTGGGCGAGACTTCCGATGCCATCCAAGCCTACAAGCGACAGCGTGAGCAGAAGGGTAAGCGCGATGAGCTTCGTCGTCGCGAACCCGCAGTCAAAGACCAAAAGGCTCGTTCGAGGGACGAGCAGATCTCGGATGACGATGCGGAAGGCGAGAGCGAAGTCGAATGGGCCGATCGCGATCGGTCCCCGTCGCCTCCCAAAGACGATCCACCTGCCGATCTTCGTGACCTGAACCGGGCTCGCGTGGGTCGCACCAACTTTGCTCAGGTTTGCTTCTACCCTGGCTTTGACGACGCTATCTCGGGCTGCTTTGTCCGTGTCAACATCGGGCCGAATCGCGATACCGGTCTCAACGAGTACCGGCTCTGTGCGATCAAGAGTATGTACAGCGCAGTTCCGTTTGCGTTTACATTGGTTTCTTTGACCACATTGTCTGACTGTCTGCAGGGTTCAACGAAGGTCGCCCCTATGCCATGGAGGGCACGAACGGTCGGACTTTCATCACCAACCAGTATGCCGTCGTGTCACACGGTAAATCTGAGCGCGAGTTTCCGTTCATCGCTTGCTCTGATTCTACGATTACCGAGGTAAGCCATGTAAGCACTGGGAGTCAATTTCTTCGCTGATCGCTCTCTCTAGGCGGAGTTCAATCGATACCGTCAAACCCTAGTCGTTGAAGACTCCAAAATGCCGACGAAGTCGATGCTTGACGACAAGGTGGCTGCCATCAACCGTCTGCTGAATCACAAGTTTACCCCTGAGGAATTGAACGAGAAATTGCGCAAGCAGGGTTCCCTGGACCGCAAGAGCCAAACTTTCAAGCGCTTGGAGAACGAGAGACTCCTCAATCTTGCTAAAGCCGCTGGAGACGACGCCGAAGTTGAGCGTCTCCAGGCAGAGCGTGCCGGTTTCGCCACTCCCAAACTTGCGTTCACGAACAACAATGCCAAACCTCAGGTCAAGCAGCAGTCGGAGCACGAGCGTCTGCTGGAACTGAACCTGCGTAACCAGAAGCTCAATTATGAGAATGTCCGTCGTGCGCAACTCGAGGAGCGCAAGGCCAGTCGCATAGCGGCGGCGGCAGTGGCTCGTGGAGAGGCTACCGCCAATCCTTTCTTGCGTGTCCGTACCCAGGCCAGAACTCACTACGATGTGAGCAACGGCAGCCCAGCTTCTGGCGATGCCAGCAGAGACGTCACCCCGGCCACTGGCTCCGAGGCAGCCTCGAAATCCAACACTCCGAGCAAGCCTGCTACTCCGTCTAGCTCACAAAAGAAGTCCACTCCGGGTGGCATTGCGAAGATTCGCCATCGGAACATGGACGACGAGAACATTGCTGCCCTGGATCTAGATATAGATGTTGAGATCTAGATTTCGGCTTGTTGCTTCCATGCCGTGCTGCACTTTTGCTTTACAATTCTTGTTTTTTTTTTTTTTTTCGCTTATGTTCTTCCGCAAAAGAGAGACTCCTCCGGAGTATTTCCCACGCAGCTTATGTGGTTGGATTACCATCAACGTTTCGCAGGGGCCGGGACGGTTCTTAAGATCTTTCTCGTCGCATCCATTCGACGGAAGCACGTACCAGCACTTCCATACAGCGTTGATTCTTCTTGTATCTTGACATAGGGTGGCGTTTGATCGGCGTTCAGTTTCCCGGGATGAATGAGGCCTGTACTATTGAACCAGTGAACAACTGACGAAACGCCTATTTGCATTTTTCCAGTTCCCATAGATTTATGAATAGAGAGTAACTGATCAGTTTTCCATTGTAAGGCGTAAACAAAGAACACATCCTACAGTGTCGGCGATAAGACGTGGCAGACCGCTTTATCCCCGCTAGTCACGTGTGATAGCGACGCGCCAACACGCGCCGCGTCTTGACGGGACGGCGGGAGATTCTCCGCCCTTGATTGCTTTCTACTTTCTACCCCGGGGCTGGAGGACTGCACACCACTTTTCTGTATCCTGTTACTTTCAATTGAAGAGTGATGTGATCTCTTCTTAATTAGCCATTCCATCCCATTTGCAGAAGTACCCTAAATATACCCTTTCATAATGTCCTCCCCTTCAACTCCCCAATCGGCGCGCTCCGCGTCGCGAACAGCCGACTCGCCTGCCATGCTCACCCCGGGACAAAAGATCAAGGCCATGATGGCCCAATTTGACAGCGACTCAGACTCCGATAATAACACGACAAATTCGAAGCCTCAAACCACGAAATCCAGCATCTTCAACCGCCCACAATTCGCGACGCGATCGGACCAGGAGAATGACGATGAAGATGATGACGAAGATGAAGATGACGATATCATCATGCCCAAAGGCCGCATGGCTGCTCGGATGCAGGCTGAGAACCAGAACACCGAAGCTGACGCGTCGACGGAATCTGTCTCTGCGATGGAACGGGTGTCGAAGAGCCTGAGGAAGGAGAAAGAACGCGAAGACGACGCGGCGGGGTCCTCGGATGATGATCTTCCTACGGCCGGTCCGAGGAGGAGGCTTGCGAATGCGAAGATAAATGAGGATCAGATGGACGAGGACGAAGCTCGTACGCCGGAGCGAGAACGGTCGTTCTCGCCGCTTTTCGTGTCACCTGGTTCGGAGAGAAATGGTCGGCAGGGCGACGATGGATCGGAGGCGTCGGAGAATGAGCGACCGCAGCCGAAGAGGAACGCACGATTTGAAGCCCTCATTGCGCAGAAACGTGCGGAGCGAGAAGAGAAGGAGAAGCAAGAGAGACAGAAGAAGAAGGAAAGGGCTGAAGCGGCGAAGCTTGCTGCCGCAGATGAAGAGGATGAGGATGATGATATGGAAATGGACCTGACGGGAAAGTCTTCGCGCGCGGCTCGCCCCTCTCGAAAAGCCAGCCGGAAAGCGCTGGAGGATATGAACCGCGAAACGCAACGAATGAGTAGGAATCTGCAACTAGCGCACCAGGCGACGACCTCGAAGAAAATCTCCAAGGAGAGCTTCTTTGCTCGATTCAATTTCATGCAGCCCGAGCAGCCGAAGGCACCTTCGGCAGATAACTCGTCTAGTATGGCTGGTTCACAGAATTCCTCGGATGCAGAGGCTCAGAAGAATCGGGAAACCCCTCAAACGTCCCCTGTCGTGGGTCCTTCCGACAAGCTCGTGGCTCAAGATGCCTCAACTGATGCTGTACGCGAGGAGACACAGTTCCCTTCTCTTGAGAAAATGGTAGGACAAGCGCAGCAGCAACCCGAACAGCCCGTGGTAGGCCGAGTGGAGGAGCATACTACCAACACAGCTCCGCAGACCGTGGATGTCAAAGGAAAGAAGAAACTCATGGCTGCGCCCTCCGTTCATGTTCGCCTTTCTCGACAAGCTGTGGCGCAGAATCAGATGGATGATTCAGACAGTGACTTGGAGGTTGTCACTTCTCCTGCGAAATCTCGCCGTCTCGCCGCTTTTGAGAACGTCCCCTCCAGAAAGATGCAAGAATCGTCTGCTCTGCTGAAACTCAAAGCTTTGGCTCATCTCACATCGCCGACTCGCAAAACCACGATGAATAATGCCGAACTGTCTGCAACATTGATTTACCAGGCCAAAAAGCAGGCTGCCAAGGAGCGACAGGAGAAAGTCGAGGAACTCCGAGCGAAAGGTGTGATCATCGAAACAGCGGCTGAGCGTGCCGCCATGGAAGATGAACTCGAGAACCTGGTTGAAAAGGCACGCAAGGAAGCAGAAGACATTGCCAAGCAGGAGAGGTCCGCATCAAAGACAGGAAACGGTGATATGGATGATGATGAGGAGGAGGACGAGGAGGATGAGGACTACGACGGCTCAGAAGATGAGGTGGATGACAATGGGGAGGAGGACGAGGAGGAGCACGAGGACGGCGAAAAGGGTCCCAACTTGTTTGACTCTGAAGCCGGTGAGGAGGAGGACTCGGAAGACGAACAGAGTGAAATCATGTCGACCGGGGAACCCGAGACGATTACTCAACGGCGGAAACGACCTACCCGGGTTATTGAAGATGACGACGAGGAAGAAGAGCAGGCCCCAACGACGCCCACCAAGCCAATCAATGCGACACCATTGTCTATAGAACGACCCCAGATCCCTGGTCTGCCTTCCAACGACATGACGATGAGTCTCACCCAAGCCTTTGCAGGCACATTGGGTGGAAGTCAGCAAGATAGCCAACCGCCCTCGCCCACGATCCCTCATTCTCTGCCTGATCCTGCCCAGAGGGGTGGAGAATGGCAACAGTCCGACTCGCAGATGATTGTGAAGGATAGCCAAGAACCACAAGCCGAGACGACCGATTTCCTGACCCGATACACTCCCTCTGACGCTCGGGTATCAGAGTCTCCTGCGCCGCGGGCCATGTCACAATTTTCTTCCATTCCCGACCCGACGCAGGATGAAGGTTTTGTCCTCTCACCTTTCGATCCCTCAAAGAGATTTATGGGCACTCCAACGTCGACTGTGGAAACCGTTCTCGTCGACCGGAACCAATCCCTAAGCAACTCCCCTGTTCCCATCCGGAAAATGAAAAACCTTCGACGTGGCCGAACCGAACTCTCTGCTATCGAAGAGCAGGAGGAAAGTGGGTTCGAAGTCGATGCCAGCGCCTTCAACGTCATGAAGAAAGCAGCGAAGAAACCTAATGTTGCGTTCGATAGGAAGAAGAGCAAAGCCAAGGACGTCGTGGAGGAGGCAGCCGAAGAATCCGAAGACGAGTACGCCGGACTGGGAGGTGCTAGTGACGAGGAGGATGAGGAGGAGAATGCGTATGATCGGCAGATGATCAACGACAACAGCGGCGAAACGGTTGACGAAAAGCAGCTGGCAGCTCTTAACGCGTATGTATCAATTCGCCCTTTTCCCCGTACTTTCCAAACTAACAAATCGCAGTCAACACCAGAGAACTACGGACGAGAAGCAAGTAGCCAAACTCATGAGAGATATTACGACCGGTGCTCTCCGTCGACGGAAAGGACCCGATGACGAGTTTGACCTTGACGATTCTGACGACGAACTCTTGGCCCGCCGACGACAAAAGCAACGCGAGTTTGCCCGCATGCGGAATGCCCTCATGGCGGACGGAAAGGTCGGCGAGCTCGCCGAGAACCCTAAGAAAGCGGCTTTCTTCCGCGCCATCGAGGATCATGATTCGGACGATGATGTTTTGGATTTCTTGGACGAGGAAGAAGCCCCCGGATCTCAGGATCATTCATCGTCGCAGGAGGCCAGTGCCGGCGCACAACAAGACACGACCGATGCCGGCAACAAGAGAAAACGACCTCTTGAGCCTAGCACCGAGGAGACCTACAACAGACCTCCTCCTAACCTTCGCCGCAAACCAGCCAGTGCGATGTCCAAGAAACCTGCCTCACTTGCGGAGATCCGGGAGACCCTGTCCTTCCTGACCGAGCGACCCGAATACGACTCGTTCCAAGAAGATGCGTCTATGGAGGATGAGCAAGCACACGAAGAAGAAGCTGAGAGCGCTCCGACTGAGGAACAATCACCGGAAGAATTTGCTCCGCGCGTGCACCCTCGCCGTACGAAGGGAGCGGTGGTGGATCGTCTTGCACTCCTCCGGCAAGCGTCGTCGAACTCGGCTACGTCGGCGTCCACACGAGTTGCTTTCCATGCGGGCTCCGGGGCGCAGGGACCCAGCATCGGATTCCGACCTCCCCCCATGCTCCGCAAGGCCACCACCGGCTCGTCATCGTCCGGTTCGTCCAAGTCCGACTCGCGACGGATGTCGGCCCCTGGGGCTGGCGGCGGGTCGATGGCCAAGAAGGGAGCAGTCAACTATTACACAGCTGCTCGTGAGAGGGAGCGTGAGAGGGAATTGCGCACTCAGAGCCGCGCCGGCGGTTCCAACATCACGAAATTGCTCAACAAGCATTCCGGCAACCGACTGGGTGCATTGGGAGGTACGGGACAATGGGATTAAGGTCAGGATTAGAGATTGCCGGTCAATCTTTCGGGTTTGGACATACATGTGGGCGTCATGGTTTAATGAATAGGTAGCTTGATCTAATCAAAGAGTTTTCACGAACAATATACTATACCATCCCAACTATACAAGAATCATAGCGACGCCTTCTCGAAATACTCCCCAAATCTCTCCTCCGCCTCCTTCATGCAATCAAACCCATAAATCTCCTTGTGCACATCCGCATCCGCCCACTTATCCGGCACGGGTCCCCGTCCCTGCCTAAGCGCCGCAAACTGCTTATCCCGCTCTTCCTTCGCCGCTCCATCGCCCAAATGCAACGCCCTCCCCGACGCCGCCGCCATATCCACCAACGCGTACGCCCTCTCCTTCCTCACCATCTCATACGCCTTCAGCGCGCGATGTACCGCCCCCGCACTCGTCTCGGGCAACCGACTCAACACCACCGCCAGCACCGCGCCATCCTCAATCGCCTGCGCCGCGCCCTGCGCTAGATGCGGCAACGTCGGATGACACGCATCGCCAACCAGGGCCACAGAACCGTCCACCCATGTTGGCAACCGATCATGACATCTGAGCTTCCACTCACAGACCTCGCCTTCACCCACATACTGCAACATGCGCTGCACCAGGGGACAAAAATCCCCAAACACCTTCATCATGGCCCCCTTCGATCCTTTCGTCGTGTAGGTCGCGTTGGTCGCCGCCGCGAAGTTCGTATCCGGCTGCGTGGTCGACAGGTTGTAGATCGTGTTATTGCTGACCGGGTACGCGATGATGTGGCGTTTCTCGCCGATCCAGCGCACGACTTTGTTGCTTTCCAAGAGCGCCAGGATGTCGGCGTCTTCGGGCCGGAGCTGGTCTTTGTGGATCATGATGCGGTAGGCGGCTTGGTTTGTGTCTTGCACGCCGATGGTCGAGAGGATGTCCAGATGGGAGAGCATGGCTTCGCGCGTGCGGGACTTGATTCCGTCCGCGCCGATTAGGATGTCCGTGGTTATGAGCGTGGAGGGGAGGGAGGGGTCTCGTGGAGTGGCTGTGAATGAGGGTTGTGAGGAAGCAGAAGAGGAGGAGGGGAAGGTGATGGCCGATGCTGTTGTTGCGAAGTGGAATGTGATTTGGTCGGGGTGGCGCAGACAGCCTTGGTAGAGGCCGTTGGCGAGAGAGGCCCGGTGTCCGACCATGTGCGGATAGGCGTAGGTCTGAGCGATGTGATGGAGGTCGACATGTGCGAGTTCGGTGTTGGTAGAGCCGACTGGTATACCTATTAGCAACAACGTCCTACAATCCCATGTATATATGTATCAAAACGGTTAAGAGAGAATAGAACAGAGATATACGAACCTCTCACGCTCGTCTCCTTAATATCCACCGCCTCAGCCGCGATCCCATCCCAGACGCCGAGACGATCCAACACGCGCGCCATATTCGGTGCGAGTTGGATGCCCGCGCCCACGAAGCCTAGATCCGAGGCGGATTCGTACACGTCGATGTGTTTGAAACCTTGGCGCGCGAGGGCTAGAGCGGTGGTAAGACCGCCCATTCCTATAATATTTCATGGATACTATTAGCAATTGTTTCAGAGGTTTATACGATGTATGTATGGTGGAACTGAGGTTGTATAGAGGCGAGAGAGGGAAGAGAGGAGACGAACCGGCGCCCAAGATGGCGATTTTGAGATCTTGTGGTGACTTTGACATGTTGTTCTTCGATAATTCTTTCTTGATTTCTTTCTCGATTGTATGAGAACTGTACACAGGGAAGGATTGAATGGTGATGCGTCTGATTGAGACGTCCATTGATTTATGTAGAAGGCCGAATGTCCCTCGGAGATACGCGGGATAAGATCTTTGCCGGTTCCCACGAAACCTCCCCACGTCCCACACTCGAACCAGCGGGGGAGACGGGAGAGTATTGATCGCCACCCAGGAAAAGGTTAGCGAGCAATAAAATGAATATAAACCACAAGACAGCATGAAGTCGTATTCTACGATAGCCGATCTCCCCACATCGGCAGTTTTCCTCCCCGTGGGGCAAATTCGGCCTATCTTCTGCACGGACTTAAGAGAGAATGAAAGATTGGTGGTATATTCATAGAAATTAGGGAATTATAAAGAAGTATTAACCATGTGCAGCACAATGCAATCTTGCCATCCATCCATCTTCATCTCCATGCCACTGACATTTCAGGGTCGTGTGGAAGAAATCATTCTGGAGAGAATTAGTATTACCACTCCATCGAGATGAAACCACAAGGGAAAAATGCTTACTATAGGTTTTCGCCCAACACCTTCACGACCTTGCCGACAGGCTCGCCAACTTCGGGCAAAAGAGCGGACACAAGGGCGGCGATAGGGTCAGACAGCTCGATGAGGAGAACGCCGCCGTCATATCCGACAATGGTAAGCAGGCACTCGACGACCGGACCCAAGTCATGGATAAGCTCGCCGACCTCCCCGGCAGCCTCGATAACTTGACCGACGGGCTCGCCGATGACCTCTAGACCGAGACCATTGAAGATTTCCGCGACGGGACCGCTCAGCTCGACGAGGAGGATCTCAGTGTCGATGCCGACGATCTGGAGCAGGCAGTTGACGACGGGAGCGATGTCCTCAAGGAGGCCATCCTCTTTGACGGGCTCGCCGCGCTTGAGGTGCTCGCCAACGGTGCCGACGACCTGGCCGACGGGCCCGGCGATGGACTTGAGCCCCAGACCGGAAAGCAGGCCGCTGACGGGGTCCTCGAGCTCGATCAGCAGATAACCGGTGTCCTGGCCGAGCACGACAAGGAGGCATTCGATGGGGTCGCCGAGGTCAGCGACGAGCTCGCCGATGCTGGAGGCCTCCTTGATGATCGAACCGACGGGCTTGCCAAGGACACCGAGGCCAAGACCGGTGAGAAGACCCTCAACGCCGGGGCTGAGTTTGATCAGGAGTTCCTCGGTGTGCAGACCGACGACGTGCAGCAACTTGTTGGTAGGGTGGCCGAGATCCTGAATGAGATGACCGGTGCCGCGGCAGCCATCCTTATCGCAGCCCTCCTTGGGATTTTCGGGCTTGGGCTCGGGGGCGGGTTCAGGAGCGGGCTGGGGAGCGGGAGCAGGTTGTTCGGGGACAGGCTCAGGAGCGGGAGCGGGTTCCGGGGCGGGTTCTGGGGCGGGCTCGGGGGCAGGAGCAGGCTGCTCAGGAACAGGTTCAGGGACAGGCTGTGGAGCAGGAGCAGGAGCAGGCTCGGGCTCGGGCTCAGGATGAGAGGGCTCGTGTGGCACCTCGATATCCTTTCCGCAGTCACATTTGTGGTGCTCTAAGCCGCGCTGGTGGATAGGGCTAACAGGAGTGGCAGCGGCGCATGCGGCCCAGGCGATGAAGGCCAACTTAGAGAGCTTCATGATGAAAAGTAATTATAAAATCGGGGCACGTATACTGAAAGAATGACGAAAAGGCAGTGGCCGGAACAAAACGAACGACGGCGCCCCAAAAGAAGGAAGGCAGAAAAGAAGAGAACGATGAAAGGAGATGCTGTAATGAGTGAAGGATCGATTTGACAAGGGAATGGGAGTTTCTGGCTGATATTTATACATGTTAACGACATTGATTCCCCTTCCCCCCAGCTCGTCCTTCGTATACACGCTGTTGGTCTAGATGGTCCTCGAGTCTCTTCGCCAAGGAGCGACTATACAGTACAGGGATATCCATCTTCGCATGGCGGGTCGACGCATGTTTGGGAAAACCGCAATTTCCACATTCAGTGTGTGTGTGTGCAGCGAGGCAGCCAAAACTAGGCGGAGGTTATTATTGGGATCACTCTCCAATAGTGGCCTGTGCATGCCACCCTGATCCATGGCTGTCAACGTCTCATCCAATGGTCGCGACTGACAGGTTAGACAAACAGCCCTAGAGTTACATCTCTTAATAGCTCGGCATAGGACCCTATCGTTCCGGGAGTGCCCCTAATCGCTATGTTGTAAACCTGGAATACATGCCAAAAGGAGAGGCGATAGATATGGTATTTTTGGCCTTGGTGTTAGACATGCAGTCGTATCCTTGTCGTGGCTTCTAATGGTCCCGATGTGTTTGCCTTCCAGGGCTATCTCGATTTGGAATCACCCAAGCAAAGCAAACGCCATGAAGATCCGCAAACTCTTAGCCCCGAGCAATTAAAGACAAGTGAATCCCGGCTAGCGTCGAATGCCGAGAAATAGACTGGCCGGTGGTTTGTCGGGCCGAGCGAGTTCCTGCATGAACTATTGATGTGGCGCCGATGATCATCCCGAGCTTGTTTGATACATCATTTTAGCTGTTGCTGTCCAACCGTTGGCGTTCAGCTGCCCAGCACGGTCTTGCCTTCCCCTGCATCCATGTTTGCTTTCGGCCCTTCTCTGTTGGCTGCACCTGTCAATTCAGGATCCACCCCTGAACGCTTTACCTCGTCTTGCAGCTGCGGCCTGTCGAGTTTTCATCGTATATCTCCACATTATGTAGGTTTATCACAATCAGCCGTAGAAAGCGTGCTTCAGACGGTCGAGCCAGGAAGGAAAGGATGAAAACAAAGAAGAGTCCGGACCAGGCGGTTTTGGACCTCGACTTCGGGGATCTCCCCAATATCGACTTCCCTCGCCACTTGGTCTCGACGCGTCGCGACATTGCGGATGCTCGTAATCCTCCACCGTCCCCATCGGCCAAATCGGCACCACGCAAATCTCCTGGTCGCCACAACCCCTGCATTCCTTCCACATTGTCCAGTTCAGGTAATCCATCAGCTGGCGTAGCTGCCCAATAGCTGCATCATAGTCTGTGTGATTATTCCACGCCTCCACCAAGGTGGAGCAGATGCTCCTTGACACTGACCGGACCGCTTCCCCTGCGATGCTCCTATCCGGTGCTCCAGCTGGGATGAATTGCGTCGCACAGCGCTCCGTCTCCTGAAATGAGTCGCGCCTCCCTTCTCCGTAGTCGATAAATGGGCCTAGAAGGCTTTCGAGCTCCCGATGAAGCTCTTCCAGTGTTTTAGCCTGACCCGAGGCCATGTACCGCAGGTCATGTCCGTATCGCAGAACCACCATGTCCGCGACAGCCTGCCAATCGAAAAGTTTGGCCTTGTCCATCTGGTGCTTGCGAACCAGTTCGTCCAAATCGGCCCGGAGTGGCTCCAGCTGCTCGTTCGAGAGATGATGCAGTCGTGGCAGTTGACTCTCTCTGTCCTTCCCAAGGAACAAAGCTAACTCATATTCATCATCATACGCGGTCACAAACCAATCATAGTCCACTCGCACCCGATGCCCCCCTATACCATTGTACCTCGCCGCTATTGCCTTGAACCATAGCCCCCCGTCTGGTGGCCCCCCGTCGCCTTTCCCCTTCCCCTTCAATTTCTCACCAGAATTTCCAGATACCTTCTCCCCCATTCGCCGTTTCCCACCTTCCGTATTCCCCTTCACCCTCGTAACACGGACCTCATCCACGAGGTCAAAATCACACAGTATGACTTCGAAGCCGGCCTCCATGCGAATCACGCCGTCCAACTTTGAGTCCCAGTCCTCGCGCGCCATGCGACACAGCAATTCGGCCCGTTCTCGCTCCTGCATACCTGGCCCGTCTCCAAGCTCATCCCGAAACAGCACGCGGTCTTGAGAGTCCAGTGTCCCGTTGGTTGTCTTTGCCGCGGACATGCCGTCGATGTAAAGTAGGCGGAGGTCGCGGACCGCGGTGAGAGTATGCAGATAGCCCACCTCCTCTTTCTCCTTTTTATCGGCGTCTTTGTCGATGGCTGTTAGTTCGGGCTCTGGGCTCGGAGGAGGAGGAGGCATTAATGGCATCTGGGCTCCATCGATGTCAGCCCATGAGGCAGGTGGAGGAGGAGGATGCCCACGAGGTCTCGGCCTCGCGAAAACCATGGCATGTTCGGGCTCAAAAGCCAGCCACTCAGGACCGGTGACGTCTCCGGGGCGGAAATTGCCATGGTAAAATTGGGTTCCTGCCGGAACGGAAGCCATGAAGAAAGACATGCCGTTGTGGTGCAGGGAAGAGCCCCATTGACGCATGGAGTTGTGGATGGCGTTGAAGATGTGGTTGGCGTTGGGGAGAGGGGTGAATGTATCTGCACCCGCACTACCGAGGAGGAACAGAAAGAGCGGGTGATGAAGAGGTCTCATTTTGAGAGGCCTGTACGTTGCACGTAGGAATTCTAACCATGAGATTTCGAGGGAGGAAAAATCGGAAAGCTGGTTAGGAGAAAAGCGCGATCTTATCAATCAGCAGACATGGCGCTAGTCATCGGGGACGCCAAGTGGGGGCAAGACGCGTCATGGATGTAGGCAGAATGATTGATCGAATCGGTTTTGGATGGTTCGATAGGATGCGCTGTCGGTCCGAAAAACGGGGAGTCAGATATGAGATGGGGCGACGTGGTTGCAGAAGGCTTATGGTGGAGTGCTTCACGAGGGCAGCAATATTTGCCGATGTCCGTGTCCGACTGTCTGTGGAAATTGTAGAAGTAAGTTTCTGATGTAGGCGGCCATCGCGCTGATCAATCTGATGCAAAGCATCAATGTTATGGACGCTAAATAAGTTCTATGGATGGATGAAGTGAATGAAGGAGGAAAGAAGTCTTGGGCGGCGAGACCGACCTGACCTGCTTGGCGGCCTTAGGCATCTCATGCATCCATAGTCCCCAAGTACAGGAAGAAACATAGCGGTTCTCCCTCTCCAATAATCAGTTGATTGGAATGATCACGGTCCTATCTGCGAGTAGACACTACAGTGTAAGTGGGAGAAAAAAAGGAAAGAAATTAAGAAGGGAAAGAGAGAGAGAAAAAACCATGAGGACCGATTCATCTAGATTTCAGTCATTATATTATATTCAAACCATGAGATTAAGCAAGTCACTCTACATCCCTGATCCAATTAGTCCATTACATGATTGTCTTCCATTCAAAGAGGAACGAGCAAGCGTCTGAAAGGAAAGGTCAAACTCCAGAAAGACCCCAAATCTTCTCTCCGTTGTACCAACCAAACCATCCATTTTTTCCATCAAAGTCTCCTTGACCGCACGACGCAAACCTCGCAATAGCTTCCGTGTCACCGGCATCAACATCCTGTTTCGCTGTATCCTCGATCATATGGATGCAATGCTCCGTGTGTTTGCTTTCCCCCAAATTCTCCAACATCACGCCGTCAAAGCACCCGGGAGAAACACATGCCAATTTTGAGATGTCGAGTTTCACATCCTTGTCGTCTTGCTTTGGCAGCGGTTTCACCACATGAGAACTGAAAAGCCGGATCGTAGTGGAGGTCGTTCTTCACGCTTCGAAGGGCATATATATTGTTCATCGCCAAAGTGACAGTAAAGAATGATGCCGTAATGGCAGTAGTGAATAAGATTATCGAAAGCACGGTCCACTATCCCAATTTCCCTTATTTCGGCAGCCAGATATCAGATTGTCGACATGGGGGTCTTTATCAACAAGACTGTCCTCGCGGAGGTATGTGTACGATGTCATAATTCACAACTCGAATGGTTCTTTGTGGCCAGGAGAAATTAACTGTGAATCATCTTAACATTCTAGGAACAGAGAGAGTCAGGTTCCATCACTTGGTCTCGAATGTAGTGGCTTTGAGGAAGGCAAGTGGCCTTTAGCCATGAGATCCCTTTGGACTCGCCTTCAAGCTGCAAGGGAGACTACACCGCCGATGTAGCAGGAGATCACATGTTTAACATTTAATTGGAGCTGCCTTGCAACAGGACCTTGTATCTTCTAGGTAAATATAGTCTTGCTTTGATCCGACGGGCAGCTCCAATGGCTCTCGCTTTAAGTGGATCGGACAATATTACATACGTGCGTATCATTTAATTCCATTTTGTTCTTATTTATGAAATACAACCCTCCACAAGCCCTGCCGTGTATATGATAACGGGTGGGCTCTATAGTAGTTAGTAATATTGAACTAACTTATATTGCTCCGCTGCATGCCTGATGACCTACTACAGATTGACTGGGGACCTACAGTATGAAGCAATTTAGGGCGGATCATAGTGTAGTTTTCACTGCCTTCACCGCATGTACTATTGTAGTGTGTTAAATAATGATATATCGGTTTTTCTTTCCTTATATCTTTGTAAAAGGGGTGGTGAATGGTACACTCCTTCGCATGAGCCAAGAAGTCCAACATGGAATCACATAGGGATCCCACCATCCAACCCGCCATATATAGTGCCATACAAGCTTGGAGCGAGCTCACCCGAGGGGGGCCCTCAAGGCGCCCAGTAATAATAAGAACATTTCTTATTACTACGGTCTTTACATACTAAATCTACGTAGTTTCTCCCTGTTCAACCTCTACCTAGTACCTACCCGGCTTCTTGGGATCTACTGTACAATCGAGTGTACATCTACATTCACATCGACCTGAAAATTAAGGCATCCATGGATGTATATATAGATTACCGCTAGGCCGGACACGGCGTTACTTACGGGTAATGTACGGTATCACCCCACCGGGAATTCACGTGACACATTGCCAGATTGGGCCATCCGCCCCTGTCAGGACCAACTTTGACTGTTTCTACTTTTTCCTTTCTACATCGTCGACGAAGGGAGAGCAAGATACCTATTGACTCGCTCTGCTCATATGTCCGACAGTGGGTACAAGTGGTGGTCTGCACTTGGCGCACTGCCGCCGTGGTATCTCTGGCCCACCCGATTGGGAGGTCCTCCCCTGCAGCCATTGTTCGTTAATGCAGCGTTTATGCAGCCAAGAGAGTAAGTCCATGAGGGTATATTTCTCACTCGAGATATGACAGTTCCAGAGGATCTTTTCTCGTCCAATAGTCTAGGAATTGATGCCACATATCGTTCTACCTGAGCAGAGGCAGATCTCCTGCAAGGACAAACCTGAGGCATCAACTGCCCGATCCATCTATTTGCTTGACAGCAAGGAGCGTCTTCCATTCCAGCTTCGACCTTCTACTCTCTTCTCGTTCCTTCCTGTCGTCTTCTCGTGGACCAGTCTGTCAATCTGTCAATCTGTCAGTCTTGGCAGACTAGAGCTGTCCGCCTTCCCCGGAGGCTCTGATTGGATGATCCACCATTCTTCAGGCGAGGCGATCGACGGCCGACCGTGGAGAGAGAATTCGTCCTTCATTCCTCGTGCGCTCCCCTCGTCCATTCCCCTCATGGAGCCGCCCTCCCCATGTCCAGTCAACGACCGCGAGTAGTCCGATCCCGTTCGGGTTGTCGCACGTGTCGGTGAGTGTCCAGTTCCCCCCTGCCCCCGGAAAATGCCTCCGCTGAGCCCCATACCCTAGTGCCCGTCGCGTCAAATGTGACGAAACACCCGGGGCCTGTCAACGGTGCACGTCCACAGGGCGAACCTGCGATGGGTATGATGTGCAGAGGCTGCCGGGGAAGAAGAATCGCCGCCTCAAGAGCGAGATGCCAGCGGTGCTGCTCCCTCGCCTGAGCTGGGCCACGACCACCGACGAACGACAATGCCTGGCGCATTTCCAGGGCCGTATTGTCCCCAACATGCACGGGTTGTTCAGGTCTCCCTTGTGGGAAGACGTTGTGACGCGCATCTGTCACTTCGAACCGGCCGCCTACCACGCCACTGTCGCTCTCAGCGCCTTGCATCAGGAGGCCGAGCGCTACGGCATTCTGGCGCCCGCCCAGCGCCGCGCAAATGCCTGGTACACCTTCTCCATAGAGCAGGCCGTCCGCTCCTTCTCCCTCTTGACGAGGCGACAGATGTCACAAGACCCCTATCTTTACCAGGTCATTGCGCTGTGCTGTCTGCTGTTTGTCCTGCACGGCTGGCTACAGGGCGAATATGACACTGCCTTCACCCATCTGCGTAGCGGCCAGCAGATCCTGCAGAACTTCCATGCCATCGTGCGTCGTCACGGCTGGTCCTGGTCCTCGTGTGATTCGTCCGCCATGGGTACGCTGGCCACCGGCTTTGCCCACCTGGATATCAATTGCGCTTTCTTCGGGACCCAAGGCCCCGCGTACTGCGTCGAGGACAACCTGGCTCGCCAGCCTGGGCAGTTGGAGGAGTCTGCTACGTTCTACAGTCTATACGAGGCGCGCTATGCTCTCGACAGTGTGATCAGCGATGCCATACGGTTCCTGACGTGGTGTTGGTCCCAGGACCAGATTGATGCGGCAGACAAGCCCCTGCGGTTGATGCAGCTGCAGCGGCTCCTTCGGCGACTGGACCGCTTTGCCCAGCCTTTCCAGCCCTTCTATCAGCAGTCCTGCGCGCAGCTGCAGGAGCAGACTCAACGTGGTGCCGACGATATTTGTCTCCTGCATCACACCATCGCGGCCTCCATCCGTACCTGTGTCCTGCAATGCGATCCCGCCGTGTTCCATATCTATTACCCCAACTTTCGAACATACTGGGAACAGGCGGATCAAGTCCGTCGCCGCATCCCCGCGCGTCCCAGCGTCACCATCAACACTGGCGTCATCCCGCCGCTGTTTCTGGTGTCCATCGGATGTCCGGATCCCGCCATTCGCTCGCTGGCCGCCAAGGCCCTTGCCTGTTGGCCTCAACAGGAGGATGCGTTCCAATCCTACCTGAGGTCCGCTCTGTCGTTGGAGTACAGCAAAATCGCGAAGATCTTGAAATGTAAATCCACCCAGGGGCCGCCGCCAGGCGGCTCGGTTGTCCGGATTCCAATTGTGGGTAGTCAGGCGAAAACAAAATAAGCCATAGACGAACTACTTTATCTGGACCGAATTTATTGATCATGCTGTACTTTGCTTCTTGTCGCCTCTTTTCCTCTTTTTGCCCTCTCTCCTTTACTTCTCTCCGCCCGTCCGCTCCTTTCTCCTCTCCTCTTTTTTAACCACCTCTTCATTGTCCTCGTATTTCTTCCTTTCTCTCTTCCGTCTCTCTTACCGCCTTTCTCACACTTCATTCTCTCCGTATATTTCAGCGAGATCGAACATATATAATAATACATAACAAGCTCTTCGACACAGCCAGAAAAGTGTATTATATCTCATTACTATTTTACTGCCTGTACATGATTCGGTGGTTCTGAACTCATCAGGCGTCTAGATGATTGCATTCTGTTTGGCCTCTTTGATGAGCCTTGGCTCGCTTTCCATGAATACCAATTTCTGTTCTCTGCATTCAACCTACTGGAGCATGAAGCCAAATATGCCAAACTCATTACCCATCCTTATTCAGATACCAACAAGAAAGACACAGGAACATCTATATCACACATACAGCACCCTAAAGCTGGGGAACAAAACTGAACACACTTTCCTTAAACCATCCTGCCCACACTAGGGAACAGCCACCGGAAGCCATAACCCCTTCTTACCATACCAAGCTATTCAATGATCGGAAGTCGCTCGAAGCCTTCGTACACACCATCTGGGTATTCTAGAACCCGAACCAACTCTTCCGTCCTAAGTATTGTCGTCCTGCAATTTTCTGGATCTCCAAGGCACGTGTAGGAGCAGCAGATGGGACACTTGAAACAGCACTACTCGCTACACCTGTAGTGCGCTGCGCAATCACACTGGGAATCATTACCATGAGGAGGCTGTTGAAGATAATCTGATGCTGCTAAGCCGATAGTCTGATATTCTATGAACAACTCAATACACGTACGCCCTGAAACCAACCAGTTATCGATCATACGACAAACACCGTTGAATAGCCCTGGCAATTAAAATTCCATCATGGGAAACACGGCAGCAGACGCGAAATGTGGTCATTGATTAATACATTCCAAATCGTCGACGACCGATCACCCGATGGGCTCGACCGAGACGACCCACACCTAGCCCGGAACCAAGTCCAAGACCTGAGCCTACACCCAGACCAGGACCGAGGCCAAGACTGCCGTCAACCGGGACAGCCATGACCGTACCGGGAGCAGGGGCAGATTGCACATAAGTGACTGGCTGTGCAGGGGGGTTTGGTTTGTTTCTAAACCTTGTCAGTTCAATTTCTTGGTTGGGTGTAATGCGAAGAGAAAACTTACAATTTGTGATTCACCATGTTCATACCAACTGCACCAAGAACTGCACCTCCGGCAGTAGCAAGCTTTCCTCCACCCATTTGATGCGCCGCATATCCGCCCGCTGCACCGCCGACGACGGTTGAGCCAAAACCCTTCTCACCCTCTTGTCCGTGGGACTGCTGATGCGAGAATGACGATCCGTCGTAATAGGAGGCATTCTCTCCAACTGGACGATAGAATGGATCTGAGCGATCTTGTCCATGGCCGGAACAGTTGGGACAGTGACATTGTGCGGCGTTGGGAGATGGACTGCCCTGTGGGCTGTGGGAGTAATGCTGGGGAGGCACGAAGTCTTATTGCTGAAAAGAGTGTCAGAATGCATCTTGGTGCGTGTTTCGGTGGAAGGCACTCACTTGATGGACATAGCCTCCTTGAGGGTGAACATGTTGAAAAGGATAGGAGGCTTCGGCTCGTTGGGGAACCATATTACCATAAAATTGCGACTTGGCGAAAGCAGACTGGTGGCAAAGTAGGATCCAAAATAACACAATTGAAACAGATATGAAATATGTTATAGAGAGGTTAGATGGTTTGTAAAGACAGAAGTTGTAGAGTGAGAGAGGGCGAGGACCTCTATTTATGTCTAACGACCCATAAAAGATAAAGCCTTGGATCTTCTACATCCATAATATCACAAGCACAGCCTCGCTCTTTTAGCGCAGCCACGACAGCATCGCTAACTTCCATCCTCGTTGGTGATCACCGCTGGACGCCGTAAGTCGCAGGCTTGTTAGGGACTGATTTAAGCATTGGATTGAGAAGCATTAGGGCTGGGATCCACTCTTGGCAGATTTCCCTTTCTCATCCGGTATGGTCAGCACGACGGATCCATTGGGCGGAGTCTTGGCAGAAACAGTTTCCTATCTGGGTTTAGCTGGTATGCCCCTGCCTAATCGGGCAAAGAGGGTAGATTCAATTGAAGTATGAAGTTTCGGGATGTCTATTAATATATTACGATCGTGGAGTATGATAAGTTCTTCTTCTGTCTTTCATCTGCTAGTTTCAATAGCCCCAACCATATCAACTACTCAACACATAGCATCAGTCGGTACTATGTCGGAAAATGGACAAGTTGGTACGATCTTCGATGCCATCCTACCGTTGTACATTGACATATACTAGTACAGGACAGCCTGTATGTTTACGCACCGAACAAGGTCGCTCCCGTTGCTTTTGCGACTTTGTTTGCCATCTCAATGGTTAGTCACATCTGGCAATGTTGGTAAGTACATACGACAGCCTTGACATATTGTCACTACCGTAGATCTGCTGACTGCTGCTAGTCGGTACAGATCCTGGAAGCTGACCGGCCTGCAACCCTTCTGTGCAGTGCTATTTGCTGTCGGGTATGCTCTACGAGAAGTAGGAGCTTTTGAATATAAATACGAAGGAAGCAACAATCAGTCTCTGAATCTTGATATAATGAGCCAGGTCTTGATTTACGTGGGTCCGTAAGTTTCATCTTTCGCCATCCACGAAATCCAGGCACTAACATAATAGCAGTCCACTTCTCGAACTAGCCAACTACCATGTCCTGAGCCGGTTGCTCTCCTACATACCATGGCTGGCTCCCGTTCCCCCGAAGCGAGTATTGGGCACCTTCGGCGCACTCATAGCCGCTGTCGAGGGGCTGAATGGTCTCGGAATAGCATTCACCAGCAACCCTGACGGGAACCAGCAAGGCTTGGGTCAAGGCCTAGTCGTAGCTTCTCTGGGTGTTCAAATCTGTGTGATTGCCTGCTTCATGGTGATAACCAGCGTCTTCCACCGGCGCTGCCACAAAGCCAACATCCAGAACAAGGCCATCCCCGCCCTTCCACTGACCCTGTACCAGAGCACAGCTTTTATTGTCATGCGCAGCATCTACCGCCTCGTGGAGCACGCGGGAAACAGCAACCTAGACCTTAACAACCCTGATGAGCTCCGGTCCCTGAGCCCTCTCTTGCGGTACGAATGGTACTTCTATGTCTTTGAGGGCACCACGATGCTGTTAAACTCACTGGTGTGGAACATATGGAATGCGGGCCGCTTTCTTCCGAAGAATGCGAAGACAGTCTTGGCGCAGGATGGGAAGACGGAAATTGACACTCTTGAAGAGGTGACAGGACCTGAAGAACAGCCTTCAGCTTTGGCTCAGATTTTGTACTTGGTCATGCAGGCCCTGACTTTGGGTATATGGGGTCTTGTGTTCCCCAAGAAGGAGGGCAGGAAAGAAGTAGAGCTACTTGAAAGGCCCGGTGTTTAATCATGGCTATCGTCAATAAATTTCCACAGTTTATTGTTGGATCATGCTGACAACCTTTGGAAATACAGGGTCATGTGTGAATGATATATTGATACCCTGGTGTACCTTTTCAGTTTGAACTCTTTTGGCGACTGGGACTTTACGATGACACCGTATTAGGTAGACTTTTGCTGAGGCGTTACAACGGTTTCGGAGTCGCGCGTCACGGGTAGTCTAACATTGAGAACGGCAATTAGGTTATGAGAGGCTATGACGAGGCTCCAAGTTCGTTTTCAGGAAGAGGTACACTCAACTTGTACGTACAGGGATATATACAGTTGTAGTAGCCTGCATATCACATTCATTTGTCAGGGGTCAGGGTAAATGAAATCATCCATCCATCCATCCGACTGTAACATTGGAGAGTGAACATGGTTTACCCTTTAGAATCTTTTAGCAAATACACCAGTTTACTGATTGTGAATATTCACGGCTTCGGGGCTCGTTGGCGTCTCCTACAGATATTATTGAAACATTTGAATGAATCAATTCTGATTTCCAAGCCGCAAGATACTACATGGAGATCATTGTAGGATATAGTCCTCGTCCGCGTCCAGATCCTCGTCCACGTCCAGACCATTGATCGCGGTTGCCGTCGGAGATTTTAGCGCCTCGATCCAGTAGCAGTCGGGCTATGTCCTCATGTTGTCTAAATTGAGCGGCTTCAAGTGCACTTCCGTATTTCCCTCCTTGGGCATTGACATCGACACCTCGATCCAGCAGCATCTGTACGATCTGTTTATGCCCTCTAAGTGACGCGCCTTGAAGAGCAGTGCCATTCTTTGAATCAGAGCCATTGACATTGGCACCCAGATCAAGGAGGATCTGTGCAATCTTTTGATGGCCCTCAAGACACGCAGCTTGGAGGGCACCGCCATTCTTCGAGTCCAAGTTATTGACATCGGCACCTCGGTCTAGCAGCAGCTGTAAGACCTTTTCATGCCCTCTGAGTGATGCGGCTTGGAGTGCACCGCCATTGGCATCGGCACCTCGATCTAGTAGCATCTGTACGATATTTTCATGCCCTCCACGCGATGCAGCTTGGAGGGGAGTGTCGTGCTTTAAATCAGAGGCATTGACATTGGTACCTCGATCTAGGAGCATCCGTACTATCTCTCCATGTCCTTTAAATGATGCGGCGATGAGTGCAGTATCGTAGTCTTCTTGGGCGTTAGCGTCGGCACCTCGATCCAACAGTATCTGTAGTGTCCTTTCACGCCCCATGCATGATGCGAGGACGAGTACACTACCGCGCGAATCTTCGACTTTGTTGGCACCCCGATCTAGCAGCATCTGCGCCATATCCTCATCTCCCTGTAATAAAGCAAAGGAGAGTGCAGTGCCACCCCATCCTTCATCAGCATTGACATCGGCACCTCGATCCACCAGTATCTGTACAATCCTTCTGTATCCTTTGCTCGACGCGATTTGGATAGCAGTGCCATGCTCATATACAGATGCATTAACATCAGCACCTCGATCTAGCAGCATCTCTACTATCTTTTCGTGCCCTGCATTAGACGCCCAGATGAGTGAAGTACCAACCCCTCCATCAGCATTGACATCAGCACCCCTGTCTAGCAGAATCTGCACTATATTTTCATTTCCTCCAGATGACGCGTCATTGAGTGCATAACTGTGGGCTCCTAGAGCCTTGACATCGGCACCTCGATCCAGCAGCATCTGTACGATTTGTTCGTGCCCTCTAAGTGAAGCGGCCTGGAGTGCAGTGCGGTGATCTGGAGGAGAGTAATTGACATCGGCACCTCGCTCTAGTAGCACCTGTACTATCTTTTCATGCCCCTTATATGATGCAGCTTGAAGTGGGGTGCTATATGTCCAGTCGCCGTATTCATTGATATCGGCACCTCGGTCCAGTAGCATCTGCACGATCTTTTCATGTCCATTGGCTGAGGCGATTTGAAGTGGAGTAATGCGTCCTGGAAATTCGTAACTACCAATCGCAGCGCCTTGGTCTAAAAGCAGGACCACAACTTGGAATAATCCCATATATGTGGCTCTTTGAATCGGCGTCGTGATTCCTGAAACGGAATTACTACGGATCAAACGAACCCAATGGACGTCACAAGTCCAATTGAGATAAACATTGGGCTCAGTAAAGAGTCGACCAATCTTGGCTTGGAGATCCGGGCATGAGTGATCGATGTCTCCCAGAGCAGCCACGTGGGCGTCCCAACACTGCGCCGCGTAAAGGAAAGAAAGCTCCTTGTTTGCTTCGTCTCTTTTCATGACCTCTGTTTGCTCGAGAAGACAGTCCACGGTTTTTGTCGCGAGGATTCGGTGCCCCTCGGTCGCCGAAAATTGGCATTTGTACTTCTGACCACCCTGCTCTGGAGCAATCAAGAACTCCTTCACTGAAAAATGGGCCAGCTGAATCTCACCATCGAACACATTAACAAGAGACGTCGTGCATATTTTGAGTACGTCATCAGGGATATCTAAATCGACCATCTCAGCAACCGTGTTGACATGAAGAACGGCAGGTGAAAGACAGATGATCATAAGAATTTCTCGTGCCAGGAGCATATCTTCGTCAGATTCGTCGCTCTCAAGAATCCTACGGTAGGTTTCCTCTAGGGACTGTGGAACTTTTTTGAGTGCTTCTTTGATGACATTGTCGTCTTCTTTGCGACGTTTGCGGCGGTGCTCAAGCATGTCGATTTGTAACTCAGCCCAACGGAAACGCCTGGTCATAAATAATTTAGCAAACCTTGCTCAACATGAATTTTAGAAGAGAAGTAAGCGTACCGTTCTTTAGAGCCCACCAATGTATCAAAGATCAGTGTCTTGACTTCATCACTGTATGCCTCAAGAGGGGAGCGTGAAAGTGCCGCGGCAACAAACTTTTTCACATCCTCAGCAAGGCATGGTTCCAAATCGAGCATAGAGAAACTTTCCAACTTTCGACTAATATCCTGCTCGGGTCGACTAGTAGCAAGAATATGAATCTTATCCTCATGTCGCTCGATCAAACCCGTAAGAAAGGAAAGAAGTGAGTCTCTCCCGCTGTGGTCATTGCCTGGACACTCATCCAGGGCATCAAAAACCAAGTAAGCTTGGCCAGGAACACTCGAGATTACATCATCCAGCACAGCCAATAGGGTCTTTGAGCTAGGTTGGCTACCTTGGGCGAAATTATATTCCCAGAGATTTGTTACTGATGATGCCACTGGTGACAGGCTAAGCTGTCTGATCAAAGACCTTATCAAGTCATCCACACTCTGTGTCCAATTCACATCAAACTGAAAGTACCAATAGGCGAGTGATCTAGACGGATCCAGTTGGCATATCTCTTCGAGGTCTTGAATCACAGTAGAACTAGTACTCGTTAGCGTGGTACCTTTAAAGAGAGATGCATACAATACCAAAGAACGGATTTGCCACAGCCCGCTGCATATATAGTTAGTCATTTGGGAGCGCCAAGAAAGGATTGATTTACTTACAGATCCCTGGTAGCCAAAGTATGTCACCCGGGGTATCCTTCCAATCATTGTACTCCGGTGATTCGAGAATCCAGATACCAGTGTCATCGATCCGTCTGCTTTCTAGCCATCTCTGACGGGCTGAGTAAGTGGCCGTTGACAGCCAGACAAGCTTCCTCTCCTCCTCCGCGTCTAAAATCGTTAGTCCGGTTCATGGTTACGTGAAAACCTTGGACTAGGGTAAATACCAATGACTTTGGACTCGATGTTCTTCGAGATTTTGATGTTTTCATCCGTCTTTGCCAGATGCTCATCCGCACGCTTTTTGTTACCTATATTCAATAAATACTTGCCCATAAGGTGAGAATCCTGACCGGCCTTACCAAGATCCGCTGCTAAAACGAGCCATTTCTTTGTGATTTCATATTGAGCATCGACTGCTGCTTTCAGCTGGGACATCGGCTGGTTGCCAATTTCGAAAATGCTTTGCAAAGTGCGAGCTTAGAAATAGTCAGCGAAATTCAACGATCCGCCTGATTCATTGACAGGACAGGTGGCATTGCACTCACTTGCTGCATTTTCATCCTGACCCTTCTTCACCTCGGCTGTAAAGGTGAGGATCGCCGAATAGACCTTAAGCAGAGCCTCGTCAAGGCTCTTATCAGCTTCGACACCTTGGTTTCTGTACTTTATGTCGACAATTGCAAAGTAGGCAAGGTTCTCAGCAAGATACTCCGATGACTGGAAGATAGCATCCCGACGATCCAATCTGTTTTGAATAATCTGTGGTTCGTTGGTATGAGTATCATGAACATTGGCATAAACGTCAGACTTAGGGAAGGGTAGACATTACACTCATTCCAAAGGAAATAACTGTCCATGCAGAAGATGCGTGCCTTGTCGGATCAAAGGAAACAGCTGTCGAGATCACATCTTTTGCCTTCATTGCCGTACCAAGGATCTTCTCCGCCGTATTTCGAACATTGATATTCTTTCCGTTCTTTTGGTGGATCGTGATGCCGCCCTTCTGCCACGCTTCGTACTTGGCTGTTGTGTCGTCGATCACACCCTGGATGGCATCTTTGGCTGAAAGACCATTTGCAGGGAGGTACTTCTTGCGGGAGTCGTCAAGTTCATCGAATGCTAAGTCCCAGAGATTGCATGGAGTCGATTTCCCCGGAGGCAGTTCGGTGGAAGAGACCTCCTTTTTCACATTTGGCACATCTACTGGATGCGTCTCCCTTCTGACATTTAGCGGTACATTGTGCGTTCCTTTTTCGGGGCGTGGCTGAGATGATCGGGGGGGTGTGTCCTGACCGTTGTCGCGTGTTTCTCCTTTGCTGCAACACAGCGCACGCAAGCCTCCCATGGCGCTGTGTACTTCAATTTGGAAGAAAAGTGTGCCTTTCGAAAAGAAGCGAGAGATGGCTGATGGGAACTGTTTCTTTTTCACCAAATAAGAAATAGTGGCGCTCTGACAAGTGGATCGGCGTCTCCCTCCACCACTAAATGTACTGGTTGAATCGGCTGAGCGTTGTACTCCGTACGAGCATAAAGGTCCCACCGACAGTGACGACAGATCGGACTTATCAATTTCCGTTGTCGAATCAGCTGAGAAATCCGCTGTCGATCTCTTGTTAGCTCCCAATAATGTTCCAATCATGCCGCTGCTTCTCACTATTTGTCTCAGTAGTATGTATCTTGGCTTGTGACTAGCAACGTGTCGCTTTCTGAGAGCTGGCCTGAAGATTGTGTGGCGCCCTTTAGAAATCAGATCCTTTTTCTTTCCTCGGTTGATAGGAGTATCTATGTGGAGCAAGATTCACAGCGCCTGGTACGCACGCAGAGGGTACTTGAGGAAACATCTTCCGGGATTCAGCGTCTCTTAAGTGGAGATTGTCGAGGTATGGTATACTATTTATCTCTTTGACGAATGGTAGCTAATCAGTACATCCAGGTCTCCATTCTGGGGTTAAAAGAGCCCTCAATTTCATAAAAGCTGGCATACTATATCAAATCAAATGGAACGTTATTTTTGCTGGCAAGCAATTTGATACCTAATGTATAGTTGTAGACATGATAGATAGGGTATGTCAGGGTCCTGACCGAGGGTAGTGTTACGACACCAACACCAGGCAGAACACCGGGTAAACGACAACCGAACAAACCCCGCAACAAAGAGATGCCCGCTACTCACCCCGGCACCCAATGAGCAGGCCTAAACACTAAACCAAGAACGACAAGGACATCAGAGATCACGTTACATATACGCCTATATGTACTTGATATTCTAGATGTACCACGACTAAAACAGTAGCACGATCACACAATAGCGCAGTCACGGGATAGCAGGAGCTGCTATCATACTATCAACTACCATCGCTATCAAGCTACCAAGGATCAGAGATATAAGGACGTTCATTACCATGTACTCAGAGTAGTTCTTGTTTAGTTCTTTGCATTCAATAACACTGTCTTTGATAGCCTAAAGATTTTACTGCTAATGCGATTCGTCCACACTCTATCACAGGAAAATATACGTACCAACCTAGCTCTACTTCTTTCTTGGCTGTTTAAAGATCTTTCAATAATTATGTCAGTTTCTCGAAACCCAGATTTGGTTCTTCAAAGCAGCTATCGATTACTTAGAAACATCAGTGCTCCAAAGATAAGTATTATCTGTTCTCCGGATTAGTTGGACTAATCACCAGCGGCTCAAACTATATCCTAGCAGTCAGCACAGCTTAGGGAATCTTAGGGTTTGACACTAGGATCCGCCATACCTCAGCCAGATTCCTGCTGGACCCGGGAGCGATCCGCCGACAATCAACACACGCACCGTGTCGCTCCTGCCACGATCCCCGAGCTTCCGCAGAAAAGTACTGGACAAGGGAAACGGAACTCGTATCCTGTCCGTGCGAGAAACGACACGCGGCTGGCAAGGCTTCGCCCCCACGAGCCGACGTCATCGTTGTTATCCGATCTTCTTCGTCTCACCATCTCCTCAGTGGCTTCTGTACAGCTCTCCTTGGCAATCTAAGTATGGTCGAGGAACGCAAACGTCACTGTTGGGAATGTCGTCGTCGCTACCTAGTGTGCGATTCCACGCATCCAGAATGCAAGAGGTGTTCTGCCTCGGGAATTCCATGTCCTGGGTACGGTGACGTGCGTCCGATAAAACTACGGTGGTTGCCACCGGGGAGAGTAAAGGCTCGAAATAAGAAGCCGAAGAAGGAGACCCCCGAAAGGATACGCGAGGTTGTCGTTTCGGCTCCTTGCGCCGAGTTGAGTACCGAAGCCCATGTGCTTGTCCAAGCGGTAGAGTACTGTAAGTCCAGACGGAGAATCGCATACGACGCACTGCTGAGTCTTAGCAGGGAATGAGAGAATTTACCCCAGTATTTTACCTCATCTTGAAATCGCGCCAACCGCTTATGTCTTTCGCATTACGCCCTTCATCTTTCAAAAGGGGCTGTCTTACCCGGATCATCTAAAACTTATGCTGGTCTGCACGTCGCTCACACATCGCATGAACCAGAGCGAGACACAGTCGAGAGAGCTGGAAAAGACTTTCATTCATCATCGGGGCCAAATCATTCGCTCTTTGCGTGATAGCATTAATGCCCCATCAAAGAGTACTGGGGATCTTGTCATTGCAGGGACATTGACCCTTTTACTGATTGATGTGAGCAAGTCTTGGAAAGAATAAAGAGTCTATATATACTGATGCGCGTCTGGCGGAACAGGTCCAGCAGGGTGCATCGCATAAATCATGGCGATATCATCTCGATGCCGTCCGAAAGATCATCCGGCTACGCGGCGGCATGGGTCTTCTGGCTAATTCACCAGGTGTAGTGCCGTTACTTCTGTGCTTTGTGCTGTACGTACTTCGAAATCACCCCCGCAGTACGCTGTTCAAGCTGACTTCCACATAGTTTCACCGTGATTGGAGATACCACCTCGCCTGCTTCCGACCTGACAATGGCGCCTGCGCATTTGGCGGACCTCCAATTCATTATAGATCAGTACGGCGACACTAGCTTCGCCTTTACCGTGCATCCCGCCCCTATCCTGGCCCATATCATGCAAATCAATTGCCTTCGCGCCCGAGCTATAACAACCACTCAGTCTACAGAGCTAACAAACCTAACGCAAGACGCGTACGAAATCTTGGGCCAGATCCTAAAGTTCTCTCCTGAACAATGGGCTCGAACAAAGCAAGCCTCCAAGAATGACTGTTACCTCCTCGGGAAAATCTTTCAAGCCGCCGCCGTGGTATACTGTATTTCCTCGCTGCAGAGCCTGTCCGTTTTTCCCATGACGCCTTTTCTGCGAACTACCTGTATAATGCAGAGTAGCCATCTGCAAGATCTTCTGAATGAGGCGCTCTCGGGCCCCAAATTCCAACGATTTCTGCTATGGTCGCTGGTCGTGCTAGGCGTGGAAGCGGCCCATGGTGGCGCCGCCATGCAGGGTTTTGTGCAGCGGCGACTCGTGGATATGCGCCTCCGAACAGGGATACATGCCCCTGTCATTGCTAAGGCAGTGCTAGAGCAATTCTGGGATTCCGGAAGGATATGCTGGGATGATTGCTTCGACGAGCCGCATGTGTTTGTAATGCATCCTGGGTTGGATTTGAGTAGATTATGAAGCTGGAAGGGGGATGTGTGAATAAACGGTTGCTCTTCGAAAGCTGTGATTCCTTCCGATCAATTACATGCCTCAGGCAGCATATGCTGAGCGCTGTGTCGGCCTGGATGCCTGAGGAGGCATTAAGGCAGCCAGAGATTTCCTGGAAGATCGGCTTATATTCGCCCTGCAGAGTCTATCTTGTGGCAGCCAATTCCTGTCTTCACCTGAAGAGGGCCTCTCATTGCAAGGATGATGATGAAGCCTCAAGTGGCAGAACAAGACTGAACTCACTCTGTTGGACCTCGGTAATTACACCCTTCATAAAGATAGCGCCTATCTCCGTGGAGAACCAATTAGACACAACAGCAAGTAGACCCAAAATTGTGACCCGTAAGTTCCACTCGTGACCATTACGGAGTAGAAACCACTGATGTTTTCTTTTGCTCAGCTGTGCACAAGTGGAGATCCTCGGCTGGACCCGATGATCGACAGTGATATGTGAACTAACTTTATGCCAATCCGGGGAAGCAGAGGGAGCCTGCGCGATTTTCTACTCAGTCAGTGGCCAAGTAACACCGATGGGGTCTGTAGTATTGAGCTGATCGTCAATAGTCCAGATCACAGCCGCAGTCCGGCATATCCGACGAACCTCGGATCAGATCTATCCGTAGATATTGGGGTAAGGCTGGTTGATACGTCATATCTGAACATAGGAATTTGCGAAGAGAGAAGTAAATTAGAGCATGTCATGGGCCTTTGCCACCATCGATGTGGATCCTCTGTAGATTCCCCTTTGAGTATGCAATGCGACCTGCCTTACGATCTAGTGATTCTCATGTCAAGGAGATGTTACCAGCTGACTGGGTTAATTCGAGATTGACCTGACTCGCCATGTAAATCTGGGAATCTCCCATGTCTCATCTAGATTCCCGCAGAAAGCAGAGTCAATATGCATGAACACGACTTTCGGGGTCTGTAGAGTTGAGTGTCCCGTGACCCTGTCAAATTCTAGATTCTATCAAAAATGTTGATGTTTCGATAAAGTTCTCCTCGGGCTTAAGTTAGAGAGTCAATTGAGTGCCATTGCAGATTTAAAGTCTGCTGAAAGCTACTATATCTTTATCTACACCCACGTACTAAATCAACCACTCTGCACGGCTTCATAGCAGGGCCCATGAACGTGGAGATATGCGCGGATTTAAGAGTTCCACTATTCAAGCTGCTCCCTTCAGTGTGATATAGCACACATGTCAAGTGATCGCCCCTAGCTGAACAGTTGCGGCTATTCCATCCGTTCGTTCCATATAGTTAGGCTGTCGATCTTGAAGGTTGCCACGGACCATTCCTATAGAGGGAATGCAACATTCCAAATACTGATTCAGGCACCGTTGCTTTTTCTCTCTTGTCCAAGGACATATAAGGTGGCACCTCCGTCGGCCTCAGAGGAAGTTCCAACGCAGCATTTCTTTCCCCATCAGATCAGCTCTCAAGCCAATTCCAATCACATTCAATCTAAAGACCCAATTCAATCCATCTATTCAATATGAAGTTCACCGCTGCAATTGCCACCGCTGCCCTGGCCTTCGCAGGATCTGCGACTGCTGGCCCATGCACCGCTGGCTTGGATTACTGCACTGATGTTCTTGATTCTCTTAGTAAGTGCATTACCTGTGCCCATTTAAACAAGAAAGCATACTCATACGATTGCACAATACAGACTACGGCTACCATGATGCTATCCGCCAGGAACTGCGCAACAAGGGAGAGATCTTCATCTCTAATGCCCCGGGTACTTGGGAGGGTCTCCTTTTCCATTGCAACAACGACCATACGATTACTCTGAAGGACAAATGCGTTGGTGGCTGCTGGAACGGAGGAACTGGCAAGAGTGACATTTGCAGCCATGATGCGTCGAACTGGCTGTGAAGGACAGATACGGTGTAGCAGCCGTTTTGGAAGAAAGGATAATATCGAGGGCGGGTTGGCGGATTGTTCGCAGATTTGTTTGATCGTTTGTATGGAGAGTTTGCTGGTTGATCAGAACTGCGTGGTATACAACATAACTTGGTGGGATGAGATCCTTAGAAACTGTAGTTAGTTGATCGTATGCAGTAGTTCAGTATGGATTTATCTATTAAGATTGTGCGCTATTAGGTAGCTCTTTTAACATTGAAACTAGGTAGCAGAGGGGTTTTTTTTTCTATCTTCCAAAAGAAGGCGCTGCTGAGGACAATCAGTATTTGGCGAGAATCATGAAGGTGATAGGCCTATTCGCCGGTGGGCTAATTGATAAGATGAATTATGCCGCGCTACTAAAACGATGACATTGATCCTATCTTATCCATATAAAGAACTCTATCTACATGCTGAACTTAATCCCCACAAATCTTAAGCTTATGCATGCTGCCGACCGCAGTCGGTATGAGAATCTTTAGAAAACTAGCCTCTGACAAAGTTCTATAAAGATCCGGACACCAAAAAGAACATTCACTCTTTCGAAAAAGAAAAACGACCAGTTATTGAAAAAGCCTCCAGTTGCATTTAGCGACTATATTTGACAAGTTAGATACAAAGCCGCTATCGAGGCTTATGCTTAATTGAAAGATGCCCGACGCATAGCACTGGCCTGAATCTTCCACACAGGCCGAGCCAATTCCAAGAAGCGAGGCCCGAACTGTTGAACTTCACGTTTCGATCCTTCGTCGCTGTCTATTTCGTCATACTTCCAAGTCATCCGAGCTGCATCCGCATGATCCTTGGATCCGAGATACCTCCAGAGATCTCTCCAGTTAGAAATAGTCTGCTTGATGCCCTCGTGGTTCAAGTTGACATTTTTCGCCACGAGATAGAATGACGATTTGATAGCATGTATCTCGGGATGTTTGTATACCTGTATGTCGGCGAACATGCTGAGGGCATGAAGAATGCACACGGTGTGCCAGGTGTCAATCTGATGAAGAAGCAGGACCAACGATCCCCCCTGCTTGAGCCGATCCAGGGCGAACACCAATTGAGACACCGACAAGCGAATTGCCTCGCAGTAACCACGGTACACTTCTTTGGGCTGCTCTTCTGTCACCGCGCCCCCGCAGAATATGAGGTCGTACGGGTCCCCAAGGTAGGGACGAGTAATGTCAAACAATCCGGTTTCAATATCTTTCACTACCACTCCTTCATCGATCAAGTCATATATTGTCGCATCGGTATGCATGATACTTCGAAAGATCTGTGGGTTCATAACGTTATAGCCACCAAGGGGGGTACCGAGAATGATTGCGTCGATGGTTGATCCTGGAAGCGCTTTCTCGACAGACGCCGCGATGCCCCCCGGAGACAAACAGAGATCGAGAACCTGAGGGGTAGACGTGTGTAGGTCGAAAACCTTCGGGTCCGCTGCCAAATATTCCCCGACTGTCTCCATTATTCGAAAGAGACCTTCCTTTGTCTGCTGCCTAGTACTGGCAGTTTCCTTCCGTCGAGCCTGGGGGAATTTGTCTGCATCTGGATTGTCCAAGGCCTTTGGTTCTTTAGCACATATCATGGTTCTTATACCTTGGAAAGGCTCACTTTCGTTCTGAGATCTTGTAGCTCGCTGTAAACCGGGTCGGAGGAGATATACTCTTTCCACCACCTGGGGGCTCCATCGTTTTCAGTCATATTTGCCTGCATTTTGCAAATTTTGCCGTGGTTTGAGGCGTCAACAGGAGGTAGAAGAGAAGGTTCTGAAGGCGATGGTTTTTCTAGAGTGAATAGATGATTTTCTGTCAAAGTGAATGAGACCAGCGCACTCTGCAAACGCGACAAAGCCTGGGTTTGTTGATCGTTCAAACAGCCGACTCTTGCACCTTCTCTCACCCGTTCTCTCTTTCTTTCCTCTCTCATGCTTCCCCTCAACCCTCCTTTACAATTTCCTCTGTTTGATTCTTTGTTCTCCATGAGTGCCTGGCAAAAAATAGCAAAAGCCTGCATCATGACGACACCTCTAGACAAAAGGTACGCCCTCCAAACTTTTACCAAATTGCCAGCCGTCAATTGCTTATTCTGCTGTTTCGTAGTACCTTGACCGGTATAACAAGGATCAATGTCGGCATTCCAGAAACTACCTTCGATATTCACATTGAACTCCTACGCTCCTGCTCCACATTCTTTGACCGTTTGTTCAAAGATCATTCTCTTCTGGAAATCCAAACAAACCCCGTTCCTCTTCCCCACGATGACCCCGATCTGTTCGGCGATTTGGTCAGCTGGATCTACCGCGGCACTATCTCCAAGTATTTCCTCGCGGAAGACACTGACTTCTTCCTGCTCCGCCTCTGGGTTCTTGCTGCCCGGTTCGAGATGCCTGGATTGCAAAACCACGTGGCCTCGCACTACCTCGGCGTGATGAATACCCAACCAGGTGAAGTCTACGACAAGGCCAAGATCGATTTCGTCTACGAGAACACTCAGCCCGATTCCCCCCTGCGTCGGCTTGTAGTTGATATATGGACGCGCAACGGAACACAGACCGGGTCTTACGAGCTTCTGCACTCTTTGTCTCCTACTTTTCTTGCTGACCTTTGCGGCGCGTTGTTCGAGAGAAAGGACACTAGCTCCACTCCTCAGATGAGCTTCGCGGATTTTGCCAAACGGTACCATGTGCAGATTCTGGCTATACAGGATAACTCAAGAAAGAGGCTCTTGGAGAGTGAAGTCAAGGAGGAGTCTAATGAGTCTAATGTCCCGCAGCGCGCGACAGCGGCACAGATGGAAAGACGAAAGATTCTTACTCCTAAGAGACGGATCACCTCCTCTCCTAGTGCTTTGACGGTCGCTTCTGATGATTTGTGGAAGAAACGGAGGATGAGCTGAGGGGTGTGAGATTCATCGTCACGTCTGCGCAAAGGTACCTTGGGTTTTGTCTTGATCGTATGGTCTGCTCTTACAGCGACCTGGGATAATTTACTGTCTTTGAATGGCTTTTGAATTGCAAGAGAATATGTAGTGCTCTCAATGTGGACCTTCATAATATGAGAATGCATGCATCCTGTTGTTGAAATTCGGGACCTCTTCTCTCTATCATTTCTATTTAGAAGAAGTACATAGTGTGACGACTGACCAGAACCCACTACTATATAGAGTGATGCGCGTATCAAGTCTGTTGACTTGGTATTCTAGTCTTTTGGTGGCTCAGTCAGTAACAGTCCCACAGGCCTGGTAGAAGCGCACCTGCCACCGACCGTCACATCTTCTAGGACAAGTGGTGAGAGACTGGCAGTTTTATGTTGCAGCAGAGCAGTTCAGTGTCTGATTAAATTAATATAAGATTGCTTTTTAATAGTCCCATTTTTGAATACTGCAGATGGGACCGCTAAACCTCTTTAAAATCATTGGAATTGGAATCAAACCCGCGTTGCAAAACACCTCTATTGGCAACTGATTGTCGAAACTCGATGGTGACGAAGATATGAGGCAAGAGTGATGGGAGTGAGAGATTAAGGAGGGAATGTAGTGTGGATGGGTAGCAAATCTTGTCACCCCCTCGGACTCATAACTATTTCTCCCTTCTGTGGTAAGTCATTAACTGTGAACCGTGGGAACCAAATTCACCTTGTCTACCTCATATTCACTTCATATTTACCTTGTTCACTTCATCTGAGTCACCTCTTCTTTTTGTCAACTACCTTTCTCCTTTTCCCTTGTCTTCTTCCAACCCTTTTTTCTCTTTCCTTTTATCACACCCATCTTCCATCGCTGAACTTTCTTCTCCTGTTGTTGTTTCTGATTGTTTCTTTCAAACTGCTCAGTATCTTCTCTGCTGCATCTGGCCGTCAGTTTTTTATCGATAGATAGCCTGGCTAATCAGTCAAGATGTCCACTACCGCACCTGCATCCTCCCAGCGCCCTGGCTTCGTCGCTATAAGTACTGCAACCGGAAGATCCATGGACTATACCGATTTTGCATTTCGGACGCTTCATCCTCCAGACGTCCTCATCCAAATTGAAGAAGACTTAGACAACGAAGACGACCCGCACTACCATCCAACGTACATCGATCTGGCTACATCCATCTATGACAAGGCAGTGGCCATCGATTCGATGTTTGATCAACAAAACGTTCATTTCTCTGCTCAGGATGATGATTGGGAAAGCCATTGGCGAAAGCGTGTTGGGACCCCTCTGACGAGATTTCGGGACCAATGGCTCTCGCTTCGAGAGATCCCCCCGAGCGGGGTCCAGTCTCACGGCTCAGACCCTCTTGCAGCTGGCAGAAGGACCGGTTCCTTGAAGAAGGACCTGACTCGACTGGGCAAAACATACTTCAATTCGCATCCCGGACCTGACAATCTGGCATCCAACATTGCACTCCACGGTGACCTAAACTCTGTGTTTAACAAGTATATTGAAAAAAGGGAACACACAGATGATGAGCTTATGGTTCTGTTTAACAAGGTCATCTGGCGACTGAATCTTATGGCCGATGCTGATGAATATATCCTTGCAATGGGCCTGAAGTTTGCGAAATGTAGCGAATATATTCTGCCGATTAATAGACACATGCATTCCGACAAAGACAAGCTCCAAAAGAGGGCGTACCGTCTACTGATCGAGTCAAAACTGATCAATCGTTGTCCCCCTCCCCTTATTCCTCAATTTACGAAACCACTCAACTTTCTGTCATGCGCGCTTGCAGAAAACTGCAAAGATGAAATTGAGATAGATAAGCTTATCGCGAAAGCAGTCGAATGTATGTCTCTTTTTCTATATCAGTCCTCATGATAATCTTGTTTACCGGCAAGAAATATTTTCTAACTATTACGCTATAGGGAAGAAAATAAAGCGACTCAGCTACTGCCTAGTATTCAAGCGTACAAGGTTGTAAATGACGATGTCATCAGATCGAAACTGGTGACTTGTTTTCGGGCCCTCAGGGGCGTTGGTCACAAGCTACATGTTAAGGCACACGCCATTAAACACAAGATGTCTGATGCGGCGACCGCCAGTGTGGAAGACATCCCGACTTTCTAATTATTTACCTCTCTCCTTTGAATGCTGCCCATGAAGTTTGCTTTTTGCCTTCCTCTATTCGTTTTTCCCGTGTTTTTTTTTTTTTTTTTTTTTTTTTATATTTTTTCATTCTTGGGCATATCCTCGTCATCCAATCACAGGTGAGATACATCGCAGAGGAGCTGTATCAGAAATTGTTTTTCATTTTTGCTTTTGCTTTTGCTCCTTGTTTTGTATTGACAGTGAAATGGAAGGGAAGGTCGTCAGGGCGCTGGGGTCTTCTAGCTTGGCTATCTAAAGAATTCAAAGGCATGCAGTGCTTAACACGGCCTACTATACTTGTGACGAACTGAAGAACGACCACGAAGAACCACTATATAGAGCGATGCGCGTACCAAGTCTGTTGACTTGGTATTCTAGTCTTTTGGTAGTCTAACGGTTAAACGTTCCATTCTAGGCGTGAACCAAAGGCGGAAGATGGTAGAAGCGCACCTGCCACCGACCGTCACACTTAGCTGAGCCGGGGCATGACAGTTTCAAGGGCGTCCAGTAACAAAAAACTTATTATCTTTATAAATAATCTTAATTTAAAAAAAAAAAAAAATTTCTATATTTAGTTAAATCTTATTATTATATAAAAATCTTAGAATCTTTTGTTAAATGGTTTCTTTCCTCTTTATAGAAAAATTGCTTGACTACGAGTCATAAACAAACTTGTCTTTTATTAGCTTCTTTGTAGACTGTCACATAACGCACCTCCCCTATCAGTGCTGAGTCATCCCCTCCCCTTCCCGGATCCTGACGCTCAACTCCGAATAAAGGAAATCACAGACTGAACGGTGAACAACATACAGATTGATCAGAACAGACATCGCCGATATGCCTCCTACCTCCCCTTCTTCTTCTCGCCGACGAATCCTCCTCCTCACCTTCGATGCCTTCAACACGATCTACCAACCCCGCGCCCCAGTCTTCGACCTCTACGTCCAAGCCGCTCAATCGCGTAAACTCCCCCACGCGCAACACCTTACATCCGCGACCCTCGGCGCGGCATTCAAATCGGCATTCAAAGCGCAGACAAAAGCATACCCGAATTACGGTCGCGATCTGGCCATTCGTGGCGAATACGGTGGTGCAAGACAGTGGTGGGAGGAGATTGTGAGAGGGACGTTTACAAAGGCATTGAGTGATGCAAGGACTGGTGTCCACGACGCGAAGACGGAAACAAATCCAAACGCGAGCGAGATCCAGATACCGGAGGACTTTGTTGAAAGGCTCCAGAAACTGTTTGCCAGTCGAGAGGGATACGCGTTTTATCCCGGAGCGGAGAGGTTGTTTGAGTATCTCCGGCGCGTAAAAAGACAAGGGACCGGACCGGGACCGTTCGATCGAGTCATCGTGGGCGTGGTTTCGAATTCGGATGATCGCGTTCCTGCCGTTTTGAAGTCCTTGGGCCTACGGGTGGGGAAGGTCAGGGCTGATGAGGACGTGGAGAGTATGCGGCTGCCGGGGTTTGAGGAGCGAGGTGGAGGAATAGCAAGAGATCTTGAAGAGGTAGAAGAAGTTGAGGGATCATCAGTCCACGAGGATGTTGACTTCGTGGTGACGAGCTACGAGGCGGGTGTAGAGAAACCTCATCGAAAGATCTACGATATCGCCAGACGACAAGCCGAGAGGATTGTCGGACAGGGAAAGGCACTAGAGTGGACCAGGGTGCATGTGGGTGATGATCTAGCGAAGGATTATCGGGGGTGCCTGGATGCCGGCTGGCGGGGATATCTTGGATTGGACGGGCGTAGTCTGAATGAATTAGAGGGAGTACCGGGTACCGATGTGTTTGGGAGTTTGGACGAGCTGGAGGGTAAGTTGGAGGAGTTTAAAGTATAGATTGGCGATGATATCATGGAGAGATGATTGTATAGACCTGAAGTTAGGGCTAGCTGGGGGTGGTGACACTCTCCCCGTCTGCCCTCATTTCCTTCAAGATGCGAAAACGAGATGAAGAACTGGTTTTCTCTCTCTTTCGGCGTCTTCCACATGTTTATATTAGATAATTCTTTTCCCTCTTCTTTTCCCTCTTTTCTTTTTTTCGCCTTTTTTTTTTTTTTTTTTTTTTTTCTTCTCTACTTCGCCGACCGCCGAGCTGAGTCATCGGCGACTGGCAGTGACAGCACCTCATCGTTCTTCATCTGCCAGTCCGCCTGCCTCTTGCACTCTCGGCATCGTCAGTCGCCCTCTCAGCTTGCCTGGAATGTCCCGTCCCTATCGCTCTAAACGCCATCGTCCCTGCGACCAATGCCGCGAGCGAAAGCTTGGCTGTCAAACTGACGGTGGGCTGCCCTGCATTCGCTGCCGCTCCGCCGATATCGCCTGTACTTTTGAGCATCCGCCGCCCAAACGGCCGCGACGAGAGTCCTCGCAGTCCTCGTGGGTCTGGGACGATGTGACTCCTGATCATATTCCCCAGCCTACGCAGCCGCTCGAGCAATCGCAAACGCAGCCTACGCAGCAGCAACCACCCCCCATCGGCCAAACCTTCAGCTTGGATGACCTCCCGGTGGACGGTGTCTCCCCGGCAGTCTCCGGCCAACTCGTCTTCGGCCGATCACCGACACAGTTCGTGCAGTCGCTCGACCAACTTCAGGGATTCTCAGCTCAGCTGTTCGGGGCCTCTGCAGAGTCTGATCCCTGGCTCCTACGTCATTGCTCCTTTGACGATGCTGGCGTGAAATGTTTCTACAAGGTGCATTTCCGGAATGCCGGCGGCGTGCCCACCGCTGACAAGATCCCCGTGCATTTCATGATCGCCGCCGACGAGTTGGCCGACGCGGCCAAACGCGAGACATCCTGTCGACTGCCGGCCGAGGGCATCACAAGTTCGGCTGCCGCTTCTTCACGCGACGAGCTCAACCGTCTTGTACCCCCAGAATACGGCCCCCGACTGGTTGCCTTATTCGTCAAGTATGTGTTCCCGGCGTTGCCGCTGCTGTCGCGCTCGCACATGGGCCTCACTCCGTCGTGCTGGACGCCCCAGCCCTGGGTCCTCGAACGCACGCCCGTGCATCTCCTGGCGGCCATTTACGCCTCGGCCCTGCCCTTTGCCGTCCATGACGACTATCTCTGTGTGCTGCAGACCTACAGCGCGCCGCCGGCGCATCGCCTCTGGCGGCTGGTCTACGAGCTCATCGCTGAGGAGATCCACACTCCGCATCTAGCCGTTCTACAGGCCGCCATCCTCTACCTGCATCGGCCCCTGGACGATGCCCAAGCCAGCCGGGCCGACACGCCCTTTGTTTGGTCCTGGGTCGGCAGTCTCGTCGGTCTGGCCGAATCGCTCGGCCTGCACATCGAATGCCGCATGTGGGGGATTCCTGCCTGGGAGAAACGTCTTCGGCGACGACTCTGGTGGGCCGTCTACGCCGAGGACAAATGGCGCAGCTTGCTGCTCGGTCGTCCCCCGTATATCCACGCCGGCGAATGGGACGTCGCCGAGCTCGACGACACAGATTTCCTGTATCATGCGCGAGGCGCGGCGTCGGCGGCGTCGGCGGGCGTGTCGGGGACGTTGGACCCGGTTCCATTTCGTTATCTCGTGGATTTGTCGGCCATCGCGGAGCAGATCTATAGCTCGTTCTAGTAAGTTTTTATTTTTTTTGCGTATCCCTAAACATAGTAAGCTCATCAGTTAGCTAATAGCGTCATACAGCACTCTGCGCAAATCACAATATCTCTCGGAACGATTCCACGCATCTCATGATATCGGCCGTCCGCTTCTCGAACGGCTCAATGCCTGGTATTCCTCACTCCCCGAGACCTTCCGTCTGCCGAACTGGAGCAAATCCGTCAGCGGGTTAGCACCATACCCAACCTCCATCCACTTCGCCTACATGATCCTGGTGCTGTTCGTCTACCGCGCCTTGCTAAGACCGATGGCGAGGTCCTCTAGTCCGCCACTAATCTTCGATCTGGAGGAGATGCCGACGAATCCTGATCCAGTCCCCGGGGCGAACCCGGAACTTGATGCGTCGGCGGACGTCAATGGGAACGGGGTGGTTGGCAACGAGGATGAGGATCCGCCGCTGCTCGATTGTTTTGATATGCCGGAGATCGAATCCTTCCCGGCGGTCGACCTGACAGATCACGGCACCGGCGAGACGATCTTGAACGCGGCGGAGAGGTGCGCGTCCATCATGGTGAGCTTTACGAGACGATTGACGAGCAGTGATTTTGTGGGTTTTTGGTACTCGTGTACGTTTCCCTCCTGTCTTTTCTTTCTCTATTGTACTCTTTGCTGCTCAGTCTCTTCCCGTGTCCCTGAAACACATCCCAAAACCGACGTTTCACAACGCCCTCCACCAGTTTCGAGAACAGGGAACTAACAAGCAACAAAACAGGGTCCCGCATTTCCTTCGCCACCGTTTCCAACTTCCTTCTCCTTCTCCTCATCCAAGCACCCAACGCCGACCGCGCCCTGAAAGGCAAACAGCTCGTCGAGTCCTGGCTGCGCGTGCTACGCTGTCAAAGCCAAAGCTTCCCGATGATGAAATTGGGTCTCACGCGACTCGATGCCGTGCATTGGGTGGGTCTGGAACAGACCTTCGTCCTACCGGGCCATGTGGCCGAGGTGGTGAAGAGCAGCAGTGGGAATACTGGATCGGCGGCGGGAAGTTAATTTGATCCCGCTCGGCGGATATCGGCCGTCGGGTAAGTGTCAGGTTTTTCTAACTCTTACCTAGTCAGGTAGGTAAGGGGTTTTGCTTGGGGATTTTGAGGTTTCAATGATCTATATATACCCTGCCCTGTTTCTGTTGGATTGTTGGATGTTGTGTCAATCAGGGCTACGTTCATCCGTTTACCACTCAGCATCTACCACCTACCTCATCGACCCTATACAACTATACACCCTCCCACCCTTCGGGAAAAGCAGATAAACAGAACGGGCAAAGGGAAACACATTATGCCGAGCTCCATTCTCAACATTCTATCCAAAAAGCATAACCAGAGAACCTCAAGTCCGGTGTCTGAGTCGGCGTCTGAGATCACCTTGATCGAGTAAGTCTCACCCTTCGCCTCCAGATATAGTCAAGAGAGTCCCAGAGTCCCAACTAATCACGCCCGCTACTTAGGCGCAATAAATCCCACGATGGAGGGCGAGAATGTATCTCGTCCAGTATGAGAAAGCCAGTTCGCGAGCGGGAGGACTTTAACGGTATGTTGTTTTTCGACGTCCCCTCTATGTCTGTTCATTTTGGTTGTAGCTGGCTAAGAAAAGTACCATGATAGCTGCCGATTTATGTTTCGGGTCTTGTTGTCGAAAGTGATCTTTCATCTTTCATAGTTTTGCGCTTTTCGTTTTACTTGTCATGATTTGGTCGCGAACGGTTTGTGGATAAAAGTTGGCGCTCATTGGTAGAAATTACATTTAATTAATAGTAAATAAACATTTATATATATTCCTTTCTAGCCACCTCCCACAATCAAGCGGTAGTTGGAGCCTTTTCCACCACGAAAGCCTTGGAGTGCCCATGTTTTCTGGCTAGCCCCAAATCACGATGATCCATAGACACTAAGGGGTATAAATTGTCAAAAATGCAAAGTTATTTAGCAGGATACGTCCTCCACTAAACAAAGCGAAGGCTTCTGCCCAAGGTCCAGACAGACCTACTCTGCAGCCTCCCGCACCCAGACCCGCTGCCGAATCAATTGAGTTACACTACCTCCATTCTAGAAGAGTAATAGCTGCCAAGGATACAAACACCTGACGTCATGCAGCGTCACCCCTAGTTAGTTTGGAAAATCAGCTTAATCTGATGGTCCTTCTATATCCGACTCTCTTATCGCTTATCTTATCTTATCGGCTCCCACAAAGTAACTGTCACATGTTCTTCACCCACATCATCGATCGATGCCTCCCTCCAGCTCTCCTTTTCAACTAATCCACAGAATCCAGACAAACGATGCCACTACTGACCAACCGCCCTATCTCCGCAACATGAATTCCCAAAATCAATTCAATTCCTAACCTCAACGATCAAGATGCCACGAACCCCCCAATTCGCATCCACGCCGCGCTTCCTCCTCTCCCAGCGCGGCCCTCCCTCCTCATCCTTCTCCGCATCCCGCCCCCTTCGCCCCGAGGCCATCGACGAAGATGATTTCCCGCAGAACAAGCCCCTAGCTAAACGTGTCCGCGGTCGTATAGGCCCAGTGACACCGGTGTCGGCGACGAGACAAACGGGTACTTTAAGCGCCGCCCGCACGAGGGACGTGATTGAGGATTCCGACGAGGAGAGCGGGTTGTCTGCGGGAGAAGTAGACTCGGAATTAGAGGCGGAGTATGAGGCGCTGTTTGGGGAGACGAGATCGGAGTCGAGGTCGATGGCGAAGAGAAGGCGGGTAAATGATAAGGAGAGGGGGAATGACGACGGCGACGAGGAAGAAGAAGGTCGAAATAAGAGCGTTGATGCGGACAAATACGACTACGAGCGAAAAGATAATGCGAGTGCTCATGAGATTGGCATCGACATTGGCAATGTCAATGAACCAGAGCCTGACCCCGAACCCGAATATACCCAAGATAATCCAAACGAAGACCCAGACCCAACCCCATACTCAGACGAAAACATCCCCTCCTCACCACTCAAACCGCCATCAACGCCATACCCGAACATCCACCGTCCACGCTTCCTTCTCTCCGCGTCATCGCAACCACATACGCCTTCGCAGGCATATTCCCCTCTCTATCCTCAATCCTCTACGAAACAGCACCCCTCCACCAATCCGTCAGAAATGACCCCCGCTGCCCCGCCATCCACAGCACCAGCGACAGCCATGGATTCAACAATGGCACCTCCGCCGTCAACCCGTCGAAAACCGACCTTTGTTCTCCCGCGCTCTCCATCGCCCGATACGGCTGCTGACGACTTCCCGTCGTTGTTCTCGCCGTCCCGGACGCAGCGCAGAAGAGGACGACCGAGAGGTTCGGGACAGGAGTATGTGGCTGGTGGAATGGCGGAACAGGTGAGGGGGTGGATATTGGAGATGGGTGTGAAGAGCAATTATCGTTCTGGGCATGGCCATGAAAATGAGCGTGGAGATGGTGGGTCGGGGGGTCTGGATGAGCAGAAGTATGCATTTTTCCTTCGTGCGAACGAGGTCAAGAAGTCTACGATGGGGAGTTGTGGGGAACTGGTCTTTGTGAGAGGCGTGGATGGTAAGGAGGTAGGAGGTAAGGATGAGGATGAAGATCGAGATGGTGGCGATGGGGTGGTGAGAAATGTGCTATTGATGGGTGCGCCTCAGTCACATAAGTCAAATCCAGAGACGAAAGAAGGGGGTGAGGTCGCGGATCTTCAACAGGGGGATCTTATTGGAGTAGGTCGAGGGCTGGTTTGGGATGTTGAGCTGGATGCCATGGGGGAGTCGGTGTCTGGAGAGAGAGAGAAATGGTCGGTGTGTATGGAGTGGGATAGGTTGTGATCCATTCCGAATCTCTTCGATATATACTTTACGATTACATAGACTATGATACCCTATTTTACTAGACTTGTGTTCGCGAAAAAGGCGATACAATGCGGAAGGTATATGTGTCTATACCTAGGTGCTTACTTTCCTAGACACCTGTTGGGCTTTCACAGTGCTTGCTTCATGTTTATGATGTATATAATCCCAGCTAACATGGCCCCCTACAAGCCTCTAATAATCCCATCCACGACATCCACCACTTCACTCAACCAGGTAACATGAGGACATTGACCCGTATCCAGCTCGAACACCTGCACCTCCTTCCCAGCGGCCCTCATATTAGCGACCATATTGCGCTGATCACCAACGGGCGTACTCAGATCCTGCAGCGTGTGTATATAGAAAACACCAACACTGGCACTCCTCCACGCACACGGCCCTGTGATTCCCTGTTCCAGAATCGCCGCACGACGTCTGCGGTCTCCATGAACAGAGGGACAAGGTCTTCATCGCAATTGTCGCGGAAAATCCCCATCATGGATCTGCCTTCGAGGAGCACGAGTGCACACATGTAGATTAGGTGGATCACGGCGCCCCCACTAGCAGGCAGACTTTGCTGGGTGCGAGTCTCTACGCTCAAACACAACCTGGCTAGCGCATTGGTTCCGACTTGGCCTCCGTACGAGTGCAAGAGGATGACGATCTGCCGGCCGTCCTGAGCGAGACGTTCCACGTAGTCGTGGAGGTAGCGGGTGTCGGTTTCGAGATCAGCGGTAGGGGGCCAGTCACCCTTCATCGAGGGCAGTGCTGGCACGTGAAGTTCATAGCCTAGGTCTCGAAGGGCGGAGACCAACTCAGCGTAGTGGGTTGGTTTGTGCCAGGCACCGTGCACCAAGACGATGGTTGGTTTGGGCTTGGAGGAGGTCATGGTTGCTGGCAGGTGATGGTTGTGAAAGCAGAGAGAAACTACCTACCGATTCCAAGAGCAAGGTAAGTAATTTATCTACTACCTTATGGACGTGGCTGCGGTGGACAGAGCTCGTGTAACACTCCAAGGGAAGTATTGCTCTTTCTTTGTTCTCATGCATGGTCTTAACGGCGGGCGTTATAACTTATTGCCGAGAGCGAGTTCCTCCTGTTAAGCGTGCCTAGAAACGCGCATTATGCTAGCTCGAGCATGTTGCACACCCAGGAATCGTGACTCAAGCTTACTACCGGGCGAACTGTCTGTGCTTTGATTGGGAATTGGCTGTAAATCCTCATAGCAGGCTTCTAAATATACAAGTTTTGTAACATGCACTACGGATCTGACCTTATCAGGAAGCGTTTTATAAAAAAGGGTTGGAGTTGTGTTTAAAAAAAAGGTACGTAGGTATGTGTTGAATGTATGGACCTCTATGCTATATTCATATTGTAAGAACTGTGAGATTAATCCGACTCCTTCGCAACCACCTTCAATGCATCAACGGCCACCTTGCACCCCCAACGCACCACCTTCTGCTCCTTCTCCGACACAATATCCGACTTGGAAACCACCTTCCTGATGAAATACATCAATCCCTTGACGACCTGCGGCGTGTCCCTCGTCCGCATAAAGATCTCCATCAGCGCCTGCTCATCCCGAGCCTCTTCATCCTCTCCGGCCTTCTTCTTCTTCTTATCTTTCTTGCTGCGTTTACTCTTCTGCGATTGCTGAATCGTCGTGATAAGGAGTAGTTCAACAAATGTGCTCGTCTTGGATTGCAGGTACGCGAAGTTCAGCGTTTTCAGAATCCCCAGGTTCAACGTGCCATCGGCGATCAAAGTGCCGTAGAACTTAGCCAGATTGACGACCGATTTCATAGGCATGTTCGATTGCTCGTCGTCTGCGTGAAAGTCGTCGTCCTCGTCCTCGTCGGCGCCGGTCTCTCCCATGCGCTTGAAGATGTTCCACAGGGTGTACATGAATGAAATTTTAATACGGCGACCCATTTCGCCGCAGAGCCGGCGCGCGATGAGCATGTAATACGGGTTGTAGGCTTCTTCCTCCATGGCGCAGTGGGTGAGAACACGGGGGATCTCGTATTCCTGGGCGCGTTTGAGGCGGAGTTTGAGCAACCGAACGTGTGCGTCTTGGTAATCGGGCGCGGACATGATGGCGACGAAGATGGACCGGCGGACATCGGTGTTCATGCGGTGGGCTTTAGCGAGGGAGGCGTAGTCGGGTTCGCCTTCGCTGTCTGAGTCGTCGGCCTCTGCGGGCAGCCCGTGCTGGTTGGTTGCGGAGAGTTCGTTGCGCGCGGACTCGAGCGGGTCTTCTTTCCAGCTGGCACCGACGAGCCACCATTTACCTTTTTTCGAGGCGTTGTGGATGTCGTCGCGCGAGATGCTGATGGGTTCTGTGGCGCGGATGACGCGCGAGTTGTTCAGTCCACCGAGGATCTTGCGCATCTTGGTGATGTGCTCGGAGGTCACCGTAGTCGAGCCGACGCCCACACCGGACTTCATGCGGTTATTCTTGAGGTCGGTGATAGTGTCGATCATGAACTTCGTTCGGACTGTGAGGGCAGCTTCGCCGGCTTTGGCGACAGCGGGTTGAATCAGGAGGACAATGTCTTTCAGGGACGAGGGATCGTCTTGTCGCAACTGAGGTCCGGAGTCTAGATGGGTTAGCATTGGTTTCAAAGAGAGACAGGGGTTGTGAGAGCGTACTTCGGATAATCTTGAGCAGCAATTCGGTGTTTTCTTCCGTGATTTCCTGCAGGAAGAGTCGGATGTAGTCGAAGATAAGGGTGCTTCCGATGACGTGGAAGTTGTACAGCTGTGACAGAAGGGAGATCAAATTGATGGCTTCCTTGCCCTCGAACTTGCCCTTCTCGTCACCTCCAGCATCAAACATCTCCACGATCTTCTGCACAAGTTGCGCACCGAAGTCGATGCCGACCACCTTATACACAGCCGCAATGAAACCCGCATGGAGAATTACGAAGGTATCCTGCAAGGCAGACCTTTCGCAAATCAACCCGAATAGCAGATTAATCAGGGTGGACGTTACTTCCCCTCGAGGATAATCCCGATAAAGCTTCTCATATTCCGAGAGAATCGATACCATGTTCGCTTCGGACAGCTTGTTGAGATGTCCTTGGGCTTGTCTCCGTAGGCGAATGAGGGTTTCGGATTCTGAATTCGAGGCGGCGCGCAGAGAGGGTGGGATGTATTTTTGCGGTTTGTTTTCTGTTGGCTCTGGAGCTACAGGCGCAACGTAGGGATTTTCGCGTTTCTTGGGGGCAGGCTTGTCTTCCTCTTCGTCGACCCCTTCATCCTCGTCCTCATCATCCTCATCAAACTCGCCGAAAGCATCATCATCCTCATCACCCTCCTCCTCCTCGTCATCTTCGTCTTCGTCATCCATGTCGTCCAAATCATCCAAGTCACCGTCCTCCAATTCGTCCAAGTCGTCCAATCCCATATCGCTTCCCATGTCACTGTCGTCCTCGCCAGATTCACTGTCGGACTTCAACCCTTGAGCCTTTCTTCGTTTGCTCCGCAGCCAATCGTCGGCTTCTCTTTTGCGCTTGCGACCTTCATCCGCTGACCCGTCATCCAAGTCGCCTAGCAAGTCATCTAGACCATCGTCTGCAAATGATTTCGGAAGTTTCTTTCCCTTCTTGAGTCCAAGCCTCTTTTCTAGCGCGGCAATCTCTGCGTCGTCCTGGTCCAGTTTTTCCTGAACCGCCCTAGAAACCTTCGGTGCTGACGGTACGTCATTCATGTCCTCGTCGCCATCGTGATCCCTCTTCTTGCCCTTCTTTGATTTGCTGTCGCCCGCTTTGGATTGCGTTTCCTTCTGCTTCTGTTTCGCGGCCTTTAATTGTGCCATCACATCCTCCTCTGCGCCTGCCTTGGGCGTCGCAGCTTTCTTTTGTTTGGCAGCCTTCAATTGCGCCATCACATCCTCCTCTCCACTTGGTTTAGGCGCAGCCTTCTTTTGTTTAGCGGCCTTCAATTTTGCCATAACATCCCCCTCGTCATCCGATCCACCCATATCCGAGTCCATTCCGTCAAGATTGTCATCATTATCGCGACCACCCCGCTCCTGGTAGCCCTGTCGTTGTCCTCCGTGGAATCCGCCCGGGCCTTGTCGCGAGTTTGTCTTCTTGCTGTTGCGCTCTTCTCGTCGTCGATCTTTTCGCGATGCCGGTCCGTTTCGCTGAAACCTCTTCTTCTTCTCGCCGTAGTGGTCCTTGATGTCCAATTCAACGCGTAGGTTCCTCGGCAAAGAGGTCGTATTATGCATGAGCCGAGGCATCGTGAATAGAAATTGCGCTATGCGACGGAACTTTCCTTCGCTGTTCGCTGCTGGAATCTCTAGAAGGAACTTTTTTTTTATGCCGCTGAAAAGTCGGAGAATTGTGGGCGGAGCGGAAGGCGGACAGCCCCGTCGTCTCAAGGCGGTGTGAAGCCCGATGGGGCCCGCGGTGCGGAGGTTCTGGACTTCTTGTCTGGTCTTGCTTGTCTCGCTCGCTCACTACTCTACTCGCTATCTCCGTAGCATTGAATAATTCCATACTGCCTCTTGGTGCCTGTTTCTTAAAAAACTCTCTCTGCAGGCTCACAATCTTCTACCTCCACCCGACCAGTCAATTCCACTCTCGGTTACAATCACACAATCCGCACCAAACCATTCGAGATAGTCAAGATGCCAGCACATCTCGCTCACGACGAGGTATGTCTTCCCATTACCTCTACCATTTTTCCCTCCATCGCTCTCCTCAATCCATCTCTAATCCTCACCAAAAGCTAACCCCGCATCAACAGTTCTTCACATCCCTCACCACCCTCCTCACCAACACATCCCAAAAAGCCCGCGGCTCGATCTTCCTCACCCAGAAACCTCTCCTCGCCTCGAACCCCTCCTCCGAGACCTCGACCACACCCTCGATCCTCGTCCGCGCCACAGACGGCAACACCAACGCGCCGAATCCCAAGTCCGCCAAGGAAGGAGACGCGAAGAAGAAGCCCTCGTCGACGTCGCAGAAAGTGAAGCTCTCGACGGTTGTCGCGCCGGAGGACCTCGAGGCGTTTTATACGAGATATGCGGAGGTCTGTAAGGCGGGGATGACGGGGCTGAAGAAGCGGGATCGGAAGCGTGGGAAGGCAAAGGGGAAGGGAGGTGCTGGGAAGGTCACGAAGGCTTAATTTTCTTAGCTTTCTTTCTTTCGCTCGTTGCTTTATGTATGCGGTTCTGAGGGGGTGAGGGGATGATCATGGTGATGGAGTGGCTGGTTTGAATGAATATATAAGGTTCAAAGGGTGATGATTTGCTTTCGTGTCTTTTGCATTCATGGCGTTCTGTCTGGTTTTGAGTATACTATTTCTCTGTTGATATTTGGGCCCTGCCTACCTACCTTACTAGATCACTCGGCAATGAATAGAACTTCTGGGAATGATAAATGGATCATGGGTAAGCATACACCATCTACGTACCAGACTGTTCATATATTGAGTAATGAGAACAGGGTATAGGATTATGACTGTATCGCTAGAATACAAAGCATTAGGGAATTACACAAGCAACGCAATACCGAGTCCACCCACAAGTTATACAGGAATCAACAAGAAAAGGAAAATTCATACAAGTGCATCATCATGGAAAGAGGCATCAGTCAAAGAAAAGGGAAGGGTTGTACACAGTGGGGATTAAAAAGATATAACAAAACAAAACCAACCGGATGAAATCGAGTGAGTGGAATGAATGAAGACCAAAAGGATTAAGAATCAATAAAAGAAATGACAGTCGATCAGTCCAATTCCCAAGGATCGAACTTTCGGATCTCCTCTGACACGGACCGCTTCCTGAAGTTGTCGCGTGCGAGAGGCAAGTCGTAGTCATCCATCGTCTCCTGCGATTTGGTGGCATGCACGTCTGAGCTTGGAGTTGGCCCGATGACGATGCGAGCGGCAATGTGAATGAGCACCACAAACAGCTGAATTGGAGGCACCAGGACAAGCTTGCAGGTCTTTTGGATGATGGAGGCTGCGTCGTACTTCTCCGGGGGATGAGCAAGAGCCAACGTAGACGGCGGAGGCATGGGTGAGACCTCCCGATCGCGAGAGGCCTTTGACCGCCGACGGAATTCAACACTCATGCTGCTGAGGTTGGGGTTGGAACCTGCGGTCGGTGCGACTTCGGTATGCTCCACAGTCGCCTTTACGTCGGCACTCGACCAGGGCTCAGGCTCGGGCTTAGGCTCAGGTTCAGCCTCGGAAACTGAAGCCATTGGAGACTCTGTTGGACTGGGAGACGAGCAGTCGCGGCAGACGATCTTTGGCAAGCTCGTCTTTGCGGCATAATCAACCTCTTGAAAGATAGAGTCCTCCGACGGTTTCTCTTCGCTAGAGCCTTGGTCCCGGCTCTCGTTCTCGTCCGTGGGTACTTCTGGCTGAAGATACGCCTGCAAATCCGTTTCAGGCAAAGGGGGTAGAGAATGCTCGATGGAATGGAATGAATCGACACTTGAAGAAAGTGCTTGGTCAGGCTCAGCCTGTGCTTCGGTGTTCTCCTCAAACCTTGCCAGCAAGGTTTGGAAGCTCCGCTGTGTTTCCGCCACAGAGCGCCGGGGAACATCCAAGGACTCGGTAACAGACGGTGCAGGCGATAGTCCGCGCGGTTCACTTTCGATGGGCAACTCGGGGGTGCGAGGCCCTTCTTGAGCTTCGTTATCGTCCGGAATGGTTTCCAAGATGGTGCTGTTACTACCTCGCGTAGTGAAACCGCTGCCGTCCGTTGTGTTCCCGTCGGTCTCTTCCCCGGCGCTCAAATAATCGATCGTAATGTCTTCGCGCACCGGGCTATGCTCTTTAGCAAGCCCCAAATAGATCGGCGCACTTTCCCTGCGTCCTTTGGGACTCCATGCTTTTTTCTTTCGCCTCGGCGCTTTGGCTGCCTCTGGAATCGGCACGGTAAATCCGCGCTTGAAAGGACACGGGGTAACTTCATACCGCAGGATTTGGGGCAAGGCCTCTTTCATTCCCGCGATCAATTCCCTATCTTCGTTGTTCTCATTTGGCAGCTCTATGCGGTAATATGTAAGAGGGCGAATGCGCAACACAAAGGTCGAGACGCCGTCGACACACCAGCACTGGGAGTTCTTGAGAATCGCATGGACGACGCTACCGCATTTCAAGAACACGGTCAAGCCGTGGACGTTCTCAAGACGCAGTGGCGCAAAGGCCACCGTTCGCTCCGTAGGGGATCTCCATGGAAGTGTTTCGACGGTATCGACCGGATAATCAAAATCCGACGGGGCGGTGCTCGAGGGGATTGGCGCAAGGGCCCTAGGGGCGAAGTGGACAACTTTGGCGGAGGGATGGAAAAACAGGTCGTTCTCGGACGGTTTAAAAGAATTCGAGGTGCGGCGATTTCGCGGATTTAGTTTGGTGGGTAGAGTAGCAGATCGACGAATAGACTGTATCTGAGGCAGCGGCGCATCCGAGGGATCGGACATGGTTCATGAGGAACGATAGGTAGTGAACGTAAAAAGTATTATAAAGGAGGTTTACATTGGATGGATCAAATGAAAGATGATTACAAGAGAGATGGATAGATAAGAACAAAAGAAGGGAGGGCCATGAGAGAGACCGGTAGTAGGACAAGTAAGTGGAGGGAATGAATGACCAAGGAGTGCGACGGAGGGTGAGACAAGGAGCGATCGAGCATCATCGCCATCCCGCGTGATTTGCCTTCTCCTCGGCGGGGAGTCGGCAATTCCAGTCAATGCCTGCATGCCTTTATGCCTGAGGCAGGACAGTTAGGTGGGGCCGCGCGGCTCTGCAAGCGCCCGACTAGCGGCTGCTTGGCCAATGTCACGCGGCAGCCATAGATTGACGGTTGCCTGTGTTGCTCTGCGTTTGCCTCCTTGTCTTCCCCTCGTTCCTCTCCCCTATTCCCTTCTATACTCGACACTCGAGGAACGTCGTCATGCCGAACTTCGAACCCAACGCCGTGATTCGCGGCTTCCAGCTCACCGTCGTTGGCAGTAAGTTTGACTCCTAGTCCCTGCCCATCATTGCTCAATCCGGAAAACTCGGATGTCCGAGATGCCCAATGTCAACGAACATGCGGGACTCCTCCACCTCCATGCGTGAACCGTAAGACATCTCAAGCCAAGATCACCCTATGCAGGGATCTACCTTGGTTTGCAGCGAGCGAGACTCTGATGGCGTCCAATAATGTTCATCTTACTTCCATTTACTTCCAGAAGCCGGTATAGATGCTAACTCCACGGAACAGCTGTTCGGGCACTGCGCAACCCCGAATTGTTCAAATCCGAGCACTTCCGACAGGCAGCTTTGGCTATTGTGGTTGGAATCGTTATCCAATTCATCATCCAGATTCCGGTACGCTCAATCATCTAGCATCTTTGAATCCTAGTTACCCAACTAACACTCCGTATAGATCATAGGTGTCAAATTTCTCCTGGTGATTGTATCGCTCTTTGTTGACTTAGAGGCCGTTACTTGGGATGACACCATTCTGGAATCTCTGGACTTCTTGAACAAATCTGTTCTCCAAGTCCCGTTCCTACTGATGACCTTAATGCGATATGTTACTCCGACTCTAGATGGCATGTAAGTTTTCTGTCCGTCTCGGAAGTTTCCAGGAGGTACTAATGGATTAGCTTCATGCAATCTCTGCAATGGGTCGATTATACATACGTAAACAAGCACAAGTCGGACGACCCTGCGACTCTGCGGGCCATGTACTATCCCAACCTTATCAAATACTCGACCCACGGCAGCGCAGGTGTGTCTAAGCCTGTCCCGGACGCTCTGGTCGCCTTCATGGTCCGGTACGGTCGAAAAGTCGGAATGATGTTGGCGGTATTCATTCTTTCGCTTCTTCCCATCGTTGGTCGATTCGTGATGCCGGCAGTCTCTTTCCTCTCTTTCCAGGACTTCGTTGGAACCACACCCGCTGCCGTCATCTTCGGAACTGGTCTAGTGCTTCCCAAGAATTTTGTCGTCACCTTCCTTCATACCTACTTCTCGTCCCGCAGCTTGATGCGTGAATTGGTGAGTGGAATTTGCCCATTTAATCGACCGATCTTTCTTTCTGACAGTCATCAGTTGGAACCCTACTTCTGCCGCGTCAAGTTCACCAAAGAGCAGAAGAAGCGTTGGTTTTCCGATCGAGAGGGTGTACTATTCGGCTTCGCCTTCGCCTTCACCGTTGTTCTAAAGACGCCATACATTGGAGTTCTCATGTATGGCGTGGCAGAAGCATCCACCGCCTATCTTGTCACCAAGATCACCGACCCTCCCCCAAGCCCTGCCGACAGCGAAGGCTATGCCGAGAGCCAAGTGACGTGGAAGAACAAGCATGACTTCCTCCAGCTGTCCCTCGACAACATCGACAAAATCAACACGGCCGTTCACCAAAGCAAGGAGGCCACCAACCCTGAAATTCCCAGGCAAAAGTTTACCTAGATGTTCATTTCTACCTAAATAACACGTCTATAGAGCTTTTAGAGCTCCTCCATCGGCAGAGTCGGAAATGAGGGGGTCAACACGCCACCTGCCTCATCTCGACTGCCCAGAAATCCTTATCAAATAGCATTCAATCATATATAAAGCCAATTATAAATAGTGCCAATCCATGTTCTCCGAGAAGTCCCGCTGATAAGCGACACCGATAAGATCGCCAGAGGATGCGGGGTTGGAGATAACTTGCACTCCTCGTGAGGGGGATTTCCTTATAACCCCGTGGTGCAACCGTCCTTCTTCCTCGTATTCATTATCCGAATCTCTCTTCTGTCAAAATCATCATCATGGGTCAAAAAGGCATCCGCACCGCTCTTAAAGTCGATCTCGATAAGCCGGCATGGGAGCAACCCGGTCTGCATGTAAGTTTCTCTATAGAGATGAACGCCTCACTGGCATGTATTAATAATGAATTAGAACCGATGGCATCCAGACGGCACGTCACCACCTTATGATCGCTCGATCATGTCCGTCTAACGTTCATCTAGTTCCATCCACCGGAAAGATCGCGAATAATGAAGTCGTCAAAATCGAATGCCTCGACTGGACTGGCGGCCAAATCAAGAACAACGACTCCGCCGACGACGTCAAGAACGTTGACCTCAGTCAAATTCACTATCTATCCGGCCCGTTCGACATTGAGACAGCCGAGCCCGGCGACGTACTTCTGGTAGAAATCCAGGACGTTCAACCATTCGAGCACCAACCGTGGGGGTTTACCGGCATCTTCCATCCCCAGAATGGCGGTGGTTTTCTAGATGAGATCTATCCCAAGCCGTGCGTGATGTTTGACTTTCATTGGTTGTCTCATGCCTTCTAACGTGGAGAACCACCAGGGCAAAAGCCATCTGGGACTTTGAGGGAATCTTCTGCTCGTCCCGTCACATCCCCCATGTTCGCTTCGCCGGCCTCATTCACCCCGGTATCCTAGGCTGCGCGCCTTCCGCAGAAGTCCTAGCGGAATGGAACCGTCGCGAGGGCGAACTGATCACCACCAACACCACCAAACGGGATGTCGCGAAACCTCCCCTAGCACAGAGTACTCACGCCGGCAGCGCCAGCGAAAGTATCAAAGAGAAGGTCGGAAGAGAAGGTGCCCGAACCATCCCAGTACGTATCCACCACATCAGCCACCACACATCCCCGAATCTAACAACCAACAGGGCCGCCCCGAACACGGCGGCAACTGCGACATCAAGAACCTCTCTCGAGGCTCAAAAGTCTATCTCCCCGTCCACGTCCCCGGCGCCAAATTCTCCGTCGGCGACCTCCACTTCTCCCAAGGCGACGGGGAGATCTCATTCTGCGGCGCCATCGAAATGGCCGGCGTGATCACCCTGAAATTCACCGTTCTCAAGAACGGCATGGCCAAGCTCGGCATGAAGTCTCCCATCTTCCACCCAGGCCCTGTGGAACCGCAATTCGGTCCCGGCCGCTACCTAACTTTCGAGGGTTTCTCGGTCGACGAGACCGGCAAGCAGCATTATCTAGATGCTACCGTCGCGTACCGCCAGACTTGTCTGCGGGTCATCGAGTACCTGCGTCGGTATGGGTATAGTGATTATCAGATCTATTTGCTGTTGAGTTGTGCGCCGGTTCAGGGCCATATTGCGGGTTTGGTGGATATTCCGAATGCGTGCACCACGTTGGGGGTGCCGATGGATATCTTTGATTTTGATATCCGGCCTGAGGCGGAGGTCGTGAAGAGGGATATGGGAAGTTGTGCGTTTGCGAGTGATTGAGTGGCATTTCTTATTACTGGGGAGTTATCTACTTACCATCGCGATTGCCTGCCGATGTATGCTTATTGTTTATAGTTAATGATCCTTTCTATGAAGCCTTGTAAAGAACGTCCAGCTTAACTACTGATAAAAAGCAGTAAACATCTACACATCCGTCCACCCATCCTCCCCAATCTCCTGAAAATCCATCACCTTCCCCAACCCCCCAAACCTCCCCTGCGTATCCCTCCAATTCCTCCCCACCGCCGTCTCCGGCCTCCAACGCACCACATCCCTCACCTCCCTGATCAATTTCCCCTCCAACGCATCCGCAATGAACCCGCCAATCGCCGGCATCTGCATCGCCCCATTCCCCGACCCTCCCACCGCAACCACAAGCGACGGATGCTCAGGGTGTCGATCAATCAAGAAAGCCCGGTCAGGGGTATCCGCGTCCCAGCAGATGCGCGCAAACGCCAGCTCCCGATCCGCTAGATGGGGCATCGTATCGCGCAGAAACGAGCGCGCACGAGCCTCCGCTTCTTTCGGGATCTGGGTCTTCGCGAACGGCACGCTTCGAATCTCGTTGTTGTGGTTTGGGTCAGGGATAAAGTTACAGTATCCGGGATGTTCGTCGCAGATCTTCAACTCGTGGTGGTCGACGTCGGGTTCCATGAAGAAGCCTTTCGCGATGTTGAACAGCACCGGGAGATTGCGGTACAATGCGGCTTCTTCGGGAGTCATGCGGATATGGCAGAGCGTCCAGGCCGTGGGGCGTAGCTGTTTCTTGAAATCGAGAAGTCGGTCGCTAGTCGCACCAGCTGCTAGGATGGTCTGGTCGGCGCGGTGAAGGACCCCGTCGGCCGTTTGCGCGCCGATCACGTCCCCGTCTTCGTATGCGAGACACTGCACGGCTCCTGCCGGGGAGCCCGTGATGAACCTCACCCCGAGACGCTGCGCCTCGGTGTACGCGCTTACCATGGCCTTTTGGGCGTGGATCCATCCGGCGCCGGACTTGCTGAACCAGCCTTTCCAGTTGGGGAATGGGCCGGTGAGGACGCCGGGGGGCATGGTGTTGTGGAAGTCGTCGGCGGTGGTGAGCTCAGTGAAGGAGTCTTTGACAGGGTCGATCTCGTTTTCCCGGATGTGCTCGATCAGCGCTGGGGTGTGGGCTGCTACGATGGAGCCGGTTTCGTGGAAGTAGGGCTGGAAGATAGGATCTGTTCGCCAGCCCTTCAGGGCGGCGCGGGAGCAGGTGGCGAACATGATGCTTCGGGGGTCGGTTTCCGTGTCTGATACATGTTAGATCTTGGTACAGGAGTCGTAGGTCTGGGTGGGAAAGTGGTGTGAGTGATTTGAAAGTACCTTTCAGTTCTCGATGCTCCATGATCTTGTTGATATCATTGCCTGCTGCAATGGGCGAGGGAATTGGATATGGGTCGAGTACGATGACATTGGTATAGCCCCGACGCGCAAGATGCAAAGCCGTCGAGCATCCCCAGGTACCTCCTCCGACGATGAGGATGGACGAGGTCAGACTGAGAGAGGACATCTTGATACGCTGTAGACAGAAGCACACGGAAGAGATGAGGATATATCAAGAAGACGGACCAGGTCAATCATGCCACGACCTAGACAACTAGTTCCTAGTTGCGACTAAAGTGATTAGTTTGAGGTTAGTTGATTCCCCGCTCGGCGGCTGGACCTTCCTTCGTCTTTTCCTTGCTGGCTTGGCTTGGATATCAAGTTCTCGCCATCTTGACAGTAGCTTCACTCAATGTGTCTCCACCTCTCGTCTCTTCGTCTAAATCTCGTAATCATGGCTTCCTCCTAAGCCTAGTCATTTATCGTATCGTGTTTAGTTTCGGGTGATCCTTCGTAGTTCGCCACAATGGAGCTAATTCTGCGCCATAGTTCATGCGTCGCTGCGTAGCGAAGAGAATCATTGAAATGCCATACTCCGATCACACAGTCCCTCTGCACGGAAAGTACTAGAACTTCGTCTCTAATACCCGCCCATGTCTGGCTCTGAGAGTGAACTTGTTTGAGCCTACACTGCGATGATAATGATATTCGTACATGCTGATAATGCATACCAGAGACGTAGACTATATAGAACTTTTACTTTGACTGTCATTTCAATTGACATTGTTATTTATGATCTGTGGTCTTGCTGGTGTGTTACTGTCTGGCTCTTCTGTCCAAATTGTTGGCTTCCGTCACTCGGTAAATATACCTTTTCGATGGTGAGCAGATACACTGAGCATCGAGGAAGGCTTTCTGGGTTTAGAAAATTCATATGATGGACCAAGTATGATACGATGGAAGCGATAATCTCCGGTTCGCGACGCGGGGAGATTCAAGACCGGGCTTGGATGAACCAAAGGACAAGGTATAGAAGATATCAAAAATACGTGAAATCACGACAATGCAGAGCCGTATGCTGGAATTCGCTTGTTTATAGAATAGAAGTAAAGAAGTGAGGGGGAGAGAAGAGGGAAGAATTCATGTAATCATGAATCATGAACCATCGTAGATTTTGCTGGTCTCGCGATAGGTCACTTGGTAAGACGTGCTTCTTACGAGAAGAACTTTTGGGCAGTGGCGCGTTCCTTGGCCTCTCGGTCCTTGACGGCCTTCTTCACCCGGGCAACTTCGTTGGTGATACCCGCATCATTGGGGGCCAGTTTAGACGCCTGCTCGAGATCCTTCAAAGACTCATCCTCCTCCTTCAGGCCGGTGCTGGCGACGGCACGGCGGTAGTAGGCCTTGGCCCGGTCGGCGTCCTTAGCGTTGGCGGCATCGGCCACCTCGAGCGCGTACGTGGCCCAGGTCTGGCCGTTCTTGAACTGGCCCAACTTGTTGGCCAGCAGGGAGGAGTTGGAGTGGAGGGTGAAGCGCAGCGCCTTCATCTGGCCCTCCAGCTCCTTGGGGTCGTTCTCGTCGGGACCGGGAAATTCGTTCAGATAGCGCAGACCCTTCTGGTACTTGTCCAGACCAACGGTGAGGTTTCCGCTCTTGAAAGCGGTATTTCCGAAGTTCTTCAGCTCCGAGGCGATCTTGAAGCACACGGGGGCGTTCAGCTCCTCGCCCTGGTGGTCATCAGGAAAGTCCTCGTAGGGATCGCCGGTCACGTCGGGGATCTGCTTGTCGGCATCGTCGTACTCCTGGCCGGTCAATTCGCCGCAGTCCACGATCGTCACGTCGACGTTGGGCTTATCCGCCTGAGTAGACATGTTCTCAATCTTGCGAACAACGCTCTTTCCGTTGATCACCTCGCCGAAAACCACATGCTTGCCATCCAGGTGGGGGGTGGGGACGGTGGTGATGAAGAACTGGCTGCCGTTGGTTCCGGGACCGGAATTGGCCATGGAAAGGAGGAAGGGGCGATCATGCTTCAGGTCGAAGTTCTCGTCGGGGAATTTCTCGCCATAGATCGATTCACCACCGGTGCCGTTGAATGCGGTGAAGTCACCACCCTGGATCATGAATTGTTTGATCACACGGTGGAAGATGGAGCCTAGTTACGCGGCAGGAAGCGGGTAAGCAAGGTTGCCTGCATATTGCACGATGCGGGACGGAAGTGGGGGAAGAGAGAGAGAAGAGAGATAGAGATCAACGTACCCTTGAAGCTCAATGGCTTGCCCTGCTTTCCAACACCCTTCTCTCCGGTCGAGAGAGCACGGAAATTCTCCGCAGTCTTAGGGACAACTACGACGTGAGTTAGAAACGGCCATGACGAAACCCGAGGGGCGCGCAAAGCATACCATCGTTGAACTAGCGGGGTAGTTAGCGACAAGACGGGCTCACAGAGCATGTAGGGCAACGACATACCAGTTCAAGGGCAATGCGACCGGTCTTTTGCTTGCCAATCTGAATGTCGAAGAAGACACGAGGACGACCTATTGTCGCAGCACATCAGTAAATGGTAGGTAGCTTCGGAGGGGCCGAAGAAAGAAAGAGATCCACGCACGCTGAGATTCGGCCATGACGGTAGAATTACGGGAGAGTAGGAGAGGAAGGTGAAAAGTGGATATGAAGATTGGGGAGGCGATCAATGAATCCCAGGCGAGTCGAGACTGGAGAGGGAAGAGCAGAGAGCGCAGGAAAGAAGAGGAAGTGAGCGGGGAAGAAAAGAGAGAAGAGAAGAGGAAAGAAGCGCGCAGGCAGAAAAGGTGGAGGCGGCTTCACGAAGCTTCCATGCAACCTCCGCATCAACGGCGCTTTGAACAACCCCCCAGTTGCTTCCCCAACTGGTCCTGCGTTTCTGACCGCATTGTGGAGTGTGTGTCTATTTTATCTATGTAGGGGGGTCGGTATAACTAGTCTATATGTCGAAGGTCTATTTACAGGGTATCATTCATTAGGGTCACCACCCATCCTTTACTCCAAAAGCGAAGCCGGCAATTTGAACTCATACGACTTCTTCTCGCCTTCCGCTGACTCGTCGCTTTCCTTCTTCTTCTCCTTTTTCTCGCTCGGGGGCAGTTTTGTGCTGATTTCGATCGTCACCTGTATCATGAAATCGTTAGCCAAACCTCGTACTCTCCAAGTCCAGAGCAGCCGACAAAAGAGAAAACAAGCAAGCAATAGATTGCTTTACCGCCGCATCGTGACTGCGGTAGTTCACACCCACCGGCCCATCGTTTCGTAGGTCGACATCCATCATAGCCTGGAAGACGCCGTTTTGCACCCTCTCGGGTTTGTAGGCAGCACGCATTTTCTGGAAGAAATAGTCGTACAGTCGGCGTGCGGTTTCGACGTCGGCGGCTCCGTTGAAATTGGGTTTGGCTTTTTTCATGTCGCCGTAGAGTGTGAATTGTGACACTGCGCATGAGATTAGTTGACCTGTTCGTCCAGGCGCAACATGCGCTCGAGACCCGGACACGTACCACAGAGCACCTCTCCCTCAATGTCCTGCACGTTCTTCTTCCACTGCGTCGGGACATCTCGTCAGTACTTGGTTGATGCCAGCTCCTAGTCGCATGGTCACCCACCTGTCCGCCATCCTCATCTGCTGGCCACAGCTTAGCCCTCAATATGCGCCCGACCATCGTATCCATATCTTTCTCCGTGTCTTCTTTCCCCACGCCCGCCAAGACCAATAATCCACGACCGATCGAGGAGATCTGTTGGCCGTCGACGGTGACCGAGGCGGACTTGACTCGCTGAAGAACCGCTATTCACACGAATCAGTTTACATCTTGTTGGAATTCAACAGCAGTGACGGCGCACCCTTCATGGTTTGACAGTTCGCAGAAACTAGAGCCTTGTCGCAAAGAGTAATTTCAAAGGTTCGAACGGAAGATAGAGAAGTGGTTCAGTGACTAGGATATAGAGACAGGGTTGAGCAATATCGATCGACCTGACTAAGTAGGACCTACAAAGAACAATAATTAGTTCGCTGCTGTGGGGGAAGAACCGCAAGCGGCATAACATTTCTTTCATACAAATTCACGGACAAGCGATCAGGCTGAACCACAGCTACTAACAAGGATGGAGAGAAGTTAATAAATGTACAAAATCTCGATAGCAGGTGAATAGCAGGGTAAAGCGTGAGTGAGCGAAGAGAAGACGACGCGAAGTTGATGGGGAAACAGAGCGATTCGCCTCTTGTGACGAGTCCAGAAAGCGGTGTCACGGGTCTTGGCGGTAAACCCGTTTGGGAACTTCGGCGAATCTATCGAAGCGCATCAGGAGGTTCACTCTCACTCTCTCGTCATTGTTGTCTCCCAATTTCACCTTGTTCCCGCCCCTGACGAACCACAATTGTTTCCGCTAAAAGTTGCCCAGCAACCTGCGTCAAGACCATCCTCACTTTCTCCGGATTCTTAGCGACCGGGGGATTCCATTCGATCTCCAACCCTACATTGCTCCCGGCAGCTACTACCTCCCCCCCCACACACACCCTACGACTTTGACGACGCGAAAGACTCGCAAGAACCTGGGCCGACTGTTCCCATGAAACAGCAATCATGACGTCCCGAAAGACACAACAAGAGATCGACAAGACCTTCAAGAAGGTGGCCGAAGGGATCCAACAATTCGAAGGTATCTACGAGAAGATCCGTTCGACAACGAATGCCACGCAACGGGATAAACTGGAGGAGAATCTGAAACGAGAGATCAAGAAGCTCCAACGGTATCGCGACCAAATCAAATCATGGGCTTCGGGCAATGAAGTCAAGGACAAAGGACCGCTGCTGGAGCAGCGTCGAGCCATCGAAACTGTGCGCTAACGAATTTCCCCTCCTCACACCAATCCTCACCTCGATGTTGACACCATCCATGAGAATGCGATCAAGCTAACGGCGGTGTAGTGTATGGAGCAGTTCAAGGCAGTGGAGAAAGAGATGAAGACCAAGGCATACTCCAAAGAAGGTCTATCCGCCGCTTCGAGACTTGATCCGAAAGAGAAAGAGAAGGTGGAGACGTGCGACTTCCTGTCCAATATGGTGGATGAGCTGCAGCAGAAGATCGAGGCCATGGAGGCTGAGGAAGAAACTCTGCACATGCAAGTCAAGAAGGGCAAGAAAGACGTCTCCAAGACGAATCGATTAGCGGACCTTACCCGAATCAACGAGCGACATAAGTGGCACGTCAACAAGCTCGAACTTCTGCTACGGTCCCTGCAAAATGGCGCCATCGAAGTCAACCAGGTGATCGATCTCAAGGAGAGCATAAAATACTACGTGGAAGATGGACATAACGTGGATTACTCCGGAGAGGACGAGACCCTCTATGACGATCTAATCTTCGGAGACGAGGTCGACGGTCAGTATGCAAATGCCGACAACGACCGAGTCTCATCACAAGATACGCAATCGGTGCAAGAGGATGAATCGGAACCCAAGCCCAAGCCCAAGAGCAGTAGCGAAGCAACGGGGCCGCGACGGCCGTCCGCGCAGATGAAATCGCCGCTGCCTGTGCTCGCGACCTTGCACCCGTCGACCTCCACCAGCGCTACGTCTGGTATGAAGCCTGCGCCACCACCAACGCGTCTGCCTGGTGAGACGCTCAAGTACGCCTCGGCGGCGGCGGCGGCGGCTGCCAGCGACAAGAACGGCGTCGGGATCGCACCCCTCCCTCCACCACCGGGCGCCAGCCCTGCTTTCCCGGTCGCAGTTCCCGCCTCGAAAGCTTCGTCAACCGCCTCACCCAGCGTCTCGTCGGTCCAGCCAGCCATCCGAACGACATCAACTCCGGCCCCGACGACAGATGAGCCCAGCGTACGGTCGAAAACTCCTGCCATCAGTCCTAACATCGCCACTGCAAATGCCGCCCCCGCCCCTTCGAATACGGTGGCACCCCCTCCCGCGACGGACAAGGCGGAGGCCACGACAACGACCCCGGCCACTCGGGGAGCGTCGACCGTCAATGGAGATTCGAGCAGCAAGGAAGAGAGCAGCGATTCGGTATATCACCTGCCTCCGGGCCTGCAAGACCTGATCCACTCGTTCGAGGTGACCAAGACCCGAGCGTCGACGACCTCCTCGAATCCGCCACCGTCCGTCCAACGACTTCTGGCCGCATCATTGTCCACATGCCCCGAGCCGGCAGACGCCGAGAAGCCCCGACATTACAAGCCGCAGAACCCGTACAACACGCCCCTCTACTACCCCCAGGAACCGCTGTCCATTTTCGACGACCCGCGGTTATACGACACGGGGCGCATCGACACGGACACGCTTTTCTACCTGTTCTATTACCGACAGGGGTCGTATCAGCAATTCCTGGCGGCCAAGGCACTGAAGAACCAGAGCTGGCGATTTCACAAGCAATACCAGACCTGGTTCCAACGACACGAGGAGCCGAAGACCATCACCGAGGAATTCGAGCAGGGGACGTATCGGTTCTTCGACTACGAGAGTACATGGTATGTTTACTGCCTTCTCCTTTATCTACCAGCGATGATGAAGACACGCAGGCTAACATGACGCAGGATGAACCGACGCAAGGCGGACTTCAAGTTTGTGTACAAGTATCTAGAAGATGAGCTATAATGTGAGAGGCTAGGCAACAAGCAATGTCATTCATGGAGATTCATATGTATTGATTCGCATTCCCGGGGCGAGAAGAGAAAAGGCAGAAACAGTAGCGGGACGGAGAGAGTCATTTTGAACGAAGCAAGAAGAAAGTCGACTACCTAGTCTGACCGACCGGCCGGTTGACTGACTCCAAACAGAGAACTTTGAGGAGACAGTGGTGCCTTTTTCTGTTCTTTTTCTATCTTGTTTCTTATTCACGTTCTTCCCATGCTACTTTTCTTCTCTTCTTCTTTTCTTCTTCCGGTTTTCTGTTTATTTTGACTTCCATCCAATTATCACTTGTTTGATCGTTCGAATGCATATTTCAGGCACGAGGAAATGAAATGGGACCTTGTGGGACAGGGGGGAAGGGAGGAGTTTTTTTTTTTTATTTATCTGTTTTGTTTCGTCTTGACTCTGCGCTATTCTTACGTGGCGGCTGATGGGGTCTACAGCCATGTCCTTGTTACCTTACTCACCCCGTTGGCCTCGACTTTGTTTTTTTTTAAGAATGAATGAAAACGAATGGTCTGTCTTGTCGGATGATATTTACTTGTCTTCCTTCCTTTTTTTTTTTTTTTTTTTTCTATCACTTTCGTCACCTTGTTATGAAAAGTTCTGTTTGTAGAACGTTTTGATTCTGCCGGGGGGGCTTTAGAGTAATCCTGGTTTATATCATCCTGAAAGAAGGGTCCGATCTTCGTGGATTGTCGAATGATGACTGAGAGCCTTCCATAGTTCGAAGTCTATATAGCACCTCAACTGTCCTATCAACACAACAAAACAGCTCTCTATTTCACGCAACACATATTGTTACAGAAGGGGGCCTAGCTATTCTACTAACAACTTCCTTGCAATTATTAAACTCCCTTGTGCGGCAACCAGGTATAGTGCTGTAATTTTATCAATAGATTCTGCCTTTCTTTATTCGTTTTCTTACAAGTTTTGTGCATATAGATGCAGAATGTGCTGTATAAGAACCATGGGCCTTAGAGAGGGTTTGCAATAAGTGTGCAAGGTGATAATTATTAGGAAAGGGCGTCGCGAGGTAGAAGTTTTAAGAATAAGGTCAATATTGTAGAAGAATAACTAGTTATCGTGGCTCAGCCCGCTGCTGAGTCATCCACGAAAGCTTCCGTAGCCCAACCTGGAAGATCAGGAAATCCCATTATAACAGCACCAATTGTTGGTGCTCAATAGTAGCCACATACCACCAATACTCACTAAACACAACAGCTGGCTTGCTGAGAAGAAACGGCAAGATCAAACACGGACTAGCCAATCAAGGATAATCACCCTCATTAAAAAGGAACAGGTCACCGGGTTCCTGCCCTGGATCTCGATCAATCATACTGAAGCAATTCTCCCCGTTCTGTTTCTTTGCTTTTTCTCGTTAACCCTGTCTGCCTGCCTGCCTCCCTCCAGGTTGATTTAGCCCGTTCGCCTCACTGAAGAAGGGCAACCCTGACATGCGGTATTTTTTATTTCCCTCACAGAACTCTCTTTGGCGATGACCTTGTTCTTCTACCATCTCGGTAATAATCATCATCAGCGGCATCATGATGATGAACGGACCTTGCAGAGAGAGGCTGTGCGTATGGATTGGGTGGACCTGTTCACTGGCAGTGGCACCAGAAACCCCAGACCCAGCCAAACTGGCCCGACCGAGCGAGAGAGCGGCCGACCAACCCGAGGAGAAAGAGAGGAAAGAAGGCTAGAAGCTAAGGTCGGAAGAAAAGGAAAAGGGAAAAATCCACCGACCGACCAGCAACGGGACCTCCACCGTACTTTGGGCACAAGGCTGTCAATTGTCGAATCATAAAGACAGACAAGTCATTCGCTGCGGATCGTTGACGAAATCGGCCGGAAAAAACGTGCCGAGCGCGGTCTTTGCCAAGCCGTTGCGTCGGTCGGACAATTTGTCGTTGTTCTTTTTGTTCTTCCGTCCTTCTAGCGCGGAATGCACGATGGGGAATGGTTGCCAACGCACAGGTGGATTGGACGTTGAGAACTAACCGGGAGGAGCAATTGGGAGGAGAAGGGAGAGAACAGGGGGGGATCATCCCGGGACCTGAACACCTGATCCGTCCGATGTTCCCCAGACTTCCAGTTACAACTTACTACCTAGATACGAGATTGATCTCTCCAGGGTGAAGACCAAAGTAACTTCCCCTATCTCCCTGTCGGAGGTCTCCGAGGGTCCAACCATCCCCCTTGTGAAGACCAACGAATAAGCAACGTGCACGATCATAAGTGACTGATCAGATCATCATTCGAGCCGCAATGTGGACTCCCCTATGACGATGACGAGGGAAGCAACTTCCAGTCTTCCACCGTCTTTCCCGTGTGTGCAGGGACCCCCTGCACACCTGCCCCAATCCGGCCCCGCTAGAAGGGTGAAAAGAAGGCTAAGAAGGTTCGATGACTTCGATTCCTTTTCTAGCGGCCTTCCTTGTCCTTTTAGTCGGGGATCCGCATCACTTCCACGCCCCCTCCACCACCAATCACTGGTGCCCCGACCGGGGCTGTGCTTATGATTGATCTCGACCTTTTTTTTAATTTTCAATATTTTTTTTTCTCCTTTTTCCCCTCATTTCTGAGATCCGCCGATCTAGCTTTCTTGTCACTGCCTGCACGCCATGCTCAGGTGACGGTCGCGGGGAGAGGAAGCGCCAGAGAGCGTCTGAGAAAGTCCGGAGATGTTCGTGTTTGACGGCCACTCCACTTCGTCCGACTAGTCTAGTTTAGTCTAGTCTGACCGGTGGAGCCTGGAGATATTCTGATTTCTGCTATTTCTCCTGCATGTGCGACGTAGTCTGTTGATGATGGCAGTCCATGCATGCTGTGATCCAAATTATAAAATCCCCGTCAGTCCCTCGGTCTGTGACCTCGAAAAAAGATCTGAGGACTTTGCGTGACTTCACTCTCTCTGACCTCGACGAACTTTTGGAATTGTCCTTCCTTTGACTTGATTGACTTACTTGACTCCACTTGCCTTGGCTTCTTTCCTTGGTCCTGCTTCGCCGTCCCTCCTTCGCCCATCATGTTCGCGCAACAATATTCAATGGTACACAACCACCACCCCAATTCCCCTGCGCGTATACTCTAATTTAAACACATAAATTAGAATCACGTAAAAATATGTTCTTAAAAAAAGGCAATAAAACTAACTCCTCCTTCTAGAGCCCCAACCCCCCGTCATGCCCTCCCATGGAACCCTCGTACTCGACCAGCAGCGAAGACTCGATCCAATCCATGCCCTACTACTATGCTAGCTACCCTACCGACTTCGAGCTGCCCTTTCAGCCTACCTCGTCGCCGTCATATGCGCCGTCGTATGCGTCCTCCTCCTTCAGCGCATCGTCATACAACTCCCCTGCGTTCAGTACCTGCGATTACACCACTCCTCCGCTTGCCTACTCTGCCCAGCCGATGCAAACAAACAATGCCACCTACTTTGCGCCCATGCAGTCGCCCATGCAGTCTCACTGCGTGTGGAGCGCTCCCGCAGGCCCTGTCCCTGCAGCGGTCGCATCGGCCGGCGCAATGCCGCCCGTGGAGGAGGTCCTGATCACGGACGCCGACGAGGTAGACATGGACATGGACATGGAAACGGACCTGGATCTGGACCTGCAACAACAATACCTAATGGAGTCACCGAAGTAAGTCACCGACACCTAGTCCACCACCTTGGCCGCATCACTAACAACCTCCCTCCATAGATCGATGCCCGCCATGACCATGCAAATGCCCATGCCCATCCCCACAGACTTCCAATCCAGCCCCAGCGCCTGCTCCAGCCCTGCCTCCACCTCGACCTCCCCGTCCAGCACCAAGCCATTCTCCTGCGATTGCGGTCGCGCCTTCACGCGCCCGGCCGACCTGAAGCGCCACCAGACCAGCGTCCACAACCCCGTCTTCCAGGACTGTCCGGTGGAAGAGTGTCTGCGCAAGGCTGGGAACGGGTTTCCGCGACGAGACCATCTGATCGAGCACTTGCGGTCCTATCACCATATCGATGTGCCGAAGCGGCGGGCCGTGAAGAAGGGGATGAAGGTTTCGTCTTAGCCCCCCCGTTTTCCTCGATTGTTTATGTCTTGATGTTTGTTATGTTGGTTTAGTTTCTTTTTCTTTCTTTTTCGTCTTTCTTTCAGGGGATGATGTGATGTGATGTTGATGCACGTGCCACGACTTCATGCTTCATGGTTCTAATTCATGTTATGTTATGTTTCTTTGACACGACTGATGGGTGGGATGCGGCGTTTGAGAGACGGAGTTGGCTGATTTATTGATGCATTTTCTTTCCACTTCCTTTCTTTTCTGTTTATCTTCTTCTCCGGGTGTACAGGACGGTTCTCTGCCCTTCTTCTTCTTCTTTTGATGATTGATCCGGGTAGATAGGAATGGCGTTGTTCGTTCCTTGACTCTACCATTTCATTCAATCGACCCGATCCCATTAATCCATTGGATCATGCACAATATATTCATGACTATTATTTATATTATGATTTCCTTGATTTCCTTCAATGTGTTTTTATTGTTATGGTTGTCAATTTTCATGTACTACCTCCTATGACATAATAACTCGATGATCGTCACTTTTTTTCTGCCCCGAAAAATTAATAAATCAATTAATTAAGTTCAACAAAGGAGAAAAAGGGAAAAATCGGGTAATCGGGAAGAAAAAGGGCGCTAGCAAAGAAGGCGGTGTTAGGCGGTGCTTTGTATGACGTCATGTGGCGAACAAAGGATGACGGGTCGGGGAGCGACTCCGCGGAGAGAAAAGTGGCTAGCTTATGCATGATTCTGTTATGTCCACTTTGTCTTACCTTAGGACTAGGTGTTAACTGTTAAGGTAGGTAGTTACTAGTTAGGTACATCGTAGGGCTCATGTAAAGTAAACTTAAACTGTTGATTTGTTACTTCCATTGCAGGAACCCGATGGATACTTCGGTCTGTGTGTTCTGATTGGTCACTTCTGGGATAAGTTCAAGGGATCTGGGGTTTTTAAGTGCTCCGTTGGGATCGGATCGGATCTCATCTCCTTCATCTCTCTTGCTTTATCTCTAGGTTTGCTCCACTCTCAATCATAATAACCACAGGTCTTGAAGATTGATCAGGTAAGCAATACATCCACTACCTAACCTCCCTCACCTCACCCTCAACCTACAGAGTCATACAGTAGACTACCTAGGCACTCACGCACTCCAACCTACACTGGGTACCAATGAACCAAACACAATCTAACATCTAATCAGATAACTACCTACCTACCTATTTACTTTATCCATTCCATCTATTCAATTCCACCTATTCAACATGGAAGTCCAGTCAACATCTCCTCCCACTATATCCCCTTCTCAACCACAACAACAACAACAACAACAACAACAACAACAACAACAACCTAAAGCCCAAAACCAAGACCACAAAAACAAACATCCCCATCCCCACCAATCCATATCCACAACCAGCACAACCACGACCACCCGCTCCATCCACCGCATAAAATCCCACCCCTCCCTATCCCCCTTCCGCCGCCGCATCTACCTCGTCCTCCTCTCCATCCCACCAGGCCGATGGACCACCTACGCCGCACTAGCCAGATACATGGCCACTACCAGCCCCAGCACCTCGTCGTCTTCTTCTCCTCCTTCTTCTTCTTCCTCTTCAACTACAACAACAAACAACCCTAACGCCACCCCCAACTGCAAAACACAACCTAGAGCAAATCCCAAAGGCGCAATCGGCAGCGCCCGCGCCGTCGGCACCGCTATGCGCACGAACCCTTTCGCCCCGGACGTCCCGTGCCACCGGGTGCTTGCGTCCGACGGCACGTTGGGTGGATATATGGGTGACGGGCCGAGTACTGGGGGGAGGAATCTGCAGAGGAAGAGGGAGATGTTGGAGGCTGAGGGGGTCAGGTTTTTTGGGGAGGGGGATGGGGTGGAGGGGAAGATGGGAAGGAAGGGGAAGGAGATTAGGGCGCAGGGGGAGTGTTGGGTTGATTTTGTGGGGTGAACTTTTTGTACTATTTTTTTGGGGGGGGAGGATAGGGGGGTGTTTGGATGTGGATTGGTTTGGAATTGTTGTTGTTTCTGAGGATGGAGTTGTGATTTCTGTTTATGTTTAGTTTCATGCATTCAATTATAGGCGTAGCTACCAGGTATTTGCTATCTTACCAGACTTCATACCCCCAAATCCTTCCATCTAGATAACCAAGGTTCTATCTAGATACCCCACGCTCCCAGCTAGACACCAGGTCATCTAGCAGGAACAGCAACCTCCTCATGCACCATCCCCACCTCCGCATCCAAAACACTATTCTTGCGACTCGCCGCATCCACGAACCCCGGATTCTCCGCCTTCAGACGCGCAAACGTCCGCTCCGCATCCCACACCCACGGCGTCTCCGCCGCAAAGAGCAGATCCATATCTTCCAGCGTGCGCTGGTTGCTTTCGGGATACAGCGCCCACACCATCGGGATGGTGATTACGTTGCTGGCGGCGAAGACGTACAGGGTTTTTTCGCCGATGGATTCGAACATTACGGGGCAGAGGAGGGTCTGTTTTTTTTGGGGGGCGGGTTCAGTGGTTAGTTGAGTTCGGGTTTAAGGGGGTGGTTTGTGATTTGGATAAGAAGGGGATGGATGGGTGGGACCTACCAGCCATCCGTTGCCGATACTCCAGCCTACTACGCCCCAGGCGTTGCCGCGCGCTCGTACCGCCAAGGGATAGATCTCTGCTGGGTAGATCCAGGGGACTGTGCTCTTGTTAGAGTCGAACTGTTTGTGGTTATTCGTGGGTGGGTACCTGTCAACCATGTGGCTCCGAATACCGAGGTAAAGATAAACACCATTGAAGCTGCGGCCGCACCGAACGAGTCCGCGCGGGAGGTATGCCCTGCATTCCGTGCGTCAATGGCCAGTCGCGAGAACCCTCCTGCCAGAAACATGGCGATGCCTTGAGCCGTGGAGCCCCAGTACAGCGTCCAGCGACGGCCGATGCGATCGAGCGTGAAGACGCAGATGAGAGTGGCGAACTATCTTGTCAGTTTTCATCCATAGTACCTAGAGATCTGGGGTACGCACCATATAAAACACGTTATTCAAACCACTGATCCACTGACTCTTCATCGAATCGAACCCCGCAATACTGAAGATCGTCGGCGCATCTGTTCCATGTCAGGACCATCACACAGCACGCAGCCTCGATCACTTACAAACAGTCACTCCAGCAATCCCAACCCACTCCTGCATGATCTGCAACCAGACGACCAGCTGCACTCGACGCCCTAGATGCAGTTTACCCGTCTTATACCCGAACAACATCGCCAGGTAGGATGTGCTATGGTTCATCGAGCGTTCCATCTCTGCGACGCTCTGAATATCTCGGAATTCGGCCTCCGCGCGAACGACATCCTCGTCGCTGCTCCCGCGCAATCGTCCGAGAATGTACCGCGCTTCTTGCTCGCGACCGACCTTGACGAGCCATCGAGGCGACTCGGGAAAGAACCACACGACGGCGAAGAGCAGGATGAGGAAGATGATCTGGAAAGCAATGGGGAATCGCCATCGGAAGGGGGAATTGCCGTTGTCGATGAAGGAGAGACCACTGCTTGCTGTTAGAAATGATTTCACACCCATATGACTTAGACCAGAGTGGTTCCTACAATTCCAGCCAGTACGCCAGCACGACGCCAAAAATGTTCAGGGTAAATTCAATCGCAATGAATTGTCCGCGGGAGGTATGTTCGGCCGTCTCGGTCGCCCACACGGGCACGATGGCGTTCAGAATCCCTGTTCCTATGCCATTGATGAACCGAGCTAGACATTCTTCTCATCAGCCATCCATTTATCCATCAAAAAGTCCCAGAAAAACCTACAACAAATCATCCAATTATGGTTCTGCGCCGAACACTGCAACGCCGCCCCCAGCGTCGCCCACACCGCACCCGCCGCAATAGTCCTGATTCTCCCCACGCGATCCCCGATCCAACCGCCCATGAAAGCGCCACACAGCGTGCCCAGATAATACACCGACACGATGCCCCCTTGCAGCAGACTATCCGTGACGACGGGCGACGGGTGTCCGTCCACCATCTCGGTGTAGCCGAAGCCCATCAGCTCGATGTAGTCTTTGGAGTTGTTCACGCCGGCCATCATGCCCTGGTCATAGCCGAAGAAGAGGATGGAGAGCGCGGCGACGCTGTTGATGCCGATCAGCAGTTTCTTTTTCTCGAGTTTGTGGACGACGTTCCATTTTGGGATTTGGTCGCACATGGCGATGGTGAGCTGGACAGAAGAGGGCAATCGGCAGGAACGGTGTATATAGATGAGAAGAAAGAATAAAATTGGCTCACAACCCTGTCAATAAATTCAGGACCCTTCTATCCTTATATCCCACCCCCACCTCATCCTCTTTCTCTCCGACACCGTCGAGAAAATGACCGAAAATGGTAGGACCGAAAACGCGGAGACATTGCGGGGTGACTTCGTGGGGTGGGAATTGTTAACAGTCAAGACTGAACTCTAGACCCTAGACTCTAGACTCCAAACAGTAGGTAGACTCAAGGGTAACATCGGTCCATGGCCGACTTGGCTGGATAGTGGGAACGACGATGATCGGCCCAGCCAGGCCGAGGCTATAGACCGGTCCGCGGGGGATGAATTCCCTCCGAGGTGCGTCCAAGAATCAGAACGGCATGCTGCATGTTCCAGTCGGGTGCGAGTGGGCTCCGATCAATTATCAGATCATGAATGCAGGATGTACTCCGTAGGGTGACTCACGCGGGGGACATCGTGAAGCCATTATTGTATCGGGCAGCCCCACGTTGGTCGAATATGGTTACATTCCGGGTGGGAGGATTCGGGAAAGGTTGGATCTGCAGTCGGTCTTCGGAGTGTCGTCATGATGTGGGGGTACATCTTTTTCTGCCGTTATAATTACTATAGACATAATAGAGGTGTTAGCTAGCTGTTGTGAAAAGATTTGTTCAAAGCGTCTAACTAGCGAGACCTGCGGAAGTATATTTCTGTACAGGAGAAGCCTACCACGGCGATCAAAGATGTTCCACTCGAAGCAATTGAGGTAATTCCGACAACTGTTGTAGAAAGAAGGATTCTTCTGGAGGCAGAGAGCCCTCCGCCACTCTCTTGTTGATGGTCATCGCGATCAGTCGGACGTTGGCGAGCTTGCTCCAGCGAATACTCATCGTGTTGATGTTCGCTAGACGCTCCCGCGAGGACGTCCTGGAGTTTGCTGGCCGTCGAAACCTCACGAACCGTATAGACTCCATATTCGGATATGTAGTGATTACCGGTTAGGGTTTGGGCCCCGGATAAGCTTTTGAGGTTCATTCATTGTCAGACAGGCCACATCAGTACCTTAGTAGATTACAGCACTATGATCAGCACGCACACTAAGTAAGACAGGACTGATAGATCATTAGTTTTGTACACTACGAGTCATATCTCCGCTGAATCAGAACAGCTGATACGTTCTGGTTAATGCAAGCAGCTCTCGATGTATTCCATTCCTATCCTTCTGAACGGGTTCGAGATAATTCATGACCGAGGCTCTCCCAGCCCCTCGCCGACCGTCCCTTCTTCAAAAAGAGGCGGCATGAAGCCACACTGACTGAAAAACAGATCGAACTCAGATCCTATAAGCCGTGACCTTTGCACATTTGCCTGCTCTCCACCTGCTTCTTTGCAGAGTACAGCAATGTTGAGAAGCGTCTCGGCTAGCGAGAGAAGCTGGTCAATGGCTTCAGAGACATTGCAAATTGTATGCAATGACCGGGCAAATTCAGAAGGCAGATGAAAATCAACGTCACAGGTCGACTCAATCGCGTGACAGAAAACAATGATAAACGGTATAAAGGGGCGCCAGTATAAGCGTCCTTATCTCAGTTAGTTAGCAGAAAGTACCCATATTGGATAATCATGATCATGTCAACACCTACTAGAGAACATAGCCCACCTGGCCTGAGACACTGTCTCCCAACATATTCATACACTGTAGATGGAACTGCATTGCATTCCGTGCGGAATGTATCCAGTCGGAGTTAAGCGTGTTTGATAGTTCCGATACGCCTACAACGCGGTATATGAGAGTCAACGTCGCGTGAAGTGTGACAAGTTCTGACCTCCAGCTAACATCAAGAGAGTTGACGCCATCCAACTGGTACTTCTCCGCAGTTTCCTTGCACGTGACATTCGTGAGGAGATCTGTGGTGACTTGCACTAAGGACTTGATTTCCTCGGCCAGAACTAGGCCACGCTGCATTCTCTGCTCAGGCGGTAAGAACAGTGCTGCGAAGCAATACAACTCGTCATAAATTTACCCTTGGACTTCCGAGTGTCGGACCCACAGATCGAAGAAATGTTGTGAAGTGTTGATTGAAGACGATGAGCTCGCTGTCACAGGTATACTGAGATCTTGATCTCGAAAGGCCGACGATCTACCTAGTCTCAAGGCCAGCCCCTTGTCTATCATATACGCGTATCAGAAAGAGTTCGCTTTGGAGGATGGCTGGACATTGTTGTTGGATAGACCGGCGCTCATAGGAAGGCGATGGTAGCCCAGTGTCTCACACATATGAATCGCCGAATGATTCATCTTCCAGGCGAGTTCTTCTTTGCAAGTTTAGACCAGTGAATATGATAGTGTATGTTGATATTAAGACTTGACATTTTACGGTAAAGTTAAAATCGTGCAGAACCTCGCTCCGCTCCTGGGTGTCCATTTTCGCATATATGCACCGAGCGTCAATGCCCGCCTCGCGGAGGCAGGCTAGCACATAAACTTTAGCGCACACTTGCAACGACCACAAAAGCGACCTGTATCATAGTCTGCGTGTCATCTGCGATTAGGATTCCTCCGAGAACTTTATACCAAGTCGGTATATTCCCCCTGTCTCAGAGCCAACCAAACTGGCCAAACGAACCTCTAGGCCATGGTTCGAGCCACATACTATCTGAATGAATTGCTTGGTGGAGTAATGGTACACCGTGATGCGTGCTGGTGTGGCAGTTTCGTCCGTTCCAGGAGGACTGGATAGGAGACTTCTTAAGGTCGCATTCAACGCTGTACTTTTTGTCATTTGCGTTGCCGCTTCCACGATTATTGCCTTTTGCTGAAACCCACAAAGTACCAGTGGGTACAGCATCTCCCTTGCACGGGAGAAACATCAGGCTTGGAGGTCTTCCCAAGCCTTTTTCCGGCCACAAATACTGAAGCCACAAGAGAACTTCCTTCGGATCATCCTAGATCTCCGGCCTTCCGGACCCTTCACACAGAGCGGACTTGATGGCGTCAAGCTGCTCCGGATTCACGTATTTCTCAACAAACTGAACGTAGCTTGCGGCGCTCGGGGCGCTGAGATGTCCGTGGCTGGGATGCAGGGCGATGGTCTCATTGTCGTGTGCCAACAAGATTCTCTTCAAAGGGCTGTTCGATGGTATATCCAGATCCTTGTTACATTCCATTGCATACCAAATAGCGTTACTTGTTCGAACAAACCCGCGGCTGTCGAGTTCAACGTTCACACACCCGGTGAGCTGAAGAACGTGACCAGTGGAAGGAAGGCGATCAGGTCTCTTCACCCGAATGCAAACAAGATTCTGAGGAATCTTAGCCTCATACAGGAATTTAGGAGAATCTATAACTGTACCGATCCACCTACCCACAGCAGTTGAAACGGTCGTGGAGCCTTGTTTCCGACGCCTCTCAGTGACCACCACAACTGTCCCATGTTCAGGAAGCTCCATCGACATCTCGGTGAAAGCGTCGGAGCGGGCCCTGGATGCTGGGTTTACTACCAATAGACCATAGGAGTATTCTTCCATGACCGGTCCCTGAAATCCGTTGACAGTCGTGACCGGCCAAAGGTCGAACATGCACTCGTGGTTGTAAAACCCGGAATAGCGCCCCTTCTGGCACTCTATCTCCCGCAACAGCCCGACTGTTTTCACCACTTCTTAGTGACGCTCGTTGGCAAAGCGCTTTTGCACAGCTGTAGACACGATATTCAGGCCATGCCACGCACAACTAGCATCGGTTGGTTGGTGGAGCCAGCGCTACATTGCGATACGTGCCGATGCTGACCTTTCTAGTCCCAGGAGATCCGGTGATAGGGCTGATCAGCTGTCTGAAGAAATCAACCTCGGTCAGGGCGGGCTTCAAGCTGCTCCGGGTTTGTAGACTTTTCAATGTGCCGAAGATAGTTGACTGCCTCTGGGGCTGTGGATTGAAGCTGGTGAGAGTGGTTAGAAAAGATAATGAATGGACAGGAACAGACTGTCCAAAAGGGTCAGTCAACGAGCGCAAGAGGTTGGGAGGATGAGAGGAAGAGGAAGATAGGGAGAGGGGTGGGGATCAATGGCCTTCATATAAACAGAGTACAGGTGGTGGTGAATGGGGAATGGGGAATGGGGAATATCGTACGTACTCTAGTGATAGATGACCAAAGTGATCAAAATTATTGATTCTTTGATGATCAACTAAGGCGAAGAGAGAAATGTGAAGAGAAGGTAAACCCTACTACCTACCACCCACCTCTACTGGGTGCGTGGAACTGGGGATTCGCCATCACTTCTACCTTAGTTGTATGAAAAGCAAGGAATGAATGTCGCATTTCCGGATGCAATGCTACAGGTTTATCTTATCGATGCCTTCGCACTGCTGGGCTAGCTACTAGTGTATCATGGAACATTATACGTTATCCATCACAGAATTGGACAGTCCAGTCAATGGTGGGATTCTTTGTGCCTTTGCCAGGTCTTTCTTCGAAAGTACAGGGCTAATCAGATTTGTACATGGACTGTCTCGTGATATATGTACATGTGTAAGAAGTAGAAAGCCGATCTTTCTCCTGTCTACCTGATTTCTGTTGAGTTCTCTAGCGATGTTTCGGATGTCGGACCGATTCCAGTCGAATGGTTGTATAGGGCCACGGCAAGAAGAATAAGAAGTAAATCCTGGCGTGACTTATAGATTGTAGTACTTAGAAAACAAGAAGAGCATTGGGGGCAACTCGCGATCAAGTTCACGCAGTTCCTCCCACCTGTAACGTGACCGTAAGTATGTTCATAAAGGCACACGCGACAGCCAATTGAGATTGCTAGTGCGAGTGTCAATTTTTTTCCCTTTTCTTTCCTTTCATTCCCCTGTCTTCTTCATTCACTCAACTGTCTCAGAGTGAGGATTTCTCATGGGGATCCTCGGCGGTTTCCCAACATACCCCCTGTGGGTGTTGATCAACACGACATATTGTGTCTAACAATATGGATTGCACGTTGGAATCTCTCTGGTTATTGATCACACCTGTTTCTCCGACTGCGGGACATGCTAGTTATTTTGTTCTTACCAGTGGATGGTCATAGTTATCTCGCGGGGAAGGGCTGCAGGCCACGGAATGCCCAGGAAGCAGCTCCGACGATAGCCACGGCTGGTATTACGTCAAGGCCAACGTTACCCGCGGATACCGAAAGACGGTGAGTTTGGACCTTGGGGTTCTGCGATGGCCCTACGCGCAGGGGGAGCGAGGGGAATCACGATGGCAAGTCCATGTCTGCCGCACGTCCCCGACCAGGGAGGAGGGTTTCCCTTTTGGTTGAGGACGAGGTATTTCCCCTTCCGACGATAATGAACGGTCCACTCGGCTGACAAAGCAGACTCAGCAGTATTGTCGATACCGGTAATTATGGTCGGGGATGCGGCTCAGCGCTGGCAGATCGAAATGGTTTGCAGGAAATCGACGAACAGGACAGGATACGGTGCTGCATCTTTGGATTCCCCGGGCAGCAGTCAACAGATTGACAAGAGGGAAGAAATGGGAAATATAAGGAAAAAATAGGAAAGGAGAGGAAACGATAGCCGAGTTGACCCGACCGGGTACCGCTGACGTAATCGGTACCGGGCGGGAATACGGTAAGGATACCGGGCCGGCAGCTTTTGCTGGCAAACCTCTTGAAAGCTTTCTCGTCCCAACTTCCCTTCCTCTTCCCTTATACTGCTCCAGCTCTTATCCACTTATACCCTCCATTGCTGCATCCCCTCCCCTCCTTGATTGTCTGATTCGGGGGTTTGCTTGTCTGATCTGATCCTACTACCTCGTCTCTTCTTTACTCTCCCCTCGTGTGCTTTTCATCATGTTCCGGACTCTTCTGCCCCGGGCTACGCCGCGGGCTGCCCTCCGCACTGCTCGTCCTACCCCCTCCAACTTCGTCGCTGCTCCTACTCTCGCTTTCCTCGGACGCTCGAAACGTGGCTACGCCTCGGAATCGGGTACGTGATCCCCTCGCCCGTCGCCAATGTCTTCGGACGCTCCCGGGCGTCGCGCCCTTCTCCCTCGGAACCAGAGCCGTTGCTAATCCATAGGTGGTTTTGTGCGATAGGTGAGCACGATGTTGTTATCATCGGTGGTGGTGTCGCTGGTTACGTTGCTGCCATCAAGGCTGGTCAGGAAGGCCTGAAGGTGCGATCTCAATTCCGCTCCCCCCCGGCGTGGCTGGATTTTCGGTTCGGTCATATTTTTTGGGGCGACTAACAATTTTTCTGTCATCAACAGACTGCCTGTATCGAGAAGCGTGGCCGTCTCGGAGGCACCTGCTTGAACGTCGGCTGTATCCCCTCGAAATCTCTGCTCAACAACTCGCATCTCTACCACCAGGTCCTCCACGACACGAAAAAGCGCGGTATCGAGGTCGGTGATGTCAAGTTGAACCTCGAGCAGATGATGAAGGCCAAGGACACCTCCGTCGACGGTCTCACCAAGGGTATCGAGTTCCTGTTCAAGAAGAACGGCGTCGACTACGTCAAGGGTACCGGTGCGCTGGTCGACCAGAACACCGTCAAGGTCAACCTGCTCGAGGGTGGTGAGCAGACCCTCCGCGGAAAGAACATCCTCATTGCCACCGGTAGTGAGGCCACTCCTTTCCCCGGCCTGAACATCGACGAGAAGCGCATCATCACCAGCACCGGCGCTCTCTCTCTGCAGGAGGTCCCCAAGAAGATGGTTGTCATCGGTGGTGGTATCATCGGTCTGGAGATGGTAGGTTTGCCCTGTTTGGACAAGTGCTATGAAAATAGCCGCGACGATCGATAAGGATTACTAATTGGTTTTAATAGGCTTCCGTCTGGTCGCGTCTCGGATCCGAAGTCACCGTCGTCGAATTCTTGAACCAGATCGGTGGTCCCGGTATGGATGCCGACATCGCCAAGCAGGCCCAGAAGATCCTCGGCAAGCAGGGCATCAAGTTCAAGACCGGCACCAAGGTTACCAAGGGTGACGACAGCGGCGCTACCGTCAGCCTCAACGTTGAGTCCGCCAAGGGCGGTAAGGAGGAGACCCTCGACGCCGACGTCGTCCTGGTCGCCATCGGTCGCCGTCCCTTCACCGAGGGTCTGGGCCTGGAGAACGTTGGAATCGAGAAGGACGACCGGGGCCGTCTGGTGATCGACCAGGAGTACCGCACCAAGGTCTCCAACATCCGTGTGATCGGTGACTGCACTTTCGGACCCATGCTGGCCCACAAGGCCGAGGAGGAGGCCGTTGCCGCCGTCGAGTACATCAAGAAGGGCTACGGCCACGTCAACTACGCCTGCATCCCCAGCGTCATGTACACCCACCCCGAAGTCGCCTGGGTTGGCCAGAACGAGGCCGAGGTCAAGGCTTCCGGCGTCAAGTACCGCGTCGGTACCTTCCCCTTCAGCGCCAACTCTCGTGCCAAGACCAACCTCGACACCGAGGGTCAGGTCAAGTTCATCGCCGATGCCGAGACCGACCGCATTCTCGGTGTCCACATCATCGGCCCCAACGCCGGTGAGATGATCGCCGAGGCCACCCTGGCCGTTGAGTACGGCGCCTCTTGCGAGGACGTTGCCCGGACGTGCCACGCTCACCCCACTCTGTCCGAGGCCTTCAAGGAGGCCGCCATGGCCACCTACTCCAAGGCCATCCACTTCTAAGCTCCTTCACCTCCTTCGTGTTTCTCTCCAGTCCTCTGTATCCTTCTCTCTCCCTCTTGACCCTTTAGTCTAGCCTCGCTAGTAAACCTCCATGTAGCATTTTCGATGTTTTGCCGCCCTATATTTGCCTCTGTTGGTTCTGACCTTTTTTTCTGTACTGAGAATTATGAATAAAAGATAGCTTATAATTCACATTCCAGGAAAAGACCCCAATGAGGAATCTTGTACCATCAGACTTTTGTTATTCTCGTGCATTGCAGTCTCCCTATGAAGCTACCCACGTAATTTTCGATACAGATAAAGTAAATCAAAATAGGCTGGTGCAATTTCCCTACTCCACCTTCTCTGCTTTCTTTTCTTTTTGCAGCTTTTCGTCTTGACCATTTTTTGTTGTTTTCTTTTCCGTGAACGAAAAAGAGAAATTCATCAAGTACATCCGCAAACATGACATAACATATCCCACCGTTCATTCTCCCAACATACAAAGCTGACGCCTAGAAGGCCAAAGCTCGTCCAAACCACCGTCAATCATACAAACAGCATCTATTCCTCCCACAGCCCTGGTCCATCACAATAAGCGGCGCGGAGGGGCCGTACATCGGATGCCTATGAGCGTGAACATGAGGCTTCGGGCGAGACCGAGGAGGAGGGGGTGAGGGATTAGCGCGAGGGGGACGATACCTGTTGTATTCGTGATCGCGGTCATAGTCACAATCATCGCGGCCACGGCTACGTCTCCGAGCAGGAGTAGGTGGTCGGTAGAGGGGACTCCGAGCGCGGACGCCAGCTGCAGGGGTGGGAGGGCGATGGTGATGGTGAATCTCCTGTCGTTGGGTTTGTTCTGGGTTTTGGCCTTGCGTTTGGATCTGGATCTGGGTTTGGACTTGGTTTTGGGTTTGGTTTGGGCGCTGGTCACGATCACGGTCACGGTGGTCGTGGTGGCCACGTCTACGGCTGTGGCTATGTCGTCGACGGATGCCTTGGCTTTGGTACTGGTATCCTGGACCCTGGGAGGCTACTTGCCAGCAGCAAACGCAGCATGAGGTGTGGTTGCCGTCGCTGTCGCTGTCACTGTCTTGGTTGATGGGGGGTCCCCGGGAGGGAGTGCGTCGGTCATCGCGTCTGCGGCGAGATCGTCCCCGAGGCAATGGATGGGGACTATCGTCGCGGCCACGTTGGAATGCGACGCGAGCGGGGCGGGGCGGTGGTCCGTATTGTTGTCGGAACCAGCAAAGGCAGATGTCGTCCCCGTCGTCGTGACGGGGGTCATACTGGGGCGCTGAAGGTTGGTAGATGGGTGGCCGTGGAGGTCTAGGGGTTGTTATTCAGTATGGGTCAGCAATGAGGTAGAGACGAATGGACAGATACATAGGCTCCTCATAATACCGGGGCCGAGTGCGGGGCCTGCCAGCAGGGGGAGGATAGGCAGGGTCATCATTGCTGTTGTCACCGTAGTCAATATGAACAGCGGCATTTTGGACGTAGGCAGGGTTGGAATAGTGGTGGATGTGATTGTGTCTGCTCATCTTGACAAGAAACGAAGCGGATATGCACTAAACAAACTTGAGGTAGAAGGGGCAAGGAACCACGGGGGTAGAAGATAGAAGAGCAAAGGAAAAGAAAACAGCGAATATGCTACAGAGTTATATATCTTCAGGGGTCCAAATCTTCAGAGCAAAGCAAGCAAACTGTCCATGATCTTGATGATAGTCGTAATATTGGTATCCAATAGATTTGATCGTTGCCTCTAAGGGTCGTAAATGCTGTGCAACATACTGGTGTTGTTTGCCTCCATACTACCACCATCCTTGCCTGATATCTAGACGTCAATATGAGAGAGGCTGCTTTGACTGAGTGCAGAAGAGTCCCACTTTGCGTTTCTTCATAGGATAGATGACACAGTAGCGTCGGGAAGTCGTAGGAGCTGGCTTGCGATTTCCTCCGGCGGCGTCTTGATAGGACAACAAACGCACAATCACTCTGGGAACCCGCATCTATGACCGTCTAGCCCTTACTCTGGAACCGTGTATACATGTCCAGAGGAGGTGGGCAGCTGTTTGCTGTATGTCATTGACGGGGCAGAAGGCTGGATCCATTCCTTCAGCACGGCCAAGAAAGTATCACAAACAGCAGTCGTTGCCTGTTCGCGAGACGCACCGCAGCTTTCAATGTATACTGTAGACGGAAGCAATCGTCAGCGAGAAGGCGGAGAATTATCAAACTTCGACTTACCCTTTACTTTGGGCTCCGTGCCTGACGCTCGGATGGTGAACCGGACATCCCGATCAAGCCACAAGGTCAACATATGACTGGAACTATCCACAGGCAGCGTCGGTTTGTTGTCTTGAGTCCCCGAATCGTAGCCTTCCGTCATATCTCGCCACCTCAGGATCTTGAATGGCCCTAGAGATTTCTCGGACTGGTAGGGCCCGCCCCTGATGGCTTTGAACAAGCTAGCCGTCGTAGCTGGATTGGGGGATCGGAAATAGGTGTTGAGAGTCTCAAAGTGGCCAAACTCCTTGAAGAGTTGCTGTAGTTTGGTGTAGGGCGTAAGTCCCTGGGACCTCCATTTTGCCTCCGCTGCCAGGAAGACCATCGCGGCAGTAATGCCATCCTTGTCGTAGCAGACCTCCGGAAACATGTACCCGAGGGCTTCTTCAAATGCATACGGAACGTAGTATCCTTCGTCCTCAAGTTTACGCGAGATATTACCCATCCATTTGAAGCCCGTCAAGGATTCTTGGAAACGAATTCCTTTAGCTGTTGCCATTTTCTCTAGCATACCCGTGGAAACCGTGGAGTTCAGAACGGCAATACGGGACTTGTCCTCTCGGGCCTCCAGAGACTCAAAGAGGTGTGATGCCAGGAGCACCCCGACATGATTTCCCGTGAAAGGGAACCAAGAACCACTGGTGCCACCCAAGCAATCAGCAACATATTACAGGATAATCAGATAATGATGACCTACTTGACTTTCTCAGCTGCCGCAAACCGGTCCGCATCTGGATCATGGGCAACAATGAGAGATTTCCCCTCCTTATCGGCTGTTTGCATGGCAAGATCCAAGGCCCCGGCTTCTTCGGGGTTTGGGAATGATACTGTGGGGAAGTCTGGATCGGGCTTGATCTGTTCTGCTACGGGGGAGAGGTTGTTGATTCCCACAGATTGACACAGATCCGGAAAAACCAAGCCACCCACCCCGTGCAACGGAGTATACACAAAAGGGCTCGGAGGTCCCCATTCGTTTACGGTGGATTTCTACGTCGGATGTGTCAGCGAGAAGAAACAAATGAACCAATGGATACTCACAGCATAATGCCAGACTTTCTTCGTATATTCCGGCAGGATCTTCTGGTATGCATCAGTGTGGAGATATTCGCTGGGCTGCTGTTCCTTCCAGGCACCAGCCCAAGGGACCAGATTTTCCTCGATTGATTGGGCGATTTCTACGTCCATGGGGGTGTTGATTTGCGCCCCATTCTTGAAGTAGCTGGGTGAGGTTAGTTAAACTCCAGCTGAATCAGGCAAGGGCACCAACACTTTGTAGCCTGTAGAAAGCCTCAGACGTTAGCTGCAATTCGGGAGCCTGCACTGTGATACGGAGGATTCCTACCATTATCCTGGGCTGGATTCTACGAAACAGTTAGTGACCATGTCGAAAGCAAAGCGCTTACAGAAGACCTACGTGACTTGCAGTAACCATGATTCCTGCTGCAGCATGCAGGTGTGTTACACCAAAGGGGACCGATGGTGTCACCGAAGGCTGGGGGTAGAACCAAACAGGGATCTCTAGGGCAATGAAAGCATTTGCTGCGAGAGCTGCGAATTTGGCCGAGTTGTACCGAGCATCATGGCCAATGACCACACCGCCAGATGCAATGTCGGAATGTTTGTCTTTCAGATATCTGGCTAGACCCTGGGATGCCTGGATAACAGTCAAAGAATTCATGCAGGAGAATCCTGCTGCCATCCGGCCCCGGAGGCCAGCCGTTCCGAATTGGATGCCTGTGACACTTGGTCAGAGAGAGCAAGTTTGCTTCCATTAGACGTTTACAAGGTATAGACAAAAGGGAGACTGGGAATAGTATTCCCCCTCAAAGTGGGTACGAATCAGGGTCCAGGCACCAACATACGGTTTTGGAGGCGTAGTTCTAGTTCTTTGACTGCTCCAGTATCTCGCAGCTGCTCAATTTCCGCACGCGTGGCAGGATCCTGGGCCCGGGCATTAGCACAATCATGAAACCCCTGGGACACCAATGATGGGTCAATAGAATCATATTACTTGGTCCCACTCCAGCCATTTCTGGATCAACGGCGACAGCGAATCCTACGCAAGGGAATTAACACGCAAGACGAGGCGGTCAGAGTCACAAGGGGACTACCTCGGTTGCGACGGCAGACATGGTTGGGGACGGTCCAGCAGGACTCCAGCAATAATCGCGAGTGGGCAAAGGGCAATAATAGAATAAGAATAAGAATAGTATCCAAAGACGGCGGGAGAGTGGGAAAGAAGAGGGAAGTGGAATGATCGTCGGCGTTGACCGTTTCCACTTCCGTCTCCGCCTTGCGACCTCAGGCAACCGTCGTTCTTCCGTCTCTCCCGCTTCCTCCTCTTCCCTCTGCTTTTACTTTCTCTCTTGTCCTACCTTCTTCTGTCTTTTTTCTCACTGTTGATTCTGTCGTTTACTTATCTTGTTTTTGTCCTTTTCTGCCCAAGATGGCCTCTGCCGTCACTAAGCCGTCTACCGCTCGCAAAGAGACGATCCTATCGCGACGATACATTGAAGGCCAGATTGCGGAGGGCAAGCATATAATCATCTACGATGACCGCGTGCTAAAAGTGGATTCGTGGCTTCCTTTTCACCCTGGAGGTGAGAAGACCATCAAGCATATGGTCGGAAGGGATGCCACGGATGAGATGAATGTGTATGTTAAACACTTCGCGCTACCTTGTGTGATTACGCGGACTCCGACGGCTGTGGACATCCTCGGGTTGCTGACTCGCCTTGCCTCATACAGACTACACGGGGAAGATACGCGCCGGCAGATGTTGAAATATCAAGTCGGTCGCATCATCGGACCGTGGATGAACTTCCTTCCCCCGATCCATGGCGGAAAGTTCCGTCCCTATGTTGAGGAGTCGTGTTCGACAGACGAAGAGAGCTCCGGCCTGGAAACGTCAATGCCTCCCTCCCCGATCTTCGATGCAGTCGATGGAAAGGCACGCCGCCGGAATACTTCCGCCACGACGAATTCCTCGGTCTCGACCCCTCCGAATGAAGAAACCGAATCGAAGCCCTTCTTCCTAGACGCACGAACCCGCGAGGAGATCATATTCGACACTGCCAAATATCCCTCTCTCGACCGGGAAAATCAGGATTCGATCAGACAGAAGTATCGGGAGTTAAACGAGAGGATGCACGCGGAAGGCCTATTCCAATGCAACTATTTCTCGTACTTCGTCGAATGCTGTCGCTACACGCTTTTCGCAACCCTGGCCTATGTCCTTTTGCGCTGGGAATGGTACGCAAGCTCGGCATTCTTCCTAGGGTGTCTTTGGCACCAGCTGGTCTTTACCGCTCATGATGCTGGTCATATGGGCATCACCCACAACTTCCACGTGGATACGACGATTGGGATGATCATCGCCGACTGGATTGGAGGCCTCAGCTTGGGGTGGTGGAAGCGCAGTCACAACGTCCACCACATTGTGACGAACGAACCAGAGCATGATCCTGACATCGAGCACATGCCTTTCTTCGCGGTATCGCACCGTTTCTTCGACAGCCTTCGCAGCACTTATTATGATCGAGTCATGAAGTTTGATGCCGTGTCCAAGGTGATGCTGAAATATCAGAACTACCTCTACTACCCCATTCTGATGCTTGCTCGGTTCAACCTCTACCGTCTGAGCTGGGAGTATCTGCTCACCGGCCAGGCTCCCAAGAGGGGCCCTGCTTGGTGGCACCGCTGGTTCGAGTTTGCCGGTCAGATCTTCTTTTGGTATTGGTTTGGCTATGGTGTCCTCTACTGCACTCTCCCCAACTGGAGCACCCGCCTGACCTACCTCATGGTTTCCCATATCGTCACATCTCCACTTCACCTGCAGATCACGCTATCCCATTTCGCCATGTCTACGGCCGACATGGGTGTCAGTGAATCCTTCCCGCAGAAGATGCTGCGCACCACCATGGATGTTGACTGCCCAACTTGGCTCGACTTCTTCCACGGTGGTCTGCAGTTCCAGGCGATCCACCACCTCTACCCTCGTATGCCCCGCCACAACCTGCGTCGTGCGCAGAAACTGGTGCTGGAGTTCTGCAAAGACACGGGCATCCCCTACGCCATCTTCACCTTCTATGACGGCAACAAGGAAGTTCTAGGCAAACTTGGCGACGTCGCGAAGCAGCTCCGTCTTCTTGAAGAATGTCGTAAGACATGCGCCGACCAGGGCACCCTCTTGGACCACCACTAGACCTCTAGACGGCATACGGCCCCCTCCTTGCCTGCCTGATCCCCCGGCGTATATTGACACAAGCTAGCCTACCTCGGGTGTTGTAAATATTCATTGCCTCTTGTATTTATGCTGCGGCCTTCTGTTTGGGTATCGGATTATCTGTTGATTTAGACCATCCGCATTACCACGTCAATGTGTTTACGATGCTCCTAGTGTTGATTATGAAATAACGGTTTTGTATTTATCTATTGTCGATTTGATACTGCAAGCTTTCAGGCGCTATATAACCCATTCAGAGTAAACAAATAGTACCATCCTCTTAAGACCTTCCAAATATTTAGATTAGTCAAGTATCAACACTGTAGATAATCTATGTATGTACTGATGAAGCAGGCTTCAAGAAGCGAATATAAACAAGCATGGTCAGCACAGCAAAGCAACAGCGAGCAACCATGCGGCATCATGACGGGCATAACAATCATCACCGAACGAATGAACTACCATCATCGTTATCATCCAACCATGCCCCCTGCCCTAGCCACCTTCTTCGCTCTCTGCTGTCGTCGATTGTGATTCGCTCGGCTCGATTTATTTTCCTCCTTTCTTTGTCGCGAAACATTTGTATTAGATGTACTTTTCTGGTCTCCGGGCGCTCCACCACCACCACCACCACCTCGTCGATTTCCGCCGCCTCCTCTGCGGCCACCACCGCGACCTCGGCCCCGCGTATTAGGACCGCCTCCTCGTCCTCTATGAGTAAATCCAGAGGATCCAGAGGGCTCGTCCGGCTCGCTATCAAGTTCATCGTCACCCTTCGGCCCGGGTTTCCGGTACGCCGTTGGACGAAGTTCCGGTTGCGAGAGCACACCGCCGCCACCACCACCACCACCACCACCGGAAAATGAGACCTTGTCTTCGAGACGGGCGAGACGTTTCGGATCACGGGACAGCATCACGGCCCAGCCCTCGATAGCCTCGTCAGTCATTCCGGTTTCGCGCTTTAGGGACGCGCGGGGCTGCGAGCGACGGGTGGCGGAGTCTCGGGCGAACAGTGCCGCGTTGGCCTTGTAGGCCTGGAAAAGCGTCATGTCGAGGTCTTCAGCGGTCTTGCGCGCGTCGGCGTCGGCGTCGGCATTCGTCATCGTGGCGTCTACGGTGCCGCCGACGTCGGCGACGTCGTAGGTGTCGTCGCGTTCGTCGTCGTCTGAGTCGAAGGTTGCCAGGGCGGACATGATGGCTGCTTTGTTGGCCGCATGGTGGCTGCGATCGTTGAGGACGGTTTCGGTGGTTAGGTTGGGGTCTGGGCCGCCGAAGTGTAATTTGCCGCTGTCGTTGTTGGAGCGCGCGAGCTCGGCGAGGTCGATGTCAGAGTCGAAGACGTTCTTGCGGGTGGGCATGGGTTCCGGGGTGGCTGAGGGGGGCGTGGGATTGGGTGGGAGAGGGTCGTGAGGGATGGTGGAGGAGGTGGTGGGGAGTGGTTCGGATTTGTCGAGGAATTGGAGATGCGGCGGGATGGAGTCGTCGAGGAGATGCGCGACGACGGTTTCGGGGTTGTCGTCGAACTGGTCGAGGAGACGCACGATGTAGCCAGACCCTAAGTCGGGGAAGAGATCTTGGACCTGGGTGACGAGGGACATCTTGTGGATGTGGAGATCCTCAGGGCGAGGGAGGTCCGAGGCGCGACCTTTACCCTTATCGACGGTCCTCTTTTGCTTTTGATATCGATGATGGAAGACTTTAGAGTCGCCTTGGTATGCGCGCAGACTGGACACGAGGTCCTGACCGCGCTTCTGCGGATACGAGAGCAGGTATCTCTCCAGCCGGACAAGCAGATCCGAGCTACAGATGACGTCGGAGAGAAGCGTGGCCTCCTTCTTGGTCTGGGGGTTGCCCACGCCGGCGCTGGCTTTTAGGCTAAAGAGTTGGTCGAGCAGTAGTGAGAGATTGGGCTTGGGGCCTTTCAATAGAGACACCAGACCAACGTAGATGTTCGCGACGAGTACTCGACGGACGTCTTCTCTTCTATGCGCTTGATATGCATCGGAGAACGTATCGAGGTAGTCCGCACCGGCCATGAGTATCTGGCCGGACTGAGGAAGCGCAGACGCCAGAACCGTCAACGAGCGGATATCAGACACGACGCTTGCTGACTTGGCAGGATTCATAAGAGAGAGCTGTTTGATAATCATTGACTTCGCCTTCTCCAAACTAGACGATATCGTGTTCTCATGCTTGTTCCATACATCGGACAGCAGCTTCTTCGCAGCCGCGCTCGAAGGATAGCAACAAGATAGATCCCCGAGATACTTCCATTCGAGAAGCTCCGTCGGCGAGCTCGACAGCTCCAGTAGATATCGTCTCGTCAACAGGAAACTAAGCTTCCGTAACGTCTTCGTCTTGGTACCCGCATGAAGACCAGACGTGCCGGGGGCGGACAATTGACCGTAGAATGACGTCAAGAATGAGACTGCGGATTCATCGTTGGGTGCGAGGTCGCGGAATTGCGCATCCGACGCCTCTATGCGTAGACCGAGGAGCAAGACCCAAGCATCTATATAGAGCTCCCACTCCTGGGACGGGATGGCGCTCTGCACCTCGAGTGGTGGAACTGGAGCAAGAGGAGGCCAATTAGCCATGGCCTTGCAGTCTGACTAGACAACCAGATTGACAGACAAGCAAGTAAGAAACAAAAAGAAAAAGAACAGAAAGGGTATACGCTAGAGTAAGTAGATACAAGCTGAATATCAACTTATCGTCATCAATCATGTGTCACGATGAGTCGAGGCTGCGTCGGTTTCCCCATCCGGTTAGCGCCATATAGGCGAGCGCCAAGCCTTTCACGCCCACAAGCGGCGCTAAGCGCACTTACGAAAATTAAATCAAAATGAATAAAAAAAAAAAAGAAAGAGCTCCCTTTACAACCCGTCGCAGATCTACTGTAGTCTTTGAACGGCCATCATCACCTTACCGAACCCCGAAGTTCAGGTCTTGATTGGCAATTAGCCTCGTTTGTGGTATGTTTTTCGCCCACCGCCTAATTTCCCAATAATTTCTTCCCTGTCCCGCAAAAACTAACCTTTCTCCTCCAGCCATCTCAATCCCACCGGTCTCATCCAACCTCAGTCAAGATGTCTTTCCAGAAGCCCGAGAAGGATTTCGGCGAGGGCCCCGTACGTTGTCCATTGCTATTATCTCAAATATTATTATCATCGTCTTCGTGGCCATGCGATGCGATATGATACTTGCTAGACATCAGTACTAATCGGTGTCGTGTTCATCACACTACAGAAGGTCCACAAGATCCGTATCACCCTCACCTCCCGCAAGGTCGCTGCCCTTGAGAAGGTGTGCTCGGAGCTCATCGACCGTGCCCGCTCCAAGGCTCTCCAGGTCAAGGGTCCCGTCCGTCTGCCCACCAAGACCCTGCACATCTCCACCCGTAAGACCCCCAACGGTGAGGGTTCCAAGACCTGGGACAAGTACGAGATGCGCATCCACAAGCGTCTCATCGAGTATGTTTTACCTTTCCTCATACCCCAACGGGAACATGCGTGTGTTGGAGAATACTAACGACTTGCCCTAGCCTGCTCGCTCCCACCGAGACCGTCAAGCAGATCATCATCAACATCGAGGCCGGTGTTGAGGTTGAGGTCACCATTGCCGCTTAAATGGGATCGTTCTAGTCCGGTACAAGGATGGGGTTGGGTCATGCCTTCCCCAGGGCGGCGCCGATGTGCTCCTCGAGTCATGTAGATGGAATGCTTCAAGGGCTCTGCAAGAGCCAACATCGATACCCGCTAGAACTTGGCACAAAAATCAAAAATTTAAAAAACGAGTAATTTGGTCCTTGATCTTCGTAGGCTCTTCAACGGGCTCGGACATGCACGTCTACACACGTGTACTGGTGGTCACGGCATAATGTTCATTCTGGTCGTATAAATAAGTCTTTAACCGGGAAAGCGCCTTTATACCTCCTGTAAACGCTCAATAATTATAATACACGATTCATGAAAGCGGATCCCCGATGAACCCCCATGTTTAGAAATCAAAGCTCACGTTCTCTCTTTTCGGCGGAACGCTGGGGACGATGCCGTCTTTAAAGTATCCGTTCTTCGTAAAGAACTCGTACTGCTCGGTCACCTCCGGTGTGTACTCGTCAGGTTCTCCATAGGCGTCTCTCAAGCTTGCCTCGTCGGGTGGCCCGTCAGGGAAGAATATGCGGGCCCAGGTCTTCTGGTCCTGGGGGTGTAGATAGCACGGCACGTTATCAATGTATTTTACCGGCTGTCCCTTCCACGAATTCAGTTTGTTTGTCACGGGATCCCGAGTTGTCTGGCCGTTCAAAGGTGGGATGGGCATCAGTTCGTTAGGGTCGTCAACCCTGATAGAGGGGCGAGCTCCAGCGTCTGTCCCTACCGCCAGGGGCTGGGCCTGAGTCGGAGCCTGCTGTTGCGGTTGAAGTTGCTGCGGCTGTGGCTGCTGCGGTTGTAGAGTGCCAAATGACGACGGGGCCGTCACAGGCTGTCCGAATGGATTTGGCGGCTGAGCGGGCTGCTCGGGTTGCTTGACGAAGCCAAAACCCGAAGGCGCAGCAGGTTGGGGTTGGGGTTGAAGTTGTGGTTGAGATTGTTGGTTGATCTGTGCAAACGGCGAAATACTGGAGGCAGATTGGCCGAACCCGGTGTTTTGACCCTGATATTTATTGGCCATCTGAGCAAAAGGACTTTCGGTGTTTTGTGGGACCGCGAACCCCGTCGTTCCCATCGCAGGTTGACCAAACGAAGGTTGTCCAAAGGCTGGCTTCTCGAATGCAGCCTGACCAGCAGCGGAAGGTTGACCAAACGCTGGCTGGCCAAACGACGGCTGGCCGAAGCCCGATGGTTTGCCAAATCCTGGCTGTGCTAGTTTGCCGAATCCAGACATTTGATCGGGGGGTGGTGTAGGTTCTTCAGGATTTCCGAATGGTGACTTTCCAAAGCCCGAAAAAGACAGAGCCGTCTTGCCCTCGACGATATCAATGCGATTTGGGTGTTCATTCTCGCCATCAATGATGTAGTTGATGGCACCGTTCAGATCGGTCAAGATGACCTCCATCTGTTTGACATGTTCATCATACATGTTCTGGGCTGATTTGATAGCACCTTCCGCATTTCCGGCTGCAGCGAATTCGTAATGGTGTAGACGGAGTTCCTCAAAGCTCATCTCCCGTTGAGGACCTCCAAATAGCTGTCTCGGGGCGTTCCGCCCTGGTCCGTAGCACGAGAAGATCCATTCCGGTCGACCCTTTCCGGCAGTCAAGTCAATCTTGATATCACTGACCGTCAAGCCATACCTGAATTCCCGTTAGTCAAGGAAAGTCTGGGCAGAATGGACAGTGACTGACTTAGCCGTCTGTTGATTTTGGTTTTGAGCTTGACCCTGGCGGCCTTGTCTTAAAGTTAGTGAATAGACAGGTGCTGAGCGATGACGAGGCATGGAGGCAATTGCTATATTGCAGAGGAACGCAAGGTACTCCTTTTCGGGGAATAGGATGCAAGAAATCCACATGAATACAAGGGTAGAGTGGGCAAGAGGCATGACGCAAAAGAACCAGAGCAGGCGCCAGCTTTACCCTCGCCCTGAAAAACAAACACATGGCTGAAGATAGAAGGAGCAAGAGACCATAGAGCAAGAGCCTGAGGCATGGAACGCCCACGGGGAAGTCACAGGCGTACCTTGTTGGAATCCTCCTGAGAGAGCAGCAAACGAATTCCCCGAGCTTGATCTGCCCGGATGTTCATATTTGCAGCGATCTAGATCGACCATTAGCGGGGCTTGCTACTGCGTCAATAGTGACAACTTACCTCCGAATCTACATCGATTCTGCTGGTAGAAAGTACAGACCACCATGGCGTCGTCCTGTTTAGGAGCTAATGTCGAAGCGGTACCACCGTTCGTGCAGCGCGCTGAGGTATTGTACCGGCTCCAGAAGTGAATGTCACGTGCAGACTAACAAGGGGGGCTTATCGCTCAGCAATGAGCATGTTCAAAGAGCAATATCAACGGGAATTTAGCGCTGGGCCAGCCACCCCGACATGAAAGAAAGATGGATGAATTCATTATTATCGATAAACCGTCGCCCGGGGGTTCTTCCGGTATCAATACCTTTCGTCGGAAGTCCACCGCGTATCGTAATTACCGTCTATCAATGATTGACCTTCCATAAGAATGATGGCTGATTCTACTGTGAGTACACTCGGAGAAAATCTTTCTGGTTTTCTTCGATTCTACTAATATGACATGAGGCCATCGCATAAAATTACATGACTCCCAATTCAGAACTCCTATTCTCCAAACCGTTTCCAGGGCTATTGAAATCATGACCGCGAGGGCCGAATATCACTAAAAAAAAAAAAAAGAACCCCTACGCATGCTTCATGCTTTTTTTCAAGACATCCCAGTTCACCCCGTCGATTTTCTTTCCACCTAGGGACTCGAGCTCCGGCGAGAGCCCGGTCATTTTCCCCGTCGCAAGTCGTCGCATCATCACCGTGTCTTTGGAGCCGTGCAGGCCCTTGGCGTTGCCACGGAGCAGCGTATCCTCCAGCCATTGTTCCTCCTGCTCGTCAAAAGGAAGCCCGATCAACTCCATAGCCCGTTGGCTGCGGATTTGACCCGCCTCGGTGGTGTGAACGATTTCAACCAGCAGCTCGAAATAAGCCTGGCGCAGGAGTTCTTGGTGGTTACGAGTGAAGAAGAAAGCTTCTGTAATGCTAGACCGGCAGAGCGTCTGGAAGAAGGCTCGTTGGACGGCTTCGGAGGCCAGCGGCGGGGAGACGGTCAGGTAATAGGCCATGACCAGGCTATCGTCGTGTCTAGGGATATGCGGCAGCGTAAGGACGTAGAGGATCTCGTCGGGGAAAGTGGGAATGATTGAGGGTTCAGTCAGGTACTCGACGGCGCGCTGGATGGTAAGGTCTTATTAGCAATTGTAGACAAATTATTCCAACTCTCCGACATACTCTAAACTCGAGCCTGTCCAGGTTCCAGAGCCCTTCGATAAAGAGTCTGTATTTCTCGGGCAAGTGGCATCGTCGCGAGAACTGCGTGGCCGCATCGCTAGCTGCCCGACAATCCTTCAAGATGTAGTAGATCAACGCTTGTTTGTGATGAATGTCCAGTGCCGAGGAGACGATCTGGTCGACGAGTGTGCGGAGGTCTGAGTTCGACCTGGGAGGGTACTGCTTGGTCACTGAAAGCGCCGTCTCTGATCAGCATGTTTCCTTAGATGGACCCAGTCCATGAGCTCTGTTCGGTACCTGCTTTCACTCCGGCGAGTCTTAAGAGTCTATCGGCGAATAGCTGGTTTTCCAGAGCTCGACGATTGGCGAGGATCTGCTCAATGACCTTGCCATCGTAGGTGAAGTTCTTGTTGAAGTAAAATATGGAGTCAAAGTCGTCCCACGGAGCCATTCTGGCGGTTGTCGCAAACAATAATCAGAATGAAGCCGTCGTCGAATCGATGCGTACTTTACTGGATACCGTATCGGACACCGCCCATACTTACGGCTGACTCAGGCACCAGGACTCAGAGAGGCAGGCGGTGGGATGTAGTCGCAATGACTAAGACAAGCAATTGTTGTGGCAGAAAGTGACGCTTTCCCCGATCCGGAGACAATGTAAACAACCCACTTCGTTCTTTCTCCGTCCGTCGCTTTTTCCAACAAAGACATCTCCGCCAGTCCCCTCCCTCCACCCTTATGAGGCCCTCATCGCCAATCTATCACCCCCTCGCATAATGTCTTCACTTGCAAAGGGTCGCCCATCCCGGCGATCTGCCGCCTCCCGACGGAGTTATGTCATGGAAGAGACCTCCGAGGAGGAAGATGCCGGAAATGTTACCCCCACCCAGTCCAACCCCGATGGAGATGAAGAGGACGAGGAAGAAGAAGAGGAGTACACCCCGGTTCCCCAACAGAAGACTACGGCTTCAAGAAGGACTTCGCGAAGACGTGTGACCTCCGAAATGCCCCCACTGAGCGCCACCCCCAGCACCGCACGCACCTCGCGGAGGTCCCGAAGATCGCAAACGACGGAGGACCTCGAATCGTCGCAAATCAGCAATGCGAACGATGAAGGCGAAACTGTCGCGACGATTGAAGAAGAAGAGCCCGAAACTCCGACACAGAAAGTCGCTTCGGCAAAGAAAAGAAGTATGCCTCATCACCCCCGCAAGAGTCGCGGCTCTTTGGCGCCAAATCCAACACAATCCTTACTCCCAACTCCAGAGGCCTCAGTGTCGCCGCAATCCCAGACTCGATCCCAGAGAGGCAGTGTGCCCCCCCTCGGCGATATCACCAACTCCGCCGTGAACCAGCCGCCGCCGCCAGAGCCCGCCGATCAACCCGCCGAGGAGCCTGTTGAAGACCCGAAGTCCCAGGTTGCTGCTATCAACCCCAATACCACAATCCTCGAGAAACCCATGGACATCATGTTGAAGTCGCGAACGCTGAACCCTTCGGCGCCCGAAGAACCTGCCGGGCCCAAATCGCGGCTGATGATGAAAAACTTGATACTGATGAACTTCAAAAGTTACGCAGGAAAACAGGTTGTCGGGCCCTTTCACGCCTCATTTTCCTCCATCGTCGGACCAAACGGATCCGGAAAGTCGAACGTTATAGATGCGCTGCTGTTTGTCTTCGGTTTTCGAGCAAGCAAGATGCGACAGGGCAAGATCTCTGCGCTGATTCACAACTCGGCCAACCACCCGAACCTGCCCTTCTGCGAGGTCGAGGTTCACTTCCAAGAGATTTTCGACCGGCCCGATGGCCTACACGATATCGTCCCAGATTCCCAACTGATCATTTCCCGAAAGGCATTCAAGAACAACACCAGCAAATACTACATGAACGGCAAAGAGACAAACTTCACCGCGGTGACAGGCTTACTTCGGGACCGCGGGATCGATCTCGATCACAAGCGTTTCCTGATTCTTCAAGGTGAAGTCGAATCCATCGCTCAGATGAAGGCCAAAGCGATGAACGAGCACGAGGACGGACTTTTGGAGTATCTCGAAGACATCATCGGCACTTCGAAATACAAGCAACCCATCGACGAAGCAGCCGCAGAATTGGAAACGCTTAATGATGTCTGCATGGAAAAGAACAACCGCGTTCAGCATGTCGAAAAGGAGAAGAATGGGTTAGAGGATAAGAAAAACAAAGCCCTTGCCTATATTCGCGACGAGAATGAGCTGTCCCAGAAGCAGTCGGCACTGTACCAAATCTACATGGACGAATGCGCCGACAACATCCGAGTCACGGAAGAAGCCATCCTTCAAATGCAGGAGCTTCTGAACATGGAACTTGAGAAACACGAAGGCAACGAGTCCGGCATCAAGGAAATGGAGAAGGCCTACAAGCGCGGCATGCGCGCGTACGAAAGCATGGAGAAGGATACGCAGTCTCTGGTGAAAGAAATGGCCAAATACGATAAGGAGACCGTCAAATTCGAGGAAAAGAAGAAATTCTTGACCGGTAAACAGAAGAAGCTGGAGAAATCCATGCAAACCGCCCGTCTGGCAGCCTCGGAGTGCGAAAGTCTGGTAGAGAAACACACTCATGATATCGAGAACAAGACGAAAGAGACTGCACAGCTGGAAAAGGAGATGCAGGCTGAGGAAGCTGAACTCTCGGAGATCCGTGAAAGTCTAAAAGGCAAAACGCAAGGTCTCTCAGATAAGATCACCGCAAAGCAAAAGTCGCTAGAGCCCTGGGATGAGAAGATCAACAAAAAGGTTTCCGCGGTTGCCGTGGCCCAGAGTGAGCTTGACATCATTCGCGAGAGAAGCAACGCCGGTGCGGTGCAACTTGAAGAGGCCCAGGGCAAGGTCTCGTCGATTGAGGAGACGCTAGCTACCAAAGAGGCCGACCTTGAAGAGCGCAAGGCCCAAAAGGCCACCCTCGAGGAGGAGCTGGCGAAACTGAAGCACGACTTGAAGAAATATTCCCACAAGGAGCCCGAGGTTCGCACTCATGTCTCCAGCGCTCGGCAGAAGGCTGAGGAGGCAAGGGCCAGCTTGGCCAGCACTCAGAATCGCGGCAGCGTGTTGTCTGGTCTGATGCGCCTGAAGGAGTCCGGCCGTATCGATGGATTCCATGGAAGGCTTGGTAACTTGGGCACGATTGACCAGGAATACGATGTCGCCATTTCCACCGCCTGCCCTGCCCTGGATAATATGGTCGTCGACACGGTGGAGGTTGGCCAGCAGTGTATCGACTATCTTCGAAAGAACAATCTTGGTCGTGCCAACTTCATTCTTCTGGATCGCCTTCCCCGGCGAGACATGTCCGCCGTCTCCACCCCTGAAAATGTTCCACGACTATTCGATTTGGTCAAGCCCAAAGATCCCAAGTTTGCGCCGGCTTTCTACAGCGTGATGCAAAACACTCTAGTCGCAAAGGATCTAGAGCAGGCCAACCGCATCGCTTATGGTGCTCGCAGGTGGAGGGTGGTCACGCTCGACGGCCAGCTCATCGACACATCCGGTACCATGAGTGGTGGTGGCACGCGCGTTGCGCGAGGCGGGATGTCGTCGAAACAAGTGGCCGAAACGAGCCGGGAGCAGGTGTCGAAGCTTGAGGGTGACCTTGAGGAGATGGAGAAGAAGTTCCAGGCTTTCCAGGAAAAGCAGCGCCACATTGAAGCTTCGCTTCGAGAGAAATCCGAGGAGATTCCTCGCATGGAGACGAAGATCCAAAAGATCATGATTGAGATCGAGAGTACCATTCGCAGTCTCGCGGATGCTCAGCGCCGCGTCAAGGAACTGGGTGCTGCCCACAAGCCCTCCAAGACTGATGCCAGTCAGGCGACTTCTCTCGAGAAGCAAATCTCCGCGTTGGAAGACGAGATCGAGGACCTCCGCTCGCAGAAAGGAGTCATTGAGGAGGAAATTCAAACTCTCCAGAACAAGATCATGGAAGTTGGTGGTGTGCGCCTGAGAGGTCAGAAGGCTAAGGTCGACGGGCTTAAGGAGCAGATCAGCCTTCTCTCGGACGAGATTTCGAATGCTGAAGTTGGAAAGTCGAAGAACGAGAAGTCGATCGTGAAACACCAGAAAACCCGTGCTGATGCCGAAGAGGAACTTCAGCATGTTGCCGAAGAACTGGAGAAACTCGCGGAAGACATCGCCAACCAAGACAGCGACGCGTCCGGCTCGAGGCAAAAGGTGGAGGAAGCACAAGAGGTAAGTGCCCCATAAACAATTAGTGAACAGAAACTTACATTTCGAAGGCCCTTGAGACCAAGAAAGAGGAGCTCTCGTCCCTGAAATCTCAGTTGGACGAGAAGGTCGCCGAGTTGAACGAAAGCAGAGCTACCGAAATTGAGATGCGGAATAAGCTCGAGGAGAACCAGAAGGCACTTTCGGAGAACGAAAAACGTGGACGATACTGGCAAGAAAAGCTGTCCAAGTTGACATTGCAAAATGTCAGCGATCTAGGTGAGGAGCAGGAGGCTACAGAGCTTCAGACCTACACCAAGGACGAGTTGTCCGAGATGAACAAAGAGTCCCTGAAAGCGGTCATCGCAGCTTTGGAGGAGAAGAGTCAGAACGCCTCGGTTGATCTCTCGGTTATTGATGAGTACCGTCGCCGGACGGCTGAGCACCAAGCTCGCTCGGCGGATCTGGCGACTGCCTTGACTACTCGCGATAGTGCCAAGGCACGTCTGGACGGCCTCAGGTCTTCCCGGCTGAACGGGTTCATGGAGGGATTCGGCATCATCTCGCTCCGACTCAAGGAGATGTACCAGATGATCACAATGGGTGGTAACGCCGAGTTGGAGCTGGTCGACTCCTTGGATCCCTTCTCCGAGGGCATTCTGTTCTCCGTCATGCCCCCGAAGAAGAGCTGGAAGAACATCGGTAACCTGTCCGGTGGTGAGAAGACCCTGTCTAGTTTGGCTCTGGTCTTCGCTCTGCATCACTACAAGCCTACTCCGCTATACGTGATGGACGAAATCGATGCCGCCTTGGATTTCCGAAACGTGAGTACTCAGCCCGTTCAGACAAGAGAATTTCCAATTAACCTGCATGCTCTAGGTCTCTATCGTCGCCTCGTACATCAAGGAGAGAACCAAGAACGCACAATTCATCGTTATTTCTCTGCGAAACAACATGGTAAGTCTCCAGATGAGACCTTTGCACGATGATCGATCGGGTTACTAACATTGGCTCTTCCAGTTCGAACTTGCCTCTCGACTTGTCGGAGTTTACAAGGTCAACCACATGACCAAGAGCGTGACCATCCAGAACAGAGATTACATCACGGGGCGATGATCGAGTGTGCTTTTGCATAGTTATCTACAAGTGTTTCTTCGCCTTAGCTTTGTTTGGTTTATTCTATTTATGGCTGGCACCGGAAATAGGGTGGGATTGATTTTGGGTCTGGTTTCAAATTACAATTCGTGGTTCTTTCTATTCGTGTTATTTTTTACATTTATTAACTTTCTTCTTCTGTCTTGGTTTTCCTGGTTTCACTTTTGTCTATTTTGGTTTTAACGTGCCATGTCTGGAGGATACTGATGTTGAACGTGGAAACTTATGAATTTTTATAGAACTAGTTGATGCTGGGATATTTACATATCATGTCTTGAAGATTGTTCTGTCTAGATGTCCTAAATATTTTGGTGTTAGCACACGTGATATATATTTATACTGCTCTCAAGTAGACTGGACAAGTAAACCCACACATATAAATAATGTGGACTTACTGTTTGTAAGAAAGTCCGTAGATGATGAAAATGGAGCCTCCCTATCTAATAGACATGACCATGAAGGTTGTTGTAGAGGAAGGAGAGAAGAAGTATGTCTTCCTACTCTGTGGGTGTTGCACATGGAAGTATGGCGAGATGCTCGGAAGACGGACTGCCACATAAGGCATCCAGCTTCACCATCTGTGAAAGTGCCGTTTCCAAAGACGGCCCTTGGAGCCTGGAAAGCATTATCTTAACAGTAAGCAGGAAAATGGCGGAAGAGGAGCCTGCGGAAGTCAGTGTTAAGTTTCTTTGTATACTCTTTAGATGTACGATTGCTATCTAAGTAGAATATCTCGCTATCTATACCAACATGAAAGGAAACCCACCAAGAAGATCTCTGACGGTTTGTTTTACAATAACTATAACAACAATTTATACTACTCATAACTACCAAATACCATACCTAGGTATACCCCAGCCCACCAGATCACAAGCAAGGAATCAACCTGGAAACCCCTCACTCAATCGAACCCCGCGGGGAAGGAAACCGAACCCAACCGCCATGACTTGGAAGACCGGGAATCAAACTTACGATCTGAGATCAGATTACATGATTAAAGACGATTTTTTTTATTTTCCATGGATACAGCGGAGATTGCGGCCAAAAGAAAATATATAAAAAGAATAAAATAAAATAAATGGCAATGAATCAGGAATGAGAAGAGAGAGGCAGAGAGGGAGGAGAAATGCATACAGGGCTTCTGACATGCAGTGGGAAATGGAATATTGGGAGGAGTTGAGTGGTGCTACTAATGCTGCTGCTAATGCTGCTGCGTTGTACATGTACGACAACGACTCGACTCCGCCCGGCATGTCAACTTGAGGTGGAGGTGGAGGTGGTCGATCCGTGCGAGAAAGGTGATCTAGTTCGGTCTGGTCTGGTCTGGTCTGGTCTAGTTGGATTGAATTTCGGAATGAATTGACTGCGAAGAATGAAAGGTAATAGTTCCCTAATTTATGGACGGTTGTCATTGTTAGTGGGTATCATTACGACGCACTGGTTGATTTCGAGCGAGTATTGCGGTGTAGAGGTGCTAGGAAGGAGAAGATATTGAGATATGCAGCTGCTGCAGTGTGGAATACAATACACCCCCTACCTAGTAGGTAAACTACCTCCCCAACTATCTAGCTATCTACTGTATCTCGCACAGCACCGTAACACAATCACATTCATCGAAGGACCGTAGTACACCGTAAGTATGCACATACTCCGTGTCCATACATAGTGTGTAGTAATTTGGTCTGCATCTCCCATAGACTATTTCCCCTAGTCACCTGCTCCGTACTTTCTATTTACTTACTAAACTCGCTTACCTACGTCCATAGCCTGTACCAGAAGCAGGGTAATCCTCGTCGAGAACCAGACACTAAAGGAATCCCTAGACAAGGTAGTACCTCCATAAGGACTTAGCCCCGAGGCAGCCAGCAGCCTAGTCTCTCCCCAGAACCACTCAGAGAACAAATATGCGTAATCGCCAACCGCCGAACGAAAAAGAACAGGAATCCTTACGTAGTTACTGCCGTAGTCACTACTGTAAATAGAACTGGAAAGCGGGAGAGAGAGGGGAGAGGAGGGAGGGGAGGGGCCAGGACACGATCCTACTCGACCGTCAGTCAAGGCGAAGAAGACAGTAAAGAAGAACAAGAAGAACAAGAAAAGCAGCCTACACTACAGTGCTACACACACCGCACCGCACCAACCACCCTTCCCGAGAGGCTAGAAAAGTGGCGGACATCTCGGGAGGGGACGAGGGGGACTTAACTTAGGTGACGGACTTAGTAAGAAGCATAAAATCACTCATGAAAGTGGAGAGAAGAGAAGAATGGGACCGCGCTAACTCCCTACTGGAAGGCTCGGGCTAAGGCGTACCACCTGCGGTAGGGACCATTACATAACGAAGCACGAGGAGAAAGTCAGGTTTAGTCTAGACCTGGCTCTAGAAGAGACAGGACGGAATAGTTAGTAAGATGAGTAGTATTTATTGTTGTTGCTATTGTGGTGGCCGTGGTTGGTTACTTGGGTCAAATGGTTGACGATTCATGTCTCACTCTGACAAATGCGAAGGAGTCTGTAGATTATTTTTAATTATTGTCATAATTGCTCGTACGTCGGGGTTTGTTTATTTTCCCTTTTCATTTGGCTGCATGGAGGCTTCAGTTCGAGAACGAGGAAACTCCTGGGATACCCCGAGAGATGTTCAGCCGCACTGATCGATCTACTTCGACTCCGCTAGGAACTGGGTTTACTGCGTGAGGTTGGATCTAGCGCTCTGCGTGTCTCAGTATATTTGCTATTCTATCCTTTTTGGTCAACAACTACAGCAGGTACTCTGTACAGAGTGGCGCACGAATACGCAGAACAAACGAAAACATGTACTCAGTAGAAACGATTCAGCTGTCAGTTAGGACTCGAAAGCACGGACCAAGTCAAGCAACTAATCATTTAATCCTACTGTACTCCGTACATAAATGGGTCAATGGGTACTCGTAAATTAGACGCGATCCGGCAAACGGTCCACTACTGGGCGTCGAAGTTGCCTGGGTAATACTCCATTTGGCATCGTGGAGTCGCTCCTTCGAGACTGAAGGACTTGGAAGGACGAGCGATAAATGATCAAAAAAAAAAAAAAAAAAAAAAAAAAAAAAACTCCGTAATCCGCAGCAAGGAAGCGGACGATTGGCCCCGTGAGAATCCTCCGTCGACGCCCTTTCAGGCACCGGAAAGACTAACGGAAATTTTTATATCCACAATGAACGCATCGTCGACGCCGTCTGCTGTCAGCCTGTTTGAAGTTGGTTTCTGCAGGAAAAACAGTGGGAAGAGGTGACAAAATAGAGGAATTCCTCCTCTCTTCTTGTTTACGGATTACCACCGTGGTTGAGCGACTTTCCAGTTCCCATGGATAGAGGAGGTGGCCACGTGGGGACGCAGTTCTCGCAGCGCAGTGGTCCGGTCTTGCATCCTCGGGTGGAGTTGGATTGGACTTGTCCGGAACCCACCAAGGCGAAGGCTGAAGCTCGTGTGCCTGGTTACCTGACCGAGTATGTTATATTCGCGGATGTTTCAATCGCATTACGAGAAGTCGTCGGATGTGGTTTGAACTTCTGATTGATTCCCAATAATTATTGACATGTGTAGTAAGAATTGATCCCGCCGTTCACGGTCCTCCGGCCTTGCTTCTGCTTTAGTCCCAAGCAGGTAAGAATCAACGGACGGACAACTGATAAGTCCATGTAGTTAGCCTGCATGATCTGTCATATCAGAGTCAAGACTTAATCAAGACAACGCAGGCGAGGCTCGTGCTGATGGCCGGACAATATACGCCGTGCAAAATCGAGCAGAGACGGCCGAATTGGTTTCAGATCACGAAATCAAAGGAGCGGCTCTGATGTCAGAAACCTCGGGGAATAATGTAATTGTCTACTTTGATTTGGCATTGCAGTACAAATCATTATTAAATAACTCCGGAGTCCTCCCCATTGATCTTGATGCCGATGCCGACGCGGATAAGAAGCCCCGGGAATCCATACTTCCACACCCATACAACCTCAACACATACGGTGTACTCCCTACGGAATCCAAAGAGCGAACTATCTATCACATCAACCCGAGCGGTTCCCGTAAGCAGGAAGCATCCAGACCAAAGGCATCACGAACTAGTGGCTGCAGTGTGACGTTACCCTTTCACAATGGACAGGGAATCTGGCCGGTCGCATCCCTATCTTCATGCCAATTATCGTTCGACATCCGAGGAAGTAGTAACAAAGATCCTCGCTAGTCAGTTATAACTGGCGTTATTATTATTTGTCTTAATTTAATATTACCATAATCGTTCGGATTCTGATTGTTCGCGTAATTATGACGATGGCTCATTCCGGTATGTACCAAAAATTACTCGTGATAATTAGTTCTGGTCACATCCCGTCCGACGGTGTAGTCAGACTCAGATGTCAACAACAATAATAATCATCTGGAATAGTACTCGTTGACGAGATGGAGCAACGAGCGACAATCCTAATCAATCCGCGACCGTCCCTTACCCATAGCCGATGGAGCAGAACGGAGTAACCCTCGCCTCCCAGGAATGGAATATGGATTCATGCACTCCGCATGCAGCATTGATAATAAGGAGATTAGAACCGCGTGGTCGTAGATTGGACTGAGAACGACCCCGGCAGCGTTCGGTGGAGCTCGCCACCCAGGAGGGCCCTCTAGTCCTGGGGGCCCTTGGATTACCGTTCGAAGTAGGGAGTGGCAGAGGAGACGGATGCGACTCGACGAGTGCAGCAAATCGGAGGGATGGGAAAAAGGTGACTCGATCACGATTCTTGCCGTGTTGCGTTGCCTGACAGGCTGACAGACCTGGTTCGATCGAGATGTTGCTCTTTCATGCATTGATCCGGTCACCACGATGATAGTGATCAGTGTTATAACTATAATGACCATACTACTCCGTCATAGCGAAGAATCACGGATCGTCAAGGGGGTCTTTGGGCGGAAATCCCATACTCCGTAAAAAGGATCACCGGAAGAATATTTCCATGCGGAATGTACTCCGCCTCCGTGAATATCAGAGACCAAGGGGAGTTGGGCCAGTATCAGACAGAAAAAAAAAGAAACAATTTAGAAACGAATCCCAAAACTCCAAACACCACTGTGACGCCCATACTCCCGGTACCACGACCAGAAACAGACCGTTGTCCCATTGATCGAGCAAGCAACGTCGAGTCTATGCCAGATTGGGTTTGGCAGCGAACCGTTTGCAGGGCGTCGGTCGCTCGTCCCACCACTTGCCTCCTGAGAAGTTTGAAACCTCGAAGTTACGAGGACTAGTAGTAGACTCAGTAGATCCGTGATCCAGCACCTCGGGCATCTCCAGCAGGTCGGGAGAGTGGAAGAATGCCGAAGGGGTGACCCTGGTTAGCGGTTCAACGTCGGGAGCGCCGGCAGTGGAAAAGCGGCAAATCTTCCCCTTCATTTCAGGTTTATCATTGGGTCGATATGTACTCCGTATTGGATTGGATTTTATGGTATTTTGTTTATGTTTTGATTTTTGGAATTCGTCCAGCCCCGTACTATTGATTTCTCTTCTCTTTTTCTTTTTCCTCTTCAGAGGTCACAAGACTAGATACATTCAATGGACGCTGCCAGCCGACAGGGGAGGAATCAGACGAATCGCGAGTACTTTCTTTGTGCTCTCGTTCTTTCTTTCCTTTTTTTTTTTTTTTTTTCATTTCTGTTCTTATAAGATTTCCCTGTTTTCAGGATCTTCATTGCCTGCGATCCTTGCTGGGAACCAACAATAAATGATCAATAATAAAGGTGGCCTCCCCGAGTCAACACTAAACAGAAGCCCGAGAAATCCCCATGGCGAGAATAGTCCATCCGCTAAAATAACGCGGAAAAATGGATCTGTGATTGACTTCTTCCATTTCCCGTTCTACACGCCTTCCATTGCGTAAAGGGTTAAAGGCAAAACCCGCGCACCCGAAAAGAAAAGGAAAAAGAAAAAAAAAAAAAAAAAAAAAGAAAAAAGGCCCGGGAGCAGCTGTGATTAGCGGCAGACGCCGACCCGCTCCGTCGGTCCTCGTCGCTTTTGGTTCGCTGCCTCAGCCTTAACTCCGGTCACGAATACAGTAGGTAGTTCCATTCTATTGCAACGCCTTCAATTCAGACGGCGTAGACATAAATAATATTATTTCTATAAAAAAAGAAAGAGAAAGAGGATAGATCTCAAAAAGTAGTCCGTGTTTCGTCTCGGTCTTCTTACAACGGACTAACTACGAGTACGGTCTCACAGTAAGGGACTAAATCAATCAATCAATAACCAACAACCGAGGACGGAGTAATCAACATCGTCAGAAAAAAAAAACAAAAAAGGGGGGCTGAAATGGAGAGGAAACAAAGGAATCACTCCCAGAGGCCGCACAGCCGAGACTAAGAGTGATCGAGTTAATCTAGCATGGAAACCGTTTTCTGTCGGACTCTCGGGCTAGTCAAGGGGAAGAAGTGTTTCTGAGTAAGACTCCGGAGTACTTGACGGAGTTCTAGTTGGGCTGGAGGTCATTGGGCTTCCTGCTCTCTTCGGCCTGATGCCGTCGTTACGGCGTATGGTACCGGCGGGGTATTGGTATGGTACCAGGCCAGACGCAGCCGACGACTCCACTTTGGCCCCGGAAAGGCTTAGGCTCTTAGGCAGGGAAGCCAGTCTAGTCCCGTAAAAGATTCCTCCGTCACCAGAATTTAATTTATGGAAATAAAATAAATTGTATTGGAAATGGGAAATCGGAAATTCAAAGTAGGTAAAGTCAAGTCAAATCTACTAAAAAGTAAAGTAAAAGTAATTTCTCGCTTTCTCTCTTCGTCGACCCAGAACTCCCAGACCCTTCAATCCCCATATTTTAATCTATTCCCATTCCTTCTGCCCATTATCATTATTATTTTTATTATTATATTCCTGCGCCTCCCCCCTCCTCCTCATTCACTTTCCCTTCCTTTCTTCCTCTCCCTCTCTTCCCCTTCAACCTCCCCTCCCTTTCTTTCCTCTCGTCTGGTCTGCAAGCTGGCCTTTGCAGCTTCCTTGACGATTCCTTGCTGCTGCTACTGCCGCCAGTGAATGTCGCTGCGGTTGTTGTGGTGGTGGTAAGTTGGGGGTTATCAATTCCTCCCCTCGCCTCTTCTTTCTCTCGTGTCTGGATCCGACTCAATCCAGTCCAAGTCCTCGACCTTTTCCTTTCACCCTCGAGAGGCTGTCCTGCGTCGTTCGCCACCGTCGCCATCATTCGTATCCTGTCCCGGAAAGCATGCCTTGCAATAATGGTCTAATATGGTTGTTGGATACTGCTAGACGCTAATCCGTGGATATGGATTTCATTGTGAGTGCTCGCTTTTTCTCCCTAGGTTTTGTCATTCGCCAGTGGCGCATTGCGACCTGCGTCAATGTTGCGCATGCGTCCCTTGAAGATCCTCCCGTCCGGGAATGAATCATGTTTTGCGCCGCTTCAAGTAGCTGTCTTGCCACCGACACGGGATGATGATCTCATGCGACTACGCTACATCTACGTACCATTGCCGTGGTTCTGACTAACGACCTTGCTCCCCTCAGCTCTCTTTGACGCATTTTTGCGAGGTACATGGCCCGACCTCGATCATCTGCTCCCAAGTCCTCCCATTCTCCTGTTCGCAATGCTACCCCGAACATTCCGACATCTCCCCCGATGATACCCCGGCGACTTCTCACGACACCGTCTCCTCCCATGGCCTGCGCAAAGAATTCAGTCCCTCGAAATCCGCGGAGAAGCCCACCAATGGGAGTTCCAAATCGCCCAAGATCGAGGATCATCCCTATTTCCTCAAGTCTCAACCGAGTGCTCCAGAACCCCAGAAGATAAGCCGTGTCGGAGGCGCCGACGGCGATACTTGCGCCAGCTGTAGCCTCACCTTGCCGGAGGGTGTAAGCAAACAACTCCCTGCAGGCGCCCCTGGAACCCCCAACGGTGACGGCAAGGGCAATAATGCCAGCCCCGTGCTGCGGTCCAGAGAACTGGTCTACTCCTGCGGCAGTAATCATTGCGATTATAACGACAGCGCAAACGACTCGCATACGCATGCCTCGCTTCCCGACTCCCTCCATTCTTCTTCCGTCTCGTCGGACGCCTCTTGCCACACGCATATTCTCACCTATCTCTCCTTGCGCGGTCCTCCCAACCCCGCAGATTACGCCCTTCTGCGACGCTCTTCCATCCGCACATTGAGTTGCGAGCTTCTCCCGCGCGGTCTCTCCTCCGGTCCTTTGTGCTTTGGTGACTCGAATGCCGGTTACACGGTCGCCTACATCTTTCGCCTTCCCGACCCTATGGCTCGCGGGAAACGGCGCAGCTATGCGCTGGTCGCGCTGGCCGGCAAGGATGCGAATAAAGCGTTCCGTGCCTGTCCGGTAATATGGAGGGCATTCGGTCGCATTGCATCCGGCATCGTCAATTCGGCCGAGAAGTTCCAAGAGGAAGAGAAGCGGCGCGAGGAGCAGAACAGCAGCTCCAATCGAAACGGAAATCATCCGTATACCCCCGTTTCCTCCTTCCTCACCGGACGCACCGTCGATCCCGACGGAATGCGACGACCCGGCCAGGTTCGCGCACGAAACCTCTCGGACATCGTGGGCAACCAATACATATTTGCGGAAATCCACGCACATTTTGTTGCCCTTCTACAACAGTTGGGTTCAATGTTTGGAGCTGTCCCCATCTCAGAGGAACGATTTGTTTGCAGTACGGTACGCGAAGACGAAGATACACGACGGTCGGTTTTGTCGGGCAGCGAGAAGGGCAATCCCAACGATCAGAAATTCCAGAAATACGACGATAGTGATCTTGGCATGGCCAAGCTGGATATCTCGTCGGGTCCGAAGCCCATTCCAATCGCTCCCCGCCGGTCCGTCATCGCATAGATCCTATAAACCGCCTATTACCTGCAACCTATCGCTCTACAAAGATTCAGACGTTTTAGATACGCGCACCGATACCCTTTGTTTCTCGTTCCCGAATATCCTTGGACTTCAACAATACCCTTGCCTTTGATCTCCAACAGTGAGGCCTCCAACTTTTATGGCCACTACCTTGCTTCTCTTTCTTTCTGGTCTTTGTTTCTTCTTTCATGTTCCGTCGAGGGACCAGTTCCAATAGACTTATGGCGTCCTCTCAAGATTGGAACCGGAGTTACGGGCTCTTTTCTTTACTTTTGTTCTGGGCACTAGCCTCCTCTGTTTTCTTCAAGCGTGGGTGGGCCAGTGATCTTTGGTCCCAGTTTTCCTGTTCTATTCCCCTTTGTTCTGATTTGCCTGCTATGTCCTTTTCTTTCGTCCATTTTGGCGATGGCTTATGGCTATGACTAGCATCGCTTCTACTGTCTTTCTTAATATTATCCCTGCATCGTCAACAGATGATGCACGAAAAGAAGAGGCTCTGTTTTGTCAGACAGCTCGTCACATCATATCATGAATCTCATGATTTGAATGTCGTTTTTTCACGAAGGGCGATGGGAAATGATAAATTACTACGCTTTTTCTTTTTCTGTTGAAATGAAGACATGATCATGATTATGATCACGATCACGGTCATGTTCATATCCAAGTTCCTCTTTTCTTTTTTCCCCGTTTGCTTCTGGGCTTGTATTGTATGTAACTAACTTAGCTAACCTTCTAACTATGTATTCTACTGTGCAGGTCATATCTCTAGACCTTTTGCTTTTTTTCTATGGATTTATGCTGCGGTTGGTTTGTGTAGTGTAGTATATCTTGTATTGTACATTATCATACATAGCCTCATTATTGTTACATTGTAGAGTATATAGAAGCAATGCCTGCGAAGACTAACCAACATTAAATCACCTGATCCCGGCCATCAGGTGACCGCCATCCCCCTCTTAGACTATCGTGGATAGTTCCTTTTCTAAATGTCCTTTTCTCCCGCTTCCACAACATTACATATTAAATTCCCATGTCACACTCATCTACAATGTCTGCTCCGCATGGAGCACTGTTACATGACGCCTCCTGGCAAACCACGCGGAGAAAAGTGCGCAAAGGCACCCACAGTTGCTGGGAATGCAAGCGTCGGAAGATGAAGTGTAGATTCGACCCGCGTGTGGTGAATGCCTCCTGCAACGGCTGTCGACGACGTGGCTCCACGTGTATCAGCCAGGAGATTCCCGAGGACATCGCATATGGCCTCATGGGCATTGGCTCTAGTCGCAGTGATGACACTCCCACGCCCAGCGAGAGGGCAGGCCCTAGTATTCGCACGCCTCTGTCAACGAACATAGAGCCGTCGCGATACCATAGGTCTTCTGAGGTCCGAGTCTTCTAGCTATGTATTGTATGATGGTTACTGAATGCTTTCTAGCAATATCTTACGACCACCCGGAAGGATATCTCACAACATAAATATGAGAGCTTGTCTCGGTTCTTGCATGAATTACTCCCGTCGCGAGAAGATATCGAGAAAATCTGCAAAGCCACTTGCCACTCTTCCATTCTCTCCCACGAATTGTTGACTACGCCATACTCTACCCTCTACCAGAGCGGGCTCCAAACGCCCGAGAGTTTACTGATGACCCCGGAACCAAACATGCACCCTGTTTTGGTCGCGAGGCACATGCTCCAGCTCGCCGTTTTCCTACAACATCTTCCCCCAGACCTTCACAAGGGGATTGAAGGCCTGCTGGAGCCACCCCGAGCTATCATGGAACGTTTAGCAAATGTTGCCATCTATCATGTCACGACCAATGAGGAACTTATCGGCAGCATAGAGAGCCTCGAATGCATCATGCTCGAGAGTTTGTACCAGGTGAACATTGGGAACCTCCGACGAAGCTGGGTCGCGGGCCGGAGAGCCATGAGTGTCGCCCAAATGATGGGCTTTCATCGATCGAATAACCAGACCCCGTACAAGGCCCTCGACCCCAAGGCGAAGACAAAATACTGCCCACAGCTCATGTGGCTCCGTATTGTTATTCTTGATCGCCATCTCTGCCTCCTCTTAGGTCTGCCCCAAGGCTACACCGACCAGAGTATGGCTGCCGATGAGACAGCCCTCGCCAACGACTGTCCCATGGGCCGTCTTGAGCACCGGCACTGTGTCATCATGTCCCGAATTCTCGAACGTAATGCATCCAAGCCTAGCAGCCGAAATCTCGCTACCACCCGCGCCATCGACCTGGAGCTGCAGGCAGCCGCAGGTAGCCTCCCGAGCAAGTGGTGGCTGGTTCCCAAACTCGACATTGCCTCCGCCGACCTGCAAGCCGTGTTCTGGGATACCCGCCGTCTGGTCCTGCAGATCTGTCACTACAACCTTCTCAACCAGATGCATCTGCCGTATATGCTGCGTCGCCCCTCGTCCGCAGAGAGCAAATTCGACTATTCGCGGATCACGTGTGTCAATGCGTCGCGTGAGGTTCTCTCGCGCTACATCTCGCTACGCAGCGTCAACCGCATCGCTTACAGCTGTCGCACTGTCGACTTCATCGCCCTCATGGCGGCCATGGCGCTCCTCCTCGCACATATGGATAGCCATCGCGACGGGGTAGACAATCTGCTCGCTAACCAGTATCTGGGCGATCGCGGGATGATCGAGCAGGTGCAAGAGAACATGAACGAGATGAACAGGCTCAATTCAGATGAACTAAGCGCGCAAAGTGCGGATTTGTTGAAGGCGCTGTTGGCGATTGATGTGGAGAAAGGCAATGGGAGGGTGAGTGTCTTGCAGCAGGATGGGATAGGCCAGGAGGAAGAGGGCGTGGTGCGTGTGCATATTCCGTATTTTGGAATCATTCGGATTGTACGCGAGATTCCGACCAGCAGCAGCTCCGAACCCTCCACTGACAACACCCCCAATCCACCCTCGCATGCCACCGACACAGCCGCTTCCCAGGAACTTACCGCACCTTTTGCGCCCCTGCAACAATGCCAGAACACTTTTTGCGACCCAGGCCTTTTTCTGACCCCATCCCCGCTGGCACATCCAGAACTCGCCGCAGGCGGCGAGGAGTGGGCGTTTCAGGGAGTCGATATGGCGTTTTTCGAGAACATTATGAGGAACGTCGGGGGCGATGGTTGATACTGGTGCAATGACACAAAATTCACTTGCTCATGTTGGGTTGGATGCATTAGAGATCAAGAGATCAAGGAAGAAAACACAACTAATGATATTTCTAAGCCTAATGTGCTCATATTGGACAAATTTCCAATATTGCGATTTTGCTTTCCTAGGAACTCGCCTCGACTCTGCCAGATCTAGCAGCGCTAACCAAGCAAAATCAACCCTCTAACTCTCCCCATCGGCTACCTCCGTCTTCTCCTTCACCTCCTTCACCTCCGTCGCCGGCTTCTTCCCATGATCCGGCAGCTTCTTAAACGGAATAACCAGCGACAGCAGCACCGAAAACGCCGCACACGCCAGAGAAAACGCAAACACATCCTTGATGCCCACCATATACGCGGCGATCACCGCCGTCCGATCGTCCCCGTTGAACACGGTCTGGAGCTCGGAGGCGCCGGTGGCCAAGACCAAGGCAGGATCGAGGTGGGATGCACTGCTAAGGACGGTCTGGAGCATACGATTGGCGAAGAGGGATTGCGCGATGGCGACGAAGTAGGCGCCGCTGAGTGTTTGGCACACTGATGAGGAGGGAGGTGTTCGTTAGTACATATGTATACATAGGGATTTTGATGCGAATTGGCATTGTATAGGTAGTGTGTACTTACTAACCATGATGCCAGTCGCGCTGGACACGTCTTCAAGCTTGGAGAAGCCCTGTACGGCCGTCATGGGGATCTGGTTGCAGATCCCAACACCAAACCCGAAGAGCACCTCGGCGCCGATGTACATGGCTTGCGAGGAGTCGACATCCAGGGTGTAGATCAGGGCCATGCCGGCGGTCATGATGAGGGCACCGAGAAGCTCGTAGGGCTGTGTGTAGCGGGTCTTTCCGATGACGGCACCGCTGACCACGGCTCCTAGGGCGAACAAGGCGAGGAATGGGAGCGTGTTGACTCCACTTTTGACGGCGGACTGTCCGTGGATGGATTGGAAGTAGATGGGGAGGTAGAACATCACTTGGTAGAGGGCGGCGTAGGAGCTAGAACCAAGGGATTGGTGGGTTAGTTAGCCATGACCGGGAGAGAGATGCACGAGGGATCAAGAAGCGACAACTCTTACATGAAGCAAAACAGAGCATTACTCCACGTCATGCGCTGTTTCAAGATGCTAAACGGAGCCATGGCGCGAGGGCCCTGTAGCCATTCGGTAACGAAGAACCCAACGGTGAGTACAATCCACAGGACCAAGGTCGCGATGACAGAGCCATGATTCCACGCTTTGGTCTGCCCACCCCATTGCAAGGCCAACGTCAAGCATACGAGCGCGACAAGGAGCAAGCAGAACCCCGGGATATCCAGGGCGAGGATGATCTCGCTCCAGGTAGCCGGGACACTCTGGATGTGCTTGGGGATGCGAAGGAACAACAACAACAGAACGACGATGAGACCACCCACGGGCAAGTTGATCCAGAAGCACCATCTCCACGAGACCTCGCTCGTGAATGCCCCGCCAATCACCGGTCCCAGGATCGTCGACACCATAAACACCGCCATCCACGTCCCGATGAGAAGCGGATGCTTCCGAGGCGGCGCCACGTAGTTGATGACTATCAGCGTGCCTCCCAGGACCCCCGAGGCTCCCCAGCCTTGAAGCGCACGGCCGATGATGACGGACACGCTATTCGGAGCTGCAGCGGCCACCACACTGCCGACCAAAAAGATCCCGACCGCGCTGAGAAACGTCCATTTGACGTTGAGGTACTTGAACAGCTTGCCCCATAGCGGCGAGGCAGCGGCTGCGAGGATGAACGTGGCGCTGCCATACCAGCCCACGTCGTCGAGTCGGTGGAAATCGGCGGTGATGCCGGGGATTGCGGTCGCGATGATGCCGATCTCTAGGGAGACGAGGATGGTGCTCACGAAGATCGTGAACATGATGAGGGCTAGTCGTGTGCCAGTCGCATATTCGGGCGCGGGCTCGTTGGGGCCTTTGTCGGCTGGAGACTGCTCGCTATCTCCGGTTGAGCCTGGCTGGTGTCCGTCCAGCTCGGCCTTGTTGCTGCTCTCGAGGTCTGAACTGTCTGCCATGATGCGTGGATTGTTCGGCGTCATCACTCCGGCGGCATGTTGACGGGCTGAGAGTTGCAACTTATGGTTTCGGATTCACGAAAAGCCATGTGGATTGCCATCTCGATGACAAACCAACACGTAAGAGGATTATGAGGATGAAGAAGGGAGATATATGGCGTAGTCCGCGATTGTACACGGTCGACCGAAGGACTAAACGATTTCGACCGCCGTGATGTTGTATATCTTGGCCCGTGCAGCGTTCGACCGCCGTAGTGCATATCTTGGCGATGCCGCACCGCCGTGCTGCTGACAGAAGTCGTCTAATTGATTGCTAACAGTCGATTGATCATATTAATCATGAAAGTATCTGGCTTGCACCTTCGACCGGCGGGTCTCAAGGGGGGAGGGGGAGGGAGGATTTCGTTGATCCGTGGTTTAGACCGCTAAATGTGTAGAGAAGACTAGGTTGAGGGACGGGAGTGATTGATAGAAGAACAGTAATGATGAAGACAGGTAAACTGATGCATAATGAGTTCATGCAGGTAATAGACTATAGAGACAGTCAAATAGAAAGCCTACGCTACTGTAAAAAACCCGGTATGTATAGGTACAGATATACTGGACGTACCCAAAGATATGAAGAAGTAAGAAAGAAACCAAATAATCTACCAATCCCCCTCGCTATCACTCCCCGGATATGCCTTCTTGCGAAGCTTCCACAGCGATTTCTCGCGCTGCGACGCCTCCTGTTGTCGTCGACTATGGTCCTCGATGACCGTCATCCACGGCACGTTGCTGGCGCGTCGGACCCGGTCCCTCAGAGCGGCAGACACTCGCGCCTGCGTCGCCGAGTCCAGAGCCTCGTTGCCGGCCTTTCTGGCCTTCTCGACCGTCTCGCGATGTCGTTTCTCGGCGGCCCGTGCGGCGTAGTACTCCTCGCTGACGGCCCAGTTCGGGTTGTCGAGTTGCCCGCGCACCAGCACCAGCCCGGATCCGTGTTCCAGGGCGTGGCGGATCGCGGACCCCGCGATGGGTGTGACCAGCTCGAGGGTTCGCGATGAGACGTCGACGGAGCGCACGAGTGCTAGGCCGAGACTGTGTGAGGCGCGGGGGTCGAGCGGGGTGCAGCTTCCGGCGCCGACGAAGAGGTACGGTAGGTCTTCGTTGCGTGTGCGGGTGATGTTGGCTTCGATGTCGGGATCCGTAGATTTTTGGGCTCTAGAAGGCTTGGTGCTGTTGGTATCCTGCTCCTCTTCCTCCTCCATGTTGACGTCTGAGCCGCCAGTCGAGGCGTTTTCCATCTCCTCGTCCTCCTCTGCGCCGTTCGTGGACGGCCCGTTCGCCTCTCCGAGGATGGCACGGGACGATTCAACGGCGACGACGCCGACAAGGGCGCCGTCGAGGACGTCGTGGAGAAGGTCCGGGTCGATCTGTGAGCCCATGACCATGATGCCGCGGATGCCTTGGTTAGGTCCTGCATAGGAGACTCGGAATGGGCGCGTGTGGCAGAGGGGCTGGTGAAGCCAGAGCGGGTTGCGGAGTCCGTCGGCGTGACTCAGGTGGAAGTACGACTGCATCTGCATGGAGCGCAGCTGCGCGCTGGAGCGGCTGACGAAATCGGTGGGTTGCGATGGGAGGATGGTGAGAGGGACCATGGCTTCGTGTGCGGCCTGCCCAAGGGGCTCGATCACCTCCATCGGCCCCTTCTCGCTCATGTAGACCACGTCCGATAGTCCGAGCGAGCGCACGAGCCAGGTCGCCACTTCAAGGCCGAGGCCAAAGATCCATCCGGGGTAGTTGATGATGAGAGAGCATTGAGGGTAGGTGGCTAGCAGGGCGCGATAACGGTCCATGAGGTCCATGGCCGCGAGCATGTAGTGATCGGGATCATCCTTGGGCGACGTGGCCCCGATGTGGTGAGCGCGGACCATCGTGCCAGTTTGCGAACCGTCTAGCGAGGGGTGAGAGAATGGGGGGCCGAAAACGGGAGACCGGAGATGTGCAAGGTAGACCTGGCCCATAGGGGAGAACTCGGGCTGGCCGGGGTCGAGGTCGAGGAACGCAACGCCGTCGGTGTTGCAGTAGTTCGTCTCGGTCTGCGGGGCGGGACTGAGGAGGTGATTCAAGAGGTATCGACTGAAGGTGGATTTTCCAGACGCCTTGGGACCGCAGATCAGCGCCTTAAGCCGTCCACCACGTTGAGAGAGAGACTTGATAGCTGAGCTCCATTGCTTTTCCAGATGCAGTGGCCGCAAGTGTCGCTTGAGAGAATCGTCCGCCGATGTATACAGCTATGCTAGGTTTAGATTGCTAGTATTGAAGACGGCGGAAGGGAAGACACTTACAACGGAGAACGTTCTCCTGGTAGATTGAGGTTCGTTCTTCAGGGTGAGCTTGTCAGCGGAGGTGTTCTTTCCATTCCACACCCGTTGATATAGAGGAGACAGATCCCTGAGACGATAGATGCCACTGTGGCATGACTTGACCTCGATTTCGGCCGCACCATCGACGCTCGAAACACACTTGATGACCGGGAGAGAGTGGGTTGAGGGCGCATAGACTCTGTAGACTCGAGACGAAGGATGCAATTTGGCGCCCATCAGACTGATCACGCCTCGTTTCACCCAAAGATCGTAGTGGCCAAGCAATACTAGACTCTATGAAGGATTAGCATGGTGTCACAATGTCATTCTGTCGCGAAAACGAACCATTTTGTCTTTGATCCGGACACACAGCCTTTCCTCGTCGCTGTAGACAATGTTGCTTTTGTTCAATCGAGTTCTTGACAACGGGAATTCCTCTTGAGCGAGGGCCGGCGTGTCTGCAGGCGATTCATACCTGGGTATTGTGAGCCTAAATTCCCTAATCCCCAACAAATGACCGATACTTACTCATCGTCATCGTTTTGCGCAGTACCGACTCCATTCTCTCGTACAATATCATTCTCGTCTTCCGATTCCTCCTCAGATGCACCCTCGTTTTCATTGCTCAGCGAGGTGCTAGGTGGCGGTCCTTGTTCGACAGGCTTCGAGACTGGCGCTTTAACCTTCTTCTCCGGGGTGTTCTGTGCCTTCGAGTCTTCCGTCTTTCGCCGGGTTGATCGCCTCGTTTGGCGGCGGTCCTCTGCCGGGGCTGCTGATGCCGATTTCTCTTCCTCTTCTTCGGGAGTGCGGCGCGCCTTCTTAGAAGGAGGTTCGCCGGATGATTCAGGTTTCGACGGCTTCACTGGGGTCACGGCAGCTTGCGCTTGCTGCTGGCGAGCTTTGCGCGCTGCAACGGCGCTCATCGGAGCTAGAGGAATTGATGTCAGTATACAATTTTTTTTCTGCACTTGAACAGGAAGGGTGGATTAGACACGCACCGGCCGTTGGCTGCTTGTCAGCCTTTCTCTTCATAATTTCCAGAATATGCGATATTTTCCAGCCGAAGTCCAGCCCATTCGACAGCGTCGTGAAATCGTAGAGAGTTGGTGCTGGCGGGGGACCTGCGAGGGTCGATAATTCCAACCGCGGACTTTTGATGGTGGTCCGTGCTCCGCGGAGCAAAGAGGGTCGCGCAAAAAAAAAAAAAAAAAAAAAAAAAGTTATCGCGTTGTCGCTGCCAGGAATCGCCAGTGATAACTGTTCAACTTCTAGACATTATATTGCGTTCGCAATCTATTATCACTAATTGCACAGTCGAGTTTGTGCATTGGCCGTATTCTCCTTCGTCTGTCACCCTCACAGCCAGCCCAACTCGTTGCTTGGCGCTCCGCATCGAAGGCCCGCCGAACTTTTTTTCTTTCCTTTCGAACTCCGAGCGTCGACAGAAGTGCTCTTCACATAAGCCCCCCCCGCACTCATAATGGCTCCCAAATCCGCATCTCCCTCCTCATCAGAGAGTGAGAGCCGATCGTCGTCTCCCGAAACAACCAAGAAGACCGCGCAATCGTCGAGTTCGGGATCGGAGGAGGATTCGTCAAGCGGCTCCAGCGAAGGCGAGAGCGACAATGAAAGCGCCGCTTCTTCCGCGGAGGGATCAGAAAGCGAGTCTGAAGAATCATCCGATGAGTAGGTGCAATTCTGTCCGTTCTATCTTCAGCAATCTAACCCGTCTTGTCCAGGTCTTCCAAAGTGAAGACCATCGCCGCTCAGCCATTCAAGGCCCCCTCTGGTTTCAAATCCGTGAAGAAACAATCGCCTCCTTCCTCCAGTGTCGCCTCCGCCTTGTCCGATCTCCGCGGTAAACAGATCTTCCACGTCTCCGCGCCCGCTTCCCTCCCTCTCTCGAAAGTCAAGGAGATCTCGCTGGCCAAGGTCATGCAGGGCGAGCCCGTCATGAAGCACGAGGGCGTGGCATATGGAATCCCCGCCGAGGGCATGATCAACGGCGATGGGGCCTCGAACACGCTCCTCACTTACGACCCCAAGACCCAGACGTATACTCCTACGATCGCGAACAACATCCACAGCTACCATGTGCAGGAGCTGATCCAAATCCCCAACCTATCAGAGGTGGAGGACAAGGTACGGGAAGCGGCACAGGAACAGGTCGTTCCCCCGAGAAAACAGCCCAAGCACTTGAAGATGCGGTTCCGCCCCGTGGGAAGCCGCAATGCCCCCGCCGAGACGATCGGGTCGAGCTCGGAAGAGTCGGAGGGAGAGGCGCCTACGTTCAAGGTCCCCAAGGGCGCCAATGTCGACAAGGAGGAAAGAAAGCGGAAACAACACCCTACCGAAGCCGAAGGGAACACGGCCAGCGGCGAGCCCCGGAAGAAGTCTAAGAAGCACGAGGATGGGGAGAAGAAGAAGTCCAGCAAGAATAAGGACGAGAAGAAGCGGAAGAAGTCCAGCAAGTCCGCATGAGAGACGAGTGGTGTCCTTTGACGTTTGGCACGGTGTGGATGCAGGTTGCTTTTGCATCAGGGCGCATGATACCTGGAGGAACTTGTATGTATTGTAAATAGGCGGAGCACTAAAAAATTGTGAGATTACGAGTTTACTTGAAGTGATTCTACCTTGAGAAGAGCTAGTTCGAGATGGTCATTGTCAACCTAATTGAGTTGCTGAATGAATATGCGGTCAAAGGAGTGCAGCAGCGCAGAGTGACAATATGACAGATTGGGAGTAGAAGCCATCCCCAGTCGATAGTCCCTACTAAGGAAACTATTCCAGGCCCACTAGACGGCGTCGATCAACCGCCTAGAACCAAGCGCGGCCACTAAGCCTCGGCGATGGAGCCTCGTGTACGGAGTATGTAGTAGGTACATACCTACCAGGTAGGTACCTTGTATCTTGGGTTCTGCACGGAGTACTTGTCACAACCTACTAGGCAGTGACTACTCCGGAGTACCTAGAAAGTCTTCCCCCTGAAGTCAAACGAGCAAACTGCCTTAAAAATCGGGCAGCCCGGCGCTTCCCAGGGAACCATTAATACCGTCAATACCGTAACTTACAGAAACAACCGGGGGTCCTGACGGATGACATAAGCGAGAGACGGGCTCCATTGTCACATGCTCGCTCCCTGATTGGGCAGATCCTTATCCGGGAGAACAGCTGATACGGACGAGTGACGCCAGACCTTCTCTCTCTCTCTCCTGCTGTCTCTCGCTCTGCCTAGAAGTCTGCCTGCATCACGCACGATCCTCGACCGCTTTCATTTTGGTTCCTTCTCCTTCATCAACACTTCCGTCCTACCTATCCGGTCTATTCCTCATCTTCGTCATGCCTGATCACGATCTTTCGCCGCGCTTTCTTTGATCCTTACTTTCTACTCCGAATAGTGGACGGGCTGATACTATTTCGGGTTTCAACGTCGCCGGTCAGCCTACTGTATGTACCCTGGTCTTTTTTTTTTCTCCCTTACTTTGTGTGATTTTTTCTTTTTCCTTGGTGACCCAGGAACCCAAACACCGCTCGACCTTGATGGATGATGATATACACTGACCGGTACCATCATCTGCTTTACAGTTATAGGCTCATACCTGTTGTCCGAGAGCCTCCGTCTTCGTCGTGACTTCAATAACTTTACTGGCGATCACGCTCTCTCTGACAGAGTGGATCACTCGTGGCTGTCACCTGCTCGGACACTTCTTGTCCCCAGCTATTGACTATCCCTTCCTCCCTTGACCTTGGTCGGACTTGCACTCCTTGTGCCTTCCACTTTCGTTTGAATCACCGACAATGCGACCCTTTCTGGATGATGCCAAAAAGCGGGTGGACAATAAGCTCAGTACAAGAAGACAGTCTATATCGAATAGCCGAATGTTTTCCAGTGCGTTGCCCGAGCGCCTAAAGGATGACCATGACGCCCAGGTCGATTTCACCGCTCCGCCTGGGGCCTCCGGGTCTCGCGATGGTCACGTACCGTACATGCAACAGTCCATATTTTCCATGATTGCCGCCGTCGGGTCCAAATCTGACTTCCATACGCGCTTCGACGACTCGAGTGATAGCGAGGGAGATGGCGAGAGACGTCGAAAACCCAGCAGAAAGATCCCACCCACTGCGGCCGGTACACCTCTCAAGGAAGCCGAGAACTCCAACCGGCCGACAGATACCAAGCCACCGCCGGAGGAACGAGGTCGCCGTCATCGCAGGACGATATCGGAGAACAGGCTTTTGCGGCCCTTCAAGACAACCTCGAGCTTTCGTAAAGGGAAAGAACAGACAATACAAACAGAGCCCGCGTCGAGCGATGAGCTGTCCCGAGTCCCGTCTCCAAGACGTCCGCGCAGTGCCACCCTTCGCGCCGCCCCTGTTCTTAGTCGCATGGTGGAGGCTCAAGCCCTCCTTGACCCCAAGGCGGTTCCCGAGCAGTCTCCGTCAACGGCGGGCGGGACCAAGCACGATCCACAGCAGCCGGTCTCATCTGCCCTCTCTGTTAGGTTAATGGAGATGTTTGGTTATGAGTCTCCAGAGAAGGTCGTTGTTGAGTATGCCTGCTCTCTACTACAAAGTATGCTTCTGCAAGGATACATGTATGTCACCGAAGGACATATCTGCTTCTACGCTTATCTCCCCCGAAAGTCAACCGTCGCCATCAGATCCGGTTGGCTCCACAAACGGGGCCGAAAGAATCTCCGATACACTCGCTATTGGTTTTCATTGAAGGGGGATGTTCTGTCTTTCTATGCGGATCCATCCAACTTCTACTTCCCCAGTGGTCATGTGGACCTCCGATACGGGATATCTGCCTCTTTGGTGGAGCAAAAGGACAAGGGAAAGGAGACGAAGGATTTCCAGGTGACCACCGACCAGCGGACCTATTATTTCAGAGCGGATAGCCAGGCCAGTGCCAAAGAGTGGGTGAAATCGCTGCAGAAAGTCATCTTTCGGACACACAACGACGGCGACAGCGTGAAAATATCCTTTCCGATCGATAATATAATAGACATAGAAGAAAGCCCCATGGTTGAGTTCGCCGAGACATTCAAGATACGTGTTGTTGACAGGGAGACCTATGCCATCGATGAGGTTTGTGTCTCGACTAACTGATATGAGAGAATTCATCACTAATTTTTGGCAGTATTACTTCTCGTTCTTCAATTCCGGCCAAGACGCCTTCAACTTCTTGAAAAGCCTGACCCACGAAACAACGACAAAACAGTCTCAGGCATTATCGCCCAGGCGAGACCACGCCGCTCAGTCCAGACGTTCGCGGGGATCTCAGAATAGATGGTCACTGAGCAGCGCACTAAGTCAGCCACGAGGGATAGGAAATGTTGGCTCTCAACGGCGCCGAAGCACGAGCGCTAGTCACTTCAGCTTCGGTCACGACGTAGTCGGAACGTCCCCTCCTACGAAGCAAGCCGATCCATCGGACTCCTTCTATAACTCTTTTGAGCACGCAGCGGAATCCTCGGCTGTCTTACAGTCCATGACAGACACAACAGAGTCGGCTAGCCAAATTCTAAACCGAAGTGATGTATTCCAGTCCCCAACAATACACACCCTGGGAGCTCGGCCTTCTGGCGCAGAGAAGGCTGAACGTCGGCATTCTGATGATACGGCGCGTTGCGGAACTCATACTCCGGTCAACCCATTGGTTATTCCCCAGCGGAATGAGTCAGAAATTCAGTATGGGATTAGCGAATCTGATCTGGAAGTGCAGGATTCTTCCAAGACAAATACTGCTACTCCTTCTCTGAATGAGCTTGTCAGGGCCGGGGTCTATCCCCTCCAACGTGCCGCGGGAATCGCGGGATACTTGAAGAACCGGTCAAAGCAAATGAGCACTCTTCTGGCCAGCGAATCGATGGGGTACTTCGAAAAAGTCTCGGGTATGTGGGCAGGTGGTCGCCAGCATTACGGGGAAGGAGAAGACATACTGCCGGAGGATCAGGACGTTGACCCCGAAGACAGAGAAGATGGCTGCAAGCATGGAGATCGGTTCCGTGCTCATTTCGCACTTCCGCCGACGGAGAGGCTTCAAGCAACGTATTTCGCCCATCTCCATCGCGTACTTCCCTTGTATGGCAAGATCTACATCAGTCAGAAAAAGCTCTGCTTCCGCAGCCTGATTCCTGGGACCCGCACAAAAATGATTCTTCCCTTGAAGGATGTCGAGAACGTTGAGAAAGAAAAGGGCTTTCGGTTCGGTTACCACGGACTTGTCATCATCATCCGAGGACATGAAGAACTGTTCTTCGAGTTCAATGCGTCTGACGCTCGGGATGATTGTGCCGTAACGCTGCATCAGGGACTTGAATCGGTTAGGTTTTTGGCGGAGTCGGGATTGCTCGCAAAACAGGAGAAGGACGAATCTGATGCGGCAAAGGCAGAGCATCTGATGTTACAAGAAGCCAGGATGGGTACTATCGACAGCGAAGACACGCAGGTTTCGTTAGAAGAGTCTTCAGAGCTTCATCCCATTTTTGATGATCCGCGGGCTTCAATCATCAACTTTAAACCCTCCGAGTCTCTGAGAATCACATGCCTTACCATCGGTTCACGCGGTGACGTACAACCATACATTGCATTATGCAAAGGGCTACTCGCCGAAGGCCACAAACCTAAGATTGCGACCCACGCGGAATTCGAACCTTGGGTGAGAAAGCACGGTATTGATTTTGCTCCGGTCGACGGAGACCCGGCAGAACTTATGCGAATCTGCGTGGAGAACGGAATGTTCACATACTCATTTCTGCGAGAGGCATCTTTGAAGTTTCGGGGCTGGATTGACGACCTCCTATCATCTGCATGGAAAAGTTGCCAAGGAAGCGACCTCCTAATCGAATCGCCCAGTGCAATGGCAGGAATCCATATTGCCGAGGCACTGAGGATTCCATACTTCCGCGCCTTCACGATGCCGTGGACTAGGACACGAGCATACCCGCATGCTTTCGCTGTTCCCGAGCACAAGATGGGCGGCGCCTACAACTACATCACCTACGTCATGTTCGACAACGTCTTCTGGAAGGCAATTGCGGGCCAGGTGAATCGATGGAGAAAGACCGAACTTGGGTTGAAGCCGACAAACCTGGATAAGATGCAACCCAACAAAGTCCCTTTTCTCTACAACTACTCTCCGTCGGTGGTCGCCCCGCCACTCGACTATCCCGACTGGATCCGGATAACTGGGTACTGGTTTCTCAGCGAAGGAACGGACTGGACTCCGCCCGCAGAGCTGACCAGGTTTATTCAGCGTGCGCGAAAAGATGGTAAAAAGATTGTGTACATCGGGTTTGGCTCCATCGTCGTGTCGGACCCGTCTGCTCTCACACGGACCGTCGTAGAGTCTGTACAAAAGGCTGATGTTCGCTGTATTCTGTCCAAGGGGTGGTCAGACCGTCTTGGAGATCCTGCGAGTGCGAAGGCAGAGATTCCTCTCCCCCCAGAAATACTTCAAATCCAATCAGCCCCTCACGATTGGCTTTTCTCGCAGATCGACGCAGCCGCACACCACGGAGGCGCCGGGACGACTGGAGCAAGTTTACGAGCAGGCGTTCCAACCATCATCAAACCGTTCTTTGGTGACCAGTTCTTCTTTGGGACCCGCGTTGAAGATCTGGGTGTCGGCATTTGTATGAAGAAGCTGAACGTGAGCGTGTTTTCACGGGCCTTATGGGAGGCCACTCACAGCGAACGTATGATTGTGAAGGCTCGAGAATTGGGTGTACAAATTCGCAGTGTAAGTGACACTTTACTTCCTGATGATACGAGCGATTTCTAATGTCAGTACAGGAGGATGGAGTGGCGACTGCTATTCAAGCACTGTACCGCGACCTTGAATATGCCACAACCCTAGCTCGGCAGCGCTCGATCGTTTCGTCCACGCCGTTCTCTCCAACGCCCTCGGCCAAGACCATGGCTGAACAAGATGAAGATGAGGACGTCGGCGATTCCGAGGAGTGGACGTTTGTCGGCGACGACACCGACATTGACATATCCAGACGTGTGCGAGATAGAGCCGTATCTGATGCAGACCTGCTACCTGAGCCTATTTCCAAATACCCGGGTCTCAGGGTTTAGCGGGATGTCTGATCTATAATTACCCCTGCATATTTGATGGGCATGCCTCAGCGGGTTATCTTTCTTTGATTTACGACTCATGAATTTCTTGGATACTTTGGGGTTGCTTTTGTTTGATACAGATTGCATGCATGGACAAGGCTTGTCTTGTGTTGTTTTGGTTTGCTTTGTTGTTGTCACTTGCTTTTTTCTTTCTTTCTTCTTGATTTCATTTCCTAGCTTGGGCAATCTTTTACAGGAAGAGTTTGGGTGATGATTGATGACTTCTCACAGTGGTTATACAGGCCATTTTGCTAATATTTCTAATGTTTTTTGATTTGTTATGGCGACGACGCGAAGATGGCAAGCTTATCTATATTTTCCCAGCTTATGATAGACTGCTTTTACGGGGTATTTTACTCAGACACCACACAAACCATGTATAATATGAACTTCCTAAGCAAAAGCCTAGAGTCAGACCTTGATACAGCGCTTTTATTTGGCTCATCTAACCTGATCGGGGATATACACGAAGACGAAAGGGTGAATGTTTTTCAAGAAGTTTAGAAAGAAAAGATGCAGGATTGAGCAAAGTTGAAGCGCGGAAATACGTCGTAGGCAGTTTAACCACCAGGGCGGCCATTCTCGTTCTCATCATCTCCCTTCCCTTCGGCCTTCTCTTTCCGCCGCTGTACCACATCCCAGTTGTAGACACGAGCAGTTGCCACCTCCAATGTCTGGTTTTCAAAACGTCAGCCAACGCCCCATTCTCAAGATCAGTCCTAGGGCAGCCAGGGGGTGAAGGAAACATACCGTGATCTGCTCCCTCAGGAACTCCAAATCCTCCTCACAAAACGCCAGGCTCTTCTCCGCCGCCACCAGCTTATCCTGCAGCATGGTCTCTGCCTCGGCAATGGGGTACGACAGCATCACATTGGCCCCGAGCCAGAGATACACCTCCTCCGAGTCCTCGGGGGAGACGGAGGCGCGCGCATAGAGCGTGTCGTTCAGCTCGAAGTTGGTCTCCAGCGGTCCCGACTGCGCGTCCCGGCGCATCTTCAGGAACTTGACCATCTCCAGTGTCTTGCGGATATCCGGAATCTTTTCACGCAGGCCGGCGCCTCGTCGTTGCGTGTTGACTTCCATGAACTGGTATTTCGAGATCATCTCTTGGAACGACCGGAGTGTGGCTTCGACGTCGGCGCGGGTCGATACGTAGTCGCCGACATTGTCGACGAAGGGGGCGACGGGGATCCCGCGGGGGTTGGTTTGCGTCGTTACTGATCTATTTGTGTGATGTTAGTTGGATGTGGTGGGTGGGTTCGTTGGTCGGAGGGAGGGGTATAGGGTAGGAGTTTTTTATGAAGCACGGAGGGGGAGAGGGGAGAATTTTTGGGCTTTCACAGGTGAGTGGAATGCAATTAACATGGGATAACATACGAGCCGGGGTTTTGGTCGGCCATTATGACGGTGTAGACGAGCACCGAGAGGTTCCAGTCGACAGAGATGAAGCCGACGAGCGCCAAACGAAGGAAAGTAAAGTCGATGTGGGGGGAAGCAGGTTGCCTGTTCGGGCATGGCGGCCCCCGTGCTTTCATCATGTCTTTCCCTTCTCGTTTTCCCATCTCTTCTTTACTCTCTACTCCATCCTCCCTGCTCTTCATCAACCATGGACTGTTGTCGATAATTCTATCTTACTTCTCCTTCGATAATGGTCCGCCTGGTCACCACGCCTCGCATCGTCTCGGCCTTCGACGATGTCCCGTCTTCTTCCCGCCAGGAGCTTGACCTGCCGGACACCTTATCTCTAGAGACCCCGATCGCCCATGATCAGTTAATACGGTTGGCTCGATATTTTCGAACCAGGAATGACACAACCATCAGCAACGATGACCGGAGTCTAAATTCGCTCCTCCGCGGGACCAAGGTGTACGTTCCACCGCCGCCGCCGAAGCCCGAACCCGTACGTCATGCCACCACCACTATCCCTGCCTACTAGCTAGCTACTTCACGCCATCCCATCAAGGTGTTCCCTGTATTGATACCCAACCCCACACAGAGTCCCGAATACCTCGCTCTAAAAGCCCGTCTCCTCGCCGCCGCCGAAGCAGACGCTTACAAACGCATGACTTCTCCACATCTCGCTGCGTCGTCGCAATCCCCGGCGTCCATCTTCTCGTCATCCACACCGACACTCTCGGCGATCCACGAATCGAAAACATCAGGCGATCATCCAGTCGACGACTCGGATCCGCTGACGCCCGGGCTCGTGCTGAACATCTTCCTCTCTGTCCTACTTACCGGGTTCAGCGTTTACTGGGCGCTGACGAGCTTCCGAACGCCCGATTTACTGGTAGCGTTGGTGGCGACGGTATGGCGATCGTCGAACCGAACTGGCTCGCAGGGCGGGGTGTCCGAGCCAGTGCGAGTCTTGCTATCGCTCCTCGTGGCGCTAATGGTCGGCGTCGCGGAGGTGTTGATCTATGCTATCTACTTACAGAAAGTTGAGCAGGCGCGGGCACGCGAAAGACGCATCCGAGAACGAAAAGTGGTGGTGGAGAGTGACGAGGAAAAGCAAGCTAATGACGATGATGGTGCCGAAGAGAGAGGAAAGGGAGACGTCACCGATATACAGCCTGACGGAAAGAAGGAGGAGATCTGGGGCAGAGGACCGAATGGTGGACTGCGGAGAAGAGTACGGGAACGGTGGGAAGAGAAAGGAAAAGAAGAGGATGGGCAATGACCGTAAGTTGACGAGGTTGCCCCGTTTTGACCATGATTAGGACAAAAAGTTCTTGATACCCCAACTCTCAAATTTCGGTCGAGTCTTGCCAAGCTCTCGACTCAGATGTGTACAATATGTTATCAACCAGTCTAAAACCAAAAGGAAAATATGCCGATACAATGAGAACTTATGATGCACGAACAGAAAAGAACAATTACTTCCATCCATCAAGAGCTACGTTTTTCAATGTGGAAAACGCAAAAGTATAAGTTTTATCATGTTTTATTTTCCTCTATTAAATTATAAAGCAAAAGCTATGATGGCAGCTAGCTAAAAGAGATCAAGAACGGTCGAATAGCAAAAGCAAGAGCAAAGCAAAGCCTACACCATCGCTTTATGTGATCAAGATGCATGGGGAATGATGGTGGCTGTCTAATACGAAAAAGCACCAAAAGGTCATTAGTGATCATCAGAAAGCGATCTGTCGTGTCGTGTCGTGTCGTTTCTTTTCTTGTGTCTTTTGTTCTTTCTGGTTTGGTGGTGGTTGAGAGATTGACTGTCCGTCCTGTCAACGAATCTCAAGAATCGCCGTGCGAGGGCGATCCTGAAGGAGAGAGAAAAGCAGAAAACAAAAGCACAGAACTAGGTAGGGTCTCAAACCCGTTTCTCTAAAAGCAGAGTACCCGCCGGAGTCTTGCTACCGAAGCCTTCGTCTCGACTGAAGATCTTCTCGCCGCGCAGCCACGTCTCGCGCACCTGGCCGCGCAGGGTCCAACCCTGGTAGGGCGAGCACTTGTTGCGGAAGAGCATGGTGCTGGGCTCGACGGTCCACTCGGCCGTGTCGTCGAAGACGCAGATGTCGGCGTCGAAGCCCGGCACCAGGTCGCCCTTCTGGCGCTCCAAACCCACCTGCGCCGCGGTGTTGGCGCAGCAGAGCCGCACGATGTCCTGCAGGGCGCGCTTGGTGTTGGTGTCTTCGGGCGAGGCGGTCAGGCCCTTGCGTCGGCTGAGCTCGGTCCACAGGATGGGGAGACCCAGGCCGACGGAGGAGATGCCGCCCCAGGCGGAGAAGAAGCTGCCTTGGTTCTTATCGACATTGGCAGCAGCGTGTTCGTTGCCCTCGTGGGGTCCCGGGACGTGGGACGGGAGGAGCTTGAGGTCTGGGGTGCAGGGCGAGTGGTCGGACACGACGGTTTTGATGACGCCGTCGCCGGCGTGGCGTTCCAGTTCGGCCCAGAGACGGTCCTGGTTCGATTGCGAGCGAATCGGCGGGCAGCACTTGTGTCGGGTGTCTCCGTCGCGGATCTCCTCGGCCGCCAGAGATAGGTAGTGGAAGCAGGTCTCCGCGGTGATGGGGATACCTTGGTCCCGAGCCTTGCGCAGCAGCGGGATGGCCTCCATGGCCGACAGGTGGACGATGTGCAGAGGCAGCTTGGGAGCCAGATGGGCCAGGGACAAGATCTCTTCCACGGCGCAGGTCTCGTACGACGAGGGTCGCGAAGCCAGGAAGGTGGAGTAGGCCTCCGCGGGACCTTCCGGAGTCTGGGCCTGATCGGAGTTGGCGGCGGTGATGGGCGGTACCATCTCGGCGTGGAACATGAGGGTGGTGGGTTCGTCTGCCAGCTCGACCATGGCCTTGCGAATGTCTTCCGAGGAGACAGCGGGGAACTCCTCAACCTAAAGGACACGGTGAGCACTGGTACGTTGGTTGGACACCAGGGTACCGGAAATTCTTGGAAGGATACTTACCCCACTGTCGATCAGGAAACCTTTGAAGCCGCGGACACCCTGGTTGACGAGCTCCTTCAGTTCATGGGCATTTCCGGGGATGATGCCACCATAGAAGCCGACATCGACCCAGCATTTGCCGTTGGCTGCCGACAGCTTTTCTTTCAAGCCGGCCACCGTGGTGGTTGGTGGGATGGCATTGAGGGGCATGTCAATGACCGTGGTCACACCCCCAAAGGCAGCGGCCTGCGTTCCGGTATAGAAGCCCTCCCATTCGGTCCGGCCAGGCTCGTTCAGGTGGACATGAGCGTCGACCAGACCGGGCAGCAGCACATGGGGCGAATAGTCGGTGTAGGGGGTCCCCTCAGGGAAATCCGAGGCCGGGATCACCGAGTCAAAGACGGTGGTGATCTTGCCAGTGGTGAGCGACACAACGATCGTTGCAGATGTCAGACGGCCGGAAATCACCGCGCGCGACGAGGTGATGACCTTGATAGACGGAATTTGAGTGGACTCCATGATTATGAGGGAAGGAGACCAGAAGGTATGGGGCAGGGTGGGAGAAGGTAAGAAGAGAGAGAGAAGGGGAAGAGAAGAGAGAGGAGAAAGAGTGACGAAAGACGAGAATGGATCGAATCTATCAGCTCCGACTCGAGAGACAAAGGAAAGATAAGGAGAGTTCCGGTGATAAGAGAGGCAAGGGAGTCACAACAAACGACTGATAAGGGCCAAAGCGAGAGAAAGACCGGCCAAAACTAATAGAGAAGAGAGCAGAGATAAGCCCCAGTCCGGGGTTGCGATAAGCCCGAATTTATAACCTCGCAGTTGCCCCAGACGGAGTGGCTCTGATCGAGTAAGATGAAAATCATCAGAAAATTAAATGGCGAAGATCCGAGGGGAAAGAAAAAAAAAATAAAAAACAATTAGAAAAAACAGGACATCGGATCCACTTGAGAACAAAAAAGCAGCAAAAAGGATCCACACGGTGCCACCGGAATTGGGGTTTTCATTCTCTTACTCGATCGATTTGCGATAAGCAATCACCACCGACGTTGGTGTCGCTCCAGATACCATGAATACGCCAGGTTCTTTCATCATTGCCATGACGTTGTCGGTATTTGATGGGCGTGCGCTGCCCTGAAAATAGGCGACTATCGGCGATGCCCTCACTATTACCGGTTCTGGGCATACCATTGACCGTTACTCACCGACAACGAGCCTGTCGGGAGGCAAATCGGAGGAATGACAAAGAGCCAGACGAATTCCCGATGAAAAGATTCAGACCTGCTGGGCGGCCCCATCAACCGTGGTTCTGCTTCGGGCGCCTCCGGCATCCGCCATCGGACGTCTCCTGAGGCAAATCATCGGCGTTTACTCGATCGAAACTCCTTATCCGCATATCCTTTACTCGATACTTTCACGTTGTTGGTCACGGATAGGATTTCCCGGCACCTCCTGCGACAAGCATCGCGAGGCGACAGGTCTAGTCTGCTCCTGACTAGCCCGAATCCAGACCGGAAGTTGCGGCATGCGCTGGGCCTGCTGATCTGGACGGTTCTTCGGTTGGAGATGAGGGTTGAGTGGTTTTTCCCCTCAGCGGACGATGGAACGGAGTCCGCCGTCAGGAACAATGTTCACATGATGAATGTGAATAAAGAAGGAAGATGAAGATGAAGATGAAGACAAAGGAAAGTCAAGTAGGGCAGCCGCTGCTCAGATGATCTTCGCCAAGATTCTGACTAATCGCTCCTCCTTCTCCCCTTCATTTCTCCCCCTTCTCTTTCTCTCTATCCCTTCATCGACAATCATCATGATTACGGAGCATCATTCATGTTTCGCGTTGCCCTGACTTGCAGGCGGATCAATCTGTCCGTCAGATTGTCTCATCCCTTCAGGGGACAATGCTCGCAGTCCGCCGGTCAGAGGCCTGGACCCTGAACAAATACGATCTTCCTGCCGCTAGACCAGGCCTCTCGCTGCCTAAGCAGCCTAACACAGCCTCGTTGAAAG